TCCAATTCTTCTCTTGTTTTGATGTTTTCTCGCTCGTGACGCTATCCTATTTCCAGGAACTGTTTGTCGGCGTTCTCGTAATGATGTGGTCATTAGTACGGACTCCCACCACAGCCGGGAAGAGATGCGAAGTACGCGGCGATCACACATTGTACGTCGATTTATCACCTTTAAGTATCTCGCCATTGGCGCCGGTATCTGAGATGAAACACTCAAATACCCTCCTGCGATTCTCGAGTGCCCACTCGAACATTACACTCACCCAACATGCTAGCTCAACGCATGCTTGCAGGACCTTCCGCTTCTCTTCGTTCTTTGTCTCCCTTCGAGCTCCTTGATGTTCCCATACTCGAACGTATCGCGTTTTACTTGGCCACGAGTCGGTTCATTGGACCACCGTCGGAATTGGTCCCTCTCTTGTGCACTTCTCGTACTATCAACGCATCGCTCAGCTTCCGTAGTAATCATCATCTATATTCCCAGATTTTTTGCCAAAAATTCGACTCGGCTGCAGTCATACGTCGTCTGTCATGGGGACGCACTACTGTCGAGTGCTTTTCCGAGGAGCTTCGCAAGCGCAGTACCATACTGACTCGTATGCGTCATCGGAATGCGGAAAATTTTGCTCATCTTCAGGAGGATCTTTGGGCAGTCTATCTCATACTACTCGAAAACGATGGCAAAAACATGGCCCAGCTGTGTCTGTGGGCAAAGCTTCCGACATGGATAGCAAGTGTTATCGAAGACAAATGCCAAGTTCCTCGAGAGCATCCGCTCTCCTGGGTGAAAGATATCGAAGGCACTTCATTGGTCCTTTGGCTCCTCTGGATGAGCAGTGACGAAGGTGAGTTGTTGGTATGCCAACTCTTACATATGTTCTAACATTCCCATCAGAAAGCGTCAAGGATGAAGACTCCAGGGTACGCAATAAAACATTGACTAGGCTTGAGCCTTTCCTTGTCCATGGACATCGAGTGCGTATTATAACTCATTATTTGTCCCTGAGTGTCATAAGTAACATTACGTGCAGTTCTCATCTGCGTACGCTCCTGATGCATTCTTCTATCTGCCTCTTTGTGCAGAAACTGAGGTTGCAATTCCATGTACGACAGGTCTGCCACTTCCCATCACTCGCGATTTTGTACACTATGGTCGAAAAATTAAGCTCGCTGCACCGCCTGTGATACCAGCTGCCCTCCTGAACTATGTAGTCAGGTTGGAGGTGCGTTTAGACGATAATCCATTGCCGTCCGCAGTGGCGCAACTTCCCGAGACGAGGGCGCAAGCTGCTGCAATGGGATTGTCTCTTCCGCGGCTTACACAAGAAGACATCATAAACTTCCACTTTCACACTCGCACAAGATTTTTCGGCGACTATAACGGCCTGGGCAGTGAGCGCCTTGATAACGAATGGTTCCGAACTGTATCATGCTATGATCCGTGGGCTGTGGATCGACCACTTCGAGGAATCTTTTACCATCTTGGATCATTAACTGGGCACTGGAATGGTCGAGCTTTGGTACGTTTGTGGCCATATTATCGCCCGGCAACTTAATCATACTCTGCCGCGTCAGATTCCATATTTGCAGGCCCACATTGACGCCAATATGCCTAATCGCCGACCCTCAGTACAAGGCGTTACTTGGGCACACGAGCGCATATCTTGTGTGTTCAAAGAGCACCATTGTTTGATCCCCGATGAACCTATTTCTGCACCTGCTGAAGCTCATGGGTGGGGTGAGGATATCCTCAACGTTTGGTTGCCCCGTCGACTGGAAATTAAACATGGAATTGTAAGTTTCTCCGAGTTTGGTCTTGTGTGCAGCATTAAAGCACAATAAATAGGATGACTTAACATTACATGATCGGGAAACTGGGAAGACTGTACGATATGAAACATACCATGCCGACCGCGAGAACCCTTACTCCAGACCATCCAAGATGAGCTCCGAATGGCGTTGTGATTTGCCGCCCGTAAGCGAGGATTCACAATATGAAACGGACGATGATTACGAGGAAGTTTTTGAGCAAAGAACCAGTGGCGTCACCGACATCATCATCACGGGAGAGGTGAGGGCTCCTGAATCGCCTCGAGTTGATGGAGCCTGACAGTCGGTGAACTCTTGCAGACGTACGATCGGGAGAGCCCGGCTTGGGGTTCTTTCTCTTTCATTGGCCGAGTAAGACCATGGGATGGCTTCGTTGTTCTGCTGCGACGGTCGGTACGTGAAAGAAGGTCTGATTTGCGTCATTCATTTTAAGTAATTCTTTGCCATCAGACACACGCTGCCCATGCGTACCACGGGCGCTGGATATTCAAAGGTTACATACACGAGCGTAGTCTTGTTGGGCGTTGGCGCGAAACTGGCACCGCAGTTGACCAACTAGGCTACGAGGGCGGATTTGTGCTTTGCAAGGCGGATGAAACGTCATTGGATACAGTTTGAGTTTGCGATGTCTCGCTTCACTATCGGGCATGTGTTGTATTATGATTTGCATGTAGCCATATACTGTACATTGTCACCTAATTGTATTGGCTAAAGTTGTATTAGCATATGAGTAGATGAACGCCGTCGTGGCTAACCATTCATTTTATGGTCACATACCCATTTGAGTCATAAGGACTTTAATAGATCACTCAAAAATTAAATCCATGAACACATCAAACGCAATACATTTGTCGTGGTATCTGACACCGCTAAACGTAATAAGCGCCACAATTGATGACTCTAAACTGATCCTGTCCGTCTCTCGATGAACCCTCTGACGTTAGCATGTCCTTCAAGAGTACCGAAGAAGCATCGCTTGCCCGCATTCTCCCAAAGCACAACATCTAGCTGCTTCGCATACGCTAGCACGTATTCATAATCGGCTTGCGACGCGAAGTCTTTGTACAGATAACCTTAATTTGTGGTTTGGCCGGCGTGAGAAGAGTATCAGAACAAAAAAGATAATCCTGACCTTCTGCAGATTTCAGCCGATTCCTCTCAAGCTCCCAGAGCCTTATCTGGTCCTGTACAGTCACAGGCAAAAGGGGGTTCTATTCAGGGGCGATGAGCAACGAAATCGGCCTGTGAGGATGATTGAATTATACTCACGTTCTTGCGCATCTGTGGATGTGCGTGTGTCGTTAGGTAGCTAATGATCTGTCGGCGGCGATCAGGCTCATCACCCAAACGCGACTACAATCAGAGAAGAATGTTTTGATACCTGGTCGGCCGAGATTCCGTTGCCCAGTGCCTTGCGTACACTTTCACGCGTAAGCATTCCCACAACCAAGTTCGGAAAACGGTATTTCATCGTGATGAACAAATTAAGGACAGCCGTTTGCAAGGGGTTGTCTTCCAGCCGCCGAGGACATATAAACTCAGATGGGCCAAAGTTGAAAAAGAGATAACATACCTGTATACGCATATATCCTATAATTAGTTTCTAGAACAATGAAGCCTTGTTGCGCGGCCCCTGAACTTAGAGCAACCGCCCCTGTACCATCCGCCGTATGAGACCCACCAGTAGAATGTGAGCTTGGTAAAGGAGGTGACGACGAAGTCAAAGTTGTTGCTAATCGTGTGGGACTAAAACGTTTTGATGACGTCTGCAGGTGGAGTACATTTAGTAAAATGTGCTAAAGATGGTAAAAATAGAAGGCTCCATACCTTGCGTTGCCACACCAGCCCATAGTCTCGAAGGTCTTCAAGCATTGCTTTCTGCGTTTCGCTCAAGGGTTCTGTCGAATATTCCTGGTATCAAATGAACGGCGCTTCTTCAGCTACTTAACGCAACTACATTACATTTGCCTCACCCGACCAAGATCCATGGTCGACAGCATGAATAGAAAGCTAAGCACTTCCACGAGGTCCATTTGCCTCTCCTAGGGACACGTTAGCATCACCGAACACGAACGCCTCCTATCAGCTAGAAGCGTACCTCGGCCATGTGCAAGTACTGTAATAGTAGATTCCAAAGCTGATCATGAGGTGAGTGCAGGAGAAACTGGAAACCCGAGGAAGTAATTTGTAGAGCTGGACCGCTATGGGCAAAAATGTAAGAGGGGGAAAACCTTGACGCATATGCACCCACTGAGCGTTGTTCATCAAACCACTCCGTTGAAGCAGGTACAAAACTCCTTGGGAAGGCTTGGTGGGATTTTGACCTTGACCAGACGACACCATGTAGTGAAGGATGGTCTATGAGGTTGTGAGACTATTTTTTCACCAGTCGGTCACTAGCTCACCTCCCATCGTTCGAGCGCGTATGCGTCTAAGTTTTCAATGTTCGCTGACTGTCGTTTGCCGTCCTTGTCGGTAGGAACTCCAAAACTTCCGGTGCTACCTCTTCAGGCATTTGTTAGCATGAGGAATGTGCTTCATTTATATTTCAACGCACCCTCCTGTGATAGCTTGCCTCAAGCTAGATTTGAATGTAGAGTTTAGCGCTAGTTTAACAGCCGAGTTTTGGGCGATGTGCAGTCCAGTCATGACAGCGAGAGCGGAATCGTACGCGCTATATGTATATTTATCAGGTGAAAGTTTTCACAACGCATAGACACTCACTCCTTTCCCTCAGGAAGGACCCAAGCTGATATTGTCGCTACGGAGAGGGCACTTTCTAGCCAAAGTAGATTCATTATCAGCTGCCGCTCAATTGGCCCGAGCAATCTAGAAAAGAAGTCAGCTTGAGAATACACATAATACAATGGTACATCACCTAAATACTGAAAGACATGACGATGGGCGCTGATAGAGGCGGGTTAACGTGGTTTGTGACTGGGATTGAAGAAACGGAAGGAGTGGGTGAGGCGTGTGTTGAGGAACGATCACATCTGTGTTTTGCAGCGACTGGACAGGCATCCTCAATTATATTTTATCTCGGGGTCATGGAAGGACCCAAGCTTGAGCTTGAGAGGGAGTCACCGCGATGAATGGCGAGCATAAACTTTGAGGTTAGGGTCATGAATGTGGCAGTTCCCACAATCGGGAGACGAGTCAATCAACGATTCCATGTCGGACCCTTCACTGACAATCACTGACTCGCTCAAGCAGCTCGTTGTGAGTCACTGGGCTCTTCAAGTTAATCCAGTATATCAATAACCTGTCTATTCCATAGCCATATTTATCGCACTCGAGAGAACTTTGAATCTGGCTCTAGCCTCAGGTAGTAAGCTAGCCTACATCTACATCATGATGAGGTTGACTTGACCGGATTCAAGCTCGGATATAGAGCAGTCACGGTATCACTGGCAGCACACACCAGCCGCTCAACGCTCAGCAAGTGAGCTTACACAACCCAGCATAACATTCGAGATAGCCTACGAAAACAATGCCAGCACATCATACTGTCCGTTTAATTTCGCAGGACAATCTTGTGTTTCTCCAAGCCTGATCTCTCCATGATGCCCCCCTCTTTCAAGTCGGAATGCCTCATTTCTGGGCGATCTCGTGTTGTTACCGTCCTCTGCCGCAAGCCAAACTCGGAAGCTTTTATTACGAGGTAGTTTTCTGACTGCGAATTAAAATCAGACGGGCGTATTGATATATAACACTATAGCTTTACCATTCGAGTGCCTCCGTCCGAGTCTATTCGCCGAAATTTATGGAGCTCGTACACAAGCAACCGTCCGGAGCTGAACAAACCTAGCATGCACAATTCATCCATTTCGGTTGTCAGTCTATGCTTCTTATAATGCGGGCTACTTGCATTTAAATTAATACTGCCGCTTCTCGGCTTGTCAGACTACTAGTAGGGCCTGGGCTGGAGCTTCTAGATTTCCGATACAAATCAATATATCACTAAAAAGTAATATAATCACGCCAATTCACGCTCGGTTCAGACTTTTACATTGCTCGAGCGCTAGCGCTCATGTATGGCAAAGAGCATTTTGGTTTACAATTGCAAAATATCGCGCTTACTGAGAGTCGGCGTCGCCGCCACTAGTACGCATTGCAACGAAACACTCCACAAGGGCTACCGTTGTGTTGCTCGAACAGACATCTAGCCTATATCTCGCTGTACGAATCATAGTTTTAGTTTTTGGAGTGTACGCCTCTCGGTCGAAGGGTACCAATCCAATGAGCTACACTACAATTATAAATGGTATTTAAGAATGCATGCTACGCAAGTGAGTGGATTTTAGACCGTCAATTTACTCGCAAGTATAGCTCAAGTGCTGCTCGCGTGGTCGAGTGGTTTACTATAAGGCACATTTCATGACAGCGTTGTTCTGATTCACAGATAGGGGTTTCAAACTTGAATGCTTCGGACACTAACTAGAGCAGCTGAACAGAAGCCGCTTCCATGCACAAAAGACTGAAGAAAAATATGTACATTCAATCCGATAAATTCGTTTTGTTGTTTTACTATTCAAGATATTGACAGTAAAAATCATACTGGCCATGCTGCAGAGTATGAAATAACGTACTGACGCTGCATGTGGTACATGAATCCACAAAAGCACCAATTGACCTCAAGATGCCATGGTAAACGCCACAAGTGCGACACTGAAAATGAGAATCGACCAGTCAAACAAGAAGTGTTGTAACACTCAGTGGCCCGCTCCGGCGTTTTTCACATTTTTCGATACAGGTCTATATAGTAAGACGTAGATCTAGGGGAGGGGACACCTGTGTCCCCTCCATTTCTCCGTCCCCCTACCCCCATCAGTCCGCCGTTCCCGCCGGCCACTTGAGCATCTACGCAACTCAAACCACTATTCTATGTGAGGTTCCCCCCTACCCATCAGTCCGCCGTTCCTGCCGGCTGCTTCGGCATCTACATAGGTCAAACCACTATCGCAGTGATATCACCCATTATTTTCTAAAATTGAATAATCAGCGTCGGTGATACATGAGGGAGAGAAAGTCCTGACATTAAGGGCAGTGATGCACTTCCAGGCCGTATCTACGCGTGAATACCCGGCCGCAGGTGTTGCAAGGATACCTGATCCCGAGATGCGTTCCTTGTACATGGCGCGTAAGGCTTTCTTTGTTCATCGGAGTGTTACAACCCTGCCAACGGCAAAGGACGGGGAGGTGATCGGGGCCACTAATTCCGTGAAATTCTCGGAGATGGGTTGACATATTGCCACCATGTACCAGCTCGTTGCAATGTAATCCGTATGCATCATCCCACATGCATTGAAATAATTCGTTGATAACATGGTATTGCTGCAAAAAAGGTTCAGCCGCCGCAACGTCCAGTGAGAAGGCAAAAATGACCTGGTTATGTGCCATAGTAGTATTGAGGTTGTGCCCACTGCAGATTGTGGTTTCAGGAAACGCGAAACGCCTTTTATTGAGTCAAGCTTGCAAGGAGGCCCACCGTGCCAACTCTCCCATTCCTAGCCTGGAGGACACTACGAGTCATAATGTGGGCTGGCGGGGAGCCACTGGGTAAATGCACCTGGACGGTGAACGTTTCATTGGGTTGATAGACAAACCATATGTGCCGGTTGGCAGTGGTACCGGTCCCTCCGAGCTGAGATCTCATCCGTGTGTGAAGGTGTCAGACATGGCACCTGGACAGTGAAGTGATGGGATATGTGTCAGATGTCAGACATGGCGCCTGGACGGTGATATGTATCAGATACCGCATCAGCATGACATCAAAGCGTGGTATTTGTGTATGCCGCCGAGTGTGGTATTACAAAAATTTGAGAATCATCAAATATTTTCATTCGTTGGAAATATGGTTTGAAGAATTGAGGATGGCCAAGCGTACCATGCCAGGATTGGAATGCAGCTTCCATTGCGGTTTCCACCCGCCAGCAGGCCAAAGGCCTTGGCCTTTGGACCGAAAATGTAAGTCAAAAGTCGATAGGGTTCAGAACAAACGAAAAGAAAAAAGTTGGCCACATACGTAATATGCGGTAAATTTAATATTTAGCGTTCCAAGTCTGAGACGCTAATTTAAGCGCTCCAAGTCTTAGACGCTACTAATACTAGTAGCGGCTCACACACCACACGAGCTGTTTATGAATGGTCAGTGACTTTGGTAGCCCTACGAGCAATAAAGACAATCGGATAATGGCGTCGACGAAACTCCAGCGAGTGGTCTCATCAGCTCGGGAATTGTAGAAGGCAGGCGCACCATCATTGTGTCACTACAGTTGTGTGCACTATAATGCTCCTCGTGACACCGAGACGCTCTTCGCGAGCCTTTGTTGTAAAAATGCAGTACGTCAAACCTGCATTGTCTCGTATTACTTTATGATAACAGTGAATGATTCATGTGCATGAAGACCTGATTGCGGGTGAGCATCGCCTAATCCTTAATGACTGAAAATAGGGGATGTTCATGCAAGAATAACCCTGGATCCATTACCTTGCGGATAAACCCTTGATATCTGGGATTCGTTGAGCAAGCCATTCTGCAATCCTACAATGTCAGGATGGCCAAAGCTCTTTTGGAACCCAGCCTCTCATTGACCAATAACATCGAACCACCCGAGAGATTGTCTGCGACTCGGAGATAGTCGCCCTAGGGTATTGCAAGAACTCTTTATCATAGGGTAGAATCAGCAGAGGCTTCTGGGAGACCGTTGTCATCTGGCTGCCCTCAGTCGACAAATAAAGATTGTGGAATATTGGATCTTTGACAGGCACCTGTGGTTCCGAGTCTCGCTAACCCGTCTTCAGAGTCGCAACTCGCTCAGGTTTTCCAAAGGGTCGATGGTCTCTCAGAGACTCTAAAGGGATCGTCTGAGCTCATGATTATCGTGATACTAGTATGTTGAACAACACTAGCAAATTTGTCATCATCGCGTTCCATCCGCAATATTGATGCTCAAATTTCAAATTGCAACTCCGAACGATGAACATATAGAGCACGGCGCACGCTAAGGCTCGAAGCTTTGAATATTTGAACGTTCAGATGTGTATCTCTGTGCCCCGCAGCAGCTGTGACCCATCTGTTCAATGCGTGCTGCACAGTTCATGATATTGCATAAAACGCCCGGTTAGCGGTCGCCGCTCCAAAAACACTCGCTGTTGCAGTCATTCTGCTAAGCCGAGTTTAACCAGCATGACGATCTTACTCACCCCTACATATGGGTGTAGTTGAATTGACGGGAATAGGAGGCAAGGTTGCAAAATACCCGTTGCATCAACTTATCCCCGGAACTGTCGGAAGGAACACCAGGTAAGCCAAATAGAATAGCTCGAGCCTCCAAACGCAGTACTATTAACTCACCTCCTCACTCAGGCACAACCTTGAACACCTAATCTTCATCCAATGCGTTCATTTGTCCTCAGTATCTGTCACCTCATGTACTCTTCCTCCCTCTCTACCGCGGCCATCGGACGATAATTCAATAAGGATGCACAGTAAGGGTAGTGGGACGCTGGTGTAGAGCTAATGCATATGCCCGTTTAGTACATCCACCATGCATTTCTTGATCGGCCTGGCATCAATTTGAAATAGGCTGCCTGACGGGGTCGACTTGCAGGTGAGCGTATGATGCCATCCGTAGGTCAACACAGTAATTGGAGGCTAAAGGAAAACTCGGATGCCCATCGCTATGGCTGCATAGCCACGCAGGTAGCCGAATTCGTGGGCTCGTATCGTGAATCCTCGATGACCAATGAATTTATCATCTTCCGTCCTGACTTAATGCGGTCCACGCACATTGAGAGAACTCCATCACCAGAGTCGGTAATACCATTATGAGCATGGCACAAAGGGCGCGCAGGAGTACAATAGCCCCATCCCAGGTCACCAGCCAAAGTAGATGGGACAGGATTTCATCAATGCGCACTATCACAGTTTTTTCGAGAGGTAGACGATTCAGAGCTTACAGCTTTCAACAAGTTCATCTTCGAGCTTTGTGATGGGGTCTGGGATCGAAAACATGACCTGCTTGTACTAAGGCGTTGGCTCAAGTATTGCATATGTTCGGTTCGTAAGTAGTACGCCCTGCTGACAAGGTCTGTCCTCGAAAGAGTCTAAAAAGTATTGATTTGACCAATCAATTTTCTCAGAGCCGTATGTGACATTGGTCGATGAAGGTACTTGTGAACGACTTATGGATTCCGGCGGCCGACGAGGGTCTGCGGTTTGAAGTTGGTCACAGTGTCCAGAAGCCACTGTTGCCAAAGTACCTGATAGCGGATATTTATCCTGGGTCTTCAGCACAGCACTTGGACCATTGTACAAGCGATACCGGCTCTTGAGTCCGACCCTCCGAAGCTCCCTGCTAGTGTTACGGGGACCAGCCATGAATAGACAGAACTTGAGCACTGAGTACTGAGTGCTTGGACCCGAAGTTCCATTCGAATCATGGAAGGTGTGAAATGCACGGCAATATCCGGGTTTAAACGTTAAACTCTCGACGTTCACAACATCATGCATATCTATATCTACTATTGGCGTGCTGTCGACACGTCCACCGATAGCTGACGGGGCCTCGCATATGGTGAGCTAATAAATTTACACTGATCCGTAGCACGCGATATATGACGGTGAACACAGTTGACTGTACCAGCGACTAGCCTCTCCAGGAGTCCAATTACGACCCATCTATAGGAAGCCTGCAACTAAGTATCAATAGCATGAGCATATACGCCAGATACTAGTTAGTGGCGCATGTTTCTTGCAAGAATCAGTGGTACCATTAATTTCTGATTGGAAAAGAATTGGCCTATCTTCCAGAACGCTTCCCCTCGCATAGGTTACTATCTGTCTTTGCTGCGAGGCAGAAGGTCGGGCTGATTCTTGGGCGGAATCAGCTAGCTACTTCACGATCGATTTCGATCCGTCAAGAATATTGATATTGATATTCTGTTTTCATGGACGCAGGCGTCAATTAGAGTTATTTGACGCCGTGGAGTGAAGTGCGTGTTAACGTTCTGACGCTCAGAGCGCTCATGGTTATATATGACGACATCCGAACGCCTCGGACATGATAGTAGAACTGAGGACAGAAGGCTACCCGCATTATTATTGTATTACTTCAAACACTGTAAACAAGGCAGGCTGCCAAGGGGTCATGTGCAATTTCTCAAACGAGTAACATGCAACTTTAAAATATGGTAACTAATACGTCTTATCACCAACGTAAATATCATGGAGCTCGAGTGACAAATTCATACAAGCACGAACTGAAGTGAGGAAGACAAGAACTACTCAAGCGAGTCAAGCATGAAGGCCTCGAACGCCATTGAATTTCTTCCGGCATCTGTTCAACTTATGAGACTACCAAAACAGCGCTGAACTAGCGAATCAGTCAGGCGTATGCGAAGAAGGTGATGACCAGGTCTCACATCTACTGCTGCTGAACCGCGCAAATTGCCTGGTGACTATTACGATTGTATTCGCGCGTGAAAGTCTTGTTGCAAGTGTCGCAAGAATATGCGACCTTGAGGTGCGTTCCCTTCATATGCCTTAAGAGGTTCTCTTTATTAAGCTCCTGGGTGCAATCTTCCCAAGAGCAACGGACGCGCAACTTGTCTCCACCACGAATTCCATGGTATTCACGGAGGTGAGCAGAAAGTTCGTGGTCCAAAAATGGGTAGCTGCAGTGCGAGCCACCTGGTCTTCTCCATCGACACTCATTCATCCGCTCAAAAGTATAGCCCGACTGTGAAAGTCAGTTTAATGTTTATGATGCCTTGTCTGGGGAGTCGAAACTTACAGGCTCAGGCTCTAAGAAAACAAAGTCATTGCTTGCGAGGTTGTCCGACATATCGGTGCGGGAGGCGATGATTGTGACAAGTGTATCTGCTTCAGATTGAAGCGTTTAACAGGGGGCTTTATAGATGAATTTTCGGGGGAGGGCACCGTTCACAACAAGCCCCGAACCTCATGGGTTGGCAGCCTTGTGGGGTGCCAGGAAGTTACCTCTCGGGCTGCAAACATTTCCGATTGGTTAGAAGACAATCATAGAATAAGCGTCAGTTGCCAATGGCCTTGGCATTCGGCAAAGCGCGTCATACACGAGTATCAATGTCGCTGGCGAGTACGCGTGCATGATTACAGAAAGCCAGAGCAAGTAAGTTCCATCCGCGAAAAAGTGTGACTTGGTTGAGGGAAGGCCGATGTGCCATACCGAGACTAGAAGTACTTCTATGCCACCCATCGACTGGCCAATGACCGGCTGCGGACCAACCAGAAGCTAATGGAGGTGTGCAGATATCGTATTCCAAACCAGGAAGGAAATGAAAATAAATAAAAAACTTCAGATTGCATACAATGCGCGTGGTAAAGTTAGTCCCTGACCGTTGACGTTATCGGGGCGTCAACGCTTCACTTACGCGCCAATGCTAGGTTCTTGAGGCAATCCCGCTTTTATCATATCCTCTCTGGTTAACAAAACCATCAGATACAGCATCGACGGAACTGTGGCGGTTCAATCAGCTCTGTTATTTTTTTGGGGAAAAAAGGCACCGCCATGCCACTGCGACTACACGCCCCAAACGATGCAAGATGCTCTCCATAAATGCCTGTTCAATCAAGTTGTTACATTGAAGCAGCACTATCTCGGAGTGGTCTATGAGGGACGTACAAAAGACCTAATTTGCAGGTAAGCATTGCTGATTCCCCAGCCGATTTCAGTTGAGAATAATAGGTCGAGCTTCTCCCAGAATCTCCCTACAATACTGACCGTGAATTCGCATCCCCGCAGACAGACCCTTCACCCGAGTTTGCGCATCGTGAGGCAAGTAACTCTCCTGCACTACGAAGTTAGAACGACCAGAAGCTCTTCTAGAGGCCACCTTGTCGCCGCCGCCAAACGTTGTAAGCGTGTATGCAAGGTTACATTGGACTTGAGAGAGAAGGAACTTGTACATGGTGAAAGGGATCATCAGCTCATGAATGTGCGCAATTGTCCCAGCAGTCTTATATGCCCGTGTTAACTGACTTCTGGCAAAATGTTAACGAGATCGTCATAGACCGTTCTCGAACCTGCATCGAGATCCATCGAATCAGGGAAAAATATTGACGAATAAAGATCAAAACCTGGGAATTGCCAGCTCCACGAGTGCCTGTGGATCCCAATCGTTGCTGGGGTTATAGTTTTTGCTGAAGGGTCTATGGCCTTGCAAAAATTACTAGCAAAAAAGGTCACCATCAGCGCTCGTGTACATTCCAAAAGTAGCCCAAAGCAGCAAAAGGGCTCTACAGATGCCTGCTACTTACTGCTCCAGAGTATCATAATAAATGCAGGAAATTTGACATCTTCAATTGCGATCCATCCGCGAAATCGAACGTTTTTGCGACTCCGAATCTCTTCCCAAGAAGAACTAGAAGGAGGACAAGTAACGAGTCCATCTTCTGCTCAACATCGGGCGTCGACGGGTATTCAAAGATCCATCCATCGTCCTTCGTAGTCTTGCAATGGCATATCAGCAAAGTGGCATTGCTCTTGAGGTTGCAACTTGAACTCGTGCTAGGAATGCGCAAGGATCGCGGGCTCATTCATGGATGCATGGCCGCCCAACGATATTGATGACGTTTATCATCGCTCCCTTGGAAGAAAGCAACTTCAGTCTCCGAGCGTCGAAGCGTACAGTAATGGAGTGAGGCGAAGAAAGTTGGCGATCTCCACCGAGCTTGCAGTCTCGAGTGTCCACCGATTATGTCACATTCGACAAGCGACTACCTCGTCCGTTAGAATGGGAATTAGGTGGATGTGCCTCGTTGAATACGGACCTCTTCATTCCCAAACCAGTGTTGAAGCAATAATTGAACATAGGCCACAAGGATGCCGCCACCCTGCGCGCGCCAGCATCTGAAACAACACTGGCTATACCATTATGCGTTGATGAAGCTTTCACGGTTGCCAGAAGTCTATGAGTCGTCTGCGAATGAGTGTCCAAATATTGGTATCATCTTGAACGGGCCGAAAGTATCGCAGTTCTGACGTGATAAACTTGAGCGCTTGAAGCTTGATCGATCTGATCCCGAGGTTCGGTTAAACTACTTCTAATTTGATGCCACGTTCTTCACGGTAAACACAAACTAGGTTCAAGTTGAGATATCTTCCGTAAAACATTTGCATCCTGCTTCCATCCATTTGAAAGAGATCGAGCGTGTTCAGAGGACAACAGATGCGCATGAGTTTTGGTCGAATATTTTATTTCAGTTTATCTATTAGCTACTAGTACTCTAATGATCCTCTTCCGCTTGGTTTCTGTTTAACCTATTTATAGACATACAGATATGAGGTTGATGCCATGCCACCATTGCTACTTAGAATGACGATCATGTCATAGTACTACTCAGACTATGGGGACGTGCAACGCTGTCAGACACAATTACACAATAGTGCGCACAGTAAGAGAAGCCGCCTGGCTGTCATGCATCATGTCTAACTCGCCAAATTGACAAACTGCTACCAATTTGTTATATGGTTTCGTACTTCAACTAGAATATAATATCGCCAGGATAAACAGAGCTAGTAAGTACGTCGGAAGCAACATAGACAACAGATACTTAAACTGAAGTCAGATAGATAGAACAGGATCCCTTGTCAAAAGACACCCTATTTAATGCTGCTTCTCTCTCCTGTGTCTGTTGAGAGTATCTCCGCGCGAGAATAGTTTGCCGCACACGCCGCACGGGTGCACAACCTTCATGTGTTTTTCCTCGATATGTCTCGCGAGACTCTCCTTATTGACCTCCGTATTACAAGATCTCCATTGGCAGAAAACGCGGGCATTGTCGGGCCCGTGAATTCCATGTCTCTCGCGTAAATGATGAGAGAGATTGTGACCGTAAAAGAGGTCGTTGCAATGCAATCCTGGTGCGTAACAATCCCAGAAACACTGAAACATTTCATTGATAAAATGTCTTTCCTGCAGGCGTTGATTTAATCGCAATGATATCATGTAAGATTTACAACTCACAGGTTCCGGCTCAGGTGCTCCGTTGATCTGGAAATGGTGAAAGCCCCCCGACATGATAGTAATGACGCGGCGATTGTGATAGTTATGCTTGCAGACTTGAGTATCTGAGGGACCGATGAATGATTGCGAAGCCCACTGTAGTATATAAGTGTTCTGGACGACCTGCCAGGAGGGCCATCGTTCCAGCTGTCCCAATATCAGTTGGTAAGGACTCTGGCCTCGTAGGCTTGCGAGGTGCCAGCGCCTAAGCGGTAAAATTTTCGTTGGTTTGTAAACGGTCCCATGTCCATCGAATATGAGTCGGTTTCCAGTGGCCTTGCCCTTCAACGACCGTCCATGAGATTGAGTATCAATATCCCCTACCGACCACACGTGTAGAATAGCAAGACCGCCTGCCAAAGGTGTGATTGAGTCAAGAGGACGATGGACAAACATGCCAATATGGTCAGGATGGGTACATAGCTTCTATGACGACCTCCGCCCGGTCAAGGGCCAGTTGCGGAAACAAAGCACACCCGGAAGCCAAAGGACGCCAGCTTGAGATGAAACCCAAGAGTCAAATGCAATGCGACGTCAACTGATGCCATCCTGTCATATGTAAGGCGCGGTAAAATTGACATCCAATGCTAATACTACAGCTTCTATGCAACGGCATTTTCTGTTCTGGAGGTGTACGACTCGTTTTGAAATCCTTGCTTGGCCATCAGGACAATTAAAAAAGTATCAATGGGATTCTGGATAGTCTAGAACGTTCAGCTCAAATGTTATCGAAAAAAAGACACACTCCGAATCTCTTCTCAAGAAGAACTATCATTTGAAAGAGGACAAGTAACGAGTCCATCTTCAGCTCAACACCGGTCGCCGGCGGGCATTCAAATATTCAGCCATCGTCCTTCGTAGCCTTACAATGGCATGTCAGCAAAGTGGCGTTGTTCTCGATCGACCTTGAGGTGGCAACTTGAACCCGTGCTGGAGCTTGGGAAGGCACAAGGATCGCGGGCTCATTCATGGCCCCCCAACGGTAGTGATGACTTTTATCATCGCTCCAGAAAGCAACTTCAGTCTCCGAGCGTCGAAGCGTACAGTAATGGAGTGAGGCGAAGAGAGTTAGCGATCCCCACCGAGCTTGCAGTCTCGAGTGTCCACCGATTATGTCACATTCAACAAGCGACTACCTCGTCCGTTAAAATGGGAATTAGGTGGATGTGCCTCGTTGGATACGGACCTCTTCATTCCCAAACCAGTGTTAAAGCAACAATTGAACACAGGCCACAACTTGGTTGCCACCACCCTGCGCCAGCCAGACTTCGTTAAAGCTGGGCGCTACAAATGCATCCCACTGAGTCCAAGAATGCGCCCACAAGGCATTTGTATTTGTTGACACTATTTGAAACAACGTTGGTCATACTATTATGTGTTGGTGAAGCTGTCACGGTTGCCAGAAGTCTGTGAGTCATCTGTGAAAGAGTGTCCGAATATTGGTATCATCTTCCAGTAATATTTGGTGAGACTTGAACGAGCCGAAAGTATATCAGTCTATAAACTTGAGCGCTTGAGCTTATGTAAGCTTGATAACCGACACTCTAACTGGGATAGATAGTACGTATACGGGATCCCTTGTCAAGACCCCCTGTTCAGTGTGGACGATAAGGACACGTTCTCTTGTGTTTGTTGAGAGAATCTCTGCGCGAATATGTAGATCCGCACTCGCACTTGTGCACAATCCTCATGTGTTTTTCCTCGATATGTCTCGCGAGACTCTCCTTTTTGAGCTTCATACTATTACAAGAATTCCATTGGCAGAGAACACGAGCACTGTCTGACCCGTAAATTCCATGTTTCTCTTGTAAATGATAGGAGAGATCGCGGCCGCAAATCAAGTCGTTGCAATGCATTGCTGGTGCGTAACAATCCCACCAACACTGAAACACCTCATTGATAAAATGTCCCTGCAAGCGTCGATTTAATCGCTATGATGTCATGCAAGATTTACAACTCACAGGTGCCGAGTCAGATACTCCGTTGGTCTGGTAGTGTTGAAAGCGCCCTGACATGATAGTGGCGATTGGCTAGGGGGTGTAAATTTAAACTTATGACATCAACCTGGGATAACTTCACCCCCGTGATAGTAACTTGCAAAATTGACAAACTCTTACAAATTTGTTATTCAAAAATGGAGTTTCGTACTACATGAACTAGAATATCATACCACCAGGATAAACAGAGCTAGTAAGTACGTCGGAAGTAACATAGACAAAAGGAAGTCATCGGATAGAACGAAGATAGAACGGGATCCCTTGTCAAAAGACTCCCTATTTAATGCTGCTTCTCTCTCCTGTGTCTGTTGAGAGTATCTCTGCGCGAGAATTCTTTGCCGCACCCGCACCGGTGCACAATCTTCAGATGTTTTTCCTCAACATGTCTCGTAAGACTCTCCTTATTGAGCTCCAAATAACAAGAGTTCCATAGGCAGAAAACGTGATCCTTGTCTGACCCGTGAATTCCATGTTTCTCTTGTAAATGACGAGAGAGATTGTAGCCGTAAAAGAAGTCGTTGCAATGCAAATCTTGACATTGTGGCCAATGCCAGAAACACTGAAACGTTTCATTGATACGATGTTTTTCCTGCAGGCGTTGATTTAAACGCAATGATGTGAAGCAAGAAGATTAACAACTCACAGGTACCGGGTCAGATACTCCGTTGGTCTGGAAGTGGTGAAAGCCTGACATGATAGTAATGACGCGGCGATTGCGATAGTTATGCTTGCAGACTAGAGTATCTGAGGGACCGATGAATGATTGCGAAGCCCACCGTAGTATATAAGTGTTCTGGACGACCTGCCAGGAGGGTCATCGTTCCAGTTGTCCCAATACCAGTTGGTAGGGACTCTGGCCTCGTGGGCTGGCGGGGTGCCAGCGCCTGGACGGTAAAATTTTCGTTGGTTGGTAAACAGAACCATGTCCATCGAATACGAGCCAGTTGCCAGTGGCCTTGGCCTTCAACAAAGCGTGCCGTCCATCAGTATCAATATCCCCGGCCGAGTACACGTGCAGAATAACAAGACCATCGAATTTCCGCTGCCAAAGTATGACTCAGTCAAGAGGACGATGGCCAAACGTGCCAATATGGTCAGAATTGGGTACGTAGCTTCTATGACGACCTCCACCCGGCCAAGGGCCAGCTGCGGAAACAAAGCACACCCGGAAGCCAAAGGACGCCAGCTTGAGATGAAGCCCAAGAGTCAGATGCAATGCAACTGGTCCTGTCATATGTAAGGCGTGGTAAAATTTCGGTAAAATTGACGTCCAATGCTAATACTACAGCTTCCAATGTTCCATGCAACGGTATTTTCTGTTCTTGAGGTGTACGACTCGTTTCGAAATCCTCGCTTGGCCATCAGGACGATTAAATCAACGGGACTCTGGATAGTCTAGAACGTTCAGCTCAGATGTCGCAAAGAAAGACAACCCAGCATAGCCACAATGGACTCCACACACCCATTCGCAAAGCTGCACTACAATATTGTCGTTCCGAATACTGCGTTAGCAAAACGCTCTCTGCAATGAAGGAAACAGGCTTCAAAACTTCACCTTGCGACAAACAGTCGAGTCTCTGAATTCGTTAGAAAAGTAACTCATCGTCCCTACGATGTCAGGATGGCTAGAAGCTGCTTTGGAACCTACCTTTGTACGTCAAACCATCCACCTTTTACATTCGTTTTCTTTCTTATTAGCCGTACTAGGCTACTACAGACTGGAAGAAAAGTGATCGATCACGATCATCAGCAAATCCCAAAGGACGCAAATCGGAGCACTCTCGTGCAGTCGCGTTAATGACCCTGGAACCGCGAGGCATAATCAGCAAGGACTTCCAGCAATAGTGATGAGATCGTCATAGGTCATTTCCAGCATCGAGATCCAACAAGGTAGCTCAATTGAAGATCTCAAACGGAGGGGCTGGAACTTGGGGGTATTGGGCGGCTCGGCAGGTACCACTCATGTTTCAAAGTTTGATCGCTTGCAGAGTTGCAACGTGTGCCAAAGGGTCGATGGTCTTCCAGAAGATTACTGGTAAAAGGGTCACTCAGCACTCATTGCGCCCGTGCCAATCCAAAAAATCTATCCGAACTTCGAATGTGGCAAATCAAAATCACTGCGACACTGTACATTTGTCGTCCATGAAGCCAGCCCATATTGCAACTCTCGAAAGCTTACTTCCAATTTGTCTTGAGACTCGGCGTCTGTCTTGTTTTCAACGGAATTGGCACTCATCTGTCAGCGCAGCGATACGGGTCTTCACGTTCGTTCGTCGTAGTCCTTGCTAGCAGTGAAAGCAACGCAAGCAACATGGACAGGCCGCAAAGCAGAAATCCTGGAACAACGCACGAGCACCGCCTCGATTTTTTGCACTTGCGACGCATCCAAATCTGCCTCGTTCGTGACCGGTGACCGCCCATTTCAATGCTGGCAATCTCCGACCTTTCCGCCAACATCGGTTTCACGACCATAGGTGACGTATGACCTAACTATGCATTTGTAAACTTCTTAACGTTTTGAACAGGCCGCCTCAGGTGTTCTCGATCTGTAAAAAAAACATCGCTTCCAAATACAGAGGTTACGGGAGATGACAATATCACCAACAAAGACTGGGATACACTGTACGCATGAAGTCGTTAGCCTTTCACATTGATGTGTATTCCCTATGGATCCTTGGAACGGTCTGTTGGGTTGATCGTATATGAATGGCAAGGGTTTAAAGCTAGTAGTGCCGAACGTCGTCCTTTTTCCTTGATTATATGTGCACGGGAGATGTAGCGATGAAGTACGTCACCTACACAACTAGTAACATGTATGGGATGCAACACGAGATCCGTACTTACACATGTTCCCCTTGCTTCCTGGACGTACATACCATAAAGAAATACCCGACTTTTTCTATGTCATGATAATGCGTTGGCGAGCACAATCTGATAAGTGGATGCGCTAGATATATCCTCGTGACCATAGCATAGGGTTAGGAGTTAGCTCAGTAAGCCGCGTAATCATATCAAAGCTTGGTTCTGCTTCACCACCGCCTGAGCGATTAAGATGTCTTTATCCATTCATGCCGCCGCCCAAAAAAGTGCGCTTTTGCGGTGTCTCCTTATTCACATCTGATGGCCTGACTTCCCATCTTCTAGATCAACCTGCCCTTGTCCGTGCGTTGACAGAAGAGAATCCAAAGCTTGTGAATGCTGTCGATGACGTGAGCATGCCTTCACAAGTTTTATTAGACCGCCTGATGCATGTACCCCAGGATGGTAGGACCCCGCTGCATTGGGCCGCATCGAGCGGCTCGACCGAAATTGCGTGCTATCTCATTGCGAAGAACTCAGATGGAATCGACAACGTGGATGAGAGTGGATGGACAGCCTTGCACATAGCTGGTATGATTTGTTGAACACTATATGTGCATAATGTGAACTCATACTCTTCGAGTCCAGTAAGCGCAGGTCATGAAGATGTCGTTCGAGAGCTAGTGGGTGCTGGGGCTGAAGTAAACAGAAAGAACGACAAGGGAATTACTCCTCTGTTAGTAATGTTCCTGCTGGAGATCGTCTCTACTACTGGTTTGACATGTGCTGCTCAGACACTACGCGGCATCAAAGTCTCGCATTGACGTACGTGGGCGTTGGTATTATAAGCGTGCATGTGCTAATGGCGTCTACATCGACAGATCGGGAGGTTCCTGATTGAAAGAGGAGCAGACGTATGTGAATCCATCGAGAATACTTTGCAACCATAAAATGAGTGACAACCAGATAAACGCCAAAGATAAGGCGAACCAGACGCCCTTGTGAGATCGATAACGCTTGCACGCCATAAACTTATTCACTCAAGCTCTCTTAGGCATCGAGCAGCAACGACAGGATCTACGGGATTCGTTGCACTCCTGCTCAGTCCTCCTGAAGGCTCAACAACTGTCAAACTACGGCTGAACACGGGCGACCGGATAGGTGGGTTTATCATCATCACGTTCATTGAGCAGATTAGATCAAGGCGCTATTCTCAGGCAATACACCCCTTCATCTCGCTATGGAGTCGGCTCATGCCCAGGTTGCGGTAATGTTAATTGAGGCAGGTGCTGATCGTGGGAGGGTGCGTCATTTGGGTCTGACTTCGCGAGGTGTCGTGTTATTGATGGTGCCTTAGACTAATTTAGATGAAGTAACCCCTGAGAACGTTGATGGTGTCGGAGGCACCGAGCAGAGAAGAGCGAAGCAACATGTAATTGATCACTGCGGCGAGCCCTGAGGCCTGGTTACTAGACGAGAAAGTAGAAGAAGAAGAAGAGCGGTGCTACCAGTACCCGCCGACTGTAGGCATCCACAAACAACTTCTATTTGCACAACCATATCAGATTATTCTACATACATGGTTACGCATGAGTAGTAGTACAAAACCACATAAGGGTAGGTACAAAACATATCAAACTGCAAGGCACCGCATGAGAACCAGAAAACCCATAGAACTTCGAAGATCCAAAACATTTTGAGCAAGGTAGGTAGGCAGGATGAAAGAGTATCATAGATCCGAAGTAAGACATCTAGTGTTATAGTACATGAGAAGTAGATGATCTAGAATTCTTATATATATCGCAGTCAGATATGTGCAGCGAAAGAGGTCAAAAAGATCTCACCTAGAGAAACCGACGCAATAGGAGTCAATTCTACAAGGGCCTTTTGGGAAGTAATTCGATGATTCGGTCTTGTTTGATGGTGTGCCCATTCTTCCCAAAATAACGGGTGGTATCGAAGGACCAGTGCAACGAACCAACCATCCAGTTCTGTAGCCCTTCGATATAGATAGCCACCTGCTTGTCAAGCTGTTCTCCCCATGAGGGGAGGATATCACGGTTGTCTTCAAAGCGCTGGATGGAACCCTTGCACATCCGGTCAATGTAGTCAATAGCGCCTTGTAGGTTTAAACCTTGTTCGCGCATAAGCACGACAACTATGTTATGTGTGTCATGGCGAGATTGCTCCACGTTGTAAGAGAAGATATCCTGTCAACAATGATGTTAGCAGTACTCTCGTATTCGACGACATAATGGGACATTACGTTGGACCAAGTAACAAGGTCGTTGGTTGCTTCCTCCATGGCCATGATAACTGGATGTGACATTACTTCGTCGGGGAGATCAATCAGAGCTGCATATTCGATGAGGGCAAAGCAAGGCTTGCAGGCACTCGTGTCTCGCCTCATGGTGATGTAGGATTCAAGATCAGGGACACGTCCCGTGGCACGGTCCTCCGCCTGTTTCACCGCAGCAATGAAAAACAGGTCCATTGTGTGGATGAATCGCTCAGTGCAGCCGGGTCCCCCGGTCTGCATAAAGCGGCTGAAGTACCTAGTATACAAATAGTTAATCTACAGTGAAGATTCGTGATAGAGTAAACCGACGTACGATTTGCACATCTTTCCAGCGAGTTTTTCCGTCTGGGAGTTGATCGGATCGCGAAACGCAGAAATGCAACATTCACGCATTCCCCACGTACCGTCGGCATCAAACTCATCCAGCCAGTCATCCATATTGAACAACCAGTTTATGAAATCCGAGCAGACCCGGAGATGAAAAGCATCTGCATCGGGATAGCAGGCCGCAGTGAGTTCACCTGCGTGCAATCCCATAAATTTTGTCACTCTGGGCTCTGCAAGATGCGCTCCGTCAAGAAGCCATTGCTCAGAAGCGCGAGACACTGGATAACAGTTAGGATTCAGCCGTAGCGGATAGTGACAATCGCTGATAAGGTCAGGTAAGATAAACCTTGTAGTCTCAAAGTCAGAACAGATGCTAGTATATGTTGCAGTAGGGGGCATGGAACTCATCGTAGTCGTATCGTGAATGTCGAGATGAGTGACAGGCTGGACGGAATCAGGGGAGACACAAGTGCAGAGACAGATTTCTCAGAAACATTTTAGGTATTTATAGTGATGGAAGCTTTGAAGGGAATCACAGTTCAGGCCGTTCAATAAAACGCGGTGTTGCATAGCTGTCATAGCGGCAGGTTTAAGTTAGGCGTAAAGGCAAGATGAAACGACTCAAATATAAACCACGTACTTAAAGATGCTAGTATGTACATAATGACATGCCCATGATACCCATAGTCTGTCATTGGGAACAAATGCATGATGCGCCGGCTGATTTGGCTTATCGATAGTCTGGTCAGCAATACCTATCAAGCTCTAGAATTTAATGAAACTAGAGTTCGAGAGAGACCGAACACCTGGCTCCGGAACCGATGGAATTCGTGTGCAATCGGAAGCGGCAGGATGACATTGCCAGAACAAGAATGGTACTCATCTTGGATCGTGATCTATTGTCTCAACGTACAATGTGTCTGAGCTATTAGGTGGCTGGAATCGACTCGATTCTTAAACGAGTTAAACGCACTTATAAGTTGTACCAAGCAAGAGGCTGCAGAAATAGTCAACCGTCCGAGTCGCTCCAGGACGAAGCATGATTTCTCCACGCTCCATAAATGTGTTGGACTCCCGGGAGGATTCAATACCCCGGCAAAGCACTGGTTATGAAACATTATGATGGTCAGCAGAAATCAGTTGCACTACCTTATTTTTCATTCGGATCCGGTTTGAAATAAGACCAATATGTTGAAATAGGCCGGTGGGAACGGATCGTCACAGTGGTCCGACATCTGCGGTGACATGTAACTGTACAGTTTTTCTGGCAATCATGATAGCATTTTTGTGGAATTACATAGCGACCAGGGTATTTTTCACTCATGTATACTAGTATATACTTAGTACTGGTATTTATACTATAACTTCGCTAATAGAAAATAACCGTATAAATGTTTGTAAGTAGGGCACTGCATATTATTATGTACAAAGCGCGGAAGATCCGTTAGCGCTCGCATCATATTCCAACAATTTTTTTGACAATAAAATGCCAAGAGTACTGATAGCCCCATGACTGATAATCCGATTGAGCCATTCATCAAACGCCCCGTAAAAACACCAACGCCGGGTAATATTGATGTTGGACTCGAGCCGGAATATTTATTGAATAGGTCGTGGAGACGTCCGAGTCCGGGGTGTTACGTAATAATACAACCCTGGAGCTGCACGTACTACGGTAGCCCAAGTGCTGCATTGAATAACTCCACAGTGCTTGTCAAATGCCGTCGACTGCTCTCCCACTAAAAGTTACTCCTGCATCAACACCGGCAAGAGCTTCACCGCAACCATCTGCTTCAGGCTCAAAGACTCCCACAAAGCATGTCATTGCTACCAACCCTGGTGAAATATCTAGCCCCCATGAGCTAACAGCTTTTGTGCGTTTTCCGATTCCTGCTCCTGCAGCCTCCCGACTGGCAAGTGACGACTAACAATTCTTACAGGTTGAAACTTTACTTGAACAACTAGATACCCAATTTGACACTATGTCGTCTCAGATTCTTGATCACAGTGCGTTTGCGACCTCCTGTGACCTTTCATCGAACCTACAGATTGAACCATCTCACAGTGATGCAAATGTCAAATAGAGTGGATGCACTGGAGGCTGCTATACAGGATATTATTAGCGGGGATGTAACCACGCCAAGTGCATCTATATCGTCGACACCGCTTCTAGCTGCCGGTGCAGCGCTGCCAGGTATTCGAAGGAGCGGAAGTGGCGCCCAGTAATGGGGATATGACACAGTTTCAGTCTTCGACTTCGTTTCATCAGTCAACAGCGTGGCTCTATCTTTTCGTTGATGATAATGTTAACAATATCATTTCATAATTCCATTAGCACATACGGACTGACCGGTTATATTGTTTTGCAATAGCAAACAATTGTATCTTAGCCGGCTCGGATCGTCTCGCATGCGAAGCAACACGGCTTTATTCTGACCTGTTAGGTATGCTTTGGAGGCAACAGCACAGATACTGCTCCGATACCCATGTATATCGCACACCGCGTCAATTTAACCACTCGAATCTCTTTTCGAACGCCTGAAGTTCCGTAAGCTACTATTCATTGCACAGGACCATCGGGCACATAATATCTACCTTGAAGTTGAAAAAGATCAGTTCGACTTACAGCATACAAACTCGGCCGTGCGGATACCGTTTTTTTCCCGCAAAACAAGCTTTGCATTTGTCCAGTACGCATGTTTATCGTTGTTCGTTCAGGAAGGCTGCATCCACATATCCGCCCGCGAGGAATGCCTATCTTCAGCATCGCATCAAGTGCGGTATTACTGCGTGGCGACGATCGTGCGCTCGGATGTGACCACATACGTCATGCATGACAGGCCAGAGCGATCAATGCCCGAAGACTGACATCACTCGGTACTGATATGCTATTTACAACTCTTCATCATCGTCTACCCTGGAAAGCATTGATTCTAGTCAGCTCATTCGGTCCTGGAGACACAGCGAAGACACGTTCAATAGTACATCGCCGTCAGTTGCTTTTTTCACGTACATCCTGCTGGGCTCACCCAGTCAGAAACTCAAACTTGAGGATAGAGATTAATCCGACCCTAGTTGATGACCCACTCCCAGCATCCGCGCGGATGTGCAACTCCTCGTCCTGATATCAGAAAGAGCTTAGCCCCGAATGGATCATCAGGCTGGGTGTTGGCGTATTAAATGCAAAGTACAAGGTTGCGATCTCCTCTAGTCCCAAAATGGTGGTTCCTTTTGTAATTTTGGATTTCGTGATTTACTGACTTATTGGGGGCAGCTGGTTCGAAAATCGCAGGTTGGTGAAGATTTGCCAGCTGATGATTGTCCGAATTACGAGATTAACACTGCCAGTAAAAGCCCGAAGTTACCAACTGATCCACGCCTTCACCATCCATCCCTCCAACACTTCCCCACTATCCTGTGCAATTAGGAAGGTGCCAAGGTTTAGCCGCACCGTACTCTGCCGTCTCGTAACGAAGTCTGGTCACGAAGAACAGGTGCATCATAGTGCCCGTTTTCCATGTGGGATAGCACAGTGCACTTAGTAATTCAAAGTTTCGATGATTTTCTGCAAGTCTGTTCGTCTTCTTCATTCTGTATCTCCTTGTAACTGAATATTCTTTTCTCAAGGACCATATCATGGTTAGGGGCGCGATCAAAAAGCTCATCATTACCAGCAGAATAAATACAAAAAGTCACCGGTCTTCAAGCTTCAGAAGGGACACGGCAGGCGAATTGATGTAGGTCCAATAAGGGACGGAACACTGCCACCGATCGATCAGTCTATAATGAAATGTCTTGAGCAAGTCTTGAGTACTATCATAGTGATGTCACGCACATCGGGTGGGGTATAAGTGAGGCGAATTGCTCCTCTTCGTCGTAACAAACCATGTCAGCCGCCAGGGCACCGTCTCGTTACTCTACCCCTGGGATGTTCAGCACATTCAAGTTGGACTGCAAGGCTGCTGCACTCGAGTTCGTCGGGACAACATTCTTTCTACTCCTAGGGCTCGGAGGTATTCAGGCGGCCAATGGCGAGGCCGAGTCCAGTGGTACCACCATCGAACATGTGATGTACATCGCGACATCCATGGGTTTCAGCCTTCTAGTCTCCGCTTGGTTGTTCTACAGGATCACCGGTGGCCTCTTCAACCCCAATATCACACTCGCACTGTTTCTCGTGGGAGTGATGAATCCTGTAAGATTCGTGTTGTTCTGCATCGCACAGCTGGTCGGAAGCATTGTTGCATCGGCGTTGTTGCTTGCGCTGACCCCTGGACCGCTGGCTGTCAAGTGAGTGGCCGTTGTGACTATCGGTTTTGTCGACCCTAACAGACTCTATTCCTTGCGATAGCACGTTCCTCCAAAAGGGAGTTAATTCAGCTCAAGGCGTTTTCATCGAAATGTTCCTCACGGCAGCGCTGGTGTTAGCCGTTCTGATGCTCGCCGCTGAAAAATCTCAAGTCACTCCATTTGCACCGGTACGGATGGTTGACATATCTCATCATGAATAATGTTGAATATTATGCATCAGGTTGGCATTGGCCTGACACTGTTCGTTGGACAGCTGTGAGTTGTGTACATACCTCGCTATATAGCAATATGGTTAAAATCGCACAGATGGGCCGTCTTTTACACGGGTGCAGCTATGAATACGGCACGTGCATTCGGGCCTGCTGTTGTCACCGGATTTCCTTACCCTCGCCAATGGGTGGTAAGCAAAAAATATTGTTCATAGACGCACACCTAAACTTTGCCTCCTTGTAGTACTGGGTCGGACCCTTCCTCGGCTCTCTACTGGCATCTGCCTTCTACGCCATGTTGAAATGGTAAGTAAAATCTGCGTGCTTGCTCAGACATACTGATTCCCATTGCAGGATGCACTACCAAGATTTGAATCCTACACAGGCGTCCACGCATGAGAAGGACTCGCCAGATCCGCTTACTGTAGTACTGAGTAGTGCGGAGAACCCTTTGTCGGACGGGAACGGTGCAAGAAGGGGTGAGGGAAGCGGGTCTAGTGAAGTGTAGAGTCACTTTCAACCTCTAAAGACTTTTGCCCGAACTAGGACATGTAGGCCAACAGTTTTAACTCGCACGCAGGCGTAAACGGTGTCTTATATTGGTAGATTGTAGTTAGATCTATGTTTATTGTGTGATAAAATTTACGACGAGCTTCCTGTATTCATGTGGTCTCGAATTCGAAGGACGTTAATAAGAGATAGAGTAGTACTCGAGGGTGACTTACAACTCAGCATGCACTGGACAAAACCAAAAGCTTAATCTAGGACACTCGCAATAGATGATCGTGATTGTACTTACCCCAGTGTCCGGTGTCGAGCTCTTTCAGCTGATTCTGTGGGAAAAATTGATCAATTAAAGGTATGTTGTGACGATTGATGTATCTGTCAAGGCAGTCAGGCTCCCAGTGGCGTATATTTTTATGCATAGCTGGCACGCACTTGCTCTTCTTTCCCTTGATAATCAAGGCACGACCATCCCAGGATCGTTCCCCAGGCGCATAAGGGAAAGATTCTATCTCTGCTCGGCCTTCTTTCAAAATGTCGACAGGGATCTTGAATTTCACGGGCGTTGCCTTGTTAATCTCGAGATTTGTAAGCAGAAATGATCGGACGCTGGGATCCTAGAGGGCATCATGAGTATACGGGAAGTTGCGAGTGAGGTGAAAGGCACCTGTTCGTGCTCAGACATTATTTCGTCCGCTTCCTTTCTGGTGGAGATGTTGCCTGCCTGTATTATTTCCATAGCACGTATGTGTTGTACGGTATCCTGCGAGACTTTGGCTCTGGCGGGAGCGATGTCAGACACTATAAGGTCTGTGAGTAAGGTAGAGGGTAGTTCTGGATGCAATGCAAGGGCCATCGCGACCTTGCCGCCCCTCACATAGAATGAGTACTTGAACACAGCAGATTGTTGGAAGAGAGCACACATAGAATGTCCCATAAGTGATATATTGCGCAATGAGTGCTTCTGACAGAAACTAAAGACGTCCGCTGCCATGTGAGAATAGGTCATTGGTCTAGCATGTGGTGAAGATCCGTGGTTTCGCAAATCCTGGTCTCAGGTTAGTCATGCTATAGCGCAGGGTGAGGGCCTCACTGACGAGTGTATATACGGGTCTGCTGAGGTCGCGCATGAACGCCTTGGAGAGAGACTGCCAGTTGCGTTTCGAACCGCTGTCCGCTTTATGACTACGTGATGGAAGTGAACAGCAGAGAAAGAGACTGACAAGAGCCCGTGTAGGATGAGGAGTGGTCTATGAGACCGATTTCCATCTGCAGGTATGTGTTCGTCGTGGGCCAGCTCGACGGGTGACACGGCAGTGGACAAGCATCCTGTGAAGTGACGTTAAGCTAGACTTTGGAGTATTGCAATAGCGCAACAAGAAGTGGCGTCATACTTTTTCGTAGAACTTGTGAAAGCTCAGTTGAAAAGAGTGTCGAAGCTCTATGTACAGAAGATTTGAAGAACATCCTGATGGGCCCGAAACGCTGAGCTGAGCAAAGAGTCTAGAAGGGTCATTCTGGGATTTTGATTGCCGGTCAATTTGCCGGCTGGAAATGGTTTATAAGCTTGACCACTACTGCCAGCACCCTCCAATGCCAGGGTCCCGGCAAGCAAAGCATGTGACGACATTGACATGATTTGCAAACGAATCAAAATGAAATTCATCTCACAGTATTGGGTGAGTATGTTAATCCCACTAGTGTAGAGTCATGAGACAACCTCCAGGAACTCGCACTCCTTGGCGCCCTTTCGCAAGTTCGTACCGATACCCGGAGAGACTCAAATACAGTCTCGCCCCTGAGTTCATGTTTATTATAGCTTCTGTGGTAAATATGGGCTGACCAGGTGATTGATGATTTCATATTCGGACATTAGTGGCAGTGGGCCACTGGGCCCCATGATATGGGGTTGAGCAGAACTAAAAATGCGGGAACGCACACTCTTCCGACTGCCCGCACCATCTGCTTTCCACCATGGGTTTCAAAGACGCACTGGCAGATTGTTCGCGTCATCGCAATGCATACACCCTCGCCCTGTCTGCATCTATGGGATCTATCTTCTTCGGTTGGGACACCGGACTCATGGGTGGCATTTTAACCCTTACGTCTTTCCAGCACTACTTTGGTATCGATAAGTTGTCCGCATCTGCTCAAGCCAATTTCAATGGCAATATCGTGTCAATTATGCAGGCTGGATGCATGTACGTCATTAAGAATATAGAACGCTTTGCTACTCATCATATTGTTTTTAAATCACCAGCTTCGGTGCCCTATCGACTAGTTGGGCATCCAGTCGCTTTGGGAGGAAACGGTCTCTAATTGCTTCGGGCGTCATATATACCATCGGAAGCCTGATTCAATCTGTCGCTGGCCTCGGAAGCAGCCAGGCTGTCGCTCTTCGAGTACTATACTTTAGCCGCGTCTTTGCTGGTATCGGAGTGGGCATGGTATCCGCCCTGGCTCCCTCATACATATCAGAGTGTATGCCCAGACACATCAGGGGAAGGTGTACCGGCCTTGTCCAATTCTCTGACAATATTGGTATGATGCTGAGTTGTACGTATTCATCTGTAGATGAGGTATCCTTGGATTGATAAAATATTTGTCACAGTCTGGGTGAACTACAGCGCTTCTATCAATATTCCATATAGCGACATGCAGTGGCGTATGCCTTTCATGATTCAGCTTGTTCCGGGTGTCCTCTTCATCCTCCTCATGATTCCACAACCAGAGTCACCCCGTTGGTTGGTCGAGCGGGGCCGCTACGATGAGGCCGCAAGGACGCTTGCATATGTTGTTCGAGCGTCAGTCGATGATAAAGCTGTTCTTCTTACACTCGACGAGATCAAAGCGGACTTCATCGGCAAGCAGCGAACATCTTTAATTACTCAGTTCCGCATGATGGGAGAGTCACGTCAAATCGCGCTCCGCTGCTTTATCCCCTCTATCCTTACCTTCTTCCAGCAATGGACTGGTACAAACGCTGTCAACTACTTCAGCCCGCAGATCTTTGCTGCACTTGGTATTACTGGCACAGCATCTGGCCTATTTGCAACAGGAATATACGGTCTCGTGAAAGTCGTCGCAGTCGGTCTTACCCTGGCATTTGCTGTGGAAAGTTGGGGTCGCAAGCTGTGCCTCTTCGTGGGCGCCGTGGGGCAAGGTTTAACCATGCTCTGGATTGGCGCCTTCGGCGCCATCCACCCGCAGAGTACTATTGTACCTGCGAGTTACGTGTCAATCATCGCCGTCTACCTCTACGCAGTATTTTATTGTATCGGCTGGGGACCTCTACCGTGGGTCGTGGCCAGCGAAGTTGCACCCAATAATGTCCGCGCAGCCACACTCACTGTTGCGGTCAGCATCAACTGGCTGTTCTCGTTCACGATATCACGCTTGACTCCGGTCATGCTTGAGAAGATCACGTACGGGACATTCCTGCTCTTTGGCATCTGCTGCGTGATCATGGCAGCGTGGACATATTTCTTCCTTCCTGAGACGAAGGGGTATGCGTTGGAGGACATCAAGTATTTATTCGAGAAGGATGTGATAGTGAGGTCTTTGGAGGATGCGCCTGGTGGACGCGTGTTCCTTGGAGGCAAGCGAGCGACGCCTGTAGAGGAAATGAGGGGAGGGGCAGATATCCAGGAGTCGAGTGACAGTTCCCAAAAGGGGGATGAAGAGTGTATTGAAGTTTCCAATTGATTGTTTTCGTCAAAGCGCTTCCGTGTACGTCCCCGACTCCCAGAAGCATTTTGTACCCCATAGATTCAGTACAATGAGGAATGTCATTATACCGGCTTACAGTATTTGCCCGCATCTGTTTCGATCTTTACCGCCCGTGTTTTGGTTCGCATGAGGTCAGTGGACTCGGAGGTGCGCACCAAGAGTGATGCCCTTGCAGTGATCTTGCCTTGTTTTCTCCAGGAAACTGTTGGGCAGAACAGAGACAAGTTTCCCAGGCATTCGAGGGACATAACTTACCCGAATCGCCGAGGGACTGGCGGCCGCGACACCTTTATGGTGTATGTAAATTACTGCACACAAGATGATATCACATATCGTACTGATCAAACTTGAAGAATAATTCAACTTAACTTAACGTTCGCAAAACTGAAAACAGTAGCAATTATCGTGTTCGCTGTGGCATCTATTCCAGGCCAAGTATATATGCATATCTGTATCTAATTCGTAATTTATGTTTAGGATTACTTGCTAGACGTTCCGGATCGTTTCTGCTTACCACTTGTTGCAAGCGTGGGTGAGTAGCTAAACGATACCTTCGTGCCGGCAACTTAAAAGATGCCGATTTCTTCCCGACGCGTCCGAGGCTGCTTCCTGATCAGAGACTAACACTAGTACTGGACCATTATAAACTCATAATACGCAATGGTCTCCATAAACGTATCCGCAGCGGGGAAGCCAATTTCTCTGGCTCGTGGTCTCCCCATGGTCGTGGAACTTTCAGGAAAGCAACTCGAGGACGCGACTATTGCAGATGTCAAGAGCGCGATAGCTGAAAAATATCCTAGAGTAAGTCTTTCCCTATCCACACATCCAGACGTCTGAAAACATTTTCAAGTTCTACTTAGAACGCCAAAAAATTACCCTCAAGGATTCCAAGAATGTTCTAGCCGATGATATTACATTGAAGATTGCTGGTGTAGCAGAAGGCGGGGAGTTGTCTGTAAAAGACCTCGGCCCGCAAGTGAGCTGGAAAACTGTATTCTTAGTTGAATATGTGAGTGTCTCGTACAATTCGTAGTTGCGAGCTACTGACGTGTCATCCTCAGGCTGGCCCACTGTTCATCCACCCAGCGATTTACTACTTCCCCAAGCTGTTTTATGGTGGTTCTGTGCTGCACAGCATGCTACAACGGTATTTGAATGCATGACTTCCTGGTTTAAACAATGTACTCAAGCGTGATCAGCTATGTGTTAGCATTTGTCATGCTGCACTTCGCCAAACGAGAGCTAGAAACGTTGTTCGTGCATCGTTTTTCGCATGCGACTATGCCCTTCACGAATATCTTTAAGAAGTACGCGTTTTTGGAATACTTGTTGTTTTGGTAGACCGACTGACGCGTGTTTGTTAGCTCTGCTCATTATCACCTTGGAAGTGGTATGTTTATGTGTATTGGGAGACAGCAATCAAGCTGACTCCATATGAGGCCTTGCCCTTGCGTACAGCATTTACAGTCCTGTATATGGTGCTGCCTCGCCCTACATCCGTGGCACAGTTCGCAATGATCCTCTGTACATTCAAGCAGGCGCTGCTATCTGGCTGGTGCGTGTCTTGGTATTTTGGCATGCATTGTAACGCATACTTAATACCTGCCTGCTTTTAGTTCTCCGAAATCTCTAATCTTATTACTCACATCAAGCTCCGTGCCCTCCGGCCTGCAGGAAGCCGCAAACGCGCCATTCCTCGAGGGTACGGCTTCAACCTCGTCTCGTTCCCTAACTACTTCTTCGAATTCCTTGGGTGGTTGGTTATCGCGGTTCTCACAGGAAGTTACGCTGGTATGTGCTACTCTCTGTTTTTTATGCTTCTGTTTTGAAATCATGGTCCGCGCACTAGCATGGATCTTCCTGGTCATTTCGACGTATCAAATGTATGTCTGGGCCATCAAGAAACACCGTGGATATAGGAAAGAGTTTGGGAGCGATTACCCAAGGGATAGGAAAGCGATGTTTCCTTTCCTTGCGTAAGTGGTGTGTGACATATCTTAGTAGCATGCCATCATATGTGTGCGCTATATCCGAGGATGATTGCTCTCATATCTACGGGAACCACTATGATTCTCTGCGTGTTCTTACATTTCGCCTCGTGGACCGAAGGTAAAACGCGTTTAAGAATCATTGATCATGTATAAGCCCGCACGGTCGCAAACCCTTTGCAAACAGCTTACCATTCATACCTGGGAGGCTGGTCCGTTCAGTTCGTTTGCAAGTGTTCCTGGGTCGGTCTTATCTGTTTTAGTGACCCACTTCTTACTGATCTACAGGAAGACTCTTTCATCATGAGGGAATTACGCCGACCTAGAAGATGGGCTGAGAAGCCATCTGTCCTTCGTAACTCGACATATCTGCGGTGACCTGAACACATAAAACCTGAGAAGAGCCACTGAACAAGTCAAGCTCGCTCACACATGCTGATACTGATTTTCTAAATTTCTTTGCGCGAGGTTACTTGCAGATTTATTCTAGTAAGTGTACATAAACCTCCTTTCATGTGAACAGGCTAATCAAGGAATCCCCGAAAACACTCCAGCGACTCACAGCGATCGTTCGAAGACGAGTGTGCGTTCAAATAGCTCTACCTCGATTCTTTTCTTTGGGGGTGGGCAACCCAGCAAATGCAGCTCAAAGCTCCTTTTTCCTGAAAACGTCACGCCGCATCGCCGGCATGGATACGTTACACCGAGATGTATGTCTTGGATGTGCTTGACAAGGGCGCACTTCTCCATGTGTTGTGCGCAGCCGTCCCACCAGCATGTCAGGGTGGCATCTTCAGCCCCCCGGCACCCGTGGACGCTACAGAGATGCAAGGATAGCGCGTCACCTTTGAGGACGTCGCGGCAGCGTACTCCGTCACCTCTGTCCCACAGGCAGATGATTTTGTCCTTCAACAGGGTTGGTGGAGATGGTGCCTTTTGAAAAGATAAGTGACGTTGATCTGGATCACAGGGAATGTGGGCTCACCAACCCGATGGTGTACTCGATAGCCATGATGCAGTTCTGGAATTAATGTTAGAGCGGGCTGTGGTGACCTTTTTGTTTGAAAGCGTGATGTGAGTGCATCCCGACAGTGCACCTCTTATTATCTGCAAACAAAACCAATACAAGCATCTGAGTCAAGGGGAAACCCCAAAAACAGGCTGTCAAAAAGTTGTAGTTTGCAAGTAGGACATGCTTAGATTGTAAATAACCCATTGTCTCGGTGTCAAAGCGAAACATCAGATCTCAGAACTCGAGACGGCTTGATCACAACTTTGTTACTTTCCTAATCCAGCATGCCCATCTGTATCACCTGCACTCACCCCATATCGCACCTCTACACAGTTTATGAATCCGCATACAACCTGAGACTTGAACAATGCGTTGGTGCGCGATGTTACTCATTTTGGTTTTATTCTAACGCGAGAGTCACTGGTAGAGCAAATGCCTGAAATTTGCAGATCCATATGTCGAACACGACTCTCTGACGCTCCTCTTGGACCTCATTCTACTGAAGCGAGAAGTGTATAGACATTTGATATATAATAGAGGGACGGAGCCGCGAAAGGCGCTCGGGAGTAAGACTGACCTTGACTCGGAGGGAAGTCGGGAAGGTGAGCACACACTGGCTGCTACCAAAGACCGACAAAGGGAGAAAGTGAGTGATTAGTCTGTCGATGATATCGTTGCTGAGTACTAGGCTTGTAGGACAGATGGTGGCTCATTTTGAAGCTTGCTTGCGGGCTTATCACTGTCGATGCATGTACGTGAACTCATCGACCACGAGTCCCACTGTATACTCTGGCTCATTTATCTTAGTTATTCGATGGGCACATCTCAGTCAGCTTTGCTTTTTGTTCAAAGGCTGTCGGCGTTTTCATGGTCATTAGATCCTCAGATATCTGCAGATGTATCACGGTGGACAGTTGAAACCAACATTGTCTTCCTCCGGATCCTCATTGGATGCATTATAGGTGCCATGCTTGTTTCTCTTTATTGAGTGTTATGCTGATAGCTCGTGCAGAAACGTTTGCATTTCATGGAGGAGTGATGTTTGCATCGTATTTTGTACTCGCACTCTCAGATTTCATTCGCTCAAGGAGAAGTACCTCGCCAGTAGAAATATCAGGTGTTCGACAACAGTTCAAGTGAGGTTCAGAGTTTGCTCCTAGTGGTAATGGATACCTCAATTGCAAGCCTAGGTTCTCGCTCATCCCTCTGACAATTTTCTACTCTTCCCTCACGAAGCTTTTCCTTCTGTTCTTGCTCACGATATGGCGCCCTTCAGCGTCTAAACCTGGAGGCTCTCCATACTATTGGGATCCTTCATACTACAGCAGCTATCTTGTTTCACGGGCCCTCGAGATATGGGATGAGGACAAACTAGATCGTGAGTGGGTCGTTAGGAATGTTCTGGGTGGAATGGCGACTGGATTCGGACTTCGTGGTTTGTTTTTGTCTATATTTTCTACAATTCGCATTTACTGAACGATTTCCTCGCAGTTGTGCTCGACTGTCATCCTGTCTTTACGACAGTGGTGATCCTTGTTGGGTGGTTGGCGAAAACAGTTGTTGCGGGATTTCTCAAGAATTGGGTGGGTGGAGACGAACATAGTGGAGACAAATGGATGGCGTATAGTATCCCGTAGTCTCCCATATATGGTGGATGATTGGTGACGGTTCATTTTCTCGCGTTTCCCCGGTATTTTTTAAAGTCCGCTGTATGCATTATTGCATTTATCTAGATTATTATTATTATGAATGTCGCAGGTCACACTACTTCCCAAGAGCGGACATGAGCAGACTAAATGGCAAACATTGTAACTTTTCTTTACGTGAATGACTTCAATGTCTGCAGTCGCAATACTCAATAAGGCTGAGGTGCTCTTTTTTAAAAGGGCAGACAAAGGTGCCACGTCTATCACTCTCTTATTGATTGCTTCCACACTCGAGACTCGGACAGATGCCAAATGCACTTGGTAAAAATGGTCGAGTTCCGGCTCGTGAGTGGCTAGTCTGCACTATGATCTGAATGATCACTGATTCCTCATGTTCAATCAACAGCCCCCGATGAACTTATCAGACCATTCATTGAAGAATTTGTTGCGAAGGGGTATCATAATTCTGAAATTGTCTCTCATCTACGCAAGCACTACGATACCGATATGTACAATGTTTCGTGAGTCACCCATCGACTTCTTATCAAACACACATTCAATACATAGTTTGATTACAGGATCGACCTACTGAAAAAGCGGCGATCTCAATGGAAGCTGAAGTCTGCACGCGGACAAGCACACACTATTGCAAGTATAGGACCTGCTATTGAGCGAGTGCGGGCACGCTTCCCACAACAAGGTTCACATGATATGAGGCAGACTCTTCTGCATGAAGAGAAAATCACTGTTCCAAGGTGCGCTTACCAGTAGTCATATTTTTGCATTGTGGTATGAGAAATTTTGCACACAGGGCATTGATACTTAGCTACATGAATCTCCATCATCCGGAAGAGGTTCTGGCTCGCAAGAGTCGACGACTGAAGAGAAGCATCTACTGGACAGCCGGTGTTAACGACATCTGGGTATTTGATCAGCATGATAAGTGGCGTCGATTCCAGCTGTTCTTGCATGTTGCAATTGAGCCGTTCTCGGGACGTATACTGTGGTTAAAGATTTGGTGGACCAACCGTAATCCTCGCCTTATTTTTGGATGGTACTGCAATACAGTACAAGCTCTCAGTGGTAAGCACACTAGTAATATGTCACTGCGTATCAACTGTAGATAAATCAATTTTGATTCTTCCAGTTATGCCCCTAGTCACTCAGAGCGATCCTGGAAGTGAGAACAATGGAATCGCTAATGGCCACACCTTACTTCGCCACCTGCAAGACCCAGCATTGGCGCGCACATTGCAACACAAATTCAAGGGTCAACATCGCAACATCAAGCCTGAGATTTTTTGGAGCCAGCTGCGACGGCGCTGGACCCCAGGTTTCCAAGATATTCTAGATTATGGTGTTAGCGAAGGTATCTATAATCCATGTTGCAGATCAGGTTCCTCGTCTTCGACTTGTGCATGCTGCAGTTGCAATCCCTGACGATACTTCTGATCATGCTGGAGCAGCAACATATCTATTGGAGGAAAGGATCGAGGGCAAGTTTATCAAGTATATCAATAATAACTCCGCTGTTCCCACTTATCATTTGCGGGGGTTTGAGGAGAAAATTGGACTGTTCCTGTGCTTTGCACAACACGTACAGCATCGCCTCACAAATGAGGTCGTCTATCTATCTGATTTTCAAGGTAATGCAGCCTTCATTTTTATTGATCGTGTTCTGAACAACTTTTTCAGGATCTGGGAATCTTCTCACTGACTGCCAAGTCATGACCGGACCGTCAGTTCATACTTCGCATATCTTTCAATTGTCATTAACTTGATTTACAGCGAATATTCAGCTAACTTTGGCGAAGGAAACTGTACCGAGGCATTTCATGCCTTCAAGTCTACACATAAATGCAACTTCTATTGTCGTGCATTCGGTATGCAACCCTTTAGCTCTACAGCCCCCAATTCATAGTAGTTTAGTGTATTATTGAAACTGGTATTATTAGCATACAAATGTCAAACGTATGCCGCATCCAGCGCACAACCAGGTTTCATTCAACGAGGAAACAGGTACAAAGCCTCGAGCCACATATAAGTATCTAGAAAGTGATAATGTAAGGTGAAACATAGGAATGAGACTGGGTATAGTGCGCCATCGATATCATTGCAGAGGCATCCTGAATACATCCTGAGGACGATTGAGTCAGCCGGCGGCGGGCGCACAGAATTCATACTACCTCGGTGCACATTGGTTGTAAAGTCGGACGGCTACCCGAGCTTATTGAATACCATAACACTACCATCTGCGAACTCGAGCATAGGAACAGAGGGAGATGACGACGAGCGGGGATCTGGGGAGGTATTTATGCTTCGTCAAGATAAAGTCTGAGAGGTGAAGGACTCACATCTGATTGGCCCGCCGCCAGAATATATGCTCATGCACATTCATCCAATCCAAGCTTGTCAACAAGCTCGGGTTCCTTCATGCGTATGAGAGGAGGCAGCCATCCTAAAAGGGAGTCAGATATTTGTGGTGGCTGCAACAACTTGCCGCCAGCCTGTGACAGCATACATAGGTATACAAAAAATATATAGAAATACATCGTGAATGAACAGACGGACTTTGAAAAATGCCCGCGGCAACGCGGCAAATCGAACCGTCACCAATCATCCACCATACCCATAGTCCTCTGTTCCTCTTGTGTAGAATTGATTTAGACCGTGGTCTGGCAGGTTGGAGTAAGCCGGGCAGGACCCCTGACACCAACAATATTGGAACAATATGCAATCCAACTGAAATGCATACCCATATCATTCACCACTAGAACCACAGCGATGCCTGCAGTATCCGGTTCATCTTCTCGCGCCCTGAACGCGATCCTACCGCTTGTCGCGTCTGGGCAGCCCTACGAAGCGCACCAGAAAGCACGCACCTTCGCTTCACGGTACAGCAAGTCTGGGCAGTACGACACTGCCATCGACGTGCTCTTCCAGAGTGCGAGAGAACTCCTGAAAGTTGGCCAGCAGGGAAGCGGAACAGATTTGACGCTGTTCCTTTTGGAAGTATATGAAAGCAAGGGCGAGGCCGTGGATGATGAGTCTCGAGGTGTGTGCTCCTGATCCACCGCATGCAAGGGAATACGTCACTGATTCGATATGCTCAGGGAGACTAACACAACTCATCGCGCTGACTGGATCATCCGGATCATGGAGGAAAACGATCATTGATAGATCTATATCGTATGGTTGACCTCATATCGGATCGGGACCTGGGCTCATCATTATAATGCGTTTAGATGGTCAGCCAGACATGGTGATTGTCCCGCAGGTGACCAAGACCTGCATCACTATATCGGAGAGCTCTTATATAAAGGTATATGCGGCAGTATCTACGAACTGACTGTCGTGCTCACGATGTGTAGATGGGGCTTTCGATGCGGCAGAACCTCACTTCCTTGCGTCAGGAAAAAGGGATAGCGCACGTTCACTAGCGAACATGATGATAGAATGGTCAGCAGCGGGTGGAGCTCTAGGGAACTTTGCCCTTCGAGGTACACTTCCGTAAGTTGGAACTCATGTCCATACCATTTCCTTCGTTCCCCGGTTCATGACTTCTCATCACAGATATCTACAAAATGGCAACATCGTCGGAGCTCGCACATTCATTTCGCAGTTCATTGCACAAGTGATTTCATCTCGACCGAAACTGATTTCGCCACTGCAATCATCTCCATTGCCTGTCACTCCTACGGGTGAAATCACACATACGACTGAGCCTGTGCTCAACTTCTGTCAGCTTGCTGTCTTGACATGTCAACGGGCAAATGGGGATAAGAATAAAGTGATGCGCGAGAGCTGGGTGAGGCTTTGTGGAACATATCAATCTAAAGGTGGCGTCTTAGCGACCAGGGAGGTTCGGACGGTGAGTCAAATGATTATTGCTTGCTTGATTTTCTAAAGACAAACCGCACCGTTTAGACACTACAGGAGATAGCAACGTTGTACTTTGCAATTCCTCCGCCACGCACTCAGCCTGATAATCCATTGGGAGCTATGATTTCCTCTATGCTGGGCGGTGGGATGCCGGGAGGAGGGGCCCCTCCGCGGCGGATGCTGTCTCCCGCTGTGAGCGGACTATCAGCTCCAGGACTGGATTAGTCTCCATTCAAAAGCTTCTGATTGGGTGTAGTTTGGGTTTCAGCGGGACGGACATGAGAGGATAAGGTAATCGAAAGGGACGTGTTATTAGGTATCTTGTATCAAAACGCATTCGTCGTACGTATTTTACTTTACATACACAATCACTCTTTGCTATACCTGTTCTGTCCGTGCACTTGTTCTTCGTTCCAGATTATCCTGGCATCTCCGCAACGAACTCTCCTCAGTCCCTCAATTCGAAGACTGAGGTCAATATTAGTATTTGCTGACGCATGATATTTCTCATTCTAATTACCTATATAGTCCTCCTTTTGTGCCTAGTCCGAGCCTCTCTTCATTTGAGATGAGGCCATATTCAATGATCCTGACTTATTCATACAAGAGTAATAGTCTCATGTAGCTGGCGCGCATGAGAGTCGGTATGTCTGACCTACCATCCACGACGAGGACGTATGGATCACATTTTGACCATACGTTCTCGGAGAGTATTAGGCAGGGTAAATGAGTTGCCAATAGTACCGAAGTGATACTGAAGATACACTATCTTCGCAAGCGGAGTACATCAATCATCCTAGTGGCCAGCTAAACGGTCAAAAGTTTCGGCATGTCAGATGAAGAAAGGCGCGGTGCACCATGTATGGTACCCGTGATACAGGTTCCAGAGGGATGCTCTTAGAGCAAGAATCTTCTAATTCCAAATTCCCCGAGTCCAACAAACTCATTCGTCCCTTCCTCTCTTCCCCTTCGAAGCCTCTCTCCACCGAGCCTTCCACTCCCTCGTCAGCGCACCTTTTTGGGTCTCCCACTGAGAGTGAATTTCGGAGGTAGTTTGGGTGCGGCAGAAGGGCTCCCTGTTATTATCTGTCTCTTTGCTCACGTGAGGGAAGAGGGAGAATATATCTCGAGGTGTATTTCTTGCGTTGGAGGAACGCGAACGGAGGGTTGGTGGGAGAGGGAAAAAGAAGGGAAAGTTCGAGTCCAGCGTTGGGTGCGCTTGTGGCTGCTCATGAGGAACGGAGACTACACGAGGAGGTAGCGCATGATGTGGTTGGGTGGGGTGCGAAAGGTCAGAAATCCCTAGAACGTCTTCCTCCTCAAAGTCTAGGTCGAGATGACCGAGTAATGAAAACCCAGCTGCAACAGGTCGCAATCAGTCAAGATCAGCGGGAATAGAAATGGGGGCATTAAAAGAGGAAGAAAACAGACAGGTGTAGCAGAATAAAACGAGGTATATACAATGAAATAAGCACACACCTTCCTCCTCCCTCGGTGCGAAGAGATCTTTCAGTTTTGTTTCCTTCTGACTCTGAGCGGATGGCTTTGACGCGGATGTAGGGTGAGATTGCGTGTTGAGCGGAGACATTGCTCTATCTGATCCCATTTCCACTTCCTTGTATTTCTCATGCGGAACTTCCTCGATCTCGCCCTCATCTACATCCATCCGTGTTCCGATCTGAGGCTCCCTTGCCTTACCTTTACCCTCAAGATGAGCATCTTCAATATCAGACAAACTCTCCTGTCCACCCCATCCTTCGTCCCCGTCCCCAAAAAGAGAGCGAAGGAATGTGAGAGAGGTGAGCTTTTCTTGCGTAAGGGAGGGAATTGCTCCAGTCGTAGCTTCAGTTACGGGTGAACGAGTGGTGGGAAAGGGTGACAGCTCTGGTGATGGAAGAGGAGAAACAGTAGATTTTAGGACCGGCGGCGATGAAGGCTCGTGGTCATTATCTTCATTAGGGTTACTAGGCGCATTTTCGGTATCTTGTTCATTATCACTGTCCTCGGCCGCCTCATCACGTCTTTTTCTCGGGATTACAGGTCCACCTGCGTGTTCTGCAAGATCCACCACGCCCGCTACCTCGGCATCCAACCACATACCCTTCAGATGTGTTGAGTCCCAGCGCGTCGGATCGATCGTCCGGCGGCGCGCGCGCGTGGTGGGGAGTTTGACGCGTTTTTTGCGTTTCCCAGTCACAAGTTTCCCATCTTTGTCGTACTTCTTTTTCCCTGCACTGGTAAGTACCCTGGGCGGCTCCAAGGCTTTCTCAGGTCTCATCCGCATGGTTCTCACCACACGTCCCATCTCGGTGACCTTCCAACCCCCTCGGGTACGTGCTGTTTCGGGCGTGACCAGTGACATATCAGGCGCATAGGTGCCTACCTTGGAATTGGCACGCCGTTTTTTGGGTGGTGGAGCGGAAAGAGAGGCGAGTCTGTTGTTTTTCGAGGTCAGTGTGGAGTGAGTGAATTAGGGCGAAGACGGACCGTTCACGAAAATCAGGCTTTGCATCCCCAATACGAAGCTTGGCGCCTTTCCATACTGTTCCACTGAGTACATTTACGCCTGGCCAATTTCAGCCATGAAAATCACAAAAAAAGACAAAACTTACACCTCGCCAAGTCTGTTTTACGACCTTCAATCGTCGCATAGCCGAAAGGCCTCGGTTGGCCTAGTGCATCAAGTTTACCAAAGCCATCGAGCGAGATTACCTTGCCAAAGGCTCCGAGTCGCTTTGCAAGGTCAGCAGGTGTGATGGCGGGTGTTGTGAGACCAGATATGTGCAGACGTTTTGTTATGGTTTCGGTGGACATGATCGTTTAGATCGAGCTGGGGCACGCCGAAAAATATAAAAGGAAATTGTGGCCACCATAAAAAGGTTGATAGGAACGTTGGTTTCAGTAAACCAAGCCGCTTTATTGAATATTCGGGCCATCCGATACAATTGCTTGATTGTTTTGCATCTTCACCATGACATGCATGACATTGATAGCCATGGATTATGCATTAGACTTCGGAAGTTATACACATTGGCACATTTAGCTGATAATTATACTCTATTCCGAGAAGATAAGCCTTGCTGTTCTTCACAGTTTGCATATCCCTACACTTCCCGCACTCCTTCCCGCAGCATCTCTGTTAGGCAAAGGGTTCTCGGTGTCACTCAGTGGCTTAGCAAGCAGATACGGCGAATCCTTCTCCTGCGTGGACGATTCAAACCTTGATAAGGTACCTATCAGTACATGTGAATGAGCAGGTGGATCTCACTTGAGTACCATTTCAGGATATTGTCAAAAGCAGTTCCCAGCAGAGAACCGAGAAACGGAGCGACCCGATACTGCAATGATGCAAAGCTTAGGTGCACGCCCATGAAGAGTCAGATTTACTTACTACCCAATGGTAAGGAAACCCAGTAACGACGACAGGCGCGAATGAATGTGCCATTTTTATGAATACCAGCCCAATGCCAATCTGATGTGGTATGACGTTCAACGTTATTATAATGGGACATGATAATCATCCTTACTGGTGCAAGCAGAGTAAACTGGGATTTATCAGTAGCTAGCATCGGAGAGTGGCTAAATCCAGCGTCGCTATGAGGAACATTTCAATGAGAACGCTTGAAATGAATTGATTCCCTGTTGTAGGAACGTGCTACCGGGAAATGCGTACATTTTAATAGGATTGACAACAACATTATTCGCTCCATCCCTTATTGGACCTCATCTTCTTCACGGCGCTGCGTTTATCCTTCTCCGATCTCCTTCGATTGGCGTGGGCCTTTTCTAGATTGGCAACCCTTTGTCTTTGCTCTGCACTGGGTTCGCTGGTAATGAAGTCCTTTGCAGCATGCATCACTACGGCATGCATCTTGAGAGAAGAAGTTCTGTTTAGCTTGATATGCAGAATCGACAAGTTGAACTAACTTTGCTCAGGGAATCATCAATGTTTCGTGCTTGCGAACGAGACGCGCTAGATGAAACCAGTAAAGAATGTGTTGTTTTGACGTAGTATGGCTTGAATGAAACGGTTTCAGTCCAACGGTTGCATGTCAAGCTCCACAAATCACCGTCTTGACGAGACTCTCGTGCGCCCATATCGGTATCCAAGGTGCGTCTACACGACAGCGCGCAGAAACCTTGGTCTCTACTTTATTGACATTCTAACCAAAATCTATTCAGCACACCGCATTCTCACAAGGAAATGCGAATGTACCTGTCCTCCGGGACCAGAACTGCGAGAGAAAGTAAGTTCAACTAGATTTTTTGGGACGGTTTTGGCGTCTTCGAATGTGCGAAGCCAAACCTTCGCACGTCCCTGATCTTCTGCGCAGGATAGGGAAGCGGTCGAGGGTGGGATGGGAAGGGTATGGATCAGACGGCACCTCCGAGTCCAGGTGGCCGTTAGTGCACACCACGACTCTCTTGTGATTCGAGAAATCATCAGTATACCACTCCCAACATTGATATGAAAGAACAGGCGCTCGTCAGTGCCAGTCAAAAGTGCGAGCCACTGGGGCTTGAGTAAGAATTGGATTGACACATTACATAAATCGTAGCTTCGAAGAGAATCGGAGTACACCATGACGTTATCCGATGTCCCCAGACCCTTGGTAAACAACTTGAAGGTCATTGCCCTCCACCTGACTATATTACAACTTGAGAGTCATTCTATCTCGCACTAAGCATGAACTGCCTACGACTGCGACTACAAAGTTCCAATGTCGAATGCCCAATCAGATGGTTATAGTTGTGTTAGGCGTGGGTAAATACACGTGCCACTGTTAGTTTCACGGAAGGAAATTTTACTAATTAGGGTACATACGGTATTACCATGTCTTTACCACTGATCGAGTCGCAGAAACCTGCCAGTGGGGTTCGCTCTCTGGAAGGGTTCAGTACAATTGGCACTGGGATATATCTCCGGAGTACTGGTGAGCAATGCCAGGATACTACATTACCAAAGTGAGTCAATGTCCGTGATAGCACAATAGCTGACGTGTCACGAGGCATTCTGTAGCGTCATCTTGATATTCGGATGGAGTAGGCCATTACTCTTCTCATACTAGGTTCTCGTCTAACGTCACGCGTCTGTAGTGGGAGCACAACTTAGGCATTTGCAGAATTATACCAATGCATATACCAAATTATATCCAAACGCATCTCAAATTGTTGTTCGGTGCAATCCGAATGTGTTCTGGACTACAACCGGCACTAAAGTGAGCACCCTACAAACCCTCACTGATGTTTTGTTGGCTTACACAATCAAAAGCAACGACGCCTCATGCCTGTAATCGATGCTTTGGAAGCACTGCATTGTTTCCCATCTTCCTCTTCTGCCGAACCACCTCCCCGCATACTCACTCACGTGTTTTCCAATGGTAGGTCCACCGCAGACTGAATGCGGAACAAACTGATCATTGTATGCACCACCAGGAGGCTCCCTGCAAATGACACTTCTTGGACATATGCTGCGGCGGAAATACGGCTCTGCATTAATTCAACAGTTCATCACGAGCACATTGATCCTTGACTCGTGTCCAGCAACGGGTAGCCTAAAAACAATTAAACTCGCTTTCAGCGCCGTTATCCGGAATCCAATTCTCAGGATCATCGTACTCACTATGTTATACACAATGCACTTCGTCGGCCTTGGCCTATCTTTAGTATTGGGCAAGCGAATAATGGTTATGGAAAACCTCCGGATCGAAATGTGGAATCCTCATGTCCTGCCATGGATGGGCCACCATACGCCCCGCCTGTATCTTTTCTCGCGCAAAGATAAATTGATTCCGTGGCAAGATGTCACACGACATGCGGAGATCGCGAAGGAGCGCGGGATGGATGCACGTTGCGAACTGTTTGAAGAGAGCGAACATGTAGCACACATTCGAGTGGAGCCAGAGAGGTATTGGGCTTCGGTACAGGATATTTGGGCAGCCGCAATCTCCAAGGGGAAAGTTGAGGATCAGAGACTACTTACATAGATTTACGTCGGAAGATTTGCCTCGCTTGTTGTAGTGCACCCGTGTAGAGCACCCCTTCAATCGATCAACTATAGAGCTGCTACAATTATCTTCCTAGGTGTGCTCCTTTCATACCCTCCGCTTGGTATTATTGTACGCCGACTGCTCATCAGCTAAGATATGTGGAACTGCAATATTAATATTGGTTATTTCTTATATTAGCCTCGCTGATTATTAATTGTCGAAAAAACGGATATCTACTACTACTATATTAACTTACACTTATATAGCACTGCCCATTGGTCGACCGAACGAAACAGATCAACGTCGCCGCGCTAGCATGGACGAGAGCACCAACTTGAAACAGCAACATCCAATGCCAGTCAAAGTGGCACTCGTACTATCATGTTGGCACGTATTGTCAGATCTGGCGGCTACCCTGGTTTAGACTCGGAGACCCTGGAAGGTGCTCAGTCTCGAAGGACTCCGGCCTCCCCTCTGAACACTTGCAAGAATTTCCCAAAGGTGATCTCGCAGTCCAGGTCACTGCGTTTGAACTATAGGAAGACATACATAACAAACGGACGTGGCAGGCAACTAGGAATGCAGACTACTGTTACTGCTAAAGGAAGCTGCGACGCCACTGAGCTGGCGGAGTTTGCGATATTATCTGCTCGCCTTTCTCCTTGGAGATTGCAACCACCCAAACCTCTTGTACCGAAGACCAATACCTCTCTGGCTCGGCCCGCATGTGTCCCACATGGTCGCTCTCTTCAAATAGCTCACACCGAACATCCATTCCGAGTTCCTTTGCTGTCTCGGCATGGTGCATGACCTCTTGCCACGGAATCAATTTATCTTTGCGCGAGAAAAGATACAGGCGGGGCGTGTGGAGGCCCATCCATGGCAGGACGCGGGGATTCTGCATGTCGGCGTAGATGTCTGAAACCAACATCATTCGCTTACCAAACAGGAGAGGTAGGCAGAAGCGGATGAAGTACACCGTGGATATGAAGGTGAGTACGATGGGTCTGATAATTGGGTTCTGGACCATAGCGCTGAACGTGAGTTTGATTGTATTGAAGTTGACAATTGATGGGCATGAGTCCAGGATCAATGTGCTCGTGAATGACCATTGGGCGGATACAGAACCGTATTTCTGCTGTAACATGTGACCAAGATATGTCATTTGCAGGGAGCCTCCTGGTGAAGGTTTAGCTTGTTCCAATTTCAGTCTGGGCGAACCCACCACCGGAAAACACGTGGGTTAGTATTCGGGGACGCCTTTGTGCAGAGGATTTAGAATATGGCAAGCAATGCAATGCCTCCAATGCATCAATAACAGGCGTGAGACGCTGTTGCTTTAATCGTGTGAGGCGACAACATAACAGTGAGCAATCGATGTATTAAGGTGCTCACCATAGTACTGATTTTACTCCATACTATGTCGGGGTTGCACCGAACAACGATTTGAGACGCGTTTGGATATAATTCGGTATATGCATGGGTATAATTCCGCAAGTACTTCCGTTGTGCACCCACTATAGACGCAACTCACATTAGACCAGGACTTCAGCAAGAACGAGAAGAGTAATGACGTACTCCATCCGAATATCAAAATGACGCTAATTAAACACCCTGTGAGCTGTCTCGCTAAGCAACACCAGACATGAGACTCACTTTGGTGACGTAGTGTCCGAGCCCTGGTCTTTCTCACCGTTATCCCGGAGATACATCCCAGGGCCAATCATACTGAACCCTTCCAGGGGATGAAATCCAGGCATCGGCGACATCGACTTCATACTGAATGTACTACCAGAGATAAACACAACGATATGTCCATTGCAAACATTGTAATGGGAGCTTTATAAAACTTTCGGAAACTTTTACGGGACCATGGATTTCCTTGCATGTCAACAGATAAACGAGACCTGATCACACCTGACACAGAAATCAACACCCATGACACTTCTAGTGGCGAGACATGTTATGCTATTGAACAAGTCGCTTTGCTGCATTAGACGATGTGCACAGCATCCATTGATACTAGTTTACAACAGGTCGGTTATAGGTACACGAATAGCCTTCTGCGCTTACATTAGTGAGCAATTTTATGCGTGGCCACGCAGTCCTTCCATTCCAACGAGAATTCGCCGAGGCTAGGAACGACAACCTCCAAAGGAAATCAAGTACTTCCATGGAATCAGAATGATATGAGAGTCTATACCATTGCTACTTCCAACGTCATGTTTCCAACTACCAGAGATTTTGAACTAAAAGTTAGCATGACAGGAGTTTAGCATATCCCTCGGGAGCATACAAATTGCCGGTTGCATGCCCGAATATTTAGAGCCAGACACTGACATGGACTATATTTTAAATATCTAGGATAGTGACAGCACCAGCAGCCGAGCCTAGTGCGACGCAGCCTCTTTCCTCGTCGTAATCAAGACATGTCCAATTCTTGCCACAATTCTTCCAGGATGACTTGACCTGCGGTTCACCTTGAGTATTGAGTAATCCAGGGAAAGCAGCGGCGACGAGTGTTTCGTGAGACTGTGGTACAGGCATATTTTGCAGGTGAACGTTCGAAGAGATTAGGCCCGCAACTGAATAATCTTCTGGTTGTACCCAGACTGCAGTCCCATACGGACCGAGCACCATGTCGGTGCATCGTAAGGCACCCCGGCGTGGGGTGACGATTTCTTTAGTCATAGAAGGAGGAAAATTGTAGTATGGCCCATCGACAGTAGTTTGATAAGACGAGGTCATCGGACTCAAAGTCCAGAGTTGAATCTTGAACGTGGATGACCACGGGTCATCATTCTTCGTGCGCACGAGAATTGACAGAGGCTGTCCCTCCATTCTTGTGGGGTCCTTAGGCGAAAATGGCGGATTAGAGACAAAGATACCGTCCACCCAGCCAAATGTGCTCTGGGCATAAGGATAGTGGACACATGTGTTGGGATGTGATGCTAGTTTTGGCTCTGCAAATGCATGAACTGAACGAGCTCTGACAACAAGGATGGTCTTGTATGCAAAGACGATTTGAGTGCATTTATTCTACAGATCTCATAATAATGAAAACAAGGTTGAGAATTAACGGGCTGACGTACCCTCCAAAGGTCCGCTTCGACGGGACTTTGCAAGACCGCGTACTCCTGCGTTTTCCAGTTCCAGATTATTGTTTCGGCTTCATCGTCAGCTAAGGCCACTAAGGACCCAACCATAGCGATTGGTTGACGCAACGTGTTGAGTCGGGCAACGCATTCAAACCCCGGCGGAGAGTCTGGCGCTGCAGACGTGATAGCTAATATCTCAACCACAACGGAGCTGTGAATGCTTTAGTGCACTGGCGAGCATAGTCAGTAAGGCAATACAGACTCGTATCTGTGCAATGACACCGCGAGAGTAGCTTCACAGTCTTCAGACGTGTTCACTGCTAGATTAGAGAAAACAGCCTTTTCGGGGGACCAGGAAGTGACTCGCGTCAAGTTACGGCGATCCCAGAGTGTGATCATCGACCAGATACCCTGAGAAACTGTGATGAGCCATCTCCGATCATAGCCAGGAATGAAGTGGATGTCTTGAATAGGGCCCCCCCTGCTGGCTGCGAAGCTAGACGCGCGAAATGTAATTGAAGGAGCTTTCCAAGCTTCCCCAAGATGGTAGGCACGGCGTACTCTCTCCTCTAGATCACGAACAGAGAAACTCGAGAGTGGTTTCTTAGAGAAGGGTATGCCCTGCTGCAATATCTGAGAAGAACCAATATTCTGCCATACAATCTGCTGACTTGAGAAGAATAGCAGTCTATGACATGTCTAAAATTTCGGATAAGAGTGAGCAAAACCCTCAGTTGAGCTGAAAAAGGCTTACTTGTCTCAGGTTGAGCACATCTGGAACTGTTAACGCAGAAAAGACGCCAAGGAGGGTATCATCATCAAGAGAGTCGAGGGAAAGGCACATATTAGCGGTGACCTTTGCGATTGAACATACACCTGAGAAATATTATTGCCTCGTGGTACGGCTGGAGGTTCCTGTGAGTCCCAGCATCTGCTTATGACTTCGAGATCGTTAAAAGTCGCGTATCATTCTCAAGGGGCAAAACATACATATGCATACATACCCATATACGTGCAAATAAGTGCTACCACGGTCAAGAGCGCCCATGGGCCATAAGCAAGTAAAATCAGGTGTTATGTCTGCCAAGGAACCCACCCGACAACAGCTCTCCTCTCGTTTACAGTACCAATCCCATGTTCCTGCGTTCTTGCAAAAATTTCAGAATAAAATTCAAGGCATAACAGACGAAGACGAGGATGAGCCACAGTACTATGATGACGGTTCAGGACGTCCACCGATACCTGTCCGTGCTGCGATACCCCAACGACCCGACGATGATCCTGGAAGCGCAGACGAAGATGACGTTGATGAAAGACCTCAGGTAGTTGTGCTGAAAGAGGGCAAGCATCTCACAGAGAGGGAAGCAGAGAATGAGAGGCGGAAGGGTGCGTCTCACCCTACAAACATATTGCTTTTTCTGACAAGATCGTTTAGAGAAAGGATTGCCACCACTTCCTGATCCCAACAAGAAAGTGGAGAATGATACCAAGGATGATGCGAAATCAGACATGAATTCTTCGAAGAAGAAGCAAAAAGAGGCTGCGGTCACCCTGTCGTTTTCTTCTTCGGGTGCGAAGGTCCAACAATCCAACAAGCTCAAGCGAAAGGTTGTCGGAGATTTGGATGGCAGCGACGAAGGCTCTAAGAAAGCTTCGAAGAAAAAGTCGAAGAAAACACGGAAAGGACCGCTCTCATTTGGAGAAGATGTGTAATTGAAGTCTTCGGCGTAGTACTAGTAAGTTCTACTCTCTAATTTTTGCAGTGACAATTTTATCTAAGATTCTCCATTGCATATGCAAGTTTTGCCACGAGGATATCTTCTTGCCTTCACCATAAGGCGCGTTGAGAACTAGGAAGGACACGGCACATCGGCTATCGAGGAACCCATCACAAAAGCAGGAACATTCATTGACAGTGCTTATCTCACTCCACGTCATAGAACTATATGGACATGCTTCCAGAATTTCAGCGACACGAAATGCATATGGTCATCGAGACTCGACAGAGCATCAAGAATTCACAATGGACGCCTACAACCGCATTGTTAACACGTCACTCAACTTGTCCGTGGTTATATAGGCCAGGCCGGTCCCGAGCTCAATCAAGGTTCTCGAAGGGATTTGGTTCGTATATGTAGTACATACCATCACTAGTACTAGTAGTACATGAAATCTGCAAAATATGACCTTCTTAAATAATCACGTGATCAAACTAAATCACTTGGGCACAACTGAACACTTTGCTCGCCACTTGGTCCCGGACGTCGATCAGCTGTAAGCGCAATAATCAGCATCTGGCAAGAGGTGACCAACATTCGAGGTACGTAGTTACTCCTTGCACCTTTATCCAATCATTGGGGGTTCAAGACTTACTGGTTTTCCATAGAACTGTCCTCTATAACTTTGGAGGTACTCGGAACTACCAGGAAGTACTAACGAAACCAAAGACTGAGGGCAAATACACAATGTACTCTACTTTGGTTCGCCTCGCAGAGTCTGTGACCGCGAAGAGTTTGGACCTGCGCCAGGCGAGCGTTGCGCTACACCCGCCAATTCCGTACGTCTGTCGGTGATATTTTGGCGATGGCGAGTAGCTCAATTCCTACGTTCGTATTGTAGCCTATATCGCAGATTACTCAGGGCGCACAGGAGGCTCCCAATTGAAATGCGTTTATTGGGTGATGACTATGTCAAAGCTGGTATGTGTTCTACGGTAATGACGCACCACCAGCTCACGCCGTTCTTAAAGAGTTTAGAAGGCATAAAGAGATTACCAATCCAGTACACGTCATGGGATTCCTGACACAGTGGAAGATGTACTTGGATGAGCTACCTCGAGATCCCTCAGACTCGAGAAGTTTCAAAAAACTAGATCCCACGGTATACGAAAAGGTCTTTATGATTCCGCTCATCTGTGGCTTTGGTTTACTAGTATTAACATGTATTCAGATGTCTGCAGAACAACTTGGACAGTTGTATGAGTTCATGCACGCGACTAAAGAGATATGGAAACCAGTGAATGACGAACAGGCCCACTGAGTCTGAGACTGAGAAATAACATCCTCAGTGACTGTCGTGCATGTATCCTTCCGCTTTGTTCCGTGAAGCCCTGTACCCTCCGACACGGCCGAATCTCAGGCCAAGAAATGAAATCGTCAGTCGTCCATAACCTGTCCTTCGTTTACATACACCGTTCCGCTTAGTTCCGTGAAGTCCTACGCGTTTCGCCAAGGCCGAATTTGAAACCAAGGTGTGGCACCTTCAGTCATCCATACGCCGTCTTTCATGTGCATACTGCACTCCGCTTAGTTCCGTAAAATCCCAGCTGTTCCGCCTTTGACACGACTCGGAGGACGAATGAAGTTACTGGGAAGTTTTAGTCTGAGGTCTCCGGACCAATCCGGCTCAAGACGAGAAAATTCATCCCTTTGCAATTGTACTGCCTTGTGCTTCCGTGAGTTCGCTATCAACGGGGCCCCCACTCCTTCCCACTATCATGAATAGTCACGTGCACGGGTAGATATAAATGAGAAATGAGAAATGAGATTCACTAGCATATAGATTCAACTTGGTTTTCATCATTTTGCCCCAAACTCACTCATCCGTAATGTCGCAAGCTGCTGTCAGTAACTTTGTTTTACTTTTCATTGCGACAGTTTGGCTGAGTAGCTAGGAAGACTGTCTCATCGAACAACCTGCCTTATGCTGACCTGCCCCCGATTATGGCAGCACTCTTCGAGGCTAAAGCAAGGAAAGGTAAGGCACCGGTGCGGGCGCGATAGCGAGTTATGGACTCTCTAACACACAATAGGGTTGTCTTTTGAAGCTATTTCCAAGGCAATCGGAAGAGATGAGATCTGGGTAGCTGCAGCGTTCTATGGACAGGTTCGTCTGCACAGTAGTATTTGGTCGCGATCGTTCACGTGTTCCCATAGGCCAAAATGTCTCCTGAAGAGCTTGAAGCTGTTGCCAATGTCCTGGACATTCCCATTGCTAACGTCCAGAGTGAGCTTGGTTCCCACTGGTGGCCTAACCGTGGTGGCCTTGGACCTATGCCCCCCACCGATCCCGTCCTCTATCGTCTATACGAGAGTGTCCTCGTGTATGGACATGCCATCAAGGTCTGTTGTGTTTGATATCATCCATGACACAATCTCATAAAGCGATCGAAATCAGGCTGTCGTTCATGAGAAGGTGAGGAATTTGAAATCTGACTCGCCAACATGCTAACCTGGTTTCTGCAGTTTGGCGACGGCATCATGTCCATGATCGACTGCAAAGTTAACGTTACCAAAAAGCCGGACCCAAAGGGTGACCGTGTCGTTTTGACCTTTGAGTGAGTTGCCCTGTGTTGTCCGATATTTCTGCTCAGGTCCTTATCTGGTCATCCCCTATTACAGTGGCAAGTTCTTGCCTTACGCAAAATGGTAGAAACTTCGTACTTGTCAATATATTGTATTATTACCACAGATGATGTTAGGGAACCCTGATGCAATTGTTTCTGCCAGATATTTTGATTCAGACCAGGATATGATGAATAAGTCGCCTACGTGGTCGAATGTCACCTAACCACATTTACTACAGGAAACCATGATGTCCAGCTCATCTTCATCTTCTGAAAGCTCTTCTCGGGCGCACAGCCTTTCTTCAACCTCCCTTTCGTCTTCGAGATCTAGTTCATCCTTATTCTACCACGGTTCCGATGCTTCCAGCATGTATACAGAGGTTTCGAGCAGCCCCCCAGGTTCTCCAAATCTGCAAACATCGTCCCAAAAGACCAAGGATTTCATTGCTGTCGCATCCGCAAGGCTATCCAAAGCCTGTGAGCAGGTCTCACACGCACTCAGCGACGCAACTCCTAAGGACTCAATGTTCCGTTCTCCCATAAACCCTGCTATTGTCGAGGAGGATGTGGGATATGAATCGGATGGTGATGTTCGCGGGGCGAATATGAAAGTTCCTCCAAGCTCTCAGAATGCAAGACCCAAGTTCTTACGAGTGGACACAAAACAACACAAAAGAGCTGCTTCCATCCTCCACCCGTTCAGTGTGACCACTAAAGCCATCGCTCCTAACTCAAATACTACTCACAAACGCTCGCTCGCTCGTCTTGATACTATTTCTAACACGCGCGCTATTCCGGACTACGAGCTCGCAACTATGACGCTACCGAAGCCGCCTGCTGGACTTGGCCTGACTCTACCGTCAGTATATCTTTCGAAGCCCATCCCTCGTGCATGCACAATGCCAACTATGAAGTCCTCTTCTGGACACAACCTGAAAGAATCACTTCCGCATCGCCCACCAAACCTGCCACCGCAGACTTCCCACCTGTATGAGCCACCAAAGGTTTACCTTCGCCCCATAGAGCTGCCTGGTACACCGTCACCTATGGAGTACCTGCCCCCCAGCATCATGGTGTGTGAGAGTCTGAGTGGAAAGGTCAAGCAATCCTCGTCTGTGCTTCCTTCGCCAGTCGAAGGATTGTCACCACTCTGGGCGTTCCCTCCCCTTACGAGCTTCGCGCCACTTGAAGCAATGCCTCAGAGTCCCCTGCTACTCAGTCAGGGCAGTGTTGCAGGCTGGAACCCATACTTCCCTTCCGTCTAGGTAGGGCGGCGTGTCTGGGCAGGTATACATCCCACTAATTTGGCTGGTTTATCCAGAATCATCGAACAACCCGCGCGTCAAAGTTAGGTGATAAAGTAGATAATAACGACCTGTTCACGTGTATGGATTGAAATGAACGGCAGCTGCAGCATAGAGCGTATAGCATTTTATTATGTGACAGGAACAGGGAGACCCATCGCGATTCGGCTGATAGGCTGGACGATATCTGCATCAACGCCAAGTCCAACGTACGGGAGGCCCGTCCCGTCGCTCGCGAAATCAGGTGGGTTAGTACCGGCGAGGAAGGCCTCAGCCTGCTTCTTGACATAGGCCATATTTTGAGGGGTCTGCGGAACAGCTGGGATGTACATGACTGGACATTGACTGATCAGATCTGAAAATTCACACAAAGCTGATTAAATCAGACTCACTAGCAGAGTCATGTGAACCGGTGTGCCCATGCTCGACGGAATAAACGACATCCTGTACGGATAATTCATAAGCATAGTGGGCGCGTGGCGCACGCATTGCCAGAACATCATGTCACCAGGATTGAATTCTGGAACAGATATCATTGTATCTTCTAGCCTGAGATGAGGATGCAAGTATGGGGTGGGTTGTTGGTCGACCCAGCTGCCGTCGCGAGGCTGAATGTCAGGAAAATCAGGAGTGGATATATTACTCAGGAGGATAGTGAAAATAGCAAGGCATTGTACACAGACCGAACATCCAGTTCTTCGGATCCAGTATGTCCTCGGAGTCGAGAGGAACAGTCGGTCGGAAGAATGGGCGGAGGATGGTGTACGCATTTGACAAGGGTACATCGGGGAATACTTTTAGGGTTCCTTGGGTAGGACCGGTTTCACTGAAATCGATATCAGCCTTCGTATTCAAGCCCGATGAAAGGAAGATCTGACGTCATAGCCAACCCTGGAAGGTCCGGAACGGGGTGAGTCGTGTCACAAAACTGGATTTTTCAAAACACTGTCACAACATACCTGTCCAGGTTTTCCGCTCAATGATACATGAGCATCAAGACGGCCCTCAAGTTCATAGGGGTCGTGCTGGCGCCAGTTGCCACTTAATTAATATGTCTGCGAAATACCTGCGGAAGTTGCTATCCTCCCAGCGCTCTATGGAACCACCTAGAATGCGCATCAAAACCCGATTTTTGAAAGAAAGGCGGACACACCGTTGACGTGAGGGGGGCCAACATTCCATTGTACACCAGGGCGACGGATGTGGAACAAATATGCATATACCAACGGAACGTCAAGGTCAACGCCTTCCATTTTCTTGTCGGTCTTTGCACGGTACAGGTTATTGATCCAAGTGAAGTGCAAACTTTGAGAACGTTAGGGTGGGCGCGTGCTTGTACTTGTGCTCTGGTCCAGCTAGCGAGTGGAATCAGTATCCATAAACAACTCGGTGACCAGGAACTATTTCTGACTAAAGGAAGAAGAGTTGCTTGTCTTGCTCTGGAAAACCTGCAAAGGTTGGCCATGAGATGAGCCATCAATCATGGACCGAAGGCCGACCTTCGACGTGAGGGTTAGCTTTCATAAAATCTTCCAACGCAATCTTCCACCCGACAGCTTCACCCTCCTCAACAACACCATGAATGACAATAGAGCCCTTACGTCGAATATCGTCGAGTTGCTCAAGGACCAGCGTGTCTAGATACTGAAAATGGACTTGAGGGATGTACTACGGAACGATTAGCGCCTCGTAAGTGAGAAATCGGAGATGACCGACCTTGGAGCCCTCGTCGACGATTTCTGACGTGCGCTCATCGAGTTCCTGGAGAAGATCGTTCCAAGACTGAGTCAAGCGCCTTTCATAGTCGGGAGTCGCTGCCACAATTTCGCGCTTGAGGTCAGCAAAGCGCTCAGACAAATTTGTCGTCGAAACCATGGCTGAAAGGATATCTTACGATTACAGATGTGAAGCCACCATCTCTTATAACCTGTTTGACAATATCATTTCTTAGTTACGGGCGGCTTCCGACATCACCGGTGTTCAGAGGCGTATGGTTAAATATCACGGTTCTGATAATAACATCTGAAGCACAAGCACTCAACTGTTTTGACGATCACAATAGCTGAAAACGTACCAAAATTTGACACTCGAATGAACTCCGATGGATAGAGCTGCAGAAACAAGCACCAGGACTCATAAGCAGTCGTAATTCATGACAAACAGTCCGATCCGAACAGGATCTCGGTGCATAGATATAAACAGGCTGCAAAAATGGATCTATGCTCAAAATAGGACGACAACGAAAACAAAGATAACCCAAGTTGCGGTGTTCAGCCTGTATTATTGCTCTCCCTCGACGTCAGCTTCTTCCTCTTCCACTGTAGCCTCCTGATACTGCGGATGCATAATCAACCAGCTGTTCTATCGCAAGAAACAAGCAATATTACCTGTTGATATTCTGATCTGTATTTAGAAGATACAAGAGTCAGTGACGTACGATGGTATAGATGTATACGCACATTAGATCCTGAGTATTACTCTCGGCCTCTGTGAACTCCATCACATCCATGCCCTCCCCAGTATACCAGTGCAAAAACGCACGGCGCTTGAACATAAGGGCAAACTGGTCAAGGTTACGCTTGAAGAGTTCCTGCATACATGTTGAATTCGCAAGGGCTACCGCTGCCTGAGGTTGGCCCACGGGGGGCACAGAGCAAAGCGAAACGGACACGTTGTCCGGGATCCACCTGAAATGTGTGAGTAAAGCCTTTGCCAGACCAGAACCTTTGCATACTCCACAAAGAGATTCGAATTCTTGCGTTGCAGCTGCATAACCGAATTCTGCACAAACGTTAGTAGTGCTATTTCATAATAACTACACCATACCTCTGCCTACGGAAAAGAATCAGATGTCACATTCACAAACATGTACAATGGACGTACCTCATGTGACGACACCTTGCCTCGGAAGATACAAGCAGCAGTCAGGTACCGACTGGGATTACGAATATTAGTGAGCCATTTATACTTGTACGTCATATGACATGCCCAAATCGAGGATCCGAAGCAACCAGAAGGTTCTTTTTATCGAACAATCTGTGACAAAATGAGCGAAGATCGACTACCATCAGTGATTGTACTCACGACGAGGTGAGTTCAGGCACAGAGAGTCTCTGGAAAGTCCGAGCTTTTGGATCGTAGAATGGAGCAAAACTCGGCATCAGGAAATGTAGCTGAAGCACGGAGTCAGACAAAGTAGAAAAGTGTTTTACAGAACTCACCCGAGGGAAGGGAACAAGATTCATCCCAAGTTTTCGAAGATCACTGAGGACATTGCTGAAATGGCTGAACACTCATGCACCGGGAATTGCTTACCCGTTGAGCTGACCAGGAAACCTCAGACTCGTGCTAACACCACACATGACCTTGGCTATGAGCTACAACAGAAATTGAACAATGGCACGCGGATATAAAAGTAGTGAGGCTTACTTGGTTCAGATCTTTGTATCCAGGACTTTTGATTTTAAGAGTGCGGACGGCTATGTCATACCTGATTTCATCAGGGTTTAGCTCGCTAAACAGATCGGGAGATTCTCACAAGGCCTCGTTGTCGATACAAATAGTAAGATCGCAATTATCGACCAGTTGATGTACAGAAAGAAGGGAATTGTATGGCTGACGATGATCAGCAACAAATCAGGCAGGAAATGAAAGCTATATCTTACTTCAACAACAGTCTCGGAAACCTGCAAGTCAATATTAGTCATCAGCCTCACCTGGGAGATGTCAGCCACTGACATTGGGTGCAGGAAGAACCGAAAACGTAGAAAGCATTCGATCGGGATATTCCTATTCATAGATCAGTATACAACCAGACCAGGAGTATCACCAGGACAGACCTCCCGCAGTTTTGACAGAAGCAAAGAACCCAGACCAGCGCCAGTACCACCTCCAAGTGAGTGGATTATCTGGAATCCTTGCAATGCTTCTGTAGCCTCGGACTGTCTTCGCACAATATCCAAGATGCCGTCAATCAGCTCGGCCCCTGTGTTTCGGACATGTCAGGCCTTTCATGAAGCAGATAGTAGCGATATCTCCGCACCTTCGGTGTAATCTAAGCATCGTTACGAAATATCATCAGATCATGAAGTACACAGAAACACCAGGCTTACATCCTTTCGCCCAATTATTTCCAGCCCCTGAGTCGCTAGTGAAGTACGTATCCGGACGAAATAGTTGACCCAGCGGCCCCGAACGAAGCTATAAAAAATCAGAACCTTGTATAAAAACTGAATTCAATCAAACTGACGCGATTGCAGACTCCGGATTCAAGATCCACCTGAACGCTTCGCGGGACGTACTTGGTAGGTCCACTAGAGTCCACTTGCGTAAAGTATACGCCTGCCTGTGAACGACAGAGATCAGAGGTAGGTGGTGAATAATTTTCTGATGACGGACTCGTGCAATTTGTTGAGGGTCATTGCCTTTGTACATCTAGATGTATAACGCCGTCGTGTCAGCTGATATCTACGTGGACTAAGTCCTTAGTTTCAAAGGAACTGCTCACCCCAGCATCGTCGAGGCCATGCTCCGCTAAGAGCATCCTCCAAAAGGCCTCTCCTACTTGGTTTCCTGCCTGTGATGTTATTTTTCATGAATAACAACCCTGATCCCAGACTACGAGCATGCACGATGATTTACCTGCCCGACCTAAATCGATGAGGTAGGAAGTCAGAACGATCGTGGATGGATACTTATGAACTTACTTGAATGTTTACTATTTCTCGCGACATGATGGAAGGACGAAAGAATCGATGACCAAGGCGGCCCTCGACCACAATCCCAGTAAGGATCCGATATTAATACTATGGTTCGAGGGGTTACGCCCGGGAATTGCCGCAAATACTTAATATAGAGTACCCCATGTGACCGTGTCCAATTTACGCGTCGCGTTCTGCCACCAACGTCCATTATGCGTTTCAGAGCTACCATAGAAAATGCCCCAATTTTCTATCGTCAGTAATTATGTGAACTATATATGTTTTGTCTTTTGAATCATCTTTAGGTCTTATACAAGCGGTGGAAAAATTACAGAAAAAATGTATCATGAAGTTCACCGAAACCGAGATGCACGTCATTTGCAACGATGATGCGAACGAGGGTGGAATTCAAGTCTGGTCGTAAGCTGAATTTGGTGTCTTCTACCGCACACATCTTATATTTATGGATAGCGTCGTAAAGGTCGACACCATGTTCACATCATACCGAATTCAGTCCAATGCAAACAATGCAATAACTCTGACACTGTCTACAGAAGCACTGCTATCAGCTCTTCGATCGTCTTCTTCATCAGCCTCGTCATCCTCTGTAGCAGCTGCTATCATTCCTTCATACGATGCTGATGAAGTCGTCATGAAGCTTGCTAAGAAAAATGAGCAGGCCGTGTTGAGCTTCGAGATGTACGGGATGTCCAGGTCAGGACGCAGAGTCCGCGTGGCGCATGATGTACGTATAGATGTGATGCGGCCAGCAGAAAGTGATAAACTCCACGAACCACGGTGCCCCGACCCAGAGGTAGGTGCTCGTTTCATTTCTGTTTACCGTGAAAGCTAATACACATCAGGTTCATGTCTTACTTCCCCCTCTACTAAAAATCCGTACCATAGTGGAGAGGTTACGTCCACTTTCAGACGTGCTTGCACTTCGTGCGAACAACAGTGGTATCCTTCAATTATCTATCAACACCGACACCGTGAAACTCGAGACACAATGGGTTAAATGCGGTAACCCATCAATGGGTGAGCATCGCGGTCCACTCTGTTGACGAGATCTTTTCTCACTCCACTCAGCCAAACACGAGATAGCCCAGAACGACGAAAACGACGATGCAGAAGACATCCTACTGAATAAGCCCGATCCTGACAAAATGTTTTGTGTGCTCGTCTCCATTCGGAGCTTTCTCAAGTTTTTAAACAGCCATGTCGTATCCGCTACCACCATCTTGTGTGCGTATTCCTAATTGCACGTTCCCTCTCACCAATGCTTTTGTCCATACAGGTTTATGTCACAATCACTGTGCTATCTTGTACGTCTACATAGGCGAGATAGCTGACGCAGGAGGCGTCCTCACGTACTATATTCCGACCGTTATCGATGGCGACGAGTGATTTTCAAAGACTATTCCTTTCTTCCATCGTGGTGAGCGTGTCCGCAAATGTTTGCCATCGCAATCTGATAATCACAAAGGCTATGCTTGTAGCTGACCAAATGATAACTGGTTTACATAAGGGGGTAAATTTCCGTCCGCTTTATATTTACTTATCAGCCGATATAACTACCTTCCCATGCCAGCTCCGATGGTTTTCCGGAACAACAATAATAATATATTTCAGGCGAGGGTAGAGGCTACAGAGAGAACATCAGATGAAGAAAGTAACACAATGGAACCTAACATGTAATGTGAGTAATACAAAACATTACGTTTCCCAGAGTAGGCAAGGAGTGGTTTCGTATGGTATTTCTCGTCGTACAATCCGCGATACCAGCACACTCGTACACTTAATTCCACGCTTCCGAGCATACCTTATCGGGACGTCTGCTGTTCCGGCCCTTGCAGTCTATCTTCCCACAATCCTGACACGCATTCATACAAAACGTGCGTCCGCCCTTGCCCTTGCAATCCTGCGAACCGCACTTGCAGCAGTGTCGAGTTCGCTTCTGCGAGGGCTCTAGGATCGCAACTTCACTCGTCTCTCCATAACCATACGCTCGTTTAAGTCCATTTTGCTCACTTGGTGTGTGAGGCTGAGAAACTGGTGGAGGTGGAGCACTTTGACTTTGGGGGTGCTGAGGGTAATATGAGTACCCGGGATAGGCATACGATACATACGGGCCTGGCTGTCCGAAAGCAAATTGTTGTACCTGCGGCGGAGCCTGTGCCTGTGCCTGAGGTTGAGGCTGTGGCTGTACGGACGCGGACACTGATGGAGTAGGATGGTCAGGTGTAGCACTACCGAGAGTAGATGTCGAGGGTTGAGGCATAGAGGGATGAATCTGGGTTGATGGGCCAGGTTCTGGAGCACTAGAGTCTGCTTTCCATGCATCGCTGAACTCGCCTATAGCATCCTGCTTGTGCTATTAGTAGACAAGAGGCAGAAGGCGAATAGATGCATACTTGGTTATTGTTGTCGATTTCTCGACGAAAGATATCAGCACCCACGCCACCATCATCAACATCATATTCCTGATCTTGGTCCCTTTTCTCGTCAGGAGGCGGGTTTTGGACGGCGTTGATGATATTGAGAATGTTGTCCTTCGGCATCCCAACTTTGAGACAGGCTTTCACCATGTTCCAAAGCGTTTTGGAGACACCGACAGCATGCCAATTCCAAACATTGTTTCCAGGGCCCAGATCGGCGTCACCCTGCAACAACCGGGCTGGAAACTCTTCTCTTAGCCTCACGGGAAGTCCCTGCATAACAGACGCGTCCGTGCTGGCGAATTTACGTCCTTCAGGAGTCGTGCTAGCGATACACGATACACTTTTGCATGCGTACTCGCACCCAATGATGAAGAAGGGTTTGTCAAGGTCGTAAACCTTGACTGGGCCACTACGGATGCGGCCTCGGTTTTGGAGAGTGCTCCCGCACACGGTGCAATGAATGCCAGCGAGAACGAGAGGTAACGGATCCCAATACAAGAATCGATGCTCGGAGTGCGTGACTCGGGCAGTTGTCCGAGGCGCAATCAATGATAAATAAGATGGCGATGAAGGAAGCCACAAAGTCCTAAGAACCGAATAGAGAGAAGGAATGGGATGTGCATCTTTGTTTTGGTTTTGAGATGGCATAAGTGATGCGAGGTGGGACCTGAAAGCTTCTTCAACAGTGGGTCCTCCGCTGGCGATGGGATTAGGTGCAGCGATAGCTCCCAAGAGGGCCTGCATGAGCACGTTGGGCTTTGTACATGAAAGCTCCGCCCATTCATCACGATTGAGGTTGGGATCTATGGAAGGATGCTGAGTGTTCGGGACTGTATTGCCGTTCGTGATGGGAGGTGTCGTTTGTGGGGCTTGAGGGGTGAATCCTTGCCATGGAGGTGGGATGCCGGGGTGCTGTGGATAATATGCCTAGGGACAAACGATCAGTGCTTCGGCAACCTTGAACAAACTGGCACACGTACTCCAGGGAATGGTACACCAGGCGGAAGCTGTGGAGCATCCGCGCTCAGCTTTACACTCGATCGTCGCTGCTGATTTGCTTTCCGAGCACCGACAGATCCGGCAGGTAAACCATCCTTACGAGGGCGGCCTACCGGACGCTTGATCTTTTCGCTGATGATGGCGGGATCAGGAGGCTGTTTCTTCCCACTTCCTTTGGGTCGTCCAGGTTTGCGCTTCGGGGGAGGCTCATTAGGGTCTACAGCTGCATGGATGTCAAGGGTTAGCAAAGAATAATATGCGGAAATGATAAAAATTGTACCCTGCACAATAGCAGAAGCTGATTCGACTGGCATGTTCGCCATGGTGTTCTCCATGGAGAATTTCTGAAGATATGTGAGTACTGTTGAGACATAAAGGAAGTATAAGTTAAAGATGAAAGATTGCAAAGAGATATCCCTGCAACAAAGGCCGAATATACGACATAACTCAACACGCCAGAAAGTAGTTATCCAAGATAAACCAGTAGGAGATCGTCTATTGGGTGGCTCAAAAATGTAGTTAAAAATGAGAAAAACGTAGGAAAATAGAGAATGAATGTTTAATGATACAGCATGAATCTTTGATGATAGAAGACGTAGAGCTCACCACTGATGAACGGTAGTCTTTATAACTAGTTAATGGTGAGTTTCTTGTTAGCAGTTGCTAACAGCTTATCCCCTGAGACGCTCGGCTGTGGTCGTGAGAAAGCGGTTAGGCGACAAATGCTTTTCCTGTTTTATTAGATCGGAGCTTGAATTAAAACCTTAAGTGCGTTTCAACTTTTTACTGCTCCTAAATGCTATCGATTATGGAGGTGAGTGAACCAAGATTTCACTGTTTAAAATCTTCTCCTTCACACTACACGATGATCTGTAACCGAATGCAATTAGGAAGTGCCGTCTCAATGTCATCACTTGATGACTCGTGTCGAAACTCGGTTCTCTGACTTATCATTTGACTCGATATTCATTTGAAAATTTGCTGATCTTTTTCTCTATAGGTGCTTAACACACTCAAGAATTCGCATTCGCTATCGTACCGTTCTACAAGGTAACAATACAAATTGTAATTGCATTACAGTAATATTGTGTTTTTAGAAACCCGCCTCTATAATATATGTTTCATTTTCTAGTTGGATAACTGATAATGCAATGATCGATGGGGGCACGCACCAATCACCACCAAATTCAAGACGAACATTGAGGCCTGAGGGCCAAGGTTTTGGTGACGAATTTGCTCGGACAGGCCACCTTCGCCGTATCCATGTAGGCATACTTGGGTCACCGGTGTGAGCTGGCGCTCTATGAGCCAAGTACCCATCTTTGAACTAAGCTGGAAGGTCGGACGTAAGTGTACACCTGCCGAACACGGACGACCACGTACCGCGGTCTTCCGATTCAGTGACTCTATGACCAGCATGAAAGAACTTGGACCGATCTTCCTACTAAGCGTGTGTTCACCAACCAAGTTGGGCGTAGATTTGTTGATCAAGCCAACATCCAGACCCTCCTGGCGGTAGCGCAGCAGGATAGCGTCCCACGAGCAGTAGAGACGTGGTGTGTCTCAGAGAGTTCAGACGACTGATAGCCCCAAAATTTCACGTTCATCAAGATCTATCATCTATCTGAGGACAATGAAAAAAAGGAGAAGTGACCGTGTTAAGTAGAAGGCCAAATGGCTGATGGCACAGCAGCTCTGATTTGCAGGGCGCAACTACAGGCTACAGTGACATCTGTCATCTGGACTGGACTCGGGCAAATGGGAAGGATCATGCTTGTGAAAAAGCTATAACAAATGGGATGCGATGAGTCAGAGAGAAAGAATAGCATTGATGTGAATTATTAGCAATAGTTCGTGATGTGAGTAGAAGCCTAGTAGATGCGGCTCAAGGCAATGAGTCTGCTTCCCGGTCATCACCATATTACTCATCTGGGCTGTCCGAAGTACTGGGTCGCGGGGAAGTCAAAGCATATCCTATATCAGGAAAGTTCACGGGATATGCTTACCTTGTGTTGATGGTCTAGATACTAGAGTGTGTGAAAGATGGACGCAAAGCGTGGCAGTGAAGACGATGCTATGGGACTATCGTCCCTAGTAGACTCGGTTTACTACGCAAGCTGGGTCGAAGTCCGATTGTAAATATTTACGAGATCGTCGAGATGAGGGTGCAGGCTAGTCGACGCTGCAAAAAAAGACGCTCGAAAAGGCTCTAAATCCGGTCCCAAGGCGCAGATTGCTATCAGGTCGGAAATTAAGCTGTGGGATATGCCAGCTAATGGAACGTATACTAGCTACTGTGCGATGCTTACATGGATTCCGATGCAGGCCAGATCAATCCAGAGACAATTTGGATGAGTCACGAGTGGTATTGTGGCCCCCGCAATTAAGACCGGGTAGCAGTTGGGGAACGTTTTGGGTATGAACGTTTGAACATTGACGATGTACCCGCGTGGAAGGAAATACATCACTTGTGGTGTGGGTGAACTGTATCCATGGCAAGATTTTTTTTATAGGCGGAGTGTTCGATTTCGGATTATGTAGTAATTTACAAATCAAAATCTACTTTGATTCAATCATAAATTTAAATACTTTTGCTTGATTTCGCATCGCAGCACTTCGATAATTTTCAACGGCCTTGAGGCAGGCATCACCATCATGTCAATTTTGGCGATACAACCGCTGAGCGTTAGTATATCTAGCATGAACACCACTAGTAGAATCTTATAATCCCCAACACCCCCACTCACTCACATCCATCCCTCAAATATGACCGTAGTCTCAAATCATCCCAGTTGGTTGCCGATAATCCATTCAAATATCTTGTTAAGCTATTGGACGGGTTTGTCGTATCAACTGGTGATGTTTCAATCCAACACTAACTTGTGGTTTCGCAGTTGCCGCAGGCGTCGTGGTGCTATACGATTGGGGTGAGCAGGACAGTGTTCGAAAATCGCTGATATTTTTATGATATTCTCAGTGCTCACACTCGGACAAGAGGTACATCGATGTTATCCCCGGAGCAGCCAACTCGCTAAGAATGGTGTCATAAATTGAACTTATCTGGGTGAGTGACAGTCCCATATGAGGAGAAAGCAACAGAACATAATGAATTATGGCAGAGACAACGGTGGTCTCTCATGACTGTGCTATACCTGGTTGTTCGTACATCATGTTATACTAAGGCGTGGTGACGGTTGTGCTGACTCCAAAATGTTCTAGACACGTTACATTGCGATGCCATATTCTGTGTATGTTATTGTGTGGCCGACAAGTTTGTGCTGTACTAATAGCCCATCTCTGACTACTAGTGCTGTTGTTCTCCGTACGTGTCATATGCGCAGTGTGTTCGATTCTTCTGACTGGTGGCACAGTAACCATGACATCGGTCTCGCTGACAGACACAGTAAGTATTCCGCAACCATCTCATTCCCATCCACTGAATACACTCATTTGTAGGAGTGAGTGACATTCTGACCATTCAACGTTGGCTCGACATAATCACTCCATAGGTGTGAGTTGGAGTGTTTGATTCTATTACGAGGTAATTGCTAATCGGGTGTTTCAGGCAATATTTTGTTCTACGCAAGAAGTGGAACAAATTCTATCGTAACTGCTATGTTGGGTGGTGAGTTACCCAGCTGTAATACCTCGGTAATATGGACTCGACTGAAACATGATGCAAGTTATCATGATTGCTCGGTTGCATGCCATGTATCAGGGATCTAGAATGATGTTCATCTTCCTTGTTATCATCTTCCTGGCTGTCAACGTCGCCTGTGCAGCAATCGCCGCGATAGAACTCAGCCACACTGTAGCGAGTAAGCTTTTACTTGCTGACTTGAAGAACACAGCTCATTGAACAGAACCAGAGGAGCTGATAGTCTCTGGCACGTATATGTGCAGTGTCGAAGATAAAGGGGATGGCCAGCCTCTGCCCTCAATGATTTGGACATTCAACACTATCTGGCGAGGTCCTCACACCGTGTCTTTCAGTCTGGCTGTGAAACACTTCCTCGACCTGCGACGACTTGGCCCATCCACAGGGTCGACCATTGGCAATTGTTTCAGAGTGCTGATAAAATCTCACGTGCTTTATTTTGCAAGGTGAGCTAGCAATGTGGATGTCATCATCTTTTTCCTGCTCAAGCTCCGCACGTGCTAGCTTTTTTGGTGTCTCTTGCATCCAGTTTATCACACTCTCCAGAACTCAAGGTGTGCATTGGAGTGGCGCCATCGTAGCATTGCATGCAACTGCTAATCGTGTGAAGCTTTGAAGGGTGGAAGTACGCATGATATTACTGACCGACGGCTGTTCAAGAGCGGAACCAGCCAGACGTGTACCCAGCCCATATCATCAAATTGGACAGCAGAGAAGTAGTATCGAATCGGGGGTGAATAGTGGAAGGAGGCACCGTTCAAGCACGATTCAGCGTTATCGATATCGAGCACAACAATCTAAAAAAGAGACTTACAGGGTGAGGATATGCCTGTGTCATGAATGAGCGGGATGCGACACAAAAGTTCTGTGAATCGAGAAAAGTAACAACAGCGTGTCTGAGCTGATAGCCCCAAGATTTTATGATCATCGATTCTATTTGGGATCCATCTATCTGGGCAAAACGAAAAAAGAAGTGAGCGTGATGAGTAGAAGCCTAGATGGCTGATAACAGTGGCTCTGGTTCGCAGGACACAACTACTGAGTCATCTGTCATCCGGACTGGACTTTGACAACAGCCGAATGGGGAAAATTATGTTTGTGAAAACAAATAAATTGTGAGGGAATACATAACGGATGGAGTACGATAAGCGAGGAGTCACCGTGTTAATGCGAATGAGGGCAGTGTTGCTACCGACTTTGCAAAAAAAAAAACACTCTAAAAGGCTCTAAATCGGGTCCCAGGGTACGGATCGCTATTAGATTGTTGTAGGATAGAGTTATGCGCAGCGTGCTAGCGAACAGAATATGTGATACTTACACATGTGGATCCGAGAACGTTCAATATTAAGAGTACTAGAAGATGTGAACGTTGACGATCCAGGGATGACGTAAATAACTTGGAGTATTAGGTGACTTGTTGTATCCATTATGGCAGCAAGTCTTTTTATGGAAGAGTGTTTGACTTCGGAGTATAAATACGGAGCACTAAACGAGTCTAGCATTACTTTGCAAATCAAAACTTACTTCAAGACGCATCGCAATCATGATTTACCTACTTCAACAGATTCCAAGGGCCTTGAGCTTGAGGCCTTGAGGCCTCTTCGGAGGCGACGATCAATATGTTCTTCACCATTATGCCGATTTTGGCGATACAAGCGCTGAACAGTGGTATAAGTATCTAGCACGAATAATAGATCTTTATAATCCCTAACATCCCCTACTCGCTCACACCCATTCCTCAGATATGACCTACGTCTCAAATGATCCCAGCTTTTGGCCGATGATCGATTGGAATATTGCTTTCGGCTATTGGACGGGTTCGTTGTATCAGTCGGTGATGCATTGATGTCTCGATCTAACATCGACTTGCCGTTTTGCACTGGCAGTTGCCACAGGCCTCGTGGTAGTATACGATTGGAGTGAGCAAGACAGTGTTCTAAAAACGTTGATATTCTCATGATATTTCCAGTGCTAACTCTCGCACAAGAAGTAGGTCAATGTTATCCCTTGAGTAGTCAACTCACTAAGAATCGTGTTATAGATTGAACTGATCTGGGTGAGTGACAGAGTCCCATATCAGGAGAAATGGAACAAAAGACGATGAATTTGGGGCAGGGACAACGCTGGTCTCTCATGACTGCGCTATATATCCTTGTTCGTACCTTATGCTATGCTAAAGCGTGGTTGGCAAGTTGTGCTGATTCCAAAATGTTTCAGGTACGCTATGCTGGAATACCATACTCCGTGTATGTTTTGAAGCCAATAAGTTGGTGTGGTACTAATAGCTCGCGTTATCAGTATCAATGTTCTGTGTATGTCTCATATGCACCATGTTTGATTCTTCTGACCGGCAGCACATATTGACAGTCTTTATGCCAATGATCTCGCTGACAGATGCAGTGAGTATTCCGCAACTATCTCATTCCTATTCAATGATTACACTCATTTGTAGGGGTGAGTGAGATTCTGAACATCTGACTTGGCTCAAGATAATCGCTCAATAGGTGTGAGTCCGAGTGTTTGATTCTAGTACGTCGAGGGCGATCGCTAATTGGGTGTTTCAGGCAATGTTGTGTACCGCGCAGTAAATGGGATGAGTGTGGTCGTACCTGCCATGTTGGGCGGTGAGTTGCTCCGCTGCAATACCTCAGTGATATCGATTCAACTGAAACATGATGCAAGTCATCATGATTGCTCGGTTGCATGCCATGTATCAGGGATCTAGAACCATGCTTATCTTCCTTGTTATTATCTTCCTGGCCATAAACATCGCCTGCGGAGTAATTACGGCAATAGGACTCAAGAATACCGCAGCGGGTGAGCTCTACTTGTTGACTTGAAGAACACGGCTTATTGGAAAAACACCAGAGGAGCTGATACTCTCTGGCGTGTATATGTGCTATAATGGACCTGATGGGGACGGCCAGCTTCTGATTTCAATGGTTTGGCTGCTCAACACTGTTTGGGAGGTCTTCGCACTCTGCCTTTCAGTCTGGATTGCTGTGAAACACTTCCGTGACCTGCGACGACTCGGTCCCTTAACAGGATTGACTATCGGGGACTGTTTCACAGTGCTGATAAAATCTCATGTGATTTATTTTGCAAGGTGAGCTTGTAATGTGAATGTGCTCATATTTTTCTGCTCAAATTCCGCACGTGCTAGCTTTGTTTGTGTCTCTTGCATCCAACTTATCACTTTCGTCCCAGAGCTCGAGGTGCGCCGACTTGTGGCTGATATCTCCTTGTAACCGCTGCTCATTATTTCTCTAGAATCCAAGTTCTAACGAAGTTGTGATACTCTATGGTGCTGCTCAGATTTTATTTAGTGTGCAGATGTTCGTGCTGGGACCACGCCTCATCCTTAGCGTTCGACAGTATCACGCTAAACTCGTGTCCAACTCCGACGCAGAATTCAGCATGAATTCGATTGTCTTCGAAGAGCGTGTCCACGTACCAACTAGCAGTACTGTGTAGGGAATTGCTTGCCGAGTGTTCTGTACGGAGGAGAAATTGGTCAGGGATCCGTCATACCATTTATTTATTTTAGTTCTGGTGCTCCAAAGTATATTTTAGACCGGGTTTATGTAGATATTCCTTATTGTATTACTACTAGATGTCAGTGAACTGCCCGCCCACACTTGAAGTGTTGCACTAAGCGTCAAGCTGAAAAGCATGGCAACAAGATCTCGGAGGTGAACTAAGTGGGGAGCAAATAATTAGAGAACAGGAGCTTCAATTCAGAAGGCTTCGAGTACACCCATCAAAATATTAACGAGGCATTAGACATGTTTTATTCACCACTAGACTATCGGAGTTGTGCCATCGTAGTACCGCACCGTGCAACTGCAAACCGTGCGTCGTGTTTGCACACTATATCATCCATCCCGGCAGCAGAGAAGTAGTAAAAAATCGTGCATGGAGGGTGGAAGGAGGTACTGTTCAAGCATCATTCAACGATATTGAGCATGACAATTTACAAAAGAGACTTACAGTGTGATGGCCGGATGGGGGACAAAGTCCAAGTGTGTACTAAATGGACACACGTGAATGTTTTCGTACTATGTCGGACGTGGTACCAAGCGAAGAATGCGTTGGCTGATGGTCAGATTACACGCACCCTGCGGTGCAACTCAATCATGATTCAACGATGTTGAGCACGACAATTAAATTATGGGGTGAGTATATACCTCTGTCACAAATGAATGCGCATGACAAGGAGACGAGAGCTTCAAGTCGGCAGGTATTAAGCCCACCTGCGACAGTATCAGTAAGCCGCCAACCACGATATTCTGAAATACATACTTTGATCGGATCGCAATGGCTCTACCATGTGGTGCCTGAGCAAAGCAAAAGAAGAAGCGAGATAGAGTCATGAAACCCCAGATCAGCAAGAATGTCCAACGACCTTCACCATTCACCTGGACAGAACATGTGGGATGCGATGCAAAATCATGTGGTCCAGGCGAGTAAAAGTAGAGTGTCTGAGCTCAGACGGCTGACAGTCCCAAAGATTTCACAATCATCAAATCCACATCGTCTATCTGAGCATAACGAAAAAAAGTGGAAAAGTGACCGTGAATCGTGATGAGTAGAAGCCCAGATAACTGATAACACAGCGGCTCTGGTTCGCAAGACACAACTACAGTGGGATCGGCATCTGGACTGGACTTGGGCGAATGAGGAAATTTATGTTTGTGGAAACGAATAAAGTGTGAGGTGTATAATGGATGGGGTACGATGAGAGCAGTGAATTAATGGCAATGATTCGTGATGCAAGTGAGTGGAAGGTACCGAGTCGCAGGGAGTCAGACCATATCCTAGATCAGAAAAGTTCAAGGAAGATGCTTACCTTGTTTTGGTAGTCCAGATACGGTCTCGAGGCGCGTATGAACGATGAGCGCGAAGCGTGGCAGTGAAGATGACACTATATATGGGACCATCATCCCAAGTAAACTCATATTGAGCAAGGAATGATTATAATGAAGGCGCGGGCGGCGTTGCTATCGACATCGCAAAAAGGATGCTCTAAAAGGCTCTAGTCACATAATGGAACATGGGGAAAGTAAATTTCTGCATATTGGAAGATATGAACATTGACGATGTGTGGAAATGTTCGATTTCGGAGTATCAATGCGTATTGGTAAGAATATACTTTGATTGAATCGACGACTTCAACTTTTGCTATATTTCGTATCGCAATACTTTATGGCGCTGGATTCGTTCAACTATTCCCCACACATAAAATACACATACAGACACACGACACATATACACAGCCACGCATTCACATGCATACAACATTTGAAGACAGCATGACTCGGATGCACATAGTACTCAGGTAGTACAGGGCTATACAGCCTATGTAATCATCTATAAGTTTATCCACGACGAGACTACTAATTTGATGAGAAAGCATCTAATTCTGCGCGTGTCAGCATTTGGTCAGGCTCCGTGATCAGAGCTGCCGACAGCTGCTGAGCCGTCTCCTCAATGAGATCATAAGCAAGATGAAATGCTGTTCCTTTCTTCACTGTTTGAAGTAGCGTTTTCCAACACTCCGGGTTCATCCTCCCGATTTCAGAACCAAGCTCCTGGAAACGATCGACGGCCTCACGGAAGACTTGCGGGTTGCGACCATCAAGAAGAAAACGGGCCATTGAGTTCCACCAGAGTTGCCGCCAGTCGATGGAACATGCAGTGTTGTCAGTGCAGCATGCAGCGTGCTCGATAAGGGGTGGCTCCTCGCAGGCAACAATGCGACGGTGTTCATCAAGAAGCTCTTTTAGATCTACAAAGGCATTCCACACTTCAAACCCGAGCTTCTTTCGCATTGGTCCTGGAATGTCTCGGATGCGAAATTCAATGAGACGTTGAAACGCGGGAACAAAGAACTTCGTAATTGAGAATTCGAGACAGAGTGCGAGAAGGTCATATGGTTTGTGTCGAAATCGTTGTTCATGAAGGTGATGAATGGCAATATCGCGAGCTTTTTGACTCATGAACTTGTTGCTGAACCGTAGGAGGTCAATAACATCATCATGGGTAGGACCTTCCGGTTTCCAACTGTGCAATTCTGCATTAGAAGACAGTGCACTAACATGAAAATTTATCTTACCTGCCGTATGCAACTGAAAGGTAGAGCTCGAACATGTTCGTGCTGAGTTCAGGAATTATAATTGGGTGATCGTCGCTCGAGCCATCCGTGCCCTCTATTGGTCGTGATTGCCCCCCAACAGCAAACATCTCCTCGAATGTGATTGACGTGCGTGATAACTGAGTCGCATGGACTTTGAATAATGTGTTTTCGACCTGCATTTAGTTATTAGTATTGTCATGGGGAATCACTGAGTGCATATATATGTGAACAATCCGCACCAGGAAAATGCGAGTACCGTCATATATATAAAAATGTCGATGTCGAAACTTCAGGAGGCTTGGAGCTAGTAATGTGGCTGTTTGAGCCTCGAACATGTCTTGGCTGATTATCCGCGAGATGGAAACACTATGAGGCTTTAGTTCAGAGCACAAACTTGAAGGACGTAAATGTAGTATAGGCTAGTGGGAGGTGCGGTAGACAAGTCACGCTTACCACACAAGGGTTCATTGGTTCTTTTTCGCTTCGTCACCTCTAGAATGCAACTGCTGGCGGACTAGTATGGACCTTCCAGCTTTACCAGAACGCGAACATCCATGGCCACAAAATATCTATACTGCAGATGGTATCATTCGTAATATCTACAATGGTGCAATCAGAATGCTTCGGTCAAATGATGCAGAACCAACCAGAGTTGCATATCATTACGATACACTGTCTTCGGAGGCCCTACCCTTGCTCGAGGCCATCGAAAGTGATTCAAGTGATGCTGATCACCAGCTTCTTCATGACTGGCTACTAGCATGTGCAAGTCTTGTGGGTGAAGCAGCTGCAATGCTCGAGGATATCAGCCAAAACACCCATGTGTGAGTGATACTCGTGGTACTCATTTGGATCTTCTGACCTGACAATACTGTCACTTTGGTCTATGTAGGGAAAATGTTGAACAGTCAAACATTATCATCCCACAACTTGTGACCGAGGACCATGGTCATGGACGTCGAGGGCATCCGAGAAAAGATATCAATCTTGAATTTGTCCGTGAGCAGGCTATACTGTTAAAATTAAGCATAATACTCACTGACTAGAAACGGTATGGTTTTGTAAGTTTGTTTGTAAACTATCAATCCCCTACAATTAAGCTTAACGGTAGTGCTGTGGGCAGAACTAACTCAAGGTAGTTCTGCCGGCAGAACTGGCAGAACCTGGCAGAACCATGTTCTGCCAGCATGGCAGATGGCAGAATTTCATAGCGCTAGAGTACTAACTACATGGATGTAAGACCACTTGACAGCAACATAGAATCAATATTCCAAGTCCCATCTTCATTCGCATCATGATCTGCGACCATAATCTCATCCTCTATCGTGGTAGGCACTAATCCCTCGTTGACATGCCGCAGTTCCACAAAGTCGAACGCTCTCCCTTCCAACACTTCCTTCCTATCCACATCCCAGTTTGAGGCAAACTCCATCATTTTTTCCGTGTTACGAATATCTTCAAGACGAGAAAACTCAGCATCAATGTCATCGAGTGAGATCGATTCACTGCTTCGAGATTGTCGCCGGAGACTGCTGAAAGTGGAGGGACAAATGCGAAGTCGGTTTCGAGCTGCTTGGCAACGTCTGTATCAATGCCTGGAAGTTCAGTTGTGTGCATATGAGCGTGACGACGTCATGTTCAGTTTTAAAGTGCCTCAATCTATACTATCGTACACTGAACCGACACACTAAACTATATAGCACATTCTCCCACTGTTCTACATGTGCGGGAGTTCTGCCACATTCTGCCTGGGAGGTTCTGCCATCTGCCTGGCAGTGCCAGTTCTGCCCTGCCACATGGCAGAATGGCAGAGTTCTGCCCACAACACTATATATACATCATATCAAGAGTATATGTCAGCAGGATCAGTCCCTAGGGTCATATGTATTGTCATCTTCCTGGTGGTTCACTCCCTGAGAAAATTTTTCCTGCAGCTCCGGCCCTCTAGGATGGTAGGTAGTCTTTTACTATGAACATATGGAATATATTTATCACATAGGTATACCAGAACAATACCAGGATCCTTGTCTACAATCCAAAGTCACTTTTTGCCTACAATGTACCATATTTTCGCATTTTTGAGGTTTTTCACTACATTCTCACTACATAGACTATACCAGCTGTTCATATATCACTTATAGTACATATATGAAGCCTTCCCAAGGCCATGATCAGGCAGAAATATGACATAGTAATGATATCAAGCACATATCTCCTATTCTCACTGATAAGAATTCCCAGACATGAATATAGTAAAATATTATGATCAGACTATCTTGGAGTACACTATATATACCAAGTAATACAGTCCTCGACTACCAGAAGGATCCATGAATAATTGACAGCAGGGGAATCCAATAGATAAGAAATAGGTCGTGGGAAAGTCAAAAAGTCCAAACATCGAAAAAGTACTATGCACCAACAGTCTATGCAAGGGTGGTCTGACCATAATAATGCAACAAATTGAGACCACAACACTTCCACATCACCTTTACCTTCACAACATATATTAGTATAGTATATTTAAGTAGTTTACAATGTATTCTATACATTTTTAATGAAATCTTCGCCCTAGACAGGGTTGAAATATAACATTTGCATGATTGTGGGATTTGCCCCTATATCATTGATATAATTACTATGTCATATTTCTGCCTGATCATGGCCTTGGGAAGGCTTCATATATGTACTATAAGTGATATATGAACAGCTGGTATAGTCTATGTAGTGAGAATGTAGTGAAAAACCTCAAAAATGCGAAAATATGGTACATTGTAGGCAAAAAGTGACTTTGGATTGTAGACAAGGATCCTGGTATTGTTCTGGTATACCTATGTGATAAATATATTCCATATGTTCATAGTAAAAGACTACCTACCATCCTAGAGGGCCGGAGCTGCAGGAAAAATTTTCTCAGGGAGTGAACCACCAGGAAGATGACAATACATATGACCCTAGGGACTGATCCTGCTGACATATACTCTTGATATGATGTATATACTAGTAAAGAGATGTTAGAAATAATATTCACCAGTCTATATACCTAAACACTAAAAAATGCGAACTGGTTTATGTTTTTTGAGAGGTATTCATGAATTTAACATATCTACTGATGTAGGACACTACAGAGGCTCAAACAAGCGGTGTAATATATTCATTAACACTCTAATATATGATATATACAGTCAGAATTGCTTCCCTGCTAAAGGGGCAAAAAAGCGAATATGTTTTAGTCCTGGGATGCACATATTGTAGTCAGTACTGTAGACTGCTGTACAAGCTCTCAGACAATGAAAAAAGCGGTCTATTGTATCATTTTATGTATGTACATGCCATTCTACTACTTATATACATGAGTGAGCAAGGGGAAAGCTCTGGTGCAGCAGTAGAGCCAGGGAGGTATGTGGGAATAGTGAGATTATTGGAATATCCCAATTTGGTAATTTTTCCGGTGGTAGCGCTATTCTTGGAAGCCTGAGAAAAACATTTCCAGTAGCATCGAGATCACAAGAGAGATCCCGATCTTTAGAACCAGTGAGGCATCGTGCCTGTTAAGCTTCATGAAGCTTCATGTTGGTGACTCCGAGACAAACTTACAAAATGTACTGTGTATAGTTAGACATGGTTAAGTATCACCCTGCCATGAACAGGTGCCGTGAGGCCCTATCTAACCAGCGCAACATCACACTCACAGAGCTTGCCCGACTCCTCCGAGTGTCTCGCACGACTTTGTGGAAATTTGTTCATCAACATGGTCTTGAACAATGCTTCACAACAATTAGTGATGCTGATCTCGATCAACTCGTGAAGGTTTTCAAGGAACGCAAACCAGAATCAGGATTCCGTTACCTTGTTGGCTTCCTTGGGCACCAAGGAGTTCGAGTCCAGCAGCACCGTGTTTGGCAGTCCTTGTGCCGAGTTGATAGATTAGGACAAAGGCTGAGAGAACGACGTGTTACCAGACGACGAAAATACCGAGTTGCTCGACCAAATGCGCTTTGGCATGTAGATGGTCATCACAAGCTCATTCGGTGGGGTTTTGTTGTCCATGGATTTATTGATGGGTATTGTCGCACTGTGAATCCATTATTAATGATAAGGAAAGCATAATAACTCACTAATATTTCAACAGATAATGGGGCTACGGGCCAGCACAAACAATCGTGCATCGACTGTATTGGAACTGTTCATGCACGCAAGAGATGAATATGGCATGCCATCTCGTGTTCGTGGAGATCGTGGAGGGGAGAACCTTCAGGTCGCTACACATTTAGTTGCAACAAATGGCCATAATCGCGGCTCATTTCTATGGGGATCGTAAGGTGTAGCCTCTTGAAACATTCCGCGACTAACAATACCTGATATTAGATCAACACGAAATTCACGCTGAAGGGTACAACAATTCAGATGGTGAGTCTGAACAATGTTGGGTCTTGCAGAACCTAGCTGCTATTCGACCCTAAAGGGTTTCTGGACCAGGCTCAAGGCTCAGAGAAGAGGAAATATGATAGAAACTTGCTGATCTCTCAGACTCATAGTAATACTGGTGAAAAGGTAACTTCCTTATGTAAGCTAAGGTGCAAACATAACTATAGGTAAAACAGTCTCTACAAGCCCAGCCAGAAATGAATCCCTACAACGCATTGAACGGCTGTGGGTTGAAGTGGGCACACAGTTTGCACGCCGATGGCGTGGATTTTTTACCAGGCTCGAACGACTTCATAAGCTTGACATTGACAAGCCGGGGCACCTCTGGCTGCTTAGTGTGCTCTTCTCAAGTGCACTCAATGACGATTGCCGACAATTTCAACGAGAATGGAATTCCCATCCAATTCGTGGTTCTGAAACCAATAATCGAAGCCCTCAGGTCAGTATTCACTCAGCAAGTACTGGTGCAGTGGTGTAATTGCTATCTGATGACTATGAAGGATATGCGTCTTCTAGGACAGGCATTGTTAGGCATCTACGAAGATGAGTTCGAGGGGATCCATCCTGCAACTCTGCAGCGTTATTATGGTATCGATCGCAGAGAGACAATCCGCCATCTCAATCAGACAGGTGCTGGCCACCCAAACGATGAGTTAGAGAACGAGGAAGATGGTGTTATTGATCGTATCGAGCGGGATCAAGCAAACGATGTCCTACATGATGCCATTGAGGTTCCTGATGGTAATACCCCTTTTCTGAATGAGGAAGATGAAAATGTATTCTTCGGGATACTTGACGAGGTTATTACTGAGGGTATCATACCAGTGGGATATAATTTGCAGGAGGGTGAGGATGACTATGACGAAAACACAACAGAACATCTACGAGTTGGTAGACGGAGGGAGATATATGTTGAAGTATCTTTGGCAGACCCTATCTGGAGGACTCGTTCGATGCTATGGGCTCAGGCAGTTAGCGTGCTAGAGCATTTTGAAGCAGATGTATTTTTCTAATTCAATATATTAATGGATCACGTTCGGAGTACAACTATGGCCAGGAACCCACTGTGTATAAATCCCGCACTTGACCGACCTGTTTTTGATCCGGTTCTCTCTTCCATCCTACTCGCAATGTCAGATCTGGTGTATTGCAAAGGTAATCATCTCGAACCAGAAATGTGCTATTGCGAAGAGTACTCCGCACCCACAAATGTTCCTATTGGCCAAAGAGAGCTTTGCACCGAATGTTTGCACGGGAAGAGCAAACATCCTCGACCTCAACAGCCTGCACCAGTGGCCGAGCCATTGGTGCCTCCTGCACTGCCAGTGAATCCAGGTGGTCCGAAGCCATCCAAACCAGCAGCTGCCACACCAAAGGAACGAGCTGGAGTGACAGCGATATACAAGCAATCACTTGCCCGACGTGCTGGGCAAGGCCCAGAACTCAAATTTAAGGTGTCAACTGACAGTCGGAAGACAGTCGCAGCCACGAGAAGTGAAGTCATGTCAGGATTCCGCCCAACTATAAAGCGGAAAGTCACAGTGAGCAAAATCACCTAATGTTTGTTACCTCCAGCATACTCAGCTTTCATTTAGGGGGGCAGGGTTGTATCTTCAAGACGGGCCACTGGCAGCAGCTCATTGAAGCAACAACAGGTCCAGATTCAAGTTGGCGCTGTCGCTGTCTTGATCAATTACCTCGATGTACGTTAACCTAAACAAGCCAATGCTATGACTCGGAGCTTACTCAGCGGGTCAAAGGACAAAGGACAATTGATGAGCAGGGTCCCACCTGTGAAGACAGAGGTGTCAAAACTCAAGCGAAGGGGATGTGCTCACTTTGACGAAGACGAGCCTGAGGATGTTACAGCGAACTACACTGTCCCCTCTGCCACCCCTGCCTGCCTTGCGAAGGCAGCGACACGTACCCGAACCCAGAGACCTCGGAGACCATAGACGATAACCGGGCCTGTAGGCCATAGATGATAGAAGAAGATAAGCGGCAACTGCCGGCTTAGATAAGCAGTCTGGACTGCTGACGACACGATGACGACACACATGACGACATAGGTCTAGAAGACCTATTTATGTTATCAAGATAGAAGGCAAGCCTCATGTTGCCTCATGCACTGATAGAAGGACACCTCGTGGTCCTATCCTAGATAGAAGCCTGCCTCATGCACGTTATCTCTGACTCGATAGATAAGCAGATTAGAACCCAGCTTCAGGCTGAGCTTAGATACGATAGAGTAGCCTTATATAAGGACGAGGATTAAAGTAGATGTTCCTTACTTTAATCTTACCAGGTTTTACCTTGAACTTCACTTGACTCGCTAAAGCTACCTGCTTGCCTTGTGAACGATACCGCTATCATCGCCCGTAACCCCTTGCTCATCGACAAAGCCTGACAAGCCTTGTCAACCAGCAAGCTACGCAAGCGTACGCAACTCCTTATTGTCTTAAGGAGCCGACGACTCTCAGCAACACGAACGCTCTGTCGAGCCTTTGCTGTTAGAACTATCCTGGTGGAACACGACACGCCTGTGTCGTAACAAAAGATTAAAGTGCACATTCGCACGTCACCATCCTGTGACGCTAGATCCCAGATTGTACCTGCCTTCGACGTTACTGAAGCCTGTAGAAGAAACCCCGACGCATCGGCAGCTCAAAGAAGCTTTGCGTAGAAGATTGTACCGGCCTGACCAGTCGCAAGAATATAAGAACCGCTGTCACAGTAGAAGACTTCCTGCAGGAACACTACGAAGATTTGAAGATTGCACATCGTCGATATGGCAACTTCCAGAAACACCTTTGCCGCTGCGCATCTCACCGGAAAGGAGACTCGTATATGTCTACGAGAGAAGAAATGTTTTGTGTGCCACGTCAACGGCCACAAAGCCGCGGATTGCCCTAAAAAGCCCAGAACCCCGTGGAGAAAGATGACCGAAGAAGACTCCTGCTTGCGCACCATTAAGGTGGCCGGGACGACGAAAGAACTACGGGTGAAAGCCACCCTAGTATCCAGAACAAGAAGCACCCCGATAAAGACATCTATGATCGTAGATTCGGGAGCATGCGAGTCCTTTGTCAATCAGGACGTCGTCATGCAGCACAGCATCTTGACGCACCAGCTAGAGAAGCCGCTCACGCTCTCAAACGCTGATGGATCCTGCTTCGGAAAGAAGCCGATAGTGAGGTATTGCAACCTCACCTTCCAGATAGATCAACGGGTAACTACCGAAAGGTTCTACCTCGCCGAACTTGGTCCAAAAGACAAGTTCCTGCTTGGACGACCCTGGCTCGTCAGCCATAACCCCGCTATAGATTGGACGAATGGCACGGTGACTCTTAAGAGCACCGTAGATTCCCGAAAGAAGGAAAAGGAGATTGACTCCGACAGAAAGAGGAACGGCAAGACCCCTCTCTTCCAGAAAGAAGAAAAGAAGGTAGCCACGAAAAGAAAAAGATCGGGATCCCCGATAGATAAAAACCCGACGATTGCACCACGGCCCGCTGAAACCGTGACGAAGAAGAACTCGCTGCCAAGAATCGACCTTGCAGCCCGTAGAAACGAACAGATACAACCGGCCACTGATCCGGAGACAACTCAGAAGAAATTCTTCAGACCGGCTCTGATAACGGACTATGTTATCCCAGAAAAGCCTAAGAAGACGATTGTACCAGCTGTTCAGCTGAAGATTGAAGAACCCGCACCCGCACGATACGAATTCTCGGCGGAGCCAGCATCGATCCTTGGGAAGGGACGAGCTGTGATGAACGAAGAACCGCCTATCGCAAAGGCACCCAGACTGGCCCCTGAACCAGCGAAAACTCAGAGATTTGTATTTTCTGGAGAACCGATATCCATTCTCGGAAAAGGAAGAGCCGTTCAAACGGCGGACGCACCTGAAGCCAAGAAACTCAGGTTTTATGAAAGTCCGGCTGATGATACCGACACAGCCGATGAAATCCACGCACCGAATTCCCTCAACCTCACGGTCACTCCAGCACCTATCCCTTCCGATAACGATGAAGCAATGACGCTATCATCCGACCCAGACCCTACTCCTGCCTCAGATTCTGATCATGATATGTTCCTGGAACGAATCGCGCTAATCCAAGAAGCGCATCACCAGAAACCTGTTCACGACGACGAAGCACGATACAGTGCTTCCCTTCCGACTGGAATTAGAATGAAGGAAGAAGAAGACACCGGACCGAGTTTTGTCCGCTTCACGGACATCGAAAGCTCCGAGGATGACGAGGACGAAGACGAAAATGCACCCACTTCGCATGCTTTGCGAAAGGTTGATGAAGAAGGAAACGAGATCGAAGACGAAGGCCCTGATGACAGCCTCGACTTTTGAAAGAAGATTAGTCATGGTAGACTAAACGGCTTATTGAGGGGGTAAAATCCCTGATTTATTCTCGTTCCACGACCAAGACCCAGACACTTCTCTTCCACAACACGACTCCGACCAACTTTCATGTTGGTCCGTAATGACCTAAAACTAGAGATGGTCCGTAATGACCTAAAACTAACAATGGTCCGTAATGACCTAAAACTAGAGAACCTCCGGCATGAGGGTTAAACTGCACGAACGTCCGAAATGACGTGAAACTAGAAGAAAGGACGAACCCTGGAAAACTCCTGCAAGCTCCGGGACCCCTTTTACCACTTCCTCGACAATCCCACGTTATGACACACAGATCATATTAAACGAAAGATTTAGAAGAAACGAACCTCCGGAACGAGCCTAAACTATCAAGAGATGAACTCCCTGGAAACTCCTGCAAGCCCGCGGAACCCTCGAGAACCCGACTCATCATGGCAATGACCAGCACCCTCTGATGAAGATTCCTGAACCTTGATAACCAACAAAGGATAAAGGAAAGAACGCACCTATCACGGCACTTCCCTCTGATAGCGAAAACGAGGCATCGATAAGCCCTCACGATTGAACCTTGATAGGAGATAAAGAGTTAAAGAAACAAAAGATAAGCATGAATCAAACGGAGCTTGAAACGATCTGGAAGAAAGATATAAACCCTGACTTCCCCGAACATCCTTTCAACGAACCTCCATCATGTCGACCTCTATTGAAGAAAACTCTCCCGTCACTTTGACACTGAAGAACTCCGACTACGGACGTATCCTCAGAACGATTGAGAATAGCGCGTTCAATGAAGCGGCTATCTTAACACCCGCGTACTCCCAAGTGATCGACGACATCCTTGGTGAGCAAGACGCCAGACTCGCAGCAGGCACCTCCCTTGCCGTCTGCATTATAAGAACCACGAAGCTACTAGAAGATGTAGCCAATCGTGTCGACCTTGATGAAGAGACGAAGAAACTCGCCGTCATTCATCTACAGAAACGGATCCGCGGCCTCGCGCTCCATCTACTCCCGCTTGAATTCCCCGACATCGCGAACCAAGCTGTTAAGATTGTAGAAACCAGAAAGGCCAAAGAAGAAGAAATCCGTCCGGTACGCCCGCCTAGAAAACGAAAGGCTACCATAGATTGTACCCGCATGACGCCATGCAAGCGCTGCGGAGGATACGGACATCATTGGAAGAAGTGTCCCGATTATGTTTGTTGCATCTGCGATGAACTCGGACCCAGCCATTTGTCCATACATTGTCCTGGACTCAACGGACGCATTGTCCTACAAGAGTTTACAGATGAAGAGAAGTTTTTCGAAGCTCTCTCAGATTGGGAGCACAACCACAAGGCGCTCGCGGACCTAGAACTTCGGAATCCCACCGAACTGTCCCTTGACCCTGAAACTCCCTCCGCACCATCCGTCTCCACATCCACGAAACCGGCGCTGCCGTCCTTGACGATGGAAGATGTCGTAGATAATCAAAGCCGGTGACTTTGACGGTAGTAATGGGGTAATGTTACAGCGAACTACACTGTCCCCTCTGCCACCCCTGCCTGCCTTGCGAAGGCAGCGACACGTACCCGAACCCAGAGACCTCGGAGACCATAGACGATAACCGGGCCTGTAGGCCATAGATGATAGAAGAAGATAAGCGGCAACTGCCGGCTTAGATAAGCAGTCTGGACTGCTGACGACACGATGACGACACACATGACGACATAGGTCTAGAAGACCTATTTATGTTATCAAGATAGAAGGCAAGCCTCATGTTGCCTCATGCACTGATAGAAGGACACCTCGTGGTCCTATCCTAGATAGAAGCCTGCCTCATGCACGTTATCTCTGACTCGATAGATAAGCAGATTAGAACCCAGCTTCAGGCTGAGCTTAGATACGATAGAGTAGCCTTATATAAGGACGAGGATTAAAGTAGATGTTCCTTACTTTAATCTTACCAGGTTTTACCTTGAACTTCACTTGACTCGCTAAAGCTACCTGCTTGCCTTGTGAACGATACCGCTATCATCGCCCGTAACCCCTTGCTCATCGACAAAGCCTGACAAGCCTTGTCAACCAGCAAGCTACGCAAGCGTACGCAACTCCTTATTGTCTTAAGGAGCCGACGACTCTCAGCAACACGAACGCTCTGTCGAGCCTTTGCTGTTAGAACTATCCTGGTGGAACACGACACGCCTGTGTCGTAACAGAGGACAACAAAGTGGATTTCAGCTTTTGCCCGGACTGGACATTTCAAGAAGTCGAAGAATATTTTCGAAGACTTTTTCCAAAAGTCTTTGAGTACCTTGACTCCGTACAGAATGATGATGTGAAGGGGAAGGCTGTCGATAACGGAGCATCGTGGGTGTTGATTTCGAAAGAAAACCGCTGGCTGAGTGTTGCACCTGAGCCACTGCCAAACGGCAAACATCTTGAGCGGTACAGAGGCAGAGATAACGCACCTCTTGCAGCGACTAATATTTTTATTGGTGAGCCTGCCAGTGCCATCAATGGCTCATCACGGATGAGATTTTCTAACCAGTGTAAATGCAACAGCTAACCGGAAGTACATACCTGAGCACATTTGCGCACAATGGGACCCAGACGTGATCATCATTGATACAGATTCCGAGGCAGGAGAAGATCGAGATGATGAGCCTAAGACAGGTTGGTGAAAGTGCTCACGTGCACCATCAGTGACGGTCACTGAATCGTTTTTCACTTCAGCACGTCCAAAACACTCAATCCGGTACACCAAACACGAAGAACCAGCTCGAAAGAAACTGCGTGGAAGTAAGTACTATCTTGTAATTTTGCTACATGAACAAACCGCTTACATTGTATTAAAAAAATAAACCAGCTCGCGGTCAGCCCATTGCATCAACATCTCGAATGAATTCAGAGAACAAGGAAAACTCAGGCTCTTCAAGTCACGTTAAACGCAAGTTCGAGTTCTTTTTTCTATCTGCTCAGTGGACGTCTAACACTTAAGATTTTACAGTTTTCGCTTCCGATTCCGATTCAGATAACGGTCTTGACACGCTGCCCAGTAGTCTGAAGGGAATGTCACTCTCACCGCAGACTCAGAGACGCGCTCTGCGCTCTCTGACTGTGATGCCTTCAATTAAAGATGAAGAACAGAAAGTTGACTTACAAGAAGTCTTCACAGGCCTGCAGACTCGGAATCATTCATCTGCGACGTCCATAGCTTTTCGACCACTTTTCCGCCCTCTCGTTTCAGTCGAACCAACGAGGAATGATATCTTGCGTGGTCACCCGGATATTAATGATCCGTTGTCACGCCCATTCCACAACCCTTGGACAACTGACTATTTCATTGGTTCCATTAAACTTTGGCTTTAATTTTGTCCCATAGAATTTGAAGCTTCCTCTGACATATATTTCATCATAGTCACTTCGCACTGGCCACAACTCGGACACTACTATGCTTGACTACAATGCCCTACTACTACGGTTCCGAAAATTTCTCCGGTCCCTTCACTTAGCTCTAATCCACAGTTTAATCTCCTCATTCCTCCATCTAATCCTCCTTCATATTACTCACCTAAAAAATTCGCTAAGCAAATAAAACAAACCTCTGACATTGCTTATCCTGCTGGTACCACTTCCTGCAAACACGGTTCAAGTGGATGTTGTAGTGTAAGACGCGCAAATGAATTTAAGTGTGATCAGAGAACATTTTTACATTGTCATGTAAGGTAACTAGTAATACATGAAGTTGCGCATATTAGGCCTTCGAACGGCTTCAAAATCACACAGTTTTTGGATCGAAGCTGGACGGGGGATGTAGGATGGCGGCGGAGGCAGGAGGGTGGTAGGAGAAGACGAAAGGCCTTCGAAGTTCGAACGGCTTCAAAATCACACAAGTTTCTGGATCGAAGCTGGACGGGGAATGCAGGATGGCGGTGGAGGCAGGAGGGTGGTAGGAGAAGACGACAGGCCTTCGAACGGCTTCAAAATCACACTGGGTTCTGGATTGAAGCTGGACGGGGGACGTAGGATGGAGGCGGAGGCAGGAGGGTTGTAGGAGATGACGACAAGGCCTTCGAACGTTCGAACGGCTTCAAAATCACATAGGTTTCTGGATCGAAGCTGTAGAATGGCATTAGAGGCAGGAGGGTAGTAGGAGAAGACGAAAGCCTTGCCTTCGAACGGCTTCAAAACCACACAGTGGGTTCTGAAGTTCAAAATTGACTTGTTGAAAATTAGCATTAATTTGGGTCTAGGCTACGTACTGGGGACTTCGACGAATATGTATGCAAATGTGTTGCATGCGTGTTGTCTTCAAATGTTGTGTGCATGTGAATGCGTGGCTGTGTTTATGTGTCGTGTGTCTGTATGTGTATTTTATGTGTGGGGAATAGTTGAACGAATCCAGCGCCATAATACTTACTTCACCCAGTTAGGGACTAGTCACGGCAGACTCCGAGACGGGCATCAATATTCATCGCCATCATGTCGATTTTGGCGATACAAGCGCTGAACGGTGGTATATCTAGCACGAACATACTGTCATGACCGAAGTCTAAATAATTCCAGTTGGTGGCCGATCATCATGGATATTGTTTTCAGCTATTGGACGGGTTTGTTTTTATCAGTCGGTGATGTCTCGATCTTCTAACATCGACTTGCGGCTTTGCAGTTGCCGCAGGCGTCGTGGTGGTATACGATTGGGGTGAGCAAGGCAGTGTTCGAAAACCGTTGATATTCTCATAATATTTCCAGCACTAACAGTCGGACAAGAGGTATGTCTATGTTATCCCGGAGCAGTCAACTCGCTAAGAATGGTGTCACAGATTGAACTTATATGGGTGAGTGACACCATATCAAGAGAAAAGCAACAGAAGACAATGGATTTGTACCAGAAGCAACGGTGGTCTCTCATGACTGCGCTTTACCTGGTTGTTCGTACCTCATGTTATACTGTGGCGTGGTTGATGACTGTGCTGACTCCAAAATGCTTTAGATACGCTATATTGGATTACCATACTCTATGTATGTTTTTGGGGTCAAAAAATCGGTACTGTACTAATAACCTGTTTCTTAGTATCAACGTTCTAAGTATGTTTCATATGCACCGTGTTTTATTCTTCTGACCGGCGGCGCACAGTAAATATACCATTTGTCTCACTGACAGATGCAGTGAGTATTCTACAGCTTGCATCTCATTCTCATCCAATGAATACATTCATTTGTAGGGGTGAGTGAGATTCTGACCATTCAACTTGGTTCACCACAATGACTCGATAGGTGTAAGTCGGAGTGTTTGATCATAGTACGAGGGTGGTCACTAATTGGGTCTTTCAGGCTATATTATGGACTACGCACTGGATGTGACATGTGTGGTCGTAGCTGCCATGCTGGGCGGTGAGTTTCCCAGCTGCAATACCTCAATGATATTAACTCGATCGAAACACGATGCAAGTCATCATGATTGCTCGGCTGCATGCCATGTATCAGGGATCTAGAACGATACTGATCTCCCTTGTTATTATATTCCTGGCCGTTAACATCACCTATGGAGTCAATGCGGCAATAGCACTCAGACATCTTGTAGCGCGTAAGCTTGACTTGTTGACTTGAAGAAGCTAGCTCATTGGATGAACGCTAGAGGAACTGATACTCTCTGGCACGTATATGTGCCGTTTTTCATTTGAGGGAGATGGCGAACTTCTGTTTTTAATGGTTTGGATGATCAACGCTGTTTGGGAGCTCCTCGCACTGTATCTTTCAGTCTGGATTGTTGTGAAACATTTCCGTGACCTGCGACGACTCGGCTCGTCGACAGGATCGACCATCAGGGACTGTTTCAGGGTGTTGATGAGATCTCATGTGCATTATTTTGCATGGTGAGCTTGTAGTGTGAATGTGCTTATGATGATCTGCTCAAGTTCCGCGCGTTCTAGCTTCCTTGGTGCCTCTTGCCTCGCCTTTATCACTGGCGCTCCAGAGATTGAGGTGCGCCGACCCTTCGCTGACGTCTGCGTGTAGCCATTGCTCATCATCTCTGTAGACTTCGAGTTCCATGGAAATTTTGACACTCGGTGGTGCACTTCAGGTTTTATTTGGCGTGCAGGCGTTTGTGCTGGGGCCACGCCTGATCCTTAGCATACGACAATATCACGCTAAACTCGTGGCCGAATCTGACGCTGAAACTAGTATGGATCCGATTGCCTTCCAGGAGCATGTACATGTATCAACTAGCAGTACTGTGTAGGGACATGCTCGCCAAGTGTTCGGCATGGAGGAGAAAATGGTTGAGGATTTATCGTAGTATTAATATTAATTATGGTGTCTCCGAGTCGCAGTATATTAAAGACCGGGTTTATGTAGCTATTCTTTGTTATGTGATAATCAGAAGTCAGTGAACTGCCCGCGCACCCTTGAAGTGTTGCACTAAGCGTGAAGCTGAAAAGCATGGCGAGAAGATGAGGTGTACTGAGTGGGGAGTAGATAGTTAGAGAACGGGAGCTTCGATTCAGAAGGCTTCGAGCACACCCGTCAAACTATTGACGAGGCATTATCCACGTTTTATTCATCACTACACTATCGGAGTTGTGCCATCGTAGTGCTGCACCATGCAACCGCAAACTGTGCGTCGAGTTTGCACCCCATCTGCAGGGGCAGCAGAGAAGTAGTAAAAAATCGTGCGTGAAGGGTGGAAGGAGGTACTGTTCAAGCATCTTGAGCATGATAATTCACAAAAGAGACTTACAGGGAGTATATGCCCCATCACCAACGAATGAGCATGGCAAGGAGTCTCAGCTTACAACTTGGTTCAAGCACAGGTACTTTATTCCAGTAGTGATACAACAAGAAATAGGTTTGCCTAGATATTTCAAATATACGTCAAAACACCATATGTTAAATAAATACCACGACGGATCCTCCACTAAATTTCTCCTCCCTGCAGACCACTCGGCAAGCATTTTCCTACACAGTACTGCTAGTGGATACATGTACCTCCTGGAAAACAATCGAATTCATGCTAGTTTCTGCGTCAGAGTATGCCACGAGTTTGGCGTGGTGTTCTCGAATGCTAAGAATGAGGCGTGGTCCTAGCACAAACATCTGCACGATCGTTAAGACCAAAAGAGCAACATAAAGTATCTGAGATCCAATAGAATTTGAATCCTACAGAGATGATGAGCAATGGTTATACGCAGATGTCAGCAATAGGTCGGCGCACCACGAGTAATGGCGAGGCATTAGCAAGCTGGAGGCAAGAGACACTAGCAAAGCTAACATGTGCGGAACTTGAGCAAAAAATATAACCGCGGTCACATCACAAGCTCACCTTGCAAAATAAAGAACATGAGATTGTATCAGCACTCTGAAATAGTCCCCGATGGTCGATCCTGTCGATGAGTCGAGTCGTCGCTTACGGAAGTGTTTCACAGCAACCCAGACTGAAAGACACAGTGCGAGGACCTCCCAAATAGTGTTGAGCATCCAAATCATTGAAATAAGAAGCGATGAGTCCCCTTCAACTCCATAAACGCACAGATATGTGCCAGAGAGTATCAGCTCCTCTGGTGTTTGTCCAATGAGCTGTGTTCTCAAGTCAATAAGTAAAGCCTACCCCCTACAGCATACTTGAGTCCTATTGCCAAGAGTACTACGCAGGTGATGTTAACCGTCAGAAAGATAATAACAAGGAAGGCGAGCATCATTCTAGATCCTTGATACATAGCATGTAAGCGAGCAATCATGATGACTTGCATCAAGTTTCAGTCAAGTCGATGTCACAGAGGTATTGCAGCTAGGTGACTCACCGCCTAACGCAGCAGCTACGACCACATTTGTCCCACTCAGTACGTGGTTCGTAATAGTGCCTGAAACTCCCAATCAGTGAACACCCTCGCACTAGTATCAAAGACACCAACTTACACCTATTGAGTCATTATGTTGAGCCAGGTTCAATGGTTGGAATCTCACTCACCCCTACATATAAGTGTATTGATTGGATGGAAATGAGATGGTTGCAGAATACTCACCGCATCTGTCAGCGATACCGGTATAGTTGCTGTGTCTCGCCAGTCAGAAAAATGGAACACAGCGCATATGAGACATACAAAGAAGCCAGACACTAGTGTCAGAGATGAACCATTAGCACAGTGCAAAGTTATTTATCTTGACACATACACAGAATATGGTAGTCCAGCATAGCGTATCTGGAACACTGGGGTCAGCACGACTGTCAATCATGCCAAAGTATAATACAAGGTACGAACAAGCAGGTATAGCACGGTTATGAGAGACCAGCGTTGTCTCTGTCGCAAGTTCATTGTGTTCCGTTGCTTTTGTCCTGATATGGGGCTGTGTCACTCACCCAGATGAGTTCAATCTATGACACAATTCTTAGCGAGTTGGCTGCTCCGGCGATAGCATTGACGTACCTCTTGTCCGAATGTTAATACTGAAAATATCATGAGGATATCAACGGTTTTCGAACAATGCCCTGCTCACCCCAGTCGTACACCACAACGACGCCGGCAGCAACTGCGAAACCGCAAGTCAATATTATATCTAGACATCTTGATGCGACAAACCCATCCAATAGCTGTCAAAAACACTTAAATTGATTGTCGGCCACCAAGTGGGATCGTTTGAGACGAAGGTCATGTTCGAGGGATGGGTGTAAGCGAGTGGGGAATGTCAGTGGTGTATGACGATAGCGTTCGTGCTAGCGCTCAGCTCTTGTATCACCAAAATCAGCATGATGCCATTGCTATGGTGATGGATATTTGGTCCCCTTCAACAGCTACTAACAGCAATACTCTTATGGAAGAAGAATGATCATCATGCTGCGGCATATATACTAGTAAGCGTCAGAGAACTCAGATAAGAAACCGTGACGCAGAGTGAATCAAGTATATCTCACCTTGTCCGTCGCCTGGTACGCTCGAATCATTGGGCTCTCATAATTATATCAAAACGATGAACAAAGAGAGACAAGCATAGCCTGAGAGCGAATCCGATGCCACAAAGCGCACTATATTGGATGCATCGTGCACTTGAGCACTGCCGCATGCATCCTTGGTATCTGTTGAATACTTATACAGACACCATCCCAAAATCAAAAGGGAAATTACACACGTGCGGGAGACTGAAGCCGGTGTACAGGCTTCCACCAGATTGGCAAGCAACTCGAATGAGTGATTGGCAAATTACGAAATTTAGTTTCGGAAATTGGAAATTGAGTTTGATACTTGCGCAAAGAGAGCACAGTGCTGGAATTTGTAAATCAAAATCAATCGAAGACTTCTACCTCGGCCTCAAGCTTCAAGAGCCTTAAGGCCGAGATCAATATCTTCATCATTATCATGCCGGTTTTGGCCACACAAGCGGTGAACAGCAGTGTATATCTAGCACGAACACTAGATCGTTACAATTCCCAACACCCCGCTTACTCACACACTCAAATATGTCCCTGCTCGTCAATTCTAATAGGTTTTCTGTTTATTGGATGAGTTCGTCGCATCAAGATGTCTCGATCTAACTTTGACTTGCAGTTTCGCAGTTGCTGCTGGCGTCGTAGTCGTGTACGACTGGGGTGAGCAGCACAGTGTTCAAAATCCGCTAATATCCTCATATATTTTCAGTGTTAACACTTGGACAAGAGGTAGGTCGACGTTACTATCCCTGGAGCAGCCAACTCGCTAAGAATGGTGTCATAGATTGAGCTCATCTGGGTGAGTGACACAGTCGCATATCAGGACAAAAGTAACAGAATACATTGAACTTGCGACAGGGGCAGCGCTGGTCTTTCATGACTGTGTTATACCTGCTTGTGCGTACCTCATGTTATACTATGGATTGACAGTCGTGCTGACCCCAAAATATTCCAGATACGCTATGTTGGACTACCATATTCTGTGTATGTTGTTTTGGCCAATAAGCTGGTGCTGTACTAATAGTCCATCTCTCATGATCAGTATCGGTGTTCTGAGTATGTATTTTATGCACTGCGTTCGAATCTTCTGACCGGTAGCACAGTAGCTATGCCATCGGTCTCGCTGACAGATACAGTAGGTATTCCGCAACCATCTTGTTCCAGTTCATTGAATACCTTCATCATTTGTAGGGGTAAGTGAGATTCTGACCATTAAACTTGGCTCAACATAATCACTCGATAGGTGTAAGTCAGTGTTTGGTCCTAGTACGAGCGTGATCGCTGATTGGGTGTTTCAGGCATTATTGCAGACTTTGCACTATGTCTGACAAGTGTGGTCGTACTTCTCATGCTGGGCAGTGAGTTTCACAGCTGCAATACCTCCGTGTTATTGACTCGACTGAAACACGATGCAAGTCATCATGATTGCTCGGTTACATGCCATGTATCATCAGAGATCTAGAATCATGCTCATCTCCCTTGTTATTTTTTTCCTCGCTGTTAATATCGCTTGTGTAGGACTGACGGTAACGATATGCATTTTTATTGTACCGAGTAAGCTTAACTTGTTGACTTGAAGAACACAGCTCATTAGACAAACACCAGGCATTGAGGAGGGGAACTTTGGTTCTAGTACTAATGCATATGCATGCAATTATGGATTCGAGGGGGATGCTGAGCTTCTGTCTGCAGTGTATTGGATGCCCTACACTATTTGGGAGTTCGTTGCACTGTATCTGTCAGTCCGGATTGCTGTGAAACATTTCCGTGACCTGCGACGACTCGGCCCATTGACAGGATCAACCATCGGCGGGGACTGTTTCAGAGTGCTGATGAAATCTCACGTGCTTTATTTTGCAAGGTGAGCTTGCAAAGTGAATGTGCTTATGATTTTCTGCTCAAGTTCCGCTCGTGTCAGCTTTTTTGGTGCCTCTTGCCTCCAATTTGTTCCTCTCCCTGGCGGGTTTTTTAGTCCCTATTTGGAGCCCGAGGTGTGCCCACCTGTCGCTGACATCTGCGTGTGACCATTGTTCATCGTTTCTGTAGGGTTCATATTCTGTGGGAGACCTGATAATCTATGGTGCTCTTCAAATTTTCTTCGTCGTACAGATGTTTGTGCTGGGACCACGCCTCATCCTTAGCATTCGAGAATACCACGCCAAACTCGTAGCTGGATCTGACGCAGAAATCAGCATGAACTCGATTGTCTTCCAGGAGCGTGTACATGTAGAAACTAGCAGTATTGTGTAGGGAAATTCTTGCGGAGTGTTCTGCATGGAGGAGACATTTGGTCGAGGATCCGTCGTCGTATTTATTATAGTTCTTGTGTCTCGATGTATATTGAAGGCCAGGTTTATGTACCCATTTCTTGTTGTATAAACTGTAGGATCCTCCGCTGATACATCAATAATACATCACCACTATACTTGCTAGGTATCCTCGGTAGTACAATGATTCATGTATTACCCTTACACTGACATTGCTAGTTATTCAATGTATCATTCTCACTATGGCCTGTTTGATCTGTGAATCATATCTTGTCTTGATGTCTTTATGTGGAGTCGGGGTTCTGGCGCGACCTAGCGCCGCTATAGGATGACGATAGCTCTCAAATCACCAAAACCAGCATGATGGTGATGGAGATTTGATCCCGCACCGCGACCCTTGATTTGCAAGTGAAAGGGTGCGAAATGGAACAAAAAGCCGGTAATCAAAGTAGATTTTGATTTCCAAATCACTATTACGCACGGGACTACTTCAACACCAGGAAAGTTAAAGTTCCAGTCGTTGGTGATGTCGGCAACTGATTTCCAACGCGATTTTTGGGGTGTTTTAGCTGCGAGTTTGCAAAAATCGAGGAGTTCGCTATGAAACCATGTAGTCATCTATCTGATACAGGTCAAGGTGTGATACGCGGCGTGAAACACGTATGTACTCACTCTCCGGCATCGCTGGGTGAGCCCGAGGCGTAACAGCCTGGATCCGATCAATACTCTTATGGAAGAAGGATGATCATTCTGTGGGATATATACTACATAGTAACGTCAGAGAACTCAGATAAGAAACCGTGACGCAGAGTGAATCAAGTATATCTCACCTTATCTGTCGCCTGACCTATGCTCGAATCATTGGGCTATCATGATTATATCCGATGGTGATGTGATTATTGCACTGCCGCATGCATCCTTGGTGTCTGTTGAATACTTATATTATGGACCCCATCCCAAAATGAAAAGGGAAATTACACACAAGAGACAATAAACCTAACACGCGGCCAGTTGAAGCCTGTGTACAGCTTGCTTCCATCGATGAGATTGGTAAACAAGTCATTGGCAAATTACGAAATTTAGGATCGATTGAGTTTGATACAGACTCAGAGCACTGGAATTGGTACATCAAAATCTACGTCAAGTGATTCAATCGAGGACTTCTAGCTTCAACAAATTTCCAGAGCCTTAAGGCGGAGATCAATAGTGGCATTCAAAGTAATTTCCTGAAAACTCGGTAAGCTCGGTAAGCTCCGTGAAACGTCGGCTAAAGTATCTTGAGTTTCGCTGAAGTTCAGGGTTAGTCAAGTACGGCGAACATCGGCATGTCGTCGGAGTGTTAAATGTAATGCCTGCCCTACGACCACGACTTCGTCGGTCTGCACGCCTGCAGACCATCTCTCAAAACATCAACGTACCGTGTCGCAAGGACAACAGGAAACAAATGGACCCACCAACTCGTGGAAGGGGGAGACGGGGAAGGGGAGGGGGAGGGGGTAATATACAAGACTCGTCACCAGCCACGATTTCGTGGCATAACGTCCCTATGCGCACCAACAAGCTCGTCGATTTCCTCGTCGAGCATCCGCCAGACTGTGCCATATTATTTGCGACCGAGAGTAAGAAGTCCAGCAACTATCACGCTGACTTGGGCCGTGCATCGGGCAAGGACAAAGGGGAGATCTACAGTGTGATTGCAAAGGTAATCTTTCACGACGATGCTACATATGGGAGTTGGTATGCCACCAACCCCATCAAGTTCCGTGACTCTGTGGCCAATCGCATCGCATCGTAAGTACTTCTCCGTCTATCGCAACTGTGCTAACTGGATGATCTGAAGTCTACGGACTAAATTCCGCGATATTCGTGCCGAATTCGAGTCTACAGGTGCGGGCATCGTGCCAATTGACTCGGAGACGTCTGACAACTTACATCGTGAGTATCCCACTCATGTCTTATCGATACCGCTAACAAAATTCGTAGGTAAAATCGAGAAAGAATTTCCATGGTACAATGACCTCTACCGGATATGGGGATCCAACCCCTCGTTTTCTGCCAAAACGAGCTCATCGAAACCAGGTGCTGACCACGCCGGTGACCTATTCGCGCTAACTCGTCCTGCGGGAGGTTCACGGAACCCTCCTTCAGGCACCCATCCGCAACTCAACATAATCATCCCTAACCCTGCCATAGGCAGTGCTGGTTCCCCGCAGCTCGATTACACGGTTCGTCCCTCGGGTCCTTCTACCTCACGCGCAGGTGACAACACTCACGTCCAACAAACGGACTATGCCCGCCCTCCTCCAAGTGTTGGAGGCAGCTCAGCTGACTCCCCTGTGCAAACGCCTTATGTGCCTCTTCCCCGAAGTGGTCCTGTTACCCCCCTGGAACCAAACCACTCCCCTCAATACGCTCAGGGAGCCAGCGGTGCTGGCTCCTCCCCACAACGGGGCTTTTCTCAAGCTTCTGCAAGCAACTGTGCAGGCAGCACGACAAGCTCCCCCCTCCACTTCGGCCATACGCCCCTTCCTCCCAGTAGCCGGTCATTCGGCCATGAAGATTATTCTCCGGCCCCCCTGGGATCTGATGATGACCCACCTTTCGATGATGGCCCCCTTGCTCATGGTATGGGGGACCTTTGTATGGACGACACAGACGAAGTTCATCGTGACGAGGAGAATGTATATAATTTGGACAGCCCGCCCAGATCGAAAAAGGCGCGCGGAAAGAAGCGGCAGCTACCTTCCTCTCCCACTCCGTCGCCTCCCAAGGCACCCCCTCCCCGCACCTCCAACCACGACAGTCGCAGCTCATTCAAGTCCCACGTCAATCACGTCATCATGCGCGAGAGCGCTTCTTCCCCCACCTCTTCATCGAAGGCTTCGTTGCAACGGTCCAATCCGTCCTCCCCTCGGCAGGCGTCTCCGACGTCCCAAACGTCGCTCTCCGAGAGACCGAGCAGCAGGGAGTCGGTGAAGAAGCGTCTCCGAACGGAGGTTCAGGAACAAGTTGAGATGTTGAATGACGACTTAGAGAGTGTGCACTCCGAGAAGCTCACCTTATACCAGCTCAAGAACGAGCGCCTGATGGTCAAGCTCAACGCCAATCGCCAAGACAAGGAGCACCATTTCATACGCGAGGAGCGCGCCCACGAGCGCGCGGACGCCGCGCTCGTCCATCAACGGCTGCAGGAGAGCAAGGACCAGGAGATTCGTTTGCGGGAAGCGGATGCGAAGGCTCTCGAGTTAGAGAGGCAGGTGATGCTCTTGCGCATTGAATATGCCAAGATCAACAAGCCATGATGTTCCTGCGCGCACTTCGTCATATGTTTTTTTTCGCCGTTTCTTTTTGCTACATGTTGTCATTTGTTCGCCGCTATTTGATAATCCTACAACCTACTTACTAGCATGTATGTAGTACATTTTTATGTCAAAGCTATACCTGTTTCAACTTATCCTTGCCTATGCTGAGCATCTGAGTGAGGACTGTCAAACAATTGATCCATCAACCTGGCCCTGTGTGCTTGACCAGGAGTGCCTGCATATGAGCTATCACCCACCACTTCATTACCATCTGGTCCTTCATATTCTGGATGCAGAGTATGTTTCCCTTCTTGAATGGCCCATCTGGTTGTAGGTTTGTTGCGTTTTTCTTCAAATTTGATGATCATATTGTGAAGGATAAGGCAACACCTAACCCAATGCAGAGTAATCTGGAGGTCTTTCTGGGTCTGCATAGGGTGACGAAGCTCCTTAAGAGACTGAAAACGCCCCTTCAAAGCAGCAAATGTGTGCTCGACGCGGACACGGACCTAGATGAATTAAAATCAATGAAAATCAGTAAAAATTCCAAAAAATCAGCAGAAAAATTAGAAGATACCCTAGATAGGTGAATATTGAAGGTCTTCTGGTCCCTTGTCAACCTGCCATTCCGAGGCTTCTTGAAAGGTGGAATACACCACTTCTCAAGTGGATATGCACTATCAGCCCAAATCCAATGGTCATCAGGAAGAAGTGTGTCGTGTTCCTGGTAAACACGAGTAGATTTGAAGGCATAAGCATCGTGTGTACTTCCAGGGTGACCAAGTGAATAGTCGGCAATGAGGAGATTATGGGGCATAATGATTGCCTGAATTTTTCATTAGTTTCTAACCGTTAGAATAAGAGAGAGAAAATACCTGACAGTTGAGGGAATAGTTAGACTTCCTGTCATAAAACGCCTCACCATAAAGACCAGGTTTTTCATACAAATTAATAGCGGAGCCATCAATTGCAAGGATACCATTTCTCCACTCTGGGCAAGACTTGGCCTCAACATATTGCCGAGCACGCTCAGCATCCTCAGAGTCAGGAGCAGGGAAATGAATGAATGTGTCATGCTGATCAAGGAGGGCAATCATCACACGGTTACTGCAATTGATTACCGATCCAACACTGACACCAGCCCATTGGCCCACATCATCTGGTGAGATAGCGTTGCCGTAATGGCCAGCACGGTTGAGAAATATAGCCAGTTGAATGGCAATGGGAAGTTGAGGGTTGTTTGACCGGTTAGTGAAAATAGGGTGATCAGAAATTTGATCGAGGATATCATCGAAGATGTCAGGATTAACGCGTAATTTCTTGCGGAAGAGGTGGTGCCGAGAGTGCCCAAAGTCATGAAGGAGCTGAATCTGGGGGGCTCGCATAGGAGGTGCATCCGGTTTATGAAGAACACGGGCCCTAGTGACCTCATCGCGAAGAGCTGTGATGGTATCATGAAGGCGGTTGTAATGGGTAGTGAAGCCGTCAGATCCATCACTGGAAGAAGAATCTGAAAGGTCGGATAATTGTGGGGTAAGAGGAGATGGAGGAGTGACCATCAGATCAAGGCCAAGATCAGAATCAGAATCAAAATCAGAATCAGAGTCAGAGGAGTCGGAATCATAGAGATCATTAAGGGTAATGCGAGTACGCTCTAGCCTGGCCTTGGCTAAGGCTAGTTCAGCCTCATCCAGTTGCTCAAGCAGCTGATTGCGCATAGAGAGACGAGGCATCTGGGGATCAGGAGAGAGATAAGCTTATCACCTGCATCGATAGGGGACACTGTTGCCGGAAATGGCAACATTTTCAAGCGGAGATTCAATTTTAGTTGGCGGCTCTTCCGCTCGATGACGAGCACAGCGACAACGCTCTACACGCCTGACATCCACTGCCTGCACCTTCGTCTCGCACCCTCGCAGCGCACCCTCGTCGCACACCATCGTTTGCGCCCCACACCTTCGTCCTGCACCCCTTGTAAGAAAAACTCCACTTCCCTCCCATCTTTAGTACTTCGTTCGGCCCAACTGCTCTACTCTACTCTACCCCCACCTTATCTAACCCCATGAGCTACTGGGAAGGCGTTAGCGGGGGCTGCGCAACTGGTTTTAGCATTTACCGTCCCACTATCAAACTTCCCCTAGATGAACTTTTAGGTGAGGAGTACGACGGCGAAGACGACCAAATGGCTGACGCCCCCATCGAGCAACTAGACGATACGAAGGAGGATGGCAACAGCAACAGTAATAATGTCCCCACCCAACCTGAGGGCGAGTCCCTCCTTGGCGGGTCTGCTTCTGCTGAACAAGACGTTCTCATGAGCGATTCTCGTCAGCAGCAGCAACCACAGCCATCTACTCCTGATCTGTTCCCGGTCCCGCAAGTTCCTTCTCACTCTCATACTCACGCTCAATCACACCCGCGTACTCGTGGCAAGGACCATTCCAGCAAGACGCCCACAAACCGTCCTGTACTAACTGTACAAACGTCTGCCACTAAGAAGACTGGTAAAGCTGGACGGCGTGCTTCTGGGAGCGTGAAGAGTCCCTCGTCTGCTGCTCCCTCAGCATCTGCTCTCAAGCACTCTGCTGCTGCGAGCGCGAAACATACTGCAACTGCGACGGTGCCTGCTTCCGCTACCGCAACAAGCCTTAATCCACTTCTCACCTTCGTCCTGCACCTTCGTCCTGTCCCTTTGTCTCACACCTTCATCCTGCGCCGTTTGCCTCGCACCTTTTGTCTTGCACCCTTATCACATCGAATAGCTTTTGTGTACATTACATGTATATAACTATTGCTATTTCATCATGATGTTTGACCGCATTTTTTACCACTAAGTCTCGTTCTGAAGTCCGACTGTGATGCCGACCTAAGCCGCACTTATGTCAACATTTCTTTGAATTCTTAATCGAAGTTTGCCGACGTTTCATGGAGCTTACCGAGCTTACCGAGTTTTCAGGAAATTACTTTGAACGCCACTAATATCTTCATGATATCACCGTCATGCCGATTTTGGCGACACAAGCGCTGAACAGCAATGTATATCTAGCACGAACATTAGACCGTTGCAATTTCCAACACCCCGCGTACTCACACACTCAAATATGTCCTCAAATGTTCCCATAACGTGGCTAATGGTCAATCCTAATGTTTTTTCTGTCTATTGGATGAGTTCGTCGCATCAAGATGTCTCAATCTAACTTTGACTTGCGGTTTCACAGTTGCTGCCGGCGTCGTAGTCGTGTACGACTGGGGTGAGCAGGACAGTGTTCAAAACCCGCTGATATCCTCATATATTTTCAGTCTTAACACTTGGACAAGAGGTAGGTCGACGTTACTATCCCTGGAGCAGCCAACTCGCTAAGAATGGTGTAATAGGTTGAACTCATCTGGGTGAGTGACACAGTCGCATATCAGGACAAAAGTAACAGAATACAATGAACTTGCGACAGAGGCAGCGCTGGTCTTTCATGACTGTGTTATACCTGCCTGTGCGTACCTCATGTTATACTATGGCATGATTGATAGTCGTGCTGACCCCAAAATATTCCAGATACGCTATGTTGGACTACCATATTCTGTGTATGTTGTTTCGGCCAATAAGCGGGTGCTGTACTAATAGCACATCTCTCATGATCAGTATCGGCGTTCTGGGTATGTCTTTTATGCACTGTGTTCGATTCTTCTGACCGGTAGCACAGTAACTATGCCATCGGTCTCGCTGACAGATAAAGTAGGTATTCCGCAACCATCTTGTTCCAAATTATTGAATACCTTCATCATTTGTAGGGGTAAGTGAGATTCTGACCATTCAACTTGGCTCAACATAATCACTCGATAGGTGTAAGTCAGTATTTGATCCTAGGACGAGGATGATCGCTGATTGGGTGTTTCAGGCATCATTGCAGAGTATGCACTAGGTCTGACAAGTATGGTCGTAATTTTCATGCTGGGCAGTGAGTTTCTCGGTTGCAATACCTCAGTGTTATTGACTCGACTGAAACACAATGCAAGTTATCATGATTGCTCGGTTACATGCCATGTATCATCAGAGAATCATGCTCATCTCCCTTGTTATTTTTTTCTTGGCTGTTAATATCGCTTGTGTAGGAGTGATGGTAGCGTTATTCTCCCCGATTTCACTGAGTAAGCTTAACTTGTTGACTTGAAGAACACAGCTCATTAGACAAACACCAGACATGGAGGAAACTCTTGGTTTCAATAATGCCTATGAATGCAATTTTGAGGGGGATGCTGAGCTTCTGACTGCATTTTATTGGATGCCCTACATTTTTTGGGAGTTCGTTGCACTGTATCTGTCAGTCCGGATTGCTGTGAAACGTTTCCGTGACCTGCGACAACTCGGCCCATTGACAGGATCAACCATTGGCGGGGACTGTTGCAGAGTGCTGATGAAATCTCACGTGCTTTATTTTGCAAGGTGAGCTTGTAATGTGAATGTGCTTATGATTTTCTGCTCAAGTTCCGCTCGCGTCAGCTTTTTTGGTGCCTCTTGCCTCCAGTTTGTTACTCTCTCTCCGGAAATCGAGGTGTGCCCACCTGTCGCTGACATCTGCGTGTGACCATTGTTCATCGTTTCTGTAGGATTCAAATTCCGTGGGAACCCTGATAATCTATGGTGCTCTTCAAATTTTCTTCGTCGTACAGATGTTTGTGCTGGGACCACGCCTCATCCTTAGCGTTCGAGAATACTACGCCGAACTCGCGGCCTGATCCGACGCAGAAACCAGCATGAATTCGATTGTCTTCCAGGAGCGTGTACGTGTAGAAACTAGCAGTACTGTATAGGGAAATTCTTGCGGAGTGTTCTGCATGGAGGAGATATTTGGTCGAGGATCCGTCGTGGTATTTATTATAGTTCTTGTGTTTCGGTGTATATTTAAGGCCAGGTTTATGTACGCATTTCTTGTTGTATTACTACTGGAAGTCAGTGAACGGCGCACCCACAATTTGCACCAAGTGTCAAGCTGAAAAGGCACAGTAAGAAGATGAGGTGTACTGAGTGCCAGAGAGCAGAGGAATCGAGAATGGGAGCTTCAGTTTGTAAGGCCTCGAGTACATCCGTCAAACCGTAAAAAAACATGTGCCTGAGCAAAGCAAAAGCAGACGCGAGATGGAGTCGAGAGATTCTAGACGGGTAATAATACGTCATATCAGCGAGAATACCTGACCACCTTTATCATTCATCTAGGCGGGACATGTGGGATGCGATGCAAAAGTTCTGTGAACCAGGAAAGTAAAGGGAGCGTGTAGATGGCTGATAGCCCCAAGGATTTCACAATCATCAAGTCCATTCGAGATCTATCGTCTATCTGAGCACAACGAAATAAAGGAGAAGTGACGTGATGAGCGAAGCCCAGATGACTAACACAGCGGCTCTGGTTCGCAGGACATAATTACAGTGACGACTGTCATTTGGACCGGACTCGGGCGAATGGTGAAAACGATGTTTGTGAAAACGAGTAAAGTGAGGGGAATAACGAGTAAGTGGGGGGCCAGATCCGGGACAATGAGTCTGCTTCAGTGTACATGACCATATTTCAAATTGGGCTGTCCGCATGACGAGGTGCAAGGTGCTGGGTCGCGAGGAATCAGCATATCTTTAGTAGATGAGGAAAGTTCAAGGAAGCTGCCTACCTTGTGTTGATGGTCTCGAGGCATGTGTGAATGATTTGATGAATACAAAGCCTCTGGCACGGGTACATCGTCAACACGTCAACGTTCCAACGTTCACATCCAGAACGTTCCCTATAGAACCAGTGCTTACTACCCAAATATCAAGATCATAATACCACTCATCAGAATTAACAATCCTCTCTTTGTACCAACACAGCCTGCATCAGATAGTGTACGTTCCATTAGCTGTCATATAGTTATCCCAGAATCCGACCTCACCTTCGGGACCCGATTTAGAGCCTTTTAGCTTTTTGCAACATCGACAGCAGTTAACGTCGCCCGCGTTCTCATCTCATCTCGTAAACATTTACTCACAATCACAATCGGATTCTGACCCACTCTGTGCTGGCGCAAAATGAGTTTATTTGGGACAAAGTAACCCTACTCACATGATGCCGTCTGGCATTTGATGCGTGGAAAATTCTTTCCGCTGGCCGACAATTAATCAAGCCGATGATCTATTATTGTAACACAGCATCGGAGCTGTTTGTATCAGAACGCGTTTGTTTCTGATATTCTTCGAGTCACGTCTTCAACACGGCGGACTGACCCTTGATGCTTCATTCCACTTCTATTTCATGCTTTCGCTGTTGATGGCATGGAGGGACCGCGGCGCACTGGATGTTTTTTTCTGATGGCTTGATGTGACTCTTCCAAGGCATGTCTTCAACACGACCGACTAATACTCTTTAAAGTATTGTATCCAGAGTAGGAAATTTTCAATTATGGTGGCAGAGAAGCGCTTAGCTGCCAAGAATTGATCATGCTTGGGCAGTACTCATAAGTTTGATCGAGAACGAAACGGGTAATACTGATTTGCAAATCAAAGTCTACCTGGATTCAATCAGCGGCGACTTCGACTTCTACATCGCAATACTTTGACAAATTTCAAAATTTCAAGGGCTTCGAAGCTAGCATCTGCATGAATATTCATACCGATTTAGGCGGTACAAGCGCTGAACGCAGTATATCTACTAGTAGCACGAACGCTAAATCGTTATAATCTCCAACCTTCCCCACTTGCTCATATCCATCCCTCGAAAATGACTAAAATCTCAGATGATCCCAGTTGGTGGTCGTTTATCGATGACCATGATTTTTACAGCTATTGGAGGGGTTCGTCCCTCAGCCGGTGATGTCTCAATCTACTAACATTGACTTGCGGCTTCGCAGTTGCTGCAGGCTTCGTGGTGGTATACGATTGGGGTGAGCAGGACAGTGTCTGAAACTCGCTGATATTCTGATGATATTTTTAGCCCTAACCCTCGGACAAGAGGTAGGTCAGTGCTATTACTGGAGTAGTAAGCTTGCTAAGAATGATGTTATAGATTGAATTGATTTGGGTGAGCAACATATCAGATGAAACACAGGAGAATACAATGAATTTGAGGCAGGGACAACGTTGGTCTCTCATCACTGTGCTGTTCCTGGTTGTTCGTATCTCATGTTATACTATGACATGGTTGACAGTTGTGCTGACTCTAAAATGTTCTAGATACGCTATATTGGAATGCCATATTTTGTGTATGTCACTTATTGTGGCCAACAAGTTGGCGCTATACTAATAGCCCGTCTCTTATTATTAGTATCGACGCTCTGGGTACGTCGTGTATGCGTTGTATTCGATGCTTCTGACTGGCGGCACACAGCATATATCCCAATATTCTCGCTGACAGACGAAGTGAGTATTCCGCAACCATATCATTCCTATCTAATTAATACACTCATGTAGGGGTGAGTGAAATTCTGAACATTGAACTTGGCTCAACATAATGATTACACAGGTGTAAGTTTTGGAGTGTTTCATCATCGTACGAAGTTGATCACTAATTAGGTCTTTCAGGCTATCTTATGACCTACGCAAAGAATGGGCAAGATGTGATCGTGTTTGTTATGTTGGGCAGTGAGTTACCCAGCTTCAATATATTGACTCAACTGAAATATGACGCAAGTCATCATGATTGCTCGGTTACATGCCATGTATCAGGGATCTAGAATGATGCTTATCTTCCTTGTCATTATCTTCCTGGCTATAAATATCGCCTGCGCAGTAATAATCAACATAGTAGAAATCAAGGATACCACAGCGGGTGAGCTTTACTCGTTGACTTGAAGAAAATAGCTCATTGGACAAACACCAGAGGAGCTTATACTCTCTGGAAGACATATGTGCCGTTATGAATATAAGGGGGACTACCAGTTCCTGTTTCAAATGAATTGGATACTCATCACTATTTGGGAGATCCTCGCATTGTGTCTTTCAGCCTGGATTGCTGTAAAACACTTCCGTGACCTGCAACGATTCGGCCCATCAACAGGATCGATCATCGGGGACTGTTTCAGAGTACTGATAGAATCTCATGTGCTTTATTTTGCGAGGTGAGCTTGTAATATGGATGTGCTCATCTTTTCTGCTAAAGTTTTGCACGTGCTAGTTTTGTTGGTGTCCCTATCATCGAGTTTATCCTTGAGTCTTCGGAGGTCGAGGTACGCCGACTTGTCGCTGACATCTGCTTCCAACCGCTGCTCATCATTTCTGTAGCATTCAAATTCTATGGCATCTTCCATACTCCATGGCGCTTATCAGATTTTATCTGGCGTGCAGTGGTTTGTGCTGGGACCACGCCTCGTCCTTGGTGTTCGAGAATATCACGCCAAACTCGTGGCCGAATCCGACGCAGAAACTAGCATGAATTCGATTGTCTTCCAGGAGCATGTATATGTACCAACTAGCAGTTCCGTATAGGGAAATGCTTGCCGAGTGTTTTGCAGGGAGATATTCGGTTGAGGAACCGTCATGTTATTTATTCAAGTTATGGTGTTTCAAAGTATATTTAAGACGAAATTTATGTAGACATTTCTTATATATTGTATCACGTCTAGCAACCAACCCAGTCCTTGATACCCAGACGACTGATTCTATGTATTTGTGAAGTTCCGTTATCTGAGCACATATATGATAAGGAAGTGACCGCGATGCGTAAAGCCCAGATAGCTGATAACTCATTGGTGTTCACATATCTTTTCATCCATCTTGGCCACGGAGAAGGAAAAGTAATAAATCACCTGGATTCCGAGTCATGGTTTGAATGTATGCCTGTAGTCATCACTGAAAATCAAGATGTGCTATAAACCATTATATTTGCCTTATAATGGTCATAATACCCGCAATCTGGTAAAATATGGCAAGCGGTTAGATAATGTCATATATACCTTTAAACACCTAGCCTCCTTGACCAATTTAAATAATGATCATACATATTTGTCGGACTACCAAGTATGGCTTGTAAGTGAAGAGATTAACATCCTTTTCGCCCAATACACTACCTTATAAATGCACAACGGGGAGTCAGACGTTAAGCAACAGCAACTGAAATATGCAGAAGGTGATTATCTAGCTAATGCTAGCTAATATTGGTAATATATATAACGGAATGTTTGATTCTGCGGAACCAATTCGCGTCTACCCCACATGCATGCTCATCATATATAGCTTTAAATACATAGCATTTGTGGCCGTCAGCCGATCTACATAATTATTACATGTATATACCAGGACTCCGAGTATGGTACTCTACACATGTATCCCATAGCTCAATGATATCTTGGCACTAGCCTCTATCCCGGTAGCTCATTTGCAATGCGACAGTAACAAATGGTTGGCCATGAAAAGTACTGCGAGCATCTTGAAGTTCGACACGAGCAAGATGCAGGTGTTATTTGGTACTACTGATTTCGTATGCAGGATTTGCAGGGCATAGACTCGTGCGCCAGCAGAGCATCGAGCGCAGTAGCAGAGCATGGTAGTAGAGCATCGAGAGCGGTAGTAGAGCATCGAGAGCAATACTAGAACATCGAGCACAGCAGTAGATGATCAAGTCCAATGATAGGATGCAGTTCGGCAATGGGAGTTAGCCATGGGATCAAGGGCTGGCCATCCAATCGAATTTCTACCGTCGAGCGCCCCGAGTTTCCTGTGGGGTTGTTCCTAGCCATAACCAAGTTTCCTAGACAGACAAACTTTACAAATCCGAGGGAAATGCGGACCAGGAGGGGATTTTCTGGAGCAGGACTTGTCGAGAAAGTAGTATTAATGAGTGAGTAAAGGTAAAGCAGGCGATTGTGTGGGTACAGAGCATCGCCGGGGCGCAAAGAAGGTCCGATAGAGTCTGATAACGAGTAACGAACTATTTCTTATAAATGACTAGAAAATATACTTGGTGAGCGGTGATTGAGGTCTTGACTTGCTCTGCCGACACATACCTCGTTTACTTTCAGATCCGGGAACCGAACTGTTTCAGAATAGGAAGAATTGCATTATTAAAGTTAGGAATGGAGCAGGGTTGCAGGGCTGCGAGCTTCGGTGTCAATAGCGGACAACAAAAACGAACGGAGAACCGAACCGCTTTGCTTTGCTTGAAGGGGAATTCGGTTCTCGAGTACTTACATACTTGAACATGAGACCGAACTTGCCTGCCAAACTAGTGTCTAGTAGTTCGACTCGGAACATCAAGACAAATGACTAAAATAACGAACCTTTACCATGGTAGAGAACTTGAACATCAACTCGGAAGGGAAAAGAGGCTGAAGAGCGGCTATATCGCAGTATGCATAATCAAACAGCGAGTCAGTGGTCTCTTGCGGGGAATTGACAGGACATGCACAGACTGGCAATGCGGTGAGGCCAGATGCTCGACCGCTTCCGTGTCCTTGATGGAACACCAGTACTAAAAGCGAGAAATCTGACATGAGGTGGTAATGGTTGAGTCATCACAAAGAAAATAAAAGAGAAAACAGACCGAAAACCAATAGTTTGATTTGTGTCTTAAATGTGCAATGTAGAGCACTCGGAACTTGATAAGCTGTTGCCAGTGGGATATAATGGCATGTCCAATGGGTTCCGATGAGACCGAGAGTTGCAAAAATCCTGGCATTCGTCTGTCGCCCGATATACCATTATATTGGCATATCAAGCGCTGCATGGATGGAGAATATGGTCCAAAAACGATATTCTCACGTGCACTTGATAATCCAATACACCGGTATGTCAGGGTATATCATGGCCAAACAAAATTAGCTGAAAGGGTAATATAACTCGACTCATATCAGGCTGAGTGAATTTCAGTGATGTATCACAAATGAGCATGACAAGGAAATGGGAGTGGAAAATCAGAGAACCGCAGCTTCAAGCCAGAAGTACGTTGATCGGAGTCGCGCCATCGTAGCATTCCGCCCATGCGACTGCGAATTGCGTGTTGAATTTGCATCCTTAGAGTGATTTCTCGGAGCTACAATGACTGTCAAAGTAAGTACCGATCGAGATACATACTTGTGTCCACAATCTGGACCGAAGGAGTAGAAAATGAGGGAAAAGTAGAAGTAGCATCTGGGCTCAGACTGTCAGACAGCTGACGGCACAAGGGTTTTGCAGCATGTCGACTCTCACCTTGTCGTGAATTAGCGACACAAAGAGGAAGGAGGAATAAGTGACGTGGGCAGGCAAGGATCTTGCGATAAACACTGCCATTGTGGTCATGACACAGCGACCGCTGACCAGGCCGACAGAGTGGCGATTGGAAATTTGTTGGTCAGAGGGCAATCGTATTGAACTGGAGATAGTGAACAGGGAAGATAGGTATGCATTCAAAAGTTGGAACAACCAGTAAGGACAAACAAACCGGTGCGTGACTGTTTCATCATCAAATGCCAAATGTTTAAGGAAATAATCGGCCATCCAACTCGTCCAGCATCTCTTTCAACTCCTGTTGCTTCCTTGTGATGGCATGGGGCAACCACATACACTGAAGCATCCCTACGCCAAGACCCTCCGGATAAGGGTCATAATGGCGATAGTAAGAGAAATATATATTTCGATAGCAGTAAATATGGCACTCGCGAGTGACGTAGGATTTAAAAACAGACATTGGCGATCAGTCTCGAGCGTGAGGTTGGATACGCAAATTTTAAGGACCACTGATGGAGTAGAAATTATACAAGGCCACGAAATCTTGTGAATCACGAGTCTGAACACAAGGAAACATAAGTAGAAGCGACATTTATTATCAAAGGCTAGATGGTTGATAACATCATAACTCAACAAGAACCGTAGTTTTATCAATAATCTAAACCAAATGGATGGAAGGTGGAAGAAGTAATGACTCACCCTTCTCCTGAACTAGAGTGTGTTTGAATACAAACTTTGAAGGTCTAGGAGGGATAAGTGAAGTGGGCAGGCGAGAATCTTCTGCCAGTATGATCACTATAAAGCGGCCGCTGACCAGGCCATACGAGTGGTGATTCTGAATTTGATGGTCAGAGAAGGCAATCTTGCGTCTGGATGCAGAAGTGATGATGAAGGTGGAAAATGGGGAAGATGGGGATGTATCCAAAGATATCTTGTAGGGGTGCCGTGATGTCTCCCATATGGGCCGTCCGAGAGACCAATAATGAAGACGATTTGTGGACGACCGGTGAAACGGTGTGCATGTACCAACTAGCAATTAGGCACCAACTAGGGGAAATTCTTGCCGAGTGTTCTGCATACTAGAGGAGATTGGTCGAGGATCCGTCATTAGATTGAAATATTGACATGTCGTTGTTGGAAATGTTTTTGAGACTCCGAGAATCTATTTTATTTTACTTACGGACACCTATCTAGTATCCACTTGCTCGGATCCGAAGTGAACGCGAACTTTTCGAATTGACTACTTTCCCAAAACCAGGTCTGAACAAATAGTACTGCAGCCTGCTCTGCAAGTAATAAGCACTAGGCCGTTCTGGAACGCAAGTACTCACATGTGCCACTCTCTCTCACTTGCATCATGGAGGACAAGAATCGACGTGCTCGTGAAGCTCTCGGATGGACGGGCACTGTGGTATCAAAACTAGAAGGAACGACTATCTTCCATTTAGTATTTGGTCTGACTAGTACTTATATATATGAGACTAAAGTGTTGCTCCTGTGACAGGTTCTCCAGACACAGTCTTCCTCGCGCTCAAGGACATTGGCCGCCACTTTTACTACCCATTCAGTCTACTGCGAGTAATGCTGCCCTAAAGGCTGAGTGCTAGTTGTACTTCTTTTGTACGCCACGAACTCCAAAATGTCCAGCTGGCTACCCATGTATACATAACACTACCTTCATATTTTCCATTTCGTTCCTACCCTTCACCTTGTATTCATTTCTAAACATGATTGCGGCCCTCCTTATCTACAACATGATGATGCTCTAACTTCCCCAGCCTCAGGATACCACACATCCCGCTATTCCTCTCAGCACATCTTCGCACCAATCCGGCATCAGATTCAAATCCACATGGAAGTATTACAGTATTTATCCTGTTCTACTACTCTTGACGACATATGCTAGGCTGACCATCGATACAGCAGTGCTCATGCGTCCGCCGTCCTCGAGCATAGACTCGCTTAATTATTGATCTGCGCCCAAACTTAAACCTTACCCCGACCTCACCCAAGAACAATGAGTCATCAACCGATTGAACCATGTATCTCAATGCTCAAGGTAAGCATTTCCATGAACTTTTGTCTGAGATATGTTCTGACTCCCTGCAAGTTATATTCCCCTCGTAGTCCATCTATATGGACAGCCCAAATGGACGATAGGGAAATGGTGATTTTCATGAAGAATCATTGCTTTATCAGCCATCTACTCGCTCTGCGAATCTTCGTTTTCGTTTTAAGAAACAGAATTCACCCCTCGTACTTTTTTCACTTGAGTCCTACAACTGGTCCATGTGGATGAGCAGGACCGTCGCGTGACCAGCAGTGTGAACTTCGACATGCTACTCAGGGTGCCACTGATCAATGACGATGGTGTCAATAGTTGGGTTTGTGTCAAATCTGGTTCGATGCTTCACACTAACAGACATGCTACCTTCTCTATGGGTATTCACAGATCACAAGGACTGATGTAGCGGGGCGCTCTGGCAGGACAGGACGGGAGTGGCAGGGGTCCTGGCGCGGTGGCAGGAGTCCTGGCTCGTAGTCGGTAGTCCTCGCGTGTGTCGTAGTCTGTCCTCGATAGACAGAGCCGTAGCCTCCCGCCATAGAGGTCTGGCCTTGGTTCCCTTGCAGTCCGTGCCCGTTCCATCTGGTGATGAGAGTGGTCTTCGCTCCCCGTGCTTGACATCTGAGATCTGAGTCCTGGTTTTCGCATTTTCACATTTTTTTTGCTCCGGTCTACTTTTCGACTTCTCTTGGTTTCTGGTCCCCGAATTTCAAATTCATGTCTATAGAACCTGTCCCGCTCTTCTATGGTGACTATAGCGGCAATGAGGAACCGTCTACGTGGTTCACAGAATTCCAGCTCTCCCTTCCAACAACATGGACCGACACTCAGCGTGTCCGGCGCTTCTCTATGCAACTCGTGCCCGGACAAATGGCAGACCAGTGGTTCCAGTCACTCAACTCAGTCCAAACTGCCACATTTGCGGCACTCACGATAGCTTTTTTCAAACGGTGGCCACTTCTGAAACCGCCCAAGTTATCTCGTGCGCAGCAGAGAGAGCGCGTGGCTGCGCATGCACTGAAAGAGGGTGATATTGGAGCATTGGCGCCCAACGGCAACTTTGCGCATGTTGTATGGGCAACTGAGATCTCGCAACTTGCTTTGGGTATGGGAGATTTAAAAGGAGATTTGATTGAGGATGTGCTCGAGGGCATCCCCGACCTCCTCAAGGACCACCTAACATGCAGTTACTCAACATGGGACGAGTTCGTTGAAGATGTGCTACGAGTTCCCAGCATCAAGCTCCAGCGGAGTCGTGAGAAGTTGGAAGATAGGAATCGTCGAGACGCTGACATTGCGCAGTTGAAGGCATGGAGTTCGTCTGTACTGTTGCCATCCTATCTACCGTCTTCGCCAATCACCAACACTAACCTTCATACTGCCCCGCCCACTTGGGCAGATGATGTGTGCTACACAGTTGCTCAGACTCGACCTTCGCGCGATTTTTCGGCCCTTCGCACTTCCTGTCGCAACCCATGGTCCAGTCTTCAGTACCGGCGTCGTCGTTTGCGGACTCATGTTCAACTCCCTCACACAGTATTTGCAGTACTCCCACATCACTCACACTTGAGACGCTATCCAACATTCTTCGACAACTCGCCATATCATTTTTCCCACCATGCTACTAGTACACCACATTGTCCTACTTGCCGGTGTCAAAAACCTCTCCGTCTCGTTCAGCCGCCGCATTCTCGTCATTTTCGGACTGCGGCCACACATTCGTCGTTCGTGGTACAACCGCGGACGGTTGCATTTGGAGAGGGGGGAGGTGTACCAGGGTGGTGGTCTGGCGCAGGTTTCCGCACTCCCGCACGTTCGTCTTTCGTCTTGCAACCGCGGACGGTTGCATTTGGAGGGGTGGCATATGTAGCGGGGCGCTCTGGCAGGACAGGACGGGAGTGGCAGGGGTCCTGGCGCGGTGGCAGGAGTCCTGGCTCGTAGTCGGTAGTCCTCGCGTGTGTCGTAGTCTGTCCTCGATAGACAGAGCCGTAGCCTCCCGCCATAGAGGTCTGGCCTTGGTTCCCTTGCAGTCCGTGCCCGTTCCACTGAACAAAAACCCGACGCACAATTCTACGATCACGATCACTTCCAAGGCTTTCTTCGTTCTTTATGCTCAGACAGACGATAATCAGGGAATTTGTCATTGTGTGAAATTTTCCGACTATCAGCTGTCTGAGCTCAGACGCACTGCTTTTACTTTCCTGGTTCACGATACTTTCGCATCGCGTTCAGATGCCTGGCCCACACAGATGATTGCAGAAGAGGACAGCATGAAAGCAGGAGCGATGTATCATCAGCCATATGTGCTTTTACAATCACTGTTGCTTCTCACGTCTTCTGTCTCAGACAGCTGGTGATACTTTGTCAGATGTGCTTTCCTCCCATGAAAATGATGAAATACTCGAGCCGTAAGCCTCTTAAAACTATCTTTCTCCACATCGTTAAATCGTGCTTGAACACAGAGATTGCTGTCGACGACATGACTTGCTACAGTGGTCAGCTTTGGATGGTTCAATCAGATGATCGACGCCCAATCAGTCGACTAGTAGCTTTAGGACATCGACACCCTACTTCGACCCATCACGATTCGACATTCCTTCTCTGCGGCCCAGATGGATAATGATGAAGGCGTGGAGGTTAGATGATCTGACACATTATCAGCCCTCTGTGGTCTCACGACTTGCTCAGGTCGCTTCTCCTTTTACTTTTCTGGGGCACACGATAGAACCATGTGGTCTGATCAAAGTACGTATGTCAGAATGTCGTGGTCGGCGTCTTGTTGATACTTTTCCAGTCCCGAATCTCTTCTCTACTCCCCACTCAGCACTCCTCATCTTCTTGCCAGGTCCATTTATTCGGAACAGAGGCATATACTCACCCCGTGAGTCTCCTTCTCTTTTCAATTGTCATACTCGATATGGTCGAATTATGCTCGAACAGACGTCAATCAGCGATATAGTGCTTGCTTCTACCCTTCACGCACAACTTCCCTGCTGTCCAGATGGATAATATGAGGTGGGCACGCGTCTGTTCCGCTCTTATGCACGACACTTAGTCATTCAACTCACAGGCGGTAGACCTCGTGGAGAAGAGCCACCAGCGAGGAAGTCTGTTCAGAGACTGTTGGCCATTCTCAGGCCTCCTAGGCACGCCTTGAACCAGAGACGTGTAAGTTCTAACAAGCTTCTAACCCAAATTCAGCCTATCATTCAATCCCTCTTTCATCGTGCTTTTATTTAGTTCGGGATTGGAAGTACTTTGTCCGTAATCGAAGACCCCTGCTTCGTATCCGCATCCACAAGGTCAGACATCACAATGTGACAGATGTTTGTGGATCACTACTATACTAATCTTCATCTGATCTTCCTTCCAGTTCAGATGTCCACACCGGTACATATCAATCCCCGTCAACGTTCACATGCACATCCAGAATGTTCACTAATCGATAGATTGGTACTGGTCGGAAATCACAATATACTTTCGTTCGATCGATACTTAGGACTTCCATATTTGTTTGATGTCACATCACACAATACTGACTTCAACCAATCAAGGGCCTCGACTCCGACCCTCGGAGGCAGGTGATATCCATCATCGTCATGCCGATTTGGCGATACGAGGGCTGCAGCGCTGAACAGCAGTATATCTGGTACGAAGACTAGATCGTTATAACCTTCAACATCCCTCACTCGCTCGCACTCATCCCTCGAATATGACCCTGGTCTCAAATGATCCCGCTTCGTGGCCGATAATCAATTCAAATGTTTATTTAAGCTATTTGATGGGTTCGTCGTATTAGTTGGTGATGTCTCGAACTAACGTTGACTTGCGGCTTCGCAGTCGCCGCAGGCGTCGTGGTGGTATACGATTGGGGTGAGCAGGATAATGTTTGAGAACTACTAACATTCTCATGATATCTCCAGTACTTACACTTGGACGAGAGGTAGGTCGATGTTATTCCCTGAGCAACCAACTCGCTAAGTATGGTGTCATAGATTGAATTGATCTGGGTGAGTGACAGAGTCGCATCAGGAGAAAAACAACAAAATACAATGAATTTGGGGTAGAGGCAACGCTATTCTCTCATGATTGCGCTGTACTTGATTGTTCGTACCTCATGTCATACTATGGCATGATTGGCAATTGTGCTGACTCCAAAATGTTCTAGATACGCTATGTTGGAATACCATATTCTGTGTACGTTTTTGAAGCCGACAAGTTGGTACTGTACTAATAGCCCATCTCTCGTGATCAGCATAACTGTTCTGCGTACGTCTCATGCACTACGTTCGATTCTTCTGACCGGCGGCACACAGTACATATACCATTGGTCTCGAAGACAGATGAAGTCAGTATTCCCCAACCGATCTCATTTTCATCCAATGAATATACTTATTTGTATATTTGTAGGGGTGAGTGACATTCTGACCATTCAACCTAGCTCAACATAATGACTCAATAGGTGTGAGTCTGAGTGTTTGATCCTCGTATGGTCACCAATCGGGTGTTTCAGGCAACATTGCGATCTACGTATTGAATGGGACGGATGTGGTCGTGGCTGCCATGCTGGGCGGTGAGTTACCCAGCTGCAATACCTCAGTGATATTGACTCGACTAAAACATGATACAAGTCATCATGATTGCTCGGTTACATGCCATGTATCAGGGATCTAGAATGATGCTTATCTTCCTTCTTATTATCTTCCTGGCTATAACCATCGCCTGGGGAGTACTCATGGCAATATCACTCAAGTATACTGTAACGGGTAAGCTTTACTTGTTGACTTGAAGAACACGGCTCATTGGACCAACACCAGAGGAGCTGATATTCTCTGGCACATATATGTGCGAGTATAGCTTTGAGGGGGTCGTCCAGCTTCTTATTTCAATGCTTTGGGTGCTCTACACTGTTTGGGAGGTCCTCGCACTGTGTCTTTCATTCGGGATTGCTGTGAAACACTTCCGTGACCTGCGACGACTCGGCCCATTGACAGGATTGACCATCAGGGACTGTTTCAGAGTGCTGGTACAATCCCACGTGCTTTATTTTGCGAGGTAAGCTTGTAATGTGATTAATGTGCTCATCTTTGCATGCTTAAATTCCATACGTGCTAGCTTTGTTGGTGTCTCTTGCTTCCAGTTGGTTACTTTCTCTCCAGAGTCCAAGGTGCGCCGACCCGCCGCTGACATCTGCGTGTAACCACTAATCATTTCTGTAGAATTCAAATTCTATAAGAACCGACATACTCGATAGCGCTTGTCAAATTTTCTTGAGCGTGCAGATGTTTGTGCTGGGACCACGCCTCATCCTTAGCGTTCGAGAATATTACGCTAAGCTCGTGGCCGAATCCGACGCAGAAACTAGCATAAGTTCGATTTTCTTTCAGGAGCGCGTCCATGTACAAACCAGCAGTACTGTGTAGGGAAATGCCTGCGGAGTGTTCTGCATGGAGGAGAAATTTGGTCGAGGATCTGTCGTGGTATTTATTTAAGCTACAGTATATTTAAGACTAGGTTTGCGTAGACATTTCTCACTAAATACTGGAAGTCGATGAATCGCCCGCACACACTTCGGCTCTCTGACTTATCATTTGACTTGATGTTCATTTGAAAATTACTGATATATTTCTCCATAGGTGTTAACTAACACGATCAAGAATTCGTATTCCCTACGGCATCGGTATACTACAAGGTAACAGTACAAACTGCAATATGAATTGCATTACAGTAATATTGTGTTTTTGGAAAGAGGCCTTCTCTATGATATGTCTAGTTAGACAGTTGCTTGATCTTCATAATGATCGCTGTAGGAAAGCCACGATTAATATCAGTCAGCATCAAATTCAAGAATAAGACGAACATTGAGGGTCAAGGTTTTGATGAGGAATTTGCTCAGACAAACCACCGCAGCCCTCCTTGGTCGTACCCATGTAGCCATACTTGGGTGTGAGCTGGCGCTCGATGAGCCAAGTACCCATCTTCGAACCAAGCTGAAACACACGTTAGTGTGAATCTACCTCACGCGAATGGATACGTACCCCAGTCTTCTGGTTCAATGACTCAACGACCAGTACGAAGGGGCTTGAACCGATCTTCCTAAGCGTTTGTTCATCGACCAGGTTGAGCGTAGGCTTGTTGATCAAGCCAACATCCAGACCCTCCTGGCGGCAGCGCAGGACAGCGTCCCACGAGCGGTACAGCATCTCACCGAAAGAGACAACATATCCAGCTTTGCCATCCACGATCGTCTCGTCCTTGCCAGGCACGAACTTGTAGCCGTCACCGAAAAATTTGGTACCGTCCTCCTTGAGGATGTAAGGCACCTTCGAACGGGTGGAGAAAACGAAGCGCAGGCCACGCTCGAAGAAGACCCGCTGGATGACAGCCACCATCTGCAATGGGTCGGCAGGGAAGTAAAGCCACGACTGAACATCAGAGAGACCATTGTCGGCGAAGAAGGAGTTGACACCAAAGTGGCAGGTGTTGTCGGCCATCTAACGACAGAGTGAGCCCAGGCCTCTAGATCTAACATCGATAATTTACGCACCTCATCAACACCAGAATGCGAGAAGTGACTAAGAACATTGCAGTTGTTCAGGCGGGCCATGGTGACTTCAGAGATAACCATCTCAAGGAAAGCAGAGAACGTCGAGAAGACACCAAACTTGTTCGCGTCAAAACCGAAACCAGCGGCTGTGGAGAAGTTTCCACGTTCCATGATACCGGATGGAACGAATACCTCAGGGTGCTTTTGGTGGATAACCTTGAGACCAGTGGAGCCCTCGAGATCACCTTTTTTGAAATGAGCTAAGTTCTTAGTAAATTTATCGATGAACCCACTGTCGATCACCATGACTTTCTCGGCAGCCTCCTCCTTGCTAAGCTTGTCCAGTACCAAGTTGACAGCTTCACCAAAGACAACACGATTTGCGCCAACCTCCTTGGTGGAGCCGATGTATAAGTACGGCACGCTCGCAGGCTTGATGTTGTTGAGAATATCCTCCGACACTGAAGTGGGGTATCCCCGTGCGGTGAGGTATTTAATGGCGGCCTTCACAGGGATAACATCGTGTCCGTGAGTGCTACCCTCGATGTCAGCAACACCCGGTGCCATAAGACGCTTGGCGACGACTGGAACCATGATTAAAACTCAAGTTACGCTGGGAAGTCGACGGGCTTACCAGCAGCAGGACCATCGTAGGTAACGACGGCGGCGACGGCGGCCCATAGGGCGTCGATGTCCTCACCCTGAACTGTGTAGACCTTGAGACCATGACCTTCAAGAGTCTTACTGACGTCGTAGCCCTTCAGGTACTGAGATGGGTGTCCGGCGATAGTGACGTCATTGTCATCGATCAACAATTTAACGTTCAAGTTCTGCGCAACAGCCAATCTGGCAGCCTCGGCATCGTTACCTTCCTGTTGGGAACCATCGGAGCCCAGACAGAAGACAACTTTTTCCTTGTTTGCCATTGCGACACCGTTCACCATGGGCCACATGTGACCAAGACGGCCGGAGGAGAACTTGACACCAGGTGTCAAACCCAGTTCGGGGTGACCAGGTAACTTTGAATTGGCTTCACGGTAATGAAGGAGATGCTCAGGGGGAATGTGCCCATCGAGAGCAGCGAGAAGGTATTGAGTTGCGACACGGTGACCTTAGTATATTGTTAGGTCAAGTCCAAAAGACGCATATATTCATTTGCATACCTGCTTCGTCGAAGACGATGGGGAGGTACTTCTCCGATGCCTCAAACAAGCTGAGGAGAATACACACCTCCGGAATGGTGTCATAAGCTCCACCTGATGCGAATGGTAAGCGAGAAGCAAGCTATCGGAGATCAAAGCTACAAACCAGTATGCCCGCTCACTCCCCGAGCAGCACCTGTTGCGGTGAAGAGCACGAGAGCATCACGGAGAAGCTGGATGTTGTGCAGAAGAGTCGATTTCTGTTCTGCAGTCAACTGGGGCTTGGAGGGGTCAAGCGTCAATCTTATCGCATCCCCGATTAAGCAGACATTCCAAATTTACTGCGACAAGAAATAGACACTGACTTTCTGTACTTCTTGAGATCGATTGGGAATGCGCTCTCTGTGCCAGGCATTTTGGGAGATCAGGTGCTTCGAAGGTCTAAGTAATGGTGGTGTGATGATAGACTGATCATTCGATCTTACCAGCTTTATTAAGGTGAGCGTGTGAACTTGCATATATGCGGGCCGCGTTAGCAGCTACAACTCACATGAACTTACCAACATGCAACGAAAGGAAACGTTCGAAAGCTTTCACAAGCGAGAGCACACCGGAGCGCACTCAGCTAGTCCCGGAGTACAGGTAACTAGGCCATTTGCTCACTGCATTGCTTCACTAGTCCCTTCGATGAGAGAACGACACTACCGTGAGCATGTTCACATATAGATTAGTGCACATCTTCCCAATCATGTGAGCGGTCGTCGCTTTTTCATGGGTATCTGTGAAAGTTCTGTGAGTCTCCTATATGTCTTCTTGTGAGTTTCTATGGAACGAACGAATCATGATGCTTTCCGTAGATCTATACACACGTTCTTCGTATTCGGCCTGGGATGGTTACCTACGTAACTTTCTCCGCGCGCGTTTGTCGGAAACTACATCCCTTTCGAGAGGCTAGTGGTACAGGAACCCGGTGGGGGCGGTACCCCTGACGAATGATTGTGGTCAATCTAATTATGGTCAAGTGAAATGTCGATCTACCCCGTCCTATCTGCGCTGCTCACTAATGCTAACACCGACTTTGAACTAGTACGTCGACATTGTCTGCACTCAGAAGGCAAGGTTTGACATATTAGCCTATCACTTACCTACTTACTAGACCATAACTGCACTTTCCCGAGAGTGGATGAACAGCCGGTGAAATGGGTCCTGGTCCCTTGATATGCAGCACGCATTGATCGTACTTGCCTAAAACTTGAAGAGAGTTTCGAGTCTATCATGTGTGGATAAAACCGATACACAGGACTGGGTCCAATTTCACGATTGTTCATAAGTATGTATGATAGTCATCGACATCACTGAAGTTAGAATCTCAGCATGGTCCATCAAACTCATGACATCTACTGCAAGTACTCATCATGTGAACCGACATCTTAGGTTGTACGTACCGCCTCCACCGGCGGATATACTGCCAGTAGCCTTCGAAATTCGTTTGGGCCGGTCTTACTCTGGACTACACAAGGTATGGTATATCGGACCTTGAGATATTATTAACGATGATGCTGGTCACGCGTAGTTTGGCTGCGGCGCCGCACATGTGCTTCAAGTTGCGGAAGAAAAGTGGATGTCCTTTTTCAGATGTCGGAAAGATCCCATGTCTCCCGATCTATAGACCAACCCAAATTTCAGGCGTCCTACACTCGAAATGATAAGAGCCAGAAGGCGAAATTCTGCACGATGTCTGAGCTAATGTGTCTCGGATGATAACACAAGCTTTCCGCTACACCTCTCGTTACTCCTCCATCGCCATCACCAGCAGTACCTGGCTTTAGACCTGCTTCCACATTCAGTGCACAGCAAACACCAGTTAGTTTTGCCTTTGCACCGAAACGTAAAGCGGACTCAAATAACTCCACCAAATCCACAACACGCACCAAGCCCAAGGCAATTTCAAAAACCTCCTTACCTTGAAGAATTTCCTTGCATCTATTTTTGTATGGTGGAAGGCCTGTACATTCTCGTATTGTATTAGTATGATACACCCGTTTCAACATATCAGATAAATGTTCCCCGGTGTCCTATCCTGAGCCACATCGAACTGGATTAATTGCCCGCACAAGACCCATCGGTGCCTTGCAAACGAGCATTTCAGGATGTGGGAATTACAGATACGAAACGGCGTGCAACATTGCTTCCCGAGAACTTTGGCGTATTCAGATGGCGAAAGGCAAATGCAAACGGGAACGAAGGCGCAGGGACACGGAGAGCTGGCAAGGGGGCTGCAGAGAGGAGACGATGGGCAGAATACTCTGTTTGTGATAAAGAGGTGATCGTTTAGGGCTGCGGCAGCTCGAGTAGTAGAAAATTTCTATTTTGGTGAGGCGATGGCTCTGGACCCAGTTCGAACTCGAACAGAACCATACCTGACCGATCCATTGGCGAACCTATAATCCTGGTCCAGGTTTGAGGGTAAGGAAACGTGGACCTGCGGCACCGAATGATATTATTCAGATCAGAGGAATGTGATGGGGCGATGATTAATATGGAGCCCATTACCCAGTTCAAGTTCTGAGTCCGTCGAGTGGGCATGCTGCAAAGAAGAACTCGTGATCGTCACTTATTACCTCTTACATGCGGTGAGTTTGTTTGTTGGTGCATTTTAACATGTGGCGTATTTTGTGATGTCGTACTGCATTCGTTCTAGTTCACGCTTGTATCCGCGTCCGATTAATTTGTTCAGGGCGGGCCCATCAATGTACCATGTGTCGAAGATTTGAAGCTAAGCCTCATAGGTTCTGGTCCTTCGCAACTACCAATTTTTCCGTACAGGAAGACGACAGTTGTTCCTCACTATCATCCGACTAAATCAGCTAGTACAAGTCATTGGATGCTGGCTGCTGCTGCCAGTGGCAACCTTCTCGAGGAATATCGCTTTTCAAACTAGTTAGTGATGAATTTAATGACGCGCGCGGTACGCTAGTGTCCAAATGGGGTTTGCTAGTCCAAAGTTGAGATCCACTTACGACGACCATCACACTATAAGATGGGGCATTGCTCGCTCGCCTTTAAGGAGATACGCTCACCCTCCTGTTCACGTCATATACGCTCTCTGCTCTATGATGACCACGACTTTGAAAAGGGAGCTCCGGGATATCATTCAGTATCGCAATGCCTACTTGCTTGCGTTCTCAGCGACCACGGGATACGTCTGCTTCGGTTGGGAAATTGGTCTTATAGGTGGGGTGATCACATTGCCATCATTTCAAGAATATTTCGGTCTGTCATCGGAATCAGCCTCTGCACGCGCCAGCTTGAGCGCTAACATAGTTTCGGTCCTGCAAGCGGGCGGATTGTGAGTGCAGTACAGTTCCTTACCTCAATTAGACTCATATATTTAGCTTTGGGGCATTATTTTCGAGCTACTTTGCAAGCCGATTTGGGAGAAAGCCTGCTCTAATAACTTCGGGAGTCATCTACCTCATCGGAAGCATCATCCAGTCAACAGCTGGAATTGGAACGTCCTCGGCTGTTGGATTGAAAGTTTTGTATTTCTCCCGTTTCTTCGGCGGCATGGGAGTGGGTTTGATGTCAGCTTTGGTGCCGGCGTACGTATCCGAATGTGCCCCGAGAGCCATACGTGGTCGATGCACTGGTTGCATCGAAGTTTCGGTGGGACTGGGAAATATGCTGGCTTGTGGGTGTCACTTCCAGACATGTGACAATTCACTGAATGATGGTGTATAGTTTGGGTCAACTACAGCGTTTCTCTTAATATCTCACCAGGACAAATGCAATGGCGATTGCCCTTTATCGCCCAGATTATACCTGGGGCGCTCTTGGTGTTTTTTATGCTTTTCCAACCCGAGTCTCCCCGTTGGCTTGTGGAACGCGGGCATTATGATGAAGCAGCTGCAGCCCTCGCATATATTGCGAGGAAAGATCAGGACGATGATGCTGTCGTACTGACTCTTGGCGAGATTCGCGCTGATTTCGTCGGGAAGCACAGACTACCGCTGCTCACACAATTCCGCAAGATGGGAGAATCAAAAATCATATTTCTGCGCTGCATCATCGCTTCTATCGCCACCTTCTTCCAGCAGTGGTCCGGCACGAATGCAATTAATTACTATGCTCCCGAAATATTTGCCGGCCTCGGTTTCTCATCTACTTCTTCAGCGTTATTTGCCACTGGCATATATGGTGTCATAAAATTCGTCGTCACATGCATGACTCTTGCCTTCGTCATCGAAAGTTGGGGTCGGAAGAGAACCCTGATTTATGGTGGTCTAGCGCAGGGCCTGATGATGTTATGGCTTGGCGGGTACGCTGGTATTCACCCCGGCCAGGGCATTGTGCCAGCGACGTACGTTTCCATTGTCGCCATATATCTATACGGCGTCTTCTTTTGCTTAGGCTGGGGTTTTACACCCTTTGTCCTCGGCTCTGAAGTTGCGCCAGGCCATCTCCGTATGGCCGCCATGTCCCTCGCAGCTGCGACTACCTGGCTGTTTACCTACGTCATCGCCCAAATCACGCCCATCCTGCTAGACCGTATAACCTATGGCACTTACCTCCTGTTTGGCGTTGCTTCACTTATAATGGCAGCATGGGTATACATCTTCATACCCGAGACGACTGGGTATCCACTGGAAGACATCAAATATCTCTTCGAGAGAGATATCATCCTTCGCTCGTTGGAAGATGCGCCTTTGGGCTGGATCTTCCTTGGGAAGCGCCGCGCCGTCTCCGTTGAAGAGCTTAAAGCCGCCGATATCCTTCCGACAAATAGTCCCAAGGATATCTCAGAGGAATTGAGGTTGGAGGATGCGTCCGCGCGGGGTCATTCCCTTCGGACTTCAAATTCACAAGGGTGTGATGATCCTCTTATTATATGAACGTAGAGTATTGCGGGCGTTACATGAATCTTTGTATGTATTTCCACAGCATCTGTAGCTTATGTATTAGTTATCTAGCTTTACTTCTTGATGTAATAATGCGCAGTAAAGACCGATTGAATCCACGTGCAATAATAAAACCCCGACGACAAACTCATTGACAACTCTTGCATGTTCCCGTCGACACTGTTGACGTGCTCACCGCGCTTTCGGACCAAGATGACACCTGAGATCGAGGAAGGACTTCCAATGTGATTGGTGGCCGACAGGACTGCAAAGACATACAAAAATCTCTAAGCCTTGCTAGCAACCCGAGCCGCTCGATGCGCCTGTTTGCAAGCATGCCTTCCATTAAGATGCCTCTTCAAAGCATCAGGACGAGTGAACGGGTGTCGGCAACCCAAGCATGAATATTCAGGAGCACGATGTCTAAGACACTGCCGATGGCGTGCAAGATCGGTGGCACTGTGACAGACCTGCCTGCAGCCGTCGAGTAAACAGGGAAATAAAGTCTGTTTGGGTCCAGCGAAACTCCTTTCTTTGACCGATGCCGATGATTCATATTCAGAGTCATCGGTTCTGTAAGTGGGCGTGAAAGTATCGGACGAAGAACACCGTTTGCGAGTTGTAGCTTTTCGCTCGTCTCTGAGGCATTTTTGCCTTTTGGTGCTATCCCTGGGCGGAGCTGATGCATTTCGTCTCTTCTTTGTGACCGCAGTCCGGGTGCCCAGAACCCTGACATTCGAAGAAGCTGGAGTACATGGATGGGGAACATTGATTTCATCGTAACCGTCATCGGGGGTAGAAGAAGTATAGCCATCCTCAGAACTGTCGGACCATGACACAGAACCGAGAGAAGAAGCCGAAGGCATTGGTGAATCCTGTGTGACGCTATGCAGCTGCCATGACATTGTACCGTCTGTCGAATAACCGCAGTCATCAATCCTGTCATCGACATCAGATAGATGATCGTCACATTGGGTGACAAATGGTCTGTCAGAAACTGCGCTATTACGTCTACGACACGATCGGAGTGCTTGAAAATCCTCGCAGTCCAGAGGCGGGGCGCAGGGGCGCAGGGAGTTAACCTCACTTGGTCTCACAGACACAGCACCACATCTCTCCTCGTAAGACGAACGACAAGGACGATAACCAAGCCTGTCCCATGTTATTCCCATATCGGAAGGTGAACTTTCCATCGCACTGGCGAGATAACATGGTCGTTTCTGACCAAAACCCCGAGTATGTGGGCAATTACGTGAATCCCAGGCACGAGCCACAGCATCGTAAAGCTGCGAAACATAAGGACATCATTCATACACAGATCGTCTAGCTTACGTTGTTCGGGAACTTGAATGATGCCAGCTCTTCATCCATGGTAGCAATATCGAAATGGTTCTCCAAAGTGCAATTGTAACCAATGCTACAGTCGAATGCGGTCGCCAGACACGCCGATGTGAATGGGATCATCGTGAACGAGTAGAGCTGATTGGAGACCGCAGAGATGTGTGTCGGAGGAAGGGGAACTACATTTGACTTTATAAGTCAGTCTGGATCATCCGCGATCATGTAAAGCACTTTGTTGCGAGCAACAAAGCATGAAATTGATGCGTCTAGGTAGGATGTCATTTTGTTTCTCAGAGCGGCCATCCCAAAAACATGTAAGTCAAAACATTCAAGGACGCCAAGCATGACTTACAACCATTGTTTCAAGCCTTTCACTGATCCTGACACAAGAAGCATGAGAAGTATTAGTAGTGCAGAGACATCTATCGCGGCCCAATTGAACAAAGGAAGAAAAGGTTGCAAAAAGGTCCCTTTCAAATGTGGGAAAAGTCGAAGCGAAGTTGATCATGAATGTACTCTTCGGTCTCATCCACAGTCCAGATCCATCGAGTATCCAGCGTCCACGGGAGTCTCGAACAGATGACTATTTTGTGAACACGAAGACAGGAAATAAGTACGTAACGTCGCTCCAAAAGAACACGATATATTGAGCAAGCCTCTGCGCCGGAGCCAACGGCTAGCCAATAATTCATATCATACCGCTCAACGCATGTCTCATTAAGGCACTCAGCTCTATTTGCGACCTTAGGGACTTGATATTTAAAATCGTGCCTGTAACGAAGGATCAACTCTCTCACTATGATCGGAGGTGCATGCATGATTATCAAGCACTTACATACCGCAGTTCGTCTGCGAAAGAATGGATGGTCCTTGTCCCAAGTTGTGTAAATTCATTCTCCTTCATTAGTGAGAGGGCAACCGAGCGGTAAGCGCGAGAAGTTATGTAGTGTTACAGTGAGTTGAAATATGTCACCCGTTGAGACATTGCATACTCACGAAAATCAACCCTTATATCAATATTAGACGAGATAGCTACCGGCTCCGAGGAGGGAGCATGCGGCACCCTGTGATCCTTGACACGACCAACGTCTAGCCAATCGCACTCGCGCAGCACACTGAAGGCTACCACGTAACTGAAAAATCTATCCTGAATAATAATCCTCAGACCTTATTCCTGAATGCGTCAATCCGAGTCGGTTACTCACCACTGTTGGTTATTCTGAAATAGGTTGCATGCTTTTCACAATTTCGACGGCGAATTCGGCTGTGTTAGCTGTGATACTGGTAGCACCTGCTCTGAGTACTCCAGAATAAGTTAGCAACACCACTAGGACAACGATACGCGCATAATGGCTCGCCGCCGATGGGTTTAAATTCTATGATGCTGGGCCGTTTTATTTTGCTCAGCGCTCAGCGCCGCCACCGGGCTTACGCTCGAGAAGTTCAAATCACGCAAACCCCCGAAGTGAAGCTTGCCTCTTCTGTCGGCGCTCGCTAAATAATATACCCTCGGCTAATACCACCCGATGGTCCGTGCGCAGTTAGCCGCCTAGTATAAAGGTCGACCACTCGCGACTCTAATTCTTCATACTTACCTTGATGGCACGGACCTCTTCATGTCTCGGGTTCTTGGGCTGTAGGGACCTTTCATAGCACGGCGACCTTGTCCTCACAGAGGGTGCCTTCAGTTTGTGTGAGCTTCGGCTCATGCACTGTCTCAATATTTTCCTGTCCCACCACGGCCACTCTGGCTGGGTGGGCCTTTTCTTTGCTGGTTTATTGTCCTAACCCTAACCCTAGTCTGGTCGAAAGTGGAAAACTGTCAATGAATTTGATTGCCACCAAAATTGCCAATCCATCCATCATCCGTTCATGAGTGATGCGATTCGATCGTGTGTCGACTCGCCAGACTCTGAGGGAAATTGATTCAATTGATTCACTGCCAGTTCACTCAAACAGATACTCCGCATCAGCATCAGGTAGAAGCTGTAGCCTGTCAGATCATTATGTGTTTACTAAACATGCACATATTCTTCGGCCCTACTAGTGAATTCATGGTTACGCGTCGACGGTTATTGATCACGCCGTAGCCTCGCACGCAGGCCTGCACCTAATGTCGCCTTCTCAACATGGTCTAGGAACATGAAACCTGAGGACTCTGAATTTGCGTTACGACGATCTGCTCGAGGCTAATGGAGTGTCAAGCTCGGTGATTGCCTCTGTTTTTCAAACAGGCTGCCAGGCTTCCCGCGAGCGCAAAATGATGGAGTACATGCGGTACGCGCGTCAATCGCTCCTCATGTCAACCTTATGCTTATCGATGACAAGCGGCCCACCAGTGGCTGTGGTGGGGGGAATGCGCCCGTTCATGTCGTCCTGGACTAGCTCAAAAATGACATTGACATATCGTCGGTAGACAATTTCGGCAATTTTTTGGACTTCTATCTGAAAATTTCGCTCGACAGCGTTCGACCGCTCTTCATGAACCCATGTGAACGGAATATGCTATGTTTAATCACGACGAGCGCAAATTCGTGATTACAGAGGGTCTTTTCAGCGCTCAGGAGAAGTTCGAGTTAATTTAACAGTCTAAATTCCCGGCCAGGAACAATGACTTACACCCCAGTTGATCGTCATTTGCTGAGCTTCTCACTGTTCTCACAGTGTCGTTTGTAATTTCGGAAAATCCACATCTCTGTGGGGATCTGGATCGCTGTATCATGATCCGTCCTTGCGCTCCTTCGAGCTTTTGGTTCCCTACACCTCGCGATATGCCGCTGTACCGACCATGGATGTGGACGTATGGAGAAAATGCGCAATTGTTGCGGACAACCTAGGTAATAAAATGGTGGCGCCCTCTAGCGCAATGCAAGGGGGATTCTCCTGAAAATCTTTCAATTGATCCGATTCGTCTTCTTTCCGTCGGTAGTCTCCTCATTTCTGCATTCGCATCCGCCTGCATCTCCTATCTCCAGGGGCGGAAGGACTTATGCCTCATTGCAACATCGCAACGATGGAGCGTCGTAACACAGCGGTCAATCTGGCCAGTGATGTCAGTACTATTATTGTCTTTCAGTGTGAAAAGGTCTAGTGCCGGGAACCTTCGCTTTAGCACGCTAACGGCACCGATAATGTGAAACGATGGCGGTCCTACGAAGATAATTTTGGTCGCAGGCTTGAAGTTGGTTCGGGCACCAGCCTCTGGTATTCCTGTGCCACGTACTCTTTCCCACAAGCCAGGAGCCGTAACTCAACGATGGTAGCATTCGCAGCAACGAATGAACGCTCTCAATCAAAGTTTATTCCACTGATGCGGCAAGGTGCCATCTCTGATCAAGGCTGTGTCGCTGAATGCCACTAGTTCTTGGCAACATTTTCGAGTCAGCTCTGGCTTACGCGTCTCACGGCTGACTCTTGACTTGTCAGCATATCTCAAGTCAGACTTGCGCCAGGCTGACTCAACTTGCCCGTTTATTGTTTGGAATCTGGGGTTTTCTCAGTACCGAGGTTCCACCATCAGCGGAACGGTGACCATGGTTCAGGTCAAGTATTATTATTATAGAGGGTGTGCCTTCTCCTTCGAAAGCCACAAAAACTTACGTTCTCACCTAGAACGACCCCCCCTGCGGCACCATTTTTAAATCCCGGTCCGGCGCTAATTGGAGGTTCGCACAGCGTCTTACAGCGTGCACAGCAACGTCGGGCGGTAGCATCGATTTTTCTCGTGTTCTACGTTCGAAATAACAATGCGCACCACATGCGGTGCACCGAGCATGTCCAGAATGCAGAAACACAATATGAATGAGAGTTACCCTTGAAGAAACGACGCGTGGCCAACATTCTCGCAAGGCACGTTTCAGGGCACCACCGATAAGTTCCATTAAATGCTCGCACACTATGAATTACACATCGTACCGGGTGACCGCTGGTGGTTGCGAGGAGGGAGTCGCCATGGGCTGAAATACCCGTACACTAGTTTTGTAGAATCGGAATGACTGCTTGATTAGCAACGATGGAGCGTAACGATGGAGCGGATGTCCTTCCCGGCCGTTTGTGTAACTTGGCCTACTTGGTTTGTCCTGTGCAACCATCATCCTCGACAATCGTCGGGGATCGAAGGCCTGCTTGTTGATTGCGGCAAGGTCCGCATTTTTGACAGGATGACCCCAACTACGCAGTAGAACGGTAGAGAATGCTTTGTTTGTCGATCCTACCACTTAGGCGACATGGTCGCACTGCCTCACAAAACATGGTGAATGCATCAGATTGTATCTCGGAAATTGGGTCGCGTGATGTACACTACAAAGAAATTCCTATTTGCAGTGATATTGTGTCGAACTGATCATAAGTTCTCTGATGTTCTCGCGATCGTTGATGAAAGGGGCGGTGCATCGATACAATACTGATCAGGGCATGCCACACTGCTGTATATATACAGGAATTTCATTAAACCAGGCCGCTTCTCGTTTGGGTCATAGAACGGGGCTATGCATAACGTGCAGCCAGGCCAGGGATCCCAATGCCGCAGCCGCATTTGCTAGTTCTCCATTCCGACGACCGTGCACGTTCACCTCGTCGATCGGGAGCACCGTGTAAACCCCCGAGTATCGTGGTATCCGAAAGAGAATTAGCATGAGTGTGAAACGAGAGAAACGAGTTGTAAGATTATGCGCTGCGGACTCTATAGGTGTTTTGACATACCGCATCGAGTTTGGATGAGCGCTGCGGGAGAAGCATTCAGGAACGGACTTCAAGAGGGAGCGTAACTTTCGCGGGTAGCTCGATCAAAAAGGATGGATAGCGTCGATGGCAGATTTCATAATATAGGGCATTGCCACGGCGAGGACCATGTGGTTGCAAACCGACAACGGCTGAAAAAGGAGTTTTTGGGGAGGATCGACAGGGAGAATGACTTTGCGATGCTAGGCTGTGATGGTAGTGTGAATCGGTGACTGGGAGGGTCATCCTGAGCTGGTGGACTGGTGATTTCAAGGCAGGTGTTGGAGGGAGGAACCCATGTAAGGATTAAAGACATTGCATTGTCAGCTATCGGAATTTCGCCAAAGTCCAACGAAGTTCCAGGCCTACCGGGTGCCCCTAATTTAGTAGTAAGTTCGGGGTTGGGAATGGATGACTGATTGACTTTGATTTGGTATGAATACCGCGATATATCAAAATCAAGAGGTATTCCATCGTTTCGGATTCGAGGGGACGTGAGTCGACAGGATACGTAAAGAGCATCAAAGAAAGATTTATTCAATGACGATATGAATGTCAGGTTGCACATGCTCGATGTGCCTAGTATGCCATTTATGTAATTTTTGGGGAGGATGAAAGGTCATGCAATGGTGCACCATCATGCGCGGACAAGCTAATGATTACCGAAGTTGATCGGCATCTTGAGAGCGACTTGGCGAGATAGATGGAGAATAGGTAACGAGAGAGGTAAGAGAAGATGCGACGGCAACGCAAACCTGATGAAGAATGAACCAATCGGGAATTCCCGAGTCGATGAATTGTGACATGATGGGGATTAAATGGAGAATTCTGGAGGTGCCCATGAAGGGGGGCCGCCTTCGTCGGTGTATGTAGGCTTCAGTGGAACGTCAGTTGAGCAAGGATATTGCCGAAAATAAACAATAAATTCCAAATTATTACGGTAACGTCGGCCGGATCCAGGATGAAGCCGACATACCCATCGGCAACAGATTGTCCATTTATGGATAATTACTCCGGCCGGATATACATGTATAGCGGAGGTTAAAAAGACCAGGCACTATTGATGCCAATAATAAATCTATTGGAATTCTCACAAAACCTCTACCTTCCCCCTCTGACAAGCGTCAATATCTTTCTTATTCCTATCCTCATCCCTTCTTCATCTTGTTATTATATTTTGCTGGCTTTTTAAACAAACAGTCAGCGTCTTTACTGCACAGCAAATCGGTTATCCCGATCTATCATTCTTCTCTACTTCAATTTATCCCCTACCACCACACCATTCACAACAGATGGCGCTACTTCGTTCAGAGTCAAACCCATATCTCAACGACCTCGATTACCGCTCTAACAGTCCCTCAAACAAGCCTTTGAACCTAGCAGCAAATTCTCCTTTTGAATCTTACGAGTTCGGTCATCTATCTCCTCCATTCCCCCATACTCCCTCATACAATGGATCCTATCAAAACTCTCCCTACTCTGGTCATTCAGAACTCAGTTATGATCCAGATGGTCCAGAGGCTTTTGGTGGTCTCTTTGACAGAGATGCAAACAATGTAGCTTCTCGCGACGAATATGACCCCTCCGAGTATGATCCACCAAATTCTTCTGGTTTGCTCATGTTTCAAAGCGAATACATCCCTGAAGTTGATCACAATTCACTATCCGTATCTCGCGCTCCTTTCGATAACCGTCCTCCAAACGCTTTCGATCATAGTTCTCCATCTAGCAACGGTGGAGGGGATGAACCGCGCAGTCGTGCTTCTTCAGTATCTTCAAACCCTCAAATTCCCACGTCATCTCCACGTCTCGATATGGCTCATTCATTCGAAAATCTTCATTTTGAATCCCCCCATTGGCAGCTTCATAATCTTCCCGGCGATCGTCCAATGTCTCCCCCAAGAAAACCCCAGTCTCCCCCTCAACTTCTAATCCCTGATAGCAGTCCAGCCACCCGTTCATTATTCCCTCAGGATCCTCCAATGATCAATGCTCCGGACGGTGATGGTGGTTTTACCTCCAGCGGCCCTCAATTGCACATTGTTCCTGCTACCCCCATAAGTGGCGGGGGAGCGGCTTCACAAGCAGTCCCTTTTCAATCTACCCTGAAAACTCTCCATCAAGGCAAGTTGACTCCGTGATGATTCTTGTTTATTTCGGGAATTCATTATTTGCCTTTTATATTTTTGTTTGCGTCTTACGTCCGTACAGGATCAACGCAAAATGCGCCACAGCAACAGGCTGCGACCCCCCCTTGGGATCAGCAACAGATTCAGCATACCGAAGGATCTCAATTACTCGGGGTGTCACAACAGGGAACACAGCAATACCCGCACAGCCACTCTTCTCATACACAGGGGCTGTCCAGTCTCGGTCCCCATCCTGATCCTACAAATACCAGCTTCTTGTTCCCGGGTACTAACCCCCGCATTCGTAGTAAATCCGACACTTCATCTTCTTTACGTCCAACATTCTGGGACTCTTCTCTCATGACCCACGAACAACTCAGAGCCCTTAACAGTTCTGCTATTGACGACAACGGCACCGTCAACCTCAGCGACGTCCTTCCGCAGCACCAACACCAATCGCAGCATCCATCCAGCACCAGTGCTAACCAGACATCGTTCAGCAACTCTCCTCATACCCAGCAGCAGCAGTTCAACTTTGGGAATCCCAACGCTCCATCCAACATGAACTATCTCACTCCCGATGCCATAGCGCTGCGCAGGTCCAAATCTGACAGCGGCTCGCGCCCAACCCACAACCGTCTCTCACGTTCTGAAGACATATCTCATTCCTCTCCCCTCCTCTTCCCTCCCTCATCCCACACGGATCTCATCAACCGTCAGTATCTCTACCCACAAGAGACCGTGCAATCCATTCGCATGCACAACCGTCGGGCATCCTCGGGCTCACGAGGCGGGAACGACGGCAGCTGGAGTGGACTATCATCTAACCGCCCAAGCCCGTATCCCAGTCCATCAGCCAGCCCGCGTGTACGATACGACGATCTACCCAATGTCTCTCTCGCTGGACGTCCATCTATGCTTCGCCCAGACCCTGCCCAACCCATGGCGAGCCAGATCTCTGTCACAAAGCAAACTGTGACCAGTGAGCGCACGGCTGGGGCCAGCCACCGGCGCCGCAAGCAGGATGCCAACTTCCTGTGCCCAGTGCCTGGGTGTGGCAGCACGTTTACGAGGAGTTTCAATCTGAAAGGTAATTAAATTTAATATCGGCTGATGCAAGTGATATTGACGTATCTATTTAAGGTCATATGCGTTCACACAATGAAGAGCGGCCATTCCAGTGCAAATGGCCGGGATGCGGCAAAGGGTTCGCAAGGCAGCACGATTGCAAGCGACACGAACAGCTTCATTCGAATTATCGCCCGTTCACGTGCGATGGCTGTAATAAGACCTTTGCACGAATGGATGCCCTGAACAGACATTGTAAGTGCTGTGTCTTCTTCATGCATGATACAATGCTTATCGAGTTTCCTTTAGTGCGTTCTGAGGGCGGTGCTGACTGTCAACGAATTCTCGATGCTGCAAAGCAAGAGACTGACCATGGCCCTGTACCCAAGACGGAGGAAAATGGGTGGACCAGCATGAGTGTCATGGTATAATGCTCTTCCATCCTCGCCTTCTCGATACGCGGCAGCCCCTCTAATAATTGACTTGATATGTCTAATCTACATCCCATACATTTCAACACCAAGACTGCTTACCATATATTCCTGGGACGCTCCTGCGGATTCTCGCTTGACCAAAGATTTTGCTATACTACCCTTTTCGCTTTTTCGTCTTGTCATTTATGATGTTATTGATGCACCTTCGTATGCTAGTCATCGTACCTAAGTATCATTGTAGTCTGCCTGCCCCCGCTCTACCTTTATTATTTGTCCCCGTGATCCTCATCCTTGTAGCGTAGTCATCCTAGATACGGCGGTTGTCGGTCTGATCATCATGTCGTATATTTATACAATGGAACTAAAAATTTCAACGATCAATCTCGTTCGAGCTCTTCATTATGGCGATGTCCATCGGATGCTGTGTGACCGGAGCCATAATTCCATCGAGCACGAACTCGAGAATTTTTTTTCATTTTAGTGACAAGACAGATGCGGGGCTGTACATGCCTACTTACCCAAGTTGACTAGCGCTAATCATGAACACTGCCTCGTCCGATCAAACAGCCTGGCAAAGTTCAAAGTTCAAAACGAACGACCCGGGATACCCTCGGCTTTTACACTGCCCCGACGAAGACGCGACTTGACTAAACGAACTTCCCTCTTCTTCGCAAGATGGAAAACACGCCATCTTGGATCATACCTGTGTGTGAGCGCCGTTGACTCGTTCCGCAACACGGAGAATTTCGAAATAGCGTGCTAGGTTACACAGCCTTGTCTGGGCGGATAACATTGTTTCGAGGCACAATCGCGATCCGTGTGGCGTTGTTGGCCTACATCACTACTTTGTCACTGTGTACATACATACTGGGAATTTACTTGGATATTTGACCATCGCGGGCGTCGCAGCAAAAAGCCCGCGGCGACTTGCGAGACAAGGCTATGTCGATGAAACTCAGCCCCACATATCGTCAATCAAGATATTGGCTGTAGGTAAACCGAGTAGGAACGTCGATAATTAATTGACTACCGTAGCTGCGCTAATAATGTGATATGCGCTTGTATCGTTGATCATAGCCTACAGCTTATGAACGCACAGAGTCAAGGTCCGAGATCGACAAGATCACGGTTACTTGAAACGCTTAGGCTGGCGGTGCCGCAGTATTTGTTGTAGTAGCGTCCTATGGAACAGAAATGTCAGCTAAGCGCTACGGGCGCGCTGTGGAGCCAATCTACTGAGGTGTTATGGCATCTAGGGTACAGTATTGCACGCGACGATCTCTTTCGAAATTCGGATGCTCCGTTGGCGGGTGATGCGAGCGCTTTGGAGATTCTCCGGGCGCGGTATTCTGCCGCAGTGATGACGGAGCCATATGCTGCCGAACTGAGACCAGTAGTCAACTAGTCACCGACTAGTCTAGTCAGACATTGTAAGACAGCGCAGTATAATCGACCTCGGTATAATTTTTTCCAGGATCAAGTCCGATGACAAAAGGGATTTCAAACCCGACAAATATCATTGGGGAAGAGGTACGACATGAGAAAGGCTGGGTTAAAATACCCCTGAGTGCCTCCGCGATTGAGCTTGTCCTTGAATATCGGAGTTAAAATTAGTCTTGTGCGACATTGACAGTTCACAGAACCAGACTGACTGTTAAACTGCCCCCTGAGAGCTGGAGATAGTGGACCTTGTTTTCTCCAGATTATAGTCTTACATATGAGGGAAGACTCGGAGATCCGACTTGAGGCTAGAGTACCCCTGAGGCTCCCGCGACGATGTGTAGGTGACATCGGTGTTAAAGGTGATCTCCTGCCATGAGTGACGGCGTGTCAAGTGGTGATGTCGACATTGACTGGCACATAGAGCTTGGTAGGCTATTCAGCGCTAATGTGTGGCGAAAAACTACATGCGCCCAATGGTTTTCAAAGGATTTTTATCATCATGTAAATGATGTCAACAACAACTGTTAATGAAGTCGTAAAGTCAAGCAACGGCATATTCTCGCCACTGTGCTGACACTGGGGTAATGTCGACAATAAGTTCGAAGGCCGCATTCTCGACGCATTGATTTGACGTGCACTATGGACAATCTTGACCGCTGTGGCTCCGACCTCGGAAGACACGAACGGTCTGAAGTTGGACACCGATCAGATAAGCCCTTGATCCAACACCATGACACTGCGGATCATGGCGTCTTCGAGCTAATCCTCATGAAAGAAAAGGTACCCGAGCCCCTGCCTGGCTTTCTAGTTAGGCTGCGAATGACATATGGACTATTAATGTTCATGTTCATGTTGGGAGGCGCTCAGATAGCTTGAATAACTTAACCAGAACTAAAATCAGTCTCATCAGAAAAACGATGAGTCGACTGAACTCTGACCTGGGCCTGGATATTCGCCGATGTCAAGCAAACTTATATTGACATTTTTCAGACCGCCGACCCTGCAGTTTGATGGCTTGTGTTGACTCATTGCAGACTGCCAACCCTGCAGTTTGATAACGTATGTTGACTCCTTGTAGACCGCCGACCCTGTGGTTTGATTACTGTGGTCTAGCCAGGCGGAGCCTGAGTTCCAGAAAGGTTGGGCGCACTGACCTGAGATAAGTTAGTATATGATAGCCTAAAACGCACATTCTCCGTATTTGATATGTGCAACCACATGTACCATGATCTACCGATGAGGGACTAGCTGCGAGATCTGAAGTAGCGGTGGCGTTCGATCAAGCACAGTATTTGGATGCTGACAAGAATTAATCGCGAGACGATTTTGTGTTTGGTCGATTAGTGAGTTGAATGACATAGTATGGCTTTTGCGCGCTTGAGTTACTTGATACGCCCAACTCCACGGAAATGGCAACTTGTACCAATGCGATACCGAGATCTCCGGCGGATGTGTCCATGTCAATGACGGGGACGGGGACTTGAAGTTATGCTCCGTCTGTACCAAATAACTCGATTGGGTCGGGGCCCGGGAGCTAATGATAATGAGTCACTCGGGAGCCGTGTCTGTAGTTGAACTCACCTTGTTGCGACATGCCTCAGTCGCTGAGCGCTGAACTGATTTGACCAGGGCAGTGAACAGTGCACTAATAATAATAACGTTCAATGCAAGTCAAATTCGATCGTGCCAGTTATTCAGCCACGAAGTTGACGACCACGGACTGCGCCTTCCACGCTGTCAGATATTGGGGTATTGAGAGTGTGTAACCAGAAAATTGAAGGTGATCATTCAATACCGGGGTGTTCCGATTCCTCACGAAGACAAACCAAGTCTGACGAACGCTATTCGGGATTATAGAGAAGAACAACGGCCGACATAGGATCAAAATACTCCCTGCAGCATATACAGTGTCATGATCCATGACATGACATCCTATTCATCCTTGAGCGCTTCAACCTCCGCAATTTTGAATCAAGGGCACTTCTCGTCATTCAGTATACCACAACCTCCAAGGACAACAGTATCATATCAGCCCCCCATCTTCGCATCATCTTCATCATCTTCAAACCCAACAAACGGTCTACGAGCTTTCAAGGCTCCAGCTCATAAACATGCACATCATCTACACTCTATCCCTCCTAGGGAGAAATCTACCCGAACTCTCATAATAGATCATATGTTATGGGTTCATGGCCGAACCCGATTTATCCAGGCCCGCGCTGAGCTCGGAATGACCGACCGAACAGGAGGCCCTTCTTCGCCTAATTATCGTTACCGTGAACGCCCGGAGTCATACGAGGAAGAAGATGAAGTGTCAAGTGACGGTGAAAATGGTGAAATGCTCAAAGCCAGAGAGGGTGGTCCAAATCATCCTCATAACGAGGATGAGGACAATCGTCGACAGAGACAGGACTTGACCCTGGCAAGGACTCTAAGACTCCGTGCCATTGGTCTCGAGAAGGTCGTCACATCAATGCTCGACCAGCCTCCCCCTGTGCACCCAATCCTCGATGACGATCTCCATACACCACCTACATCCCCACAGCGTCCAGGATCACAACAGTCACCTCATCGTGCAACATCCAACCACCCGCACACTCTTCCGAATGGTGTTCGTTTACGGTTAGCGTTGGGGACTGTCATCAATGATTTATTTGCGCGTCAAGCCCCTCCCCCTGCATACCGACATCATCACCATCCTCCACCAATCATTGTTTCCAATAATTCAGACCAAGCGTCTTCAAATGGTCGAAGTCCAGGAAACTCTCCTGCAATGCAGAAGGCCTCACCAGTATCTGGGACGGGCAGTAGCACGTCCTCTGCACAAGGAACTACTGGCAGCCTTCCCCCATCAGTCGTCTTGCTTTCGCAGGTATCAGCTGCAGCACTTTCTCAGACATCTCTTATTCCCATGGGTGACTTTCGTGCACCTTCTTCTCCAATGCAGGCACCACAAATGATGCAGTCTCGTGTGAGTTCCCAGTTCTGAAATCAAAAGTATCTATTATTGACGATGCTATCTTAAAGAACCGAAGGTCAAAGTTCATGCCTAGTAGCCGTGTATGCACTATGTACATGCAGGGCGCCGATCCCTCCACCGCCAATTCACCCCCTGGCTTGCGGTGCCCACGACATCTTCATACTGGATGCGACATATGCGTTGAAGCCAAACATTCTGTCAAAGCACCGGGCGGATCTGGCCGAGCACGCCCACCACCTACTGCAATGGGCACCAGAAGCTTTGGAGATTGGGAAGGGGGACTAGTTGGCTCGGGTGGAAGTATGGGTGGTAGTGGAGGTGGTATTGCTGGTTGGCAAGATGGTCCCGGTGTTGGATCGGGCTTGGCTCAGCCGGGTGTGGATGGCAGCGTATTGCGCCGGAAGGCGAAGTGGTTCATGACTGATTCTGAAGAGGAACAGTCGGGTGCTGGCGCTGGGAACACTCGGCTGTCAGAGCTTATTCCGCGCTTTTTAAGGCTTTCTGCCCTTGTCGCAACGGAGCTTGGAGAAGAGCTTGGCGATGATGAGTATGAAGGCGACTGGCAACGGGGTTCCGAAATGTCCGCTCAATATCCGACTTCGCCTCGGCCCTCATCCCGAAGATCTCAAACCACCGAGTCGCCCTCTGCACCTCCTTTACGGCCTTCGCGAGAATGGTATATGCTTCTCGCGGGCTTACTTTCCCGTGCCACTCTAGAAGGTTATCTTACTGGAGGGTGGTGGGGTCTGGAGGCTGTTGAATGCCTTCTATCAGTTGGCTTGGGCATCACTGACGATGGGTTGGGTCAAGTCGATTCATCGGACGACGCAGACTCTGCATTCGCATGGTTTGAACCAGACGATTTACCTAGTCTCAAAGAAGCGACAAGAATCATGTTTCCGGCATTGCGAGCTGCCCGAAACGGGACGCCCATTCGAAGAGAGGGCGCCGAAGCTGAATTTGAAGCTGAAATGGATGAGCGCCTCAGAAGGGTGAGATCTTTGTCTTGACAAAGTATTTCACAAGATCTTTAACACTCCATTTGGCCTAGTTCTATACGATACCGTCTTTGACGCCGGATCTATCTACCCACATGGAGGATCTGGCGTGGCATTACCCTGCTGAGCCTGTTGAAAGGGCAGCCCTGCGCTTCTGTGAAGCAATTGCAAAGTGGCGTGGCAAACCTGAACTCGAAACCGTGCGTCTTCTTTCGTGAATCTCAGGCGCTGTAGCTAATATCGTCTAGTACAAAAAGAAACCACCAAAAGATGTAGGAGCATCTAGTATGACCATCGAAACTCTCGTACATTCCAATCCAACGAGTCCCACGATAGGACCGTACTCGATTCAGCCATCGAGATCTCAAAGGCCTACTATTGAAAAATATTTCATTGTACCGCCCTCGTACATAGGAAGGGGCAAGCGCAGGAGATCGCTCGGTGAAGCCGAATCATCAAACAAGAGGGTCCATGGGTGATGGCGCGTCGTGTACGGACTTTTAGCTTTCTCCTTCGTTGACCTTATTCGTTTGCGCTGTAGTGATAATACTTATTGCAGCTTTGTTGTTTGTATGATATATTGTTATTCCGTTTGTTATAGCTCAACTTGTTTTCAGTGCGTACATGAGGTTATATCATAGCTCAAATTCAAAATGCCTCTACTTGTACTCTATGCTTTTCGGATGCTGGATGAACTACTGCCTGATCCACGCTGTTACTATACTGAAGGATCTATCAGCTCTATCGGGTGTGTAATTCGTCTATGTTGCTTCCTTCTTTTGTTCACTGATCAATTATTCTAGACTTCAATATTTAAAGTTGGGTGACCGAGACGCGTCCTTTGCGGACGTGGCTCGTGATACAGTGCATGTATTTCATTCTTTGACAGCGACTTGAGCCATATTTGTATTCATGTTGGATCAGTCACTCCATCGTGCTTGCTCCTCGTGTTCTCCTTCTTTGTCCAGGGGTAGGTCAAGAGAAGACAGAAAATACTCCAGGTCTTCGTCTACCATCTGACCTAGACTTCCTATCACTGACATAGGGGCTCATTGGTTGAGACACGTAGAATGGGACTAAAAATACGGTTCGTGCAGATCTAATAATTGGAATAACATTTATATTAATATCGTTGAATCATAGCTATAGGTAATCTCCACCATGTTGAGATACTTTTTCCGGAAGATGGATGTTGGTCATCAAGATATCAACCCAAAGGAGCTTCTCGTTTGTCCATGAATACATTGGCCTCGACTCAACAGATCTTCAGACATACAAAAGCGGTGCATGAAACATCGTATCTCCAAGCCATGCTTTCCTATCGGGGCCTCCAGTCCCCAGATGACGGTCCATGACATGCATGATATTTTAGCTATTCCACACAAAGGAAATTCGGCTGCAAAGGCGAGAATCGCCGCATTTAAACATTCCCTTCCGCTCGATTTATATGATCAGGCATGATGCATGATGTCACATGCAAGTCTTGTCATAAAATGGTTCCGCGGAGGTATTTATTTGCTCCCGCCGTTTATCGGGCGATCGGTAGCAGATGAACCAGAGCGTACTGTAGTTATCAGGACCTGGCCTTTGGACAGCTGGATACTGTTATTGTTGGCGTCTGAGATGGGCACAGCACATCAAATATCTGAAACAGGTACAAACATACGCAAGGGTGAGGAATGCCGCTTCACTAGCTTCACTGACGATAGAATTCCCTTTGTACCGCTCTGATGAGCCACTCACTTGGATATAAAAATGTCCTTGCTTTCCGTATCTTTAGTCAATCAACTGCTCGTCATTTATGAGCCCCGTCAAACTCATCATTAGCCTTACACAGGTATGTGTGTTTTTCACATGTTTTACATGGTAACTCTACAGCAAAATGTTGATGGCGATGAAACTATTCGCATCGTATCTACCTAGTAGTGTACATAGTTCATCTCGCTGATATCTCTGTAGCAACATATCATCATCTTGCAGCGGTATCAACTCTCATGATATCCATGGTAATGGCCATATGTGTTAATTGAAGGGAAAAAACCAAGGTCAAACAGAGATCAGTCAAGACAGCCGTGGGTGCATCCCCTCATCGATAAGAACGTCTTCGGTGTAATCCGTAAATGCCATGCCGTTGGATGATTAGACTTCTATTGTCTTTGATAACATAAGTTTCCTCGAATCCCGAGGCATGCCTTTGACAGGATGACGGTATGATACACGATAAATGGATGTACGTATCGACATGTTACCATAACCCTGAACTCTTTGTATTCATACCTGAAGGTTATATTAAGGGAGGTCGTTCGAATACTACTTTCTGATGTAGAACGATGGCAGCAACAATGTGGATTTGAAGACAGTATTTCAGCTGAAATATTCCAACAAGAACAAGAGTCAGGTCAGGGGCTATGTTGGAACGAGTACCTCGTCAATCAGTTTGGATTGCCATGTGCGATGCGTATCCGTTCTCGTTGAAATTTTTGACGTGAAGAAGCTTGTTACGAGACGAGTTTGGATTGACGTGCATATGCATCCCTAGACCTCGATCGGTATTTGCCAGTGCCATCACGTACATAGGAGTCCCACTCAAGAACTTTCCCAATTTTGATCACGCCTAGATCACAAAAGGTAGTAGCACTAGTCCAGCGTGCATCTTGAATAGGCATTTAGTTTATCTGTGGTTCATCAACTATACATGACACGGAGTAAGTGTAAAATACAATATGCGTAGTCCTGATAGGACATGTAGGTAATATCGTGCCAGGAATCATTATTATCATCAAGTTGGCTCTAAAGGGCCTAGAAATACATAAAATGCGAGACTTGTGCAGTGCGTTCGTCATATCCTAAGAGTTGATAAGCATCGATTCTAATGGACTAGCGTATCGCTCACCATCTTGGTCGGATCTCTCGTTCGGGATAGAGATGCATCATAATTTGGTCAGTCCTGTACTCAGACTCTATTTCGGATTGTGAAGGGCGGTGACTTGAGCATGGTACACCCGTTTGCGGTCTGCGATTTTCCGTGCCTCTCGTAACGCGAGGAGCTTGCCCATAATCAGGTCGGCGACCCCGTTCGTCTGTTATTCTCCTGTCAGACATGTTCGTCCCTCCCCGTCGCACGCCGAGCTCGGGTCCCCTCTCACTCCGCCTCATCTCTGACATCTTGCGTTTCCTCTGTTCCTCTTCAGCTGATCTACGAGCCATGGTCATCTCTTGCAGATAGTGCTCTGTCTCGCGTGCTCGGGTGGATGCAATCTTGTATGTGCCTTCGCAGTAGAAACCTCCGGGGACACCGCGACATTGGTAGACACCTTTGACGGTTTGCGGGTTATTGGCGTAGTGGCAGTCTCGTTGGCTGCACTTGTTGTGGAATGGCGATGGCCATCCGGGAGGGAGAGCAGATGATTTAGGCTTCTTCGTAACTATCAGTCAGGTCGTTAGTGACTGGGCAAAGGAGCAGGCAGCGAGTACTAACAGAAAATCATGATGAGAATCGTGAGTGCTTAATAGTGTACAGAGGGAGAAAATCTGAAGGGGTAGAAGAAGTAGAGTTAGTACTTATGACAGCATAGGTTTATGCTAATAACCCACGGCACCTCGACCCGGACACGCAGTCACTTCGTGTTTGGAGTAGTAAGGACAGAGCGGTGTTTGGTGACTGATGCGGCATGTTTCGTCGACGCTAGAGTTACGTGTGCACCCGTCCTGCCAGATCGCCGAAGATGCAAGCCATAATTCGGATCACGGATGATAAGTTTTGGTAATAGGAAATGCCGGGGCCCCATTGCTGCTGGACTAGTAATGATGCGACAACAAGATTGAACAGCTCAAGTTGGACTCGGCGAGGCTCGGGTAAATGTTAAATTGACACGTCTCAATGCCAAAGGAGTAACTCAAGGAGGCATTAAGTTGGTACTGAGCGCGATTCGTGAATCACACTTACCTGCACAAGCTAGCCTCAGGGCTGCCAGCCTGAGTGAAGCTAGAGCTCTGCAAACCTGTTTGTCAATTGGATGACAAGATTCGGTCGAGTCTTCCTCCAATCATTGAGCTCCAACGAACAACGGTTACGATATAGCTAAAAGGTCGGCGTCTAGACTCTCACGGTTCCCACCAGGGTTTAGACCTACTATTAATTGTAGGTAAAATGTGTCATGGGCGTGAATCAGGATATCCCAGGCTAGTAGAACCAACCCTTGACTGATTCAGACGTTTAGGTAATTCCTCACAATCATCGAAACGGACTTCATTCAATGAACCACCATCTGCTGGTATTGGAGACAATGAATAAAATCGAAGCTCACAGCAGGGCCCAGGCCCATGTGCATGCAAACTGTAAAAATTCCACGAGGCATCAGACTCGGCCACGACGGTCAAGGTAGTGTTCTCAAATTAATTGAAGACGGCTGTTCAGCACGTTGCCTCCTTATTACTTTCACGGCACGAAACGGATATGAGCCATTTGATGAGCCTAACTTGCGTGATGATTAGGGCAAAATGCACCTTACACCTGTTGCTGCCAAATGAGAATGTTTATGCTTGCCAGTGGGCACGACTCGGAGCTGGCCTGTTAAGCTCAGTTGTTTGGCAAAAGCTTCTGAAATAAACAAACTACCTGCCGCATCCTTGACCACCACCTACAACCAGTAAGTACTAATAACAAATATAATGGGTCTTAAGCGGTCTGCAGAGGATGATCTCTCACCAACCGGGAAGGTGGCTAGAGCCAAAGTCGAAGGCGATGATGCTCTTGCCTTCCCAAGCCTTTCACATCCAGTTTCACATTCACCCGCGTTTCAGCGCCCTAGTCAACTTATCACGTTTTCGTATTCACCCTCTCGCGTTCTACAATTTGACGACTCTGCATTGCGCTATTTCGTCAATCCACCGCATGGTGCAGATCTCAATCACGGCTACAAAAATTGGACACGGCGTCCAGAAGAACGTGGACGCATTGATGGTTTGTTGAGCGCGTGGTCACGGTTCAAGACAACCCTCAATGGGCAAAATCCCGAGATTGGAGTGATAAGCTGGAGAGGGGTTATCACCAAGTGAGATGTCATCTCATTCACTGTATGATGCTTGTTTACCTGAGGAATGCTTTTGGTGAGGGAGAATATTGACAGCACCTTACGAAGAGCGAGATGCTTGGGAGCTTAACGTGATGTGTGTTGATGGTACTATGTACTTTGAGGAGCATCTCTCAGATGCAAGACTAAAGGAAAAGTGAAGCCTTTCCCCGTCTTACATGCGTGTCTTGCTCATGTCGAGGAAGGAACGACATGGAACCTCGGCACCGACTCCAATCTTACTATGGATATTCATTTGAATCGTATTGCACATCATCAACTCCGAACGAACGTAATCAACATGCCTCTGGTTCCTCCTCTGGTTCCTCGGGCGCTGTTGGCTGGGGCGGCGATGTTGATACCAATGTTCAGTGGTGCAGTGTTGTTAAGACCAAGTTGGGTGATACACGGATCATCATTGGTGGAGAAGTAGACTGCGTTCGAGGTATGTGTCAATTTGCATCAATAGATAGGAGACGTTATTTGGTTACAGGAGGATATACCGGAAATACTGACAACTTCGTGGAACTCAAAACTTCACTATCAATACGTGGCGCACAAGACGAAGCCAGGTTTGAAAAGTAAGTATCATCTGCGTTTCAGACGCCTATAGTTCCTCAGACTATGCGACAGAAAGCTTTTGAAGTTCTATTTCCAGTCATTTTTGCTAGGAGTTCCGGTATGCATAATGACACTGAAACAGGACCTCTAATCACATCGCATTATAGGAGATCTTTGTTGGGTTTAGGAAGCCCTCAGGACACTTGACGACTACGCAAGTCTTTCAGACTGTACAGATACCTCGTCTGGTTCGGGGAAAGCCTGGCGCGTGGGATCCCAATATCTGTCTAGCATGGGGAGACCAATTTATAACTTTCCTCACGAACACCGTCAGAGGAGGCTCAAGGGATAATGTCTGGCGTATCAAATTCACGCCAAAGATAGGGGTCTCTGTTGTTTTGCTAGACGATGTGAACGTCAGGGACGTCGAAGGAGGGGAACGCCGCGTGGGATTTCTTCCAAGATGGTATTGGGAAGAAATAAATGGTGGCGTCGCGTACGACTCAGAAGTTAACAAGGAGTGAAGGAGCATTGTCCAAGGTAGGAATGGTCGTAGTGCCTTTTGTCGGAAGATATAAACTAAATGGGTCTTCATAGATCATATGCTCATCTGATCGAGGCTCATAACTGTCAGCTGGGCTAACCAACTATTCTCGCGAGATGTCTTTTAGACTCACGTGAACTCCGGTTATCTTGCCGTCGACCTATTTGTATCCTGTTATCTCAATCTCATGCCGTGCAACCGGCCGATCCCCACCGATCGAACATAACCCACTTAAACCAACCATATGGTTTCTATTCAACTCACTACACGCTCCCGACCAACGTAAAGGAAAGTGTAGATAAAAACGTTGACTTTTTCGTTGAAACGCGATAAATATTTCTCTGTGAACTCTGAACCATTATTAGCTATTTGCGGGTAAAAACAGGCACAAACCGGCGGGTGCGGATAAATCGACCCGTGGGAATTCGGATGAATAAGACTAGCGCGTCGTCGCGCGTGCCCCATTCCTTAACGCGCTCCCCGACGTCCCACACAGCGACCAGTTTCCTCTCTTGGTCCCCAGGTCCTACATCTGACAGACAAACGCTGTCACTGTGATATATTGTGCTTTATTCTGTATATAATCACTAGAAACTCCCAGCGACGCGCTCCTTATGGTGACTCCGTCGTCTTCGGTGACCTCAGCGTCCCCGCCAACGACCTACCTACAGCCCTACAGCCCTTCTACATCGATGGATGTGGATCCAATAGAGAAGGAGGATAGGCTGAAAGCTATCCAGAAAGTCATGGCGAGTACGGAGCTTTCGATGGTGAGTTATTTCATTCCAGACTGAGCACTTCGCGGGACGCGTTGGCAGGCGGCCATTCGCGCCAACGATATAGAAGGGCATTCAGAGTATCGTTTATTCTGTACTGCTCGTATACCGGATCCCCCGCTGAGATTGCTGTGTGTGGGGCGCGGTCATGATATAATAAGAGAATACTAACATACTCCTCTCTTCCTCTCCTAGGTGACGCGCAATCTTCGCGCCCGTCTCTCGTATGCCTCATACAAGGCCACCCATAATATCCCTCATGTCAAACTGATCGACCTCGAGGCGAAAACCCGTGCCCTGGCTGCTGCTCCACCGCGCCTGATCGGCACCAAGCGCAAGGCCACCACCGGCAATAACTATTACAACAATCCCGCCACACAAGGCACAGTCGCAAGGCGTGGAGCTATGGCTCCTCCCGCCGTATCTGCGACTTCTGCCCTATCCGTTCCTCGTTCCCACTATCCCACGACTGTGACAGGTTCCAGTCCCAACGCGACTCAGAGCCTGTTTACCACCCTTCTCGGACCTCCTCCATCGAAACAAGCTCGAACAGTTCGCAACTCAACAGATCCTCCTGTCCAGGCAGCCGCCCGCTCGACTGCCGGATCTCGGTCCCGAGGATCGGACCGTGCCTCTGCCGTACGCAGCATAGCAGAGAGCACCCGTGCACAGTCCCGTAGCCGCAAGGAGGATACCACTCGGTCCAAACCCAAACGGGGCGACAAGGGCAAGCAGAAGGCGTCCGTGGCGGACTCGGCGGATGTAGAGAGGCAGGCTGTGGCCACTTTGACATCGCTTTTCCAGTCGCGTCCTTCCGTGGCTAGCGTGTCATCTCCGCGGTCCACGCTCTCTACCGCGTCTGACGCGAGCTCATTCCAGTCTTTGTCGCAATATGCACAAAGTTCTGCTCGCACAACGACAGCAGCAACTTCGCTGCTGCCATCAACCGAGTCATCATTTAGCATGCCTCGGGCAGCTACCCCACCCCGTAACTCGGGTGACAACATCTACTCCACACCTCACACAAATGACGAGGAGGCTGCTAACCTCATGCTTTATCTACATACATCGCCGTCGCCCGCACGCCCTACAACCACCCGGGACAGGGATACCCAAGATTTTGCAGCCTACAGAGCCCTTGGAAGCGGTTCAGCATCTCTCCTTACTAAGGGAAAGATCCTTTTTCCAGGCCAGGATACTAGAAGCTCGCTGAGATCAGAATGCAGCCTTACCTCAGAGACTTTACCTTCTAGCCAAGATAGTACGCAATCTTTGAGCCAGCCATTGCGATTGGATGTCGCTTCCCCTGGATCTCTCGCGCCTGCGCCATCTTTAGAGCAAACGATTATTCCACCTACTCCAACTTTGAGTGCTGAATCCTCATCACTGTTACCATCTCCACCTTCACCTTCTAGGCGCAGTGATACTTCGAACGGTTATTCGGGTTCGCCATCAAGCAGCCTTCACGCCCCACCCACTCCGGGGAATGTCCCATTCAATCTCAATGACTTTATCAATGTTTCTCCCTCCCCTGCCTTTACAGCCGCGCCGCGTGCAGCAGTATCTCTCAAATCTGGTCCGAGTGCTAACCTGCGTGCGGATGTCGGCAGAAAGCTTTTTGAAGAAGAGCAGCAGCGGCACCACTACCAGGGCACTCATGGCACCGTCAGCGGTTTCACCGACATCCATCATGACAGAGGCGGCGTCCTCGGTGCTAGTATCGACCTCGCAAGCACTTGATTTATCTTTCCTATCTCCATCTGCTGGCTCCTTCACGTCTAACACAATTTCCATGTCGCATTCTTTTTCATCAATCATGCGGAATCCCTGTTGTATCAACATGAAGAACAGACTCCCTTGTATCTACCACTCGACCCGGCTGGACGACGGCGCTGCAAATTATCCACTTGTTGTCGGTTTTTGATATTATCCGCAAGGCATGGATTCATCAGTATTGGGTATCATGATTCAACATTGGCAAATTGTCATTGCTATCTATTTTTACAGTCCTCATTTTCTCATTTACGGTTGGATCATGACCTTCTGTTGAATTTACGTCCATAATGATTTCTTATCTGTTGTTCACTAGCCCTGCCGGAGAAGCATCATCAACTCCTTGTCACTTTTGTGAATCAAGCCAGTCATCCGCTGGATGCACCTATATATTTCATCGTCCATCTCCATCTTTTGGTTGTTTCTCCTATCCCGTTCATCCCTGTTCTCCTATCTGCCATGGTAATTTATTAACACGGCCAAACCTCTTGTTTGTTTTACCATGTTTCTTTATCGCCATGTGCTAATACTAGTACTGTCTGCATCGCAAATACATAACGTTTCTTGACTCGTACAAACCATCTCACACCTTTTAAACAGAAATACAATGTCCACATGTCAACAAACATTCTCCTCGGGAGATTATTGGTTTCAGGCGTGTCTGTGTGTTGTATAGAATGAACATATCCGCCATCACACCTCGACTGAAATCGAGAGTTCTTCGAGTGAGTGTTTAAGCATGTAGAGTCTATCTCATCACGTCCATTCAAGTGCTACAGTTAATTTTGCCACAGTTGAGGACGTGCTTCGAAAACCATCATAAAGCGAGGTTGTGCAGCATGCCCAAGGGGGATTTTCGCCGTCAAGTGCGCAAAGGTATGGTTCAGCGTAGGTACACCGGTTCATGTATTGACTATGATCTTAGACAAGCACTGCAAAACAACTGTGGGTTTTGGTGAGAGTCCACTAATGGTCGTCGCACTGCTCTAACATATTGCATCCCTACTAGTTGGATTACCACATTGTTAGCTGTGGCCTTTTGTCCATAATTCGCTGTTCCACAATTTGGACAACCACAAGTGCAACGCGCCACTTCAACTTCTTTTGTTCTGCACCTTATATAAGGCTGGAGAGACTTGCCATTGCCTCCCTATAACGAAGATGCCTTCTTATCTTTCCAAGTTGTTCAAAGCCGCGACGACGAATGTCTCCTCTCCGAGTCATCATCATGACTGTCGCTCTAACGACTCGGAGACCACTACAGCTCCAGAAATCGAGACTTCCGTCGTCAGACAACAACCCGAACCATTCAAACTCGTCCGTCCACCGAAGCAGTCCCACATCAATCCGATCATAGGTCGTCCTTATATCCAGTACTATGGATATGCAATCCCCAACGACTTGCTAATCCGTTTCGCGGAGAAAGAATGTCCAGAAGTGTTGCCCGAACGCGATCACAGATGCTACGAGCGTGACGCCATGTTGCGGGCACGCGAGTTCATCTCAGCTCGATCGGGCGTCTGGTCGTTCGATTTCAAATTTTGTTTCAATCCCAAGGATGGCGAGGTGCCTCCTCTGTGGTTCGAAGCGTTCATGGCTAAATACTTCAAATCCGGCGATGACGAGATTAGGGCCGTTCAAATTGACACCGTTCCGGTGTTAACTGTGTGTTCTGAGCAAGACGACTCGTTCAAAGAGCGTCCGACACAAGAACAGATGGATATCATGACACAGTTGATCGGGTATGCACCACGATGGTGGGTGTGTTGTGATTATGATTGAATGTGCATGGTAGTGGGTTGTAATGAGATATATTATTGAGTATTGAGCTTTTTTTGAATTGCGTACTGTAGCAGTTACATACACCAGATCTCAGGTATCATTCTAATACATGTGATTGAACAAGATATGGATTCTGCTGATGGCCTGACGGCGGTCCACGTTTGAATATCAGCTCATAGCTTGACCCGTGACCCGTCCTTGATCATTAATGCTCTGGAAGAGTTTAATGAAATCACGAAATAAATCGTACAGATTTCACGCCAAAGCGGTGGGCTGGCATTATTTAATGATTAGAGAAGTTAGTCAAAGCCAAAGTTCGATAGCCTCGAGATCAGAGTCTTCGTAGTACAACTGGCGCCGCTGGCCTCTTGTGCTTGTGAGGTAAGGGTCTTCGACATGGGCCACCTTATGAGTTCGATTATGGCGGACAATGTTCAACTCTGTACCACAATTAATCAGAAGAGTGAGATGATCAGATAGGCTAGATAAGGCGTACACTGTAAGGCTGGTTACAAGTTCGACGGGGAATGATGGGCAGTTAATTCACTAAAGACACGAAAAGTAAGGACATGCTTTTATATCTAAGTCAGTGCCTATAGCGGTACAAAGGAAACTTCATAGCCAGCAGAGTTTTTTTGTGTGCGCAAACCAAGTTCCAACAGGAAACCAATTCAAATCGCAACAAGGGATTTTCCATAGCCGGCGGTAAAGGGAATTCCGTAGCCAGCGGAGTGGCACTCCTTACAAAAGCTACGCAGGATAATCACGAGGAGAATGAGAGCAACCATGATCGATGGTGGGAAGTTGTTCTTTATGGAGGAGGGCTTGGTTAGAGTTCGATTATGGCCGGATGGCGGACGATGTACAACTCTGTACCATAAGAGTGAAATGATTAGATAGGCTTCGATTAGACACAAATAAGGGAAGGTGAGCCCTACAGGTACTTGTAGAGAGGATCCGGGAATCATTAATCATTAATCAGATCCCCGTTTGTGCACCTCAGATTCTAGGGCTCAGCCCAGCTGAGTTTACCTGTCAAACTTCGACATTTTTAAAAGGTCCACAACTCTGCCGAGAGCATGCCGATGTCGCTACGATGTAATGCGTGAATTCAAGCTTCAAGCTCACTGGCAAGTATGGTATCGTAACGGTGCTTGCGCACCAGTACCCGACTCCTGATTCCGGCCTGCTCGTTCTCAAAATGACATGCACAGCAACGTGTCATCGTATTTCAAGTTGAGGATATATATTGACGTGCTTTGAAGTCTGTAGTGTCTCACAAATAAAGGACCAGGCTGAAGATGACATTGAATGAGCCAAGGACCAACCTATTCAACTGCTTCAAGAATTTCCTTATCGCAGTGAAACCGAAAAAAACAAACAGATGTAGAACTGCCGTCGCGCAGATTTGGATGTCCGAGAGCGGTGAGATCCATGTAAGAAGACTCAGCGCTCAGCTACTGACAAAAGTATGATGGTGAGTATTTGCCGAAAACTGTAGAGCACTCAGCAGATGAGAATAAAGTTAAGATTCTGCACAAGTGCACAGCTTTGCACATCGGCTGACGCATGGCAATTCGTTTGTGTTCGACAAAGCCCTCCTCCACTAACGTGGGAGTCGGGGAACCAACACAGGCTGCAGCGCTGAACTTCAAGCACATCTCGCAGGGCAAGCCCAACTCCTCATGAGACTCGCGGCTGTGCTGGACGACAATGATGAGCTTGCCAACGATGATGACCTTGATGACGATTATCTGTCTGATTCTGATGCATTGCTCATGGCAGCTGAATATATATATCAGCTCACGTTCCCGCTATTCAAACAAAACTTACTTGGGCCGCTAGCGATGGTTTCTCCTATACCGAACAACTTGCATCATGATCAACAGGACGGAGTGCGCATTATTTGTGGGTGTTGATAGATGCCGTGTATCTGCCGAACATTAAGCGATAACTCAGCTGGGCTGAGCCCGCGAACTGAGCCCTAGATGCCCGAGTACACCGTTCGATGACGGCGTTGCGTAAGGACCAAGGCACCAGGTACAATGTTCACTTTTTCCAGAGTGGTCCTAGTAGTAAGTTCTGCCAACATGCTAAATGGCCTCAAGCGTTTGTTTTGCGCCGGCCAATTAGCCAGAATTTGTAGGGATTTTTTTCTTGCTGGCTAAAACTTTCCTTAGACTCTGGCTGGTCTGGCCTGGACTATCGGTCCTCACAAGAAATTCGGACTCGGACTTACACATAAATCACGGAAAATAAATTGAACCATGGTCAACGGTTCTGGATGTCGATATTGAACGTTGACTGGTAGCGTTATAGTTCCGCGCGTGCTAGCTTTCTTTGTGTCTCTTGCTTCCAACTTGTTATCGTTCCAAAGCTTGTGGTGAGCCGACCTGTTGCTGACATCTGCTTCTACTGACTGCCCATCATTTCTGTAGAATTCGAAGTCTATGGGAGCTCAGATACTCTATAGCGCATATCATATTTTATTTGGCGTGCAGATGTCTATTCTGGGACCACGCCTCATCCTTAGCGTTCGAGAACATCACGCTGAGCTTGTAGCCGACTTCGACGACGAAACTGGCATGAGTTCGATTGTCTTCCAGGAGCGTGTACATGTACCAACTAGCAGTACTGTGTAGGGACATACTTGCCGAGTGGTCTGCAGGGAGGACACATTTGGTCGAGGATCAGTCGTGGTATTTATCATTGTGGGTTCGATTATGGCCGGATGGCGGACAATGTACAACTCTGTACCACAATTAATCAGAAGAGTGAGATGATCAGATAGGCTTCGATTAGACACATACAAGGGAAGGCAAGCCACTTGTAGAGAGGATCCAGGAATCAGATCTTGCATCTCCGTGACTCTCGGATACTGTGCCAGTGGAGTTCACCCTCCATTTGCGTGGGTTCTACCGTGAACCAGGGTACCAGGCACAACGTTCAATTTTTCCAGACCGGTTCCCAAGTTCTGCCAACAACTGAGTACTGATCGATGATCGATCGATCCTTTGTCCCCACAAAGCATAAACCATGCCAAGACGCTATGGCCTCCAAAAAAGGTTTCGACATATGCTCCGGCTCCAACGATTGCGATGACTTACACACTCTCATACACGCCTCGATTGCGAAAGATATTCAATATACAAATAGCCTCTCACCTGTAAGGCAATTTGCACGCTCTAGATCACTGCAGATGCTCAGCGCAATGGTCCACAGATGACCGCCTGATATTGCACAAACATCCGCAGACGAGTCAACGCGTCCAATAAGTAAGCAACTAAATCAGAATGCGAACTAAACCTGCAGCAATCTCACAGCAAGTAGTGTCATTACAATGCTTAAAACGGCCACCCGAGATCACGCATTTGCCATGGACAGCAGTAAATCATTTTGCGTAGTTCAGTCAACAAACAAGACTTACCGAATTCTAAACCGTGCGAAAGACACGCCCTTGTAAGCAGTGTAACTTCAGGCGAAGGACTGAGACGGATACCCGAATGAAACGACCCAAAAAAGATGTCATGGATGACAGACTCAGAGCGTTGACGAGACGACAAAACTGCCCTGCCGAGGGATGTTGACTGACATGAATCAAACATATCAGACTGAACAGACTGAATATGATCGAAGTCACCACTAAAGATACACGAAGTGTCTAGCAGGACAAAGCGACGTGAGCAGATACCCAAGAAACTTTTTAAAAAAGGAAGGATAACCTCGCAAGGCATGATCACCAGACGTAGAACATGAATAGGGTTCAACAGTGAGTGTGTCTCCTGCCTCCCCGACGGCACGTCGTGCGGCAATCCAATTCATGCCAACGGCAGCATCAAAGGCCAAACTCCACGAGATCTCGAACTCAACATCAGTCGTGAGAGGACGGCCGCAGTGAGAAGCAGTGAGAGTTTCTGAGAACTGCGAACCTGTGTCAGAATGACCGAGCAAGCGGGTTGTTGAAGAAGAGACAAGAGAAAAATGGGAATCAACGTCAAAGACGATGGATACAGGTAGACAACCGAGCTAGCTAAAGAAAGAGGAGCATGAGATAGGGCGCGACAGTCATCGTACGGGCGATACCGTGTAGGGTCGCCAAAATCTGGCGAATCTACCACAAAACGGTCACCAAAGTATAAGACCCACTACTAAGATGACCGTCGGCAGAGTCTGCGGTACGATTATGTCAGCCAATATCGAGTGGTCCTAAAAAGGTAAGTAGGAGTTTATTATCTGTAGACAGCAGGGCGGCTGATAATCCCCCTTACAGATTTAAGGGCGGGCATTACCCTCAAACGGTGACGAAATGACACCCGGCATCGCGGCACATCTTGATAGGCCTGCGGGAAGTAGTCTGCGCCGGGAAGTCATCTAATATTTTAATACCTTGGCTCTATTTAATTTTCGCATCGCAATGCTTTTTACTTCAACCAATCAAGACTCAAGAGCCGCCTGGACTCGGAGGTGAAGCCCATCAATATTCATCACCAATTTTACCTATAAAAGCGCTGAACGTTGACTCAGAAACGTCTGGCAGTGACTGTTGGAAAAAAGTTTTCAGCCTTGCGATACCATGTAAGTAATACCTTTGAAGGGCCAACTTGGCACATGTCACGATAATATCTTAACCGGCATTAAAAGGCCATTGTAAGGGACCTTTTGACGGTCTTACGTTGAACTTTAGATGCCTTCTAAGGTCTTATAGGGCACTGTAGGGCGCTCATCAAACTTCCAATGGGCCGACGGCATTGTAAAGTGACTGGCCCTTGGGTTTTTTCCGACACATAGCAGCACCGGAACACTAGCCTGAGATCATTATAATCCCCAGTATCTCCCACTCATTCACACACAACCCTCGAACATGGCCATAGTTTCCAATGATCCTAGTTGGTGGCCAACAATCACTTTGGGTATTCTTTATAGCTATTGGATGGGTTCGTCATATCAGGATGTCTCGACCTAACATTGACTTGCGGTTTCGCAGTTGCCGCAGGCCTTGTGGTGCTATACGATTGGGGTGAGCAGGACAGTGTTCGAAAACTGCTGATATCCTCATGACATTTCCAGTACTGACATTCGGACAAGAGGTAGGTCGGTGCTATTTGTCGTGGCAGCCAACTCGTTAAGAATTGTATCATAGATTGAACTGATCTGGGTGAGTGGCAGAGTCCCATATCAGGGGAAACGACAGGAGATTATAATGAATTCGCGACAGAGGAAACGCTGGACTCTCATGACTGTGCTGTACATCGTTGTGCGTACCTCGTGTTATACTATGGCGTGATTGACAGTCGTGCTGATCCCAAAATATTAATGTTCTAGATACGCTATATCGGAATACTATATTCTGTGTATGTTATGGTAGCCAACAAATTAGTGCTATGCTAATAGAATATCTCTCGTCATCAGTATCATCGTTCTAGGTATGTCTCATATGTGCTGTGTTCAATTATTCTAACCAGTGGCACACAGCAAGCATGCCATCGGTATCGCTGATGGATGCAGTGAGTATTCGGCTACCCCCTCATCATGATCCCCGTCCAATGAATACATTAATTTGTAGGGGTGAGTGAGATTCTGACCATTGAACTTGGCTTAACGTAGTGATGATTCAATAGGTGTGAGTCCGAGTATTTGATCCTAGTACGAGGATGATCGCTAATAGTGTTTAAGGCGATATCATGATCTACGCAATACATGGGGCGAATTTGGTCGTAGCTACCATGTTGGGCGGTATGTCACCCAGTTGCAATACCTCTGTGATATTGACTTAACCGAAACACGATGCAAGTCATCATGATTGCTCGCTTACATGCTATGTATCGGAGATCTAGAAGGATGCTCATCTTCCTTGTTATCATCTTCCTGATTGTTTCCATCATCTGCGGAGCAATCACAGCAATAGTAATCAAGGTTACAGTGCCAGGTAAGCTTTATTTGTTGACTTGAAGAACACAGCTTATCGGACAAACGTCAGAGGAGCTGATACTCTCTGGCGTATATATATGCTATTTTGGGTCTGAGGGAATTGTCCAGCTTTGGGTCTCTATAGTTTGGGCGTGCTACATTTCTTGGGAGTGCCTCGCATTATGTCTTTCAGTCTGGGTCGCTATAAAACACTTCCGTGACCTGCGACGATTCGGCTCATCAACAGGATCGACCATCGGGGATTATTCCAGAGTGCTGATACAGTCTCACGTGCTTTATTTTACGAGGTGAGCTTGTAATGTGAATGTGGTTATCTTTTCCTGCTCAAGTTCCGCACGTCCTAGCTTTGTTTGTGTCTCTTGCCTCCAACTTGTTATCGTTCCAAAGCTTGTGGTGCGCCGACCTGTTGCTGACATCTGCTTCTACTGACTGCCCATCATTTCTGTAGAATTCGAAGTCCATGGGAATTCAGATACTCTTTAGTGCAAACCAAATTTTATTTGGCGTGCAGTTGTTTATTCTGGGACCACGCCTCATCCTTAGCGTTCGAGAACATCACGCTGAGCTCGTAGCCGACTTCGACGAAGAAACTAGCATGAATTCGATTGTCTTCCAGGAGCGTGTACATGTATCAACTAGCAGTACTGTGTAGGGACATACTTGCCGAGTGGTCTGCAGGGAGGACACATTTGGTCGAGGATCAGTCGTGGTATTTATTTCAGTTATGGTGTTTCAAAGTATATTTAAGACAGACAAACCCATTTCTTCTTGCCGATACTAGAAGTCAGTGAACCGCCCACCCACATTTGCACCAAGTAGCAAGCTAAAATTATCCGAAATGTCTAGCAACCAACCAGTCCTTGATGCCCACTGCCCAGACACCCGATTTTACTAGTTTTCGGATGTGATGTATTGATGCCGACAATCTCGAAACGTGGTAGGTAAGATATTGATTCCCGTGATCTGGTGCTGACAATCTGATGATTTCTAAGGTCAAGGATTGGGGGCGATATCAAGGGTGGCGTGGAGTTGGAGATATTATGATATACTACTACATGGGATTAAACGAGATGTGGATTCTGCTGATGCTGAAGGCGATCCATGTTTGAAATTTGAACGGTCAACACCAACTAGTAGCTCAACCTGTCCCTGATCGTCAATATCCTGGAACATTTTAATGAAATCATATATTTCACGACGGAGCGGTGGGCTGGTATTGTTTAGGTATCCAAGACGGTAGTCATATCACGCGAGTACTTGAGTGGGCGACATGTCTGATTGTGAAATCAGTTGCTTTTGAAATCCAGTAAATCGTTTATCTTGGTATAGCCGCAAGTGGCAGCCCTGATAGTTTCAAGGACGTCGAGCAGATGCAGTAACCAGGTGCTTATACAGCTGCAGGATGGAACGTGATGGACACAGTGGCGACCGACTTGGAGCTGGGCCACGGCTATTCGTGCTTACATTGCATGGAAATAAGATACGGTAAACATAGATTATACTTTGTTTCATGTAGGAATGATATACCAGCATTGGAGATGATATGGGATGGTATCATTTTTTGAGGTACTTGCGAGAGCACTGCTTTTTGTGTACATCTTTCCAGTGTACCTTGATAGCACACTCGTCAGCAACAAGATTTGCAAAATGTCTCAATCATACCTTCTGGTGCTCTGCAGAACAATACCTAGACGACATCCTGTTTAGCATCATATCACCCCAGTTTATTCAGAAATGCTTACAAAATGGCCCTGCAACCACTGCACGTCTTAAGATCCTGGCCACCAGGCTTTCCACAAGCAGCACAAGCCGACTGACTTCTTTTATCCTTCGTACTGGACGTTGTCTCCTGCCAATATCCATGGCTCTCGTGGTCCCATTCGCGCTGAATGCTCTGGCCTTTCTTGAGTTTGCCCGTCCTGGAATCATGTGCGCTGGGGTTGATAGGCATGGTGAACGCCTTCATGCCCGCCCTGACTGAGTTGGGCGAACTCAGTGCTGCGGAGAGTCGCTCGTTAGCCTGGTCGATGTCAAAGGCGTCAACATCGAACAGAGAAGGAGGTTTGCCGAAGCCTTTGTAATTTGGGCAATCAAGAATTTCTCGTCTTTTCTTAACCCTGGAGAGATGTTCAGCACTGAAATCGAATCAAAGGGAAAACCTAGTACTGCTCAGTGAATCAGTGTCGTAGGCCTTGAGAAAGTTTTGGTATTGGTACGACCCTCTCATATTTTCTGGATGATAGTTTGAAAAGTGGAACATTGTGTACATTAGAAAAGTAGCTCACCACCTGGGCACATGCCCTTGCCATCGAGTATCTGAACACGTCCATACGACTCCTCGACGGGAAAAATTCTCTCGACCTGATCGACATAAAATCAGTCCGATATCGGGCAAGATATTCGATCGTACCTCGATTTCGTGGTGCCACTTGTCCCCATAGTCATACAAGTGCGCAAACGTATCGCCCACTTTTGAAAACAGGTGGGCGAGCATATACCTAAGTGTCATCAGAATTAATGTGACACGGGGAGATTATGCTCTTACTTGTCATCCGGAAGGTAAACATATCCAACCTAGGGTCGAGATGTCAGACGCTCCAATCATATTCCCTAGGTTTACGTGCCTGGTTGATATGCATTATGTCTGTTGCGTTGGCGTCCTATGTATGTAATTAGAGATGGACTATGATGTAAAAGTGGCTCAGTTTACCTCAGGACCAAATACAGCGCCGTCTCTGATATCCGTGAACGTGTAGCAGTGGAGGTTTCGTACCCTACACACAAAACAATGGCGTCAGTGTGTAAATAGAATCGGGACATCAAATGAGTACCAGTTTAGAATGGGCGAAAGGACCTTGTCCTGGAACACGCCTATCTTCATACCAGCTGAGAGGCGCACCCGGCGCCATATGCGAGGGTCGCCATTAGCATCTTGCAAGAACCTTTGAAAGAACATGTCAGAGTGTGCGGCATCATTAATACAAGGAACATACTTCAAGTGTATCTTGATCACAATATCCTTCTTGTCAAGGTCTGCGAGATCAAGTTTGCTGAGCTGCTCGCGCTGCGACGACAATAATAAGTCAGGAAAAGAACAAAATCGCCTCAAAGCGTACCTACCTTACGATCCTTTAGAACATCCATGAATTGATTTTCAGGCCAGGGTGTTCCACCGCGGTTGTCGTAGGAGAATTGGTGGGTCATCTGAACCCAAATAAACAAGACGATCAAACCATCTCTACAAACTTACTGTTCTATACATCATTTGGATTCCATCGACTAGTTTGAAGAGTCAGGAAATACAATCTACTAGACTCAGAGTAATTGCTTACAGTCCCAGATATTATCTTCGTTGTACTGTACAGTGTACACGTCAATTAACTGATTCGGAAGGATTGGTAGGCGACACACCGGAAATATACCCCAAGTCTGAATCTGTCCATGGGGCCCCGGTTTTGGCTTGAATGTACGAGGATCTTGAAAAAGTAGGACATCTAGGACTCGTCCTCAAAAGAGTCGAACCACTTACCCTCAAAAAAAGTCTCTGGCATGCCTTCGCCATTATCTCCAGAGAGAAACTTCACAAATTTGGGTTTTCGTGTGGGGCGCGTCGTAGAGCGAGGAGGAATATCCTCACCGGTCAACGAAAGTGTTGAAAAGAGTTTTGTAAAATCCATGGTTGCTGCTCAACAGACATAGTAGCATGTGCAAGGTTGATAGCGGAATACATAACGCCCAAAAAGGCATATCACTTACGCCGCATCGGAGACGCACAAACTTTAAACTACCTTCTTGAATCTTGACCGGTCACCCAACTTGAAGGCGACCGCCCTCTGGGCCAGTCTTCCATGACACATATAATGCACAGGCTGTGCATAAATTTGACCTCAACTCACGATATTCTAGGGTTGGACTTCATCGATGCATCGATCATCTGTAGAGTGACGTGGTCACTTCTTGATAAATGTAAGTTATTATGATTCACACTAATTTAATGCGGGGACTAACATGAATTGCACAAACAAACAAACATGGGACAAAGTTCAACAAATAGCACTACCAGATAAAAGGACTACAGCTAGCCCGTCTTTCATCAGTGCACCACCCACCTTGCATCTCCCATTATCAGTACGTATACTTCTTACACGTTCAAGATGTCTAGCAACGGAAAAGACTACACGTACACTGGTCATGGTACCAACGACCAAGTAAGCGCCCGTTTTGCGAATTAGGGGTAGTGATTAACAAACACTTTTCGTAGGGCAATCACTACTGCTCGCGCGACTACGGCAGCAGCGGTACTGGACACCACTATTCTAACAAGTAAGTTCTCATCATGAATGATTCTTGATTGGTGGTACTGATTATATTGACAGCGACGGGAGTTATTACTACAACAACCCGAACGGGTCCACTTACTACAACAGTGGCACAGGATACTCGCAGTACACTGCCCCCAACGGATCCACTCATAAATCCAACGGTTCCTCGAAGTGATTCTAGGTGATTTGCCTATTTAAATGGCATAAAAATCGGCTTCTGACGTGGTTTATCAGGTTCTTGAGCAAATTCAGAATTCCTTGTATCTACGTTTCTTTGTTCTTACTATTTTGTCAGTAATGGTGAATGCATGAGTATTACTTGATACGTTGATGGACGTGCCTGAATCATCACTGCCTGTTGAGCTTCGTTCTCAGTCGAAGCACTCTGGGTCACGTTGAGCTCAGGTGCTATTGTTCAGCTGATGAAGTTGCTTCTAGTCTCATTTACCTACCGCATTGATGATCATAGGGCCTCACTATAACTTAGACCCGCATGAAACCGCGTTCTACTCCAGTTTAATCTTCAAGTCTGCTTCTCAGCCTCGCAAGTTGAGATGATGGCAACCGGCGGATCTCAACCCGGTCAATTGTAGGTAGGACCTTTTTGGGGAAAATGCGGTATACTAATAACGTTATGGCTGCAGATAAGACATGTCTCACTAACACCAAGCCCATGCTAAGGGGTGCGCAGTTCAAACACCCTGGCCAAAGCACTTCTCTCCCGAAAGTGCCACTCCTTAAAATATGAATGTCACTCTCGTACGTACTCATGCTTTTATATTTTACATACACAATCACTCCTCGTTGGACATCTCATACACGTTCACTTTGATTCAGCGTCTCAATCAGTGTATTAATTCCCCTCCCCTTGAATCATTTAGCTCAGTCTTTTAATTCAAGACCGAGTCCCTTTCTTGTTCCTAGTCCGAACCTTCATTCATAAGACCATTCCCGATCTCAACAAAGTCACCCTCCTAATACAACTCATACTCTCAGCTCCCACTATGACGGACCGCGACTACATCATTACTGGGCACAGCACCAACCAGGAGGGAGGCGCCCAGTGTTCTTCGGTATGGGTAATCACTGGTGCACGCGCGATTGTAGGAGCCGTAGTACTGGTCACCATTACTCTAACCTGTTAGGTTTGTCCGTCTCGCTGCGTTGAACAATTTGTTCCTCACTCGTTTGCCTTCAGAGATGGCTAGTTTTACTAACAGAACCCTATACTTCAACAAACGGAGCGGGGAAAGCAACTTTCACAACCCCGAATGGCCATGTCATCACCCCCAGAAGTGATTCAAGGGTTTTAAACGGCTGGCCACGTCAAGTATGCATGTGGTCTTGAGTAAATCTCCATGTGACATGCATAACCTTGCCAGACGACGTTTCAAAGCTCCTTTCCTTTTCTATCGTCTCTTTACGATGTGGTTGCAGTCTTATTGAGGCAGATCGGCAGTGGGAGTACATGAATTTCCAGTTGGTTCCAAGACCGCGGACATTGTCACATCGCGCTTGCCTCCGCGGAGTCGGAATCATCCGTCGATCCTGCACTAAATACAGACTGCATCATGGGGATCATTCCGTGTATATCAATAATTTTGACATTGACAACATTGAACATCGTGACATGCGTGTAGTGTAACATGTGGATATCTGAAGATCTCGTGGCGCATCATGTCAGCAGCGTTCCTGTACCCCCCGACCGAGCTTTCATGCTTCTATCATTCAGTACACTCAGATCGATCGCTGAAATGGAAGAGCACCTCTTGCAGTCTCGTAATTTTGGCGCTGCGATAGGCAGTGCTTGCGAGCAGTGTCACTCCGCAAACCGGACAAGCCACTCATCGGAGACCGGGTGTCTGAGTCGTGTTCGGAAAGTTGAGTGTAATCCAGACACATGTTGAAATTAGGATCATTCCGAATAATAATTAGAATGCTGTAGAAACTTTGAGTGAAAAACAAGAGCGTTGTCGAGCAGTGGAGGACTTTGTGAGTGCTACGTTGTAGTACGAAGCAAGAAGGGTGAGAAAAACACGAGAGGCTGTGCCGTAGTGGACTGTCCGGGTGCACCTGATCCCCTTTCTTGTTTCACCACAACGAGGCTTGTTTTTTCAGTTCTTGTTCCAATACCTCGACACCAGCCCCTTCATCTTCAATGTCGCGCACACCTACTTCAATGTCGGCTGAAGACACCAATTTTCTTCTACTTTTACTGATGTAAAACGTACACAAGTCGAATGACATGAGGCCTAAGCCCGAGGCCTTCTATCAACGTTGCAGTAATTTATTCAGGAGTCTGGCCGAGGGGTCAGGAAAATTTGTATAAAAGTGAGCACATCCATCAACTCCGCAACGAACTGTATATCGTGCGATCAAGCACTGTGCCAACGCGAAAGAGATAAGACTCACTATTGTGGTATGCTCAGTTTGCCAAACTCATCTGGACTTTCAAGGTTCCTCGCAGTATGTGGAAGAATTTCCGGACTTCTATTGGTACAAGGCGCAAAGGTGAGTCGTGGGGTTGAATTTTGGATGCAAAGCGAACGACTCATACTCACAGTAGGCCCACAGAACATGTCATCGCAGCATATGAGGCCTGTCGGGCTGGTCGTGCCACAAGCCTGGCCTATAATCGCACACTTTGCGGCAGTGACAGACGTAGATCTTGTCAAAGCTGCGACGACTGCGACGACTCGGAGGAATGAGAAATGCATGGCTCGTGCTAGGTTATATGGGATGAACAGTGGCTCTGATTCTGCTAGTGGCCTTGCTCTTATATCCTAGAAGGAAAGAAGACGGTAAGGCTTGGCACTCGTATCAGAATGATTGCGCTTTCTAGCGGACTTGACTTGAGGGTAAGAGTATAGGCAGAACCGAAGGTTGGCGGATAAATAATCCAGAGCATGCGGATGAAGAACTACTGACAATGCAAGTGTCGTCCGGTGAGAACGAGACCGAATTAACTGCACCAGAATTAGTGTGTGTTGGCGATAGGACACCTACGTGTGCTACCAGTCGGCCGGAAGATATCGATTAGCCTGAGCCTCTGGTACTTGCGTCTCTCTTTGCTTCTTTTCCTTTTTCGAGTCTTTATCGCATGTTGACTCCTTCGACACCACATGTTATCTCCACCGGCGTCGTCACAGTCGTCACTGGTAGCGTCGTTCCGTCTCGGACATCTTGACATTCGATACTCAAATTCCTGTTGCACCCAGTACATTCAAAGCGAGGTAAAAATCTGAGACAACATAGTGAGATGAAATGTATAGTTCATTGCAATTGTGTACAGTATGGCATGTAATCACGATATCCGTGACGAAGGGGAGAGTACGAGAGCACCATCAAAATGAAGCACGTAAACATGATGTGACCTGTGAAGCTTTGAAATATGAACCGCCAGTTGGAGAGGGAGAAAGCACCGGAAAGAACAAATGAACGGGGGATGAGATCGAGGCAATGTGAAGAGTAGGGGAGGTTCCGGCACGATAGAGAACTTGATGCAGCCTTCCAGGACTGACAAGTCTGGAGGGTCATTGCCTTGCGGACTCCCCAGTCTGTTGAGGTGCGGTGATCCTAATGAAGCTGCTAAGAAGGAAAAATCGATGATAGGAGAAGAGATCACTTTAGTTGCCTCAAACGACTAGGATAGAACAGAAGACATGTTTGTAAAGATGCAAGTTACTATTGAAAAGCTTGGAAGTATTATTCCGAAAGGTGGGGAGAACAAATTCTTGAGCTGCGCTACACAAGTAGTACTACAATTGAGTCATAAAGTCCGAACTTCATATACGGTCATTATACGAAACACGACGTGACACAAACGTAACAAAAACAGAAACATATACAAACCATCGTAACATACACTGGAACGTTCATATAATGATGTCCCCATCCCACTTCTGTAAACCTCCCTGCACTAACTCTCCGTCCGATTGTGATTTGAGGTCCTTCAAAACCTCAGTACTATCTGTGGACAGTGCATCGATAGCTTTCAGCTCATGCACAGTGGCGGCGCGGCGCGTCCCAATGAAAATCCGACCCCCAGGCGCATCTTCCAGCGAGCGAATAATGAGATCCTTCTCGAAAAGATATTTGATATCTTCCAGCGCGTATCCAGTCGTCTCCGGTAGGAAGAAATAGACCCACATCGCCATTATTAAACAAGTGATGCCGAAAACAAGATATGTTCCATAGGATATGCGCTCAAGCATGGTGGGCGTGACCTGGGCAAGAGCGTATGTCATAATCCGGTCGGTTCCGCATGCAAGGGACAAGACAAGTTGACGGAGATGTCCTGGGGCAACTTCAGCGTTGAAGACGTGGGGGGTGAATCCCCAGCCTACGCTAAAGGCCACGGCATAGATATATACAGCAACAATAGATATGTATGTCGCTGGCCCAATGCTCTCGTTGGGGTGAGCACCAGCATACCCACCGATCCATAGCATCATCAGTCCCTGCACTAGGCCACCATAGATCATGGTCCTCTTCCGACCCCAGCTGTCGATAATGTGGGTCAAGGTGAAGCATGTGACGACGAATTTCACGACACCATAGATGCCGGTATCAAGTAGTGTCGAGGAAGTACTGGATAAACCAAGGCTGGCGAATATTTGGGGAGTGTAGTAAGTGATAGCGATTGCGCCGGACCACTGCTGAAATATGATAACGATGGAAGGAATGATGCAGCGCAGAAATATGATTTTCGATTCTCCCATTTTACGAATTTGGGTGATCAGCGAAAGGTTTTGCTTCCCAACGAGATCGACACGAATCTCGTGGAGAGTCAGCACAATGGCATCATCATCCTGATCTCTTCTCGCGATATATGCGAGGACTGCAGCTGCTTCTTCGTATCGGCCGCGCTCAACGAGCCATCGGGGAGACTCGGGCTGGAAAAACATCAAAAATAAAAAGAGTACTCCAGGTACAATCTGGACAATAATGGGCAACCGCCACTGCATTTGTCCTGGTGAGATATTGAGAGAAGCGCCGTAATTGACCCAAACTATGCATCGCCTGTCAGATTAAATCCCACAGGTCTACGATGGACACCCACAAGCCAGCATATTTCCAAGTGCTATTCCGAGTGGGATGCTGCCAAGGCATCGACCGCGTATAGCTCTTGGAGAACATTCGGATACGTACGTTGGCACTAAAGCTGATAACAAACCAATTCCAATGCCAGCGAAGAAACGAGAGAAGTACAAGACTTTCAGTGCAACTTGTGCGGACATTCCAATTCCAGTTGTCGACTGAATAGTGATTCCAATGAGAAATATGACTGCGGAAGCTAACAGGCTAGGCTTCCGCCCAAATCGACTTGAAAAGTAGGTCGAAGACAATGCCCCAAAGCTGGTGACGTGACTTTAGCCGAATAAGTTTTCATGCTTGAATATACACTCACAAGCCTCCTGCTTGCAGGACCGAGACGATATTTCCGCTCAAGCTGGCGCGTGCAGAGGGTGAATCCGAGAGCAGACCGAAATAACTTTGGAATGATGGTAACGCGAGCATACCGCCCATTAAACTTACGTCCCAACCAAAGCAGGTGAATCCCACTACCCCCGCCGAGAATGCAAGAAAGTATGCATTGCGATACTGAATGATGTCTTGGAGTTCCTTCTTCGAGGAAGCGGTCATCATACGAGGGTATAGATTGCTCACGAAGAGTGAGCGAGTAAGGCCCAGATATATAGAGTGGCGAAGGATTGGTATCGTGATGTAAACAACTTGAACTTGAACTTAAATGGGATCCTAGCTTTGAGTTTACAAGCATGTGATCATGGTGATTCTAGCTTAACTCCAAGGTACTTCTGCTGCGCCCATCAGATAATGATGAGTCCTTTAGGGTGCGTTACGTTGATTGCAGGGCCTATACGTCGTAATGACTTGATGTTGCCTCGAGTAATGAAAATAAGGACACGCTCTGCACATATTGTCATATAATGGTACATAAAACAATATGACTTTCTCACCAGTCCTCTGATGCGGCATAAATTCTGACAGCGGCAGGCTAGACCTGACAACCTAAGTGCTTCCCCGCGTTTCGTTACTGTCATCGGAGTTGCATCAGAAAAATGCTTTTCCACCAGGTTTGCGATATCTGTTGAACGTGATGCCTATTGGCCTCGCCAGGGCCCCAATGACACGCATAGCCGCCATGTGTTATCTATGTGTCACCAATGCGGCTAACCACGGCTGTGTTGAGATGGCCATTGAGTCAACTTGAAGGAGGTGTATGCTGTGGTAAGAAATATCAGGGAAACGTAACTCACTACAGAGTGCTACAGAGCGCTCTGTAGCACAATCCAACCCGCTGACAAGCTTGTGGCATGGTAGTCACGTCTGACTTGCCACGATCCGGGTCTCGGGTGAGCAGTTACATGTAGTCGTCGGATAGGTCAACGGCACCTGTGAGCAAGACACGTGGATGTCGTTTTTGGTTGCAATGAGCCCCTAATTACATAAAGAATGCACCCGAAGCGAGCAAGCTGATTGCAACCTACTTTAAGGATAGACTAGGGAAGTTGGACAGTGATGAGATCTATCACCACTGCGAAATTGTTCGGCTCTGAGCTCCAGTACTAGTAAGGTACGAGCAAAAACTCAGGTGAAGGAGTTGAGTATTTTCCAGAGGTACTACTTACTGATTTATCAGAGCTGGCGACGTTCCTGAAGTTTTTCTTACATTACACTGCTGGTACCGTGTTTTCGCCACAGCTTGGCAGCCGAACGGTGGCTCCGGGAGTGGTAATAGCTTGAGGTCATCGATCATCTACCGTGCGGTGGCGCTGCATTTAGTGCTAACAATTTTGTCTTATCAGCAAGAATACCCCCGGGCCCGACAACAGAAATGACCTGAAAGCGAATATCTGAGCACTTACTCGGACGTGGCTCCCGACATCCCACTGAGTAATGAGTGACCTGTTACTGTTCCGAAACTGTTCGGCTCCCGAATCTTCTGAAGAACAAGGTACGTGCAAGGATCAAATTACATACTCGACCAGGACTCCAGTCACCGGCCTTCAACAAATTCATTTTTCGTCCAGGGTTTCGGGTGCGCCTGCCTCAGGCAGGTGCTTGTATGTCTATGCTTTTTGTCCCAGTACATGTTCTGTCGTGCATGTATTAACGCTCACTCGTCATCTCAGGATGTCTGTTTTCTTGCAACGATGTCGTGGTTCGAGTGGGTGAGGAATCAGTTGGTTTTTCTTGTTCTCAGTGTGAGTCGCTGTCTTACACCCATTGTTTTGTTATTCAACGTTTTACGTCGCGCTCACATGACCTTCAGGCTTCTGCAGAGGTCTCCATCCTGTCCGTCGCCGCACTTAATCCATCGTGGTTTACTGTGTCGCCTGTGTCCTACGAAATCAATCTGGACTGTTTGACGGTTTCCATCCTGCGTGATGCTACCCAGCGCATTCGATGTAAGCGGTCAGATGCACGACTGAAGGCCAAGACCGGTGGCCCGTTCTTGTATCTGACATACAGTTCCCTTGCGACAGTACTCGACGAGCAGGCTTCATAATCAAACAGTAAATATATTAGACAAGTATATTTCAACTTAAAGTAGTGGTAGTCAACATAATTACACAAAAGTTAGCCAGTGACAGTGGCAAACTCTCACTGTCAAGGGACAAACCTTTGTCAAAGAAACCGGGAGATAGCCTCGCTGATGCGATTCATTTATTGCAGTCACTCAACCTTTTTCGACCGCTGATTGCTTGTACAGCTAGCAGGACGAGTTATTACATCACACTAAGGGACAACGTGTATAAGCACAACACAGACAAGTAAGTCCGCAGCCTAACGTTTATGGTAATACCTCACCTTTCTTTAGCCTGCAGGAGCTCGCGTTTACGTTGTGCCATTCTTATAACTTCGTGAAGGAACTCTGAGGATAACCTAGACCGACCTTCGTCAAAGAGCCTGGAAGATAAGTTGGCTCTTCTCTGTCAGCTTGAAGTGAGAGTAGCAAGTTTCTGGCCAGATGCACAAACTCGTTCGTCAAACAACCCAAAGATACTTGTCCTGATAGTGCTGGTCAAGGACATAATGAGGCGAGAGGAGATAAACGAAGTGGGAAAAGTCATTCAAGTTGGATGAGTGGCAGGTTATGTATTCCGAAAAATAAGCGGACTTACTAAGATTTACTTGGGCTAGGAACACTGGCCGAAGTGTTGCTGGGGTCCAAGGGTGACTAACTAACGTCACCTAGCACGTACCTTGTTCTTTTGACGATTTGGGAGCCAAACAGTTTCGGAACAGTAACAGGGGACTCACAACTCATCCCACTCGAGGTTGCCATACACTCGGGTTGATTATTGCTGTGTTCATTGTCTTCGTGACCATCATGGTAGGGAATATCTGGGTTGAGGTTCCCCGATTCTGTATGTGTCAAAGGAGAGGAAGACGAGTGCGACATCATCGCTCCACTATAATGGTTTGAAAACATTCCAGTTCGTTCAAGTTTTTTTCATGATGGACCTCTAAGCCTCTTGTGTGTAAGTTACATCACCACACAATATGTATACATGACTGGATTGTAATGATTGATAAAGTTAAAAACAAGTTGAGAGGTCTACTGAAAGTGTCGCACTAGCATATCGTGATCGTGCTGCTGCAATATAGGGTTTAATCCTCTCACTCCTGCCGGCCACTCAATATTGATAGAGTCGATGGATACAGGATATGTAACCCGGCCTTCGCATCCAGCCCAGTCAAAATCGATAAGTTGCACCTTGTTTTCCTTCGTGATCATAATATTTGGTTTCCGAAGATCACCAAACACGAAACCACGCTCATGACAGTACTCAATTGCTTTAGTGAGGTCCTGTTTGAAACTGCGAGGTAGTGCCCGTGCATTAGAGGCCGTCGTTCCATCCACATACTCCATAACTACCATCCGCAGCTCGCCATACGATGGCATGTGTGGCATGGTATCGATTGGTCCGTAGTACAAAAGCTTCGGCGCGAACCCTGCTTCCGCCATCGCCATGTGGACGTCCGCACCGTACCTGGTGACAAACTTCACGACAACATGGATCGAGTCGGTCTCGACGGTCTTCGCTAGGTATGTTACACAGGCAGGATGGGGTTCGAGAGGCTGCTGATGTGTAAATTTCACAACCTTGCCGTCCCGTTTGTAGGTATCTGGGGTTGGGAAAAAACGAGAGTGTGCAACAGGATGTGATATGTCATAACGCGGCTCATCGCACTTGAAGACCTTGTTATCATACCAGTCTTTGAGTAGAGTGATTGATTCTTTGAGTGCATGCATGACGCGCCCAATTCGAAGGCAGTGATCATCATTCAGTGAGGAGCGGGTTGGGATCCAGATGAAGTCCGTAAGATGTTGGACGATACACTTCTCCCTGAGGACTGCGCCAAGAACCACTAGCCGAGGTCCAGCACATGCAATCAAGAACACAGGACAATTGCACATGAAGGGGAGCTCCGCTTCCTATAGAACAAGCATCAGTGACAAGAATAACAAATATTAAAGTGTCAAATCAGTGTACCTTCTGACATGAGATGCGCAAAAAGGAGAAAGACGCCTGGACAGAAGGGTCAGAACCTCCATCTCCAAAGTCGTCCTTCTCTTCATCTACAATCAGGCATATTGGGATCTTGTCGTGAAATGCAAAGATTACACCATCTGAGATACATTTGCCATCACGAATCTGCTCTTTCACAAAACAGTGTCCGAGCATGTTATCCAGTAGAGAAACAAGATTTGACCTGCGGTCATCTTCTTTGGAATAAACGGTTGCAAATTCAGCCATGAGAGTCGGAGTGGCACAGAGTATGTCATCGGGCACTTCGTATGTAGGGTCGAACACTTTACTTGAGAAGAACGCAAATGCCGGGTTGAATAACTGGATTGGTGGCGCAGTTGTGTCAACCGGTTTGCTTTGAGCGTAGCGTCCATCGTATATTTTGCGAGGCCCACCCTGGATTGCACGATATTGATTGGATTTAGCAGCTGCTGAAGGAGGAAGGCAGTCGGATCCTGATTCGAGGGTGTTTTTGAACTCTTTGAGTGGAAGATATTTGAGTGGCTCAACCTCGAAAACTAGTTGGTGTAATCTCACCTGTGTTGAGCCATGCTAGGATGTCAGTTGGGTCTTCCACAACTTTGCCCTGAGTGACTGTAGGAAGTCGCACAACGATATGAATATACCTGGGCTCCACTCCATCTGGAAACGCTTCTGACATCTCAGTTAACGTGTCCTCCAACTCAACGCCACCCTTGATACCGCCCTCGATCCCGATCGTGTCGAGCAAGTGCAAATCTTTTCTGTTGATTTTGACCTTGGAAAGCATCGGATTTTCAGCACCAGATCATGGGAATCAATCTCTCACCTGCCATATCTCGAGATCGTCAGCATCAACACAATCAAACCGATTCTTCTTCTGGTCCTTGATAGCAACTCTCAAATGGCCCACGGTCTTTGTGCTCTCGATGTCGATAGGAAAGACATGCTTTGGGCCATCCCCAAGGATCCAACAATTGAGCTCGAATGTGTGTGACATGAACGTTGGAATAGCTGTACGAAGTCTAGAGAAGACTTAGCGGAAGTTAATAGAACAACGCTGAGGTGGGAAAAGACGTGAAGGAGGTACATATGAGTCTATGGAGGATCTGTGGCTGAGTGACGAAGGTGCTATACAGTACATAGCAAGAAGAAAGAGAAATAACATATCTAGAACGTGCTTATGTCAACAACAGGATGGACTAAAACTTAAGAATGCTATATTAGCGACGCGCGCGTCACGTGATTCAGACAATTAAGAAAATGACCTTCAGTCGAACTTCTCATTGTCCAAGCTTGGAGTTCCGACAACACGTAGAATCAGCTGTTTGGGCATTAAGAACTGGTTTGGTGGCTAGTCATTCCAGATGATTTTTCAGCTCGCCACTTAGTGCAAGTGTGAGTGCTTCACTGACTTCCAGTATTGACAACAAGAAATGGGTCTGACTAGACCTTTCAAATATATTTCGAGACACCATGACAATGAAAACCAGGACAGATCCTTGATTAAATCTCTCCTTCCTATAGAACACTCCACAAGCATTTTCCTACACAGTATTGCTAGTTGTTATATGTACATGCTTCTGGAAGACAATTGAATTCATGCTAGTTTCGGCGTCGGATTCGGCCACGAGTTTGGCGTGATATTCTCGAACACTGAGGATGAGGCGTGGTCCTAGAACAAACATCTGCACGCCAAATAATATCTGGCAAGTGCAATAGAGAACTATAGCATCTATAGAATATATATTCTACAAAAATGATGAGCAGTGGTTACAAATAGATGTCAGCGAAAAGCGGGCGCACCGCTGCGATCTCCGGAGAGACATAAAAAAGCTGGAGGCAAGAGACACAAGCAAAGCTATTACGCGAGGAATTTTAGCAGAACAAGATAACTACATTCACATTATCAGCTCACCTTACAAAATAAAGCACGTGAGATTTAATCAGCACTCTGAAACAGTCCCCAATAATCGATCCGGTTGATAGGCCGAATCGTCGCAGCTCAAGGAAATGTTTCACAACAATCCAGACTGAAAGACACAGTGCGAGGACCTCCCAAACAGTATTGAGCATCCAAAGCATTGAAATCAGAAGCTGGGCGTCTCCCTCAAACCCATAATTGCACATATATGTGCCAGAGAGTATCAGCTCCTCTGGTGTTCGTCCAATGAGCTGCGTTCTCCATGTTGACAAGTAAAGCTTACCCGTTACAATATATTTGAGTGCTATTGCCATGAGTACTCCGCAGCCGATATTTATGGCTAGGAAGATAATAACAAGGAAGATAAGGATCGTTTTAGATCCCTGGTACATGGCATGTAAGCGAGCAATCATGATGACTTGTCTCAGTCGAATCAATATCACGGAATTATTGCAGCTGGGTAACTCACCGCCCAACATAGCAGGTATGATCACATTTGTCCCGTTTAGTGCGTAGCCCGTAATAGTGCCTAAAACACCCAATTAGCGATCGCCCTCGTACTAAGATAAAATACTCGGACTTACACCTATCGAGTCGTTATGATGAACCAACTTCAATTGTTAGAATATCACTCACCCCTAAAAATTAATGTATTCATTGGATGGGAATGGGTGGGTTGCAGAATACTCACTGCATCTGTGAGCGAGACCATTGGCATATATGCTGCCAGTGTGTGTAACTGGTCAGAAGAATCGCACAGTGCATAAGAGACTTACGCAGAATGCTGACACTGATGATGAGATGGCTATTAGCACAGCGCTAAAAAGATTGTTGGCCTCAAAAACATACACAGAATACGGTAGTCCAATATAACGTATCTAGAACATTTTTCGATCAGCACAACTGCTAATCACCCCATAGTATAGCATTGGGTACGAACAATCAGGTACAGCACAGTCAAGGAAGACCAGCGTTGTCTCTGTCACGAATTCATTGGATTCATTTTTCTTCTGATGCGAGACTCTGCCACTCACCCAGATTAGTTCGATCTATGCAATTGTTCTTAGTGAGTTGGCTGCTCGGACAATAGCGCCGACCTACCTCTTGTCCGAGTGTTAATACTGAAAATATCATGAGAATATCAACGATTTTCGAACACTGTCCCACTCACCCCAATCGTACAACACCACGATGCCTGCGGCAACTGCGAAACCACAAGTCGATGTTAGATCAAGAGGTTCGAGACATCACAAACTGATACGACGAACCAATCCAATAGCTATTCAAAATGTTCAAATTGATCATGGGCCACCAACTAGGATCATTTGAGACCAGGGTCATATTCGAGGGATGGGCGTGAGTGAGCGGGGGATATTGGGGGTTATAATGATCTAATGTTCGTGCTAGATATACCAACGTTCGGGCCGCCTGTTTGTACCGCCGAGATCTGCATGATGCATGTACGGGTGATGCCGCGCGTATATCGTTAACGTTTACGTTCAAGTTTTCCAATATCCAGAACGTTCTCTGACCGGTGCTGGCATTTTACTACCCCTCACGAAGTCTCACCTAGTGCCATCATGATATGGCTTCATCAGGGAATACCATACTATGCGTCATTCGCACCCACTAGTTGTGGATGTATGGAAATGCGCCAAACACGAGAGTATTTCCTGTGCGAATGCTTTCTATTGATAGACTTGTGATCTGACTATATGTTATGTATCTGTTTTGAGAGTGGGGAGATTTAAATGAATCTGATGCTGTGCTTGAACTGGTCGATCTCTGAGTCGGAGTCGAAGCACGGAGTTTGAAAATATGCAGGTACTATTTGTGCCGGATGTTGTCGTACTAGCACAGACATTGTGTGCAGGCACCAGCCGTTCTGCTTATTGCCACGCCGTGAGTGAGAAGAGAATTGTCCTCCTCCTTGCTGATGCATCGCGAATTATTGTCATTATGTTTGATACTACTCATCGCACCCTATCCGTTATACTTCTCACACTTTCATTTTCACAAATATGATTTCACCATTTGCCTGAGTCTAGTCCAGATGTCAGATGCTCACTTTAGTCGTGTCCTGCGAACCAGTGCCACCGTATTGTCAACCATCTGGGCTTCTACTCGGATATATGATGTATCTCGAATGGGTTTATCCTTGGGGCTATCAGCTCAGACACGCTGCTTTTACTTCCATGTTCCACAGAACCTTTGCATTGCGCCCCACATGTCCGGCCCAGATGGATGATTGCACACTTTTGTTGTGCTCAGATGACTGGCGCCTTAGTGATACTTTGTCAAGTGCGCTTTACTCCCCGCTCAGCACACCGCATTTCCTTTCCAAGCACATCCAAGATAGAAGCAAATACTCGAGCCGTAAGTTTTTTAATAACCATAATACTCTGTGTCGTTGAATCGTGCTCGAAACTAGACGATTGTTGTTGAAGACATGTCTATCTAATAGTGGTCAGCGATGCATTGGTTCAATCAGATCATCGGCGCCCAATCAGTTAACTAGTGGACATCAACAGCCTTTTCCCTTCACGCACGATTTCGCACTACTTCTCTACTGCACAGACGAAGTATAATGAGGACGTCCGAGCATTCTAGCGGATCTGACGCATTATCAACTATCTGCGGTTTCATGACTTGCTCAAGTCGCTTCTTCCTTTGCTTTACTCTGGCACATGACAGTGCTATCAGATCCAAGTACGCATATGAAAATATCATGGTCGGCGCTTTCCTGATACATTTTCCAGTCGGCTCGATGCCCTCGGACTTGAAGCTCTTATCTCTTTGCCACGCGCATTCATTCGTGACAGATGCATATACTCACCCCATAAGTGCCTTTTTAGTATTTTCGTGCTCGATATCGTTGAATCATGCCTGAATAGTGCTTCCTTCCACTCTTGACCTACGATTATTTACTACTTCTCTCCTGTCCAGATGGATGATATGGGGGAACGCGTCTGGCCGGTTACACTTATATCTATGACCCTCAGACATTCAACAGTAAGGGCTTGACTCACAAGCACCTTCGAAGGTGGACAGCGTGGAGAGGGACAATCAGCGACGAGTCCATTCAGAGAATACATTGACCACTCTAATGGCTTCCCAGGCACAACTCTGTCGTATGGTGCCGCTGAGAGAAGGCGGGAGTCGATATGCTGCAGAACCCTTGTACTATCAATTGTGTGAACTCAGACACGCTACTTCTACTTTCCATTCGTTCGATCCAGATGATGGATATATGTATGTATGTATCTCGATCGGTACTTTACTCTGACGGTCTTGGTACCTCCAACAGATCACTGCAAGGATACAAACCCGACGCACAATCTGCAGTCGCATGGGCGGAACGCTCCGATGGTGTGACTCCGATCAACGTATTTATGCATGCGATTCAGAATATCGTGGTCGATGTCTAATCAATAATTTATAGGTGCGCTTGAGGCTTGAGGCTCTGGTTCTCTAATTTTCTAATCTAGCTCCGCATCCCATCTCCTTGCCATACTCGTTTGTGATAGAGGCATATAGTCAAGCCACGAAAGGGCGAGTCACTGACTTCCGACAAGAAATGGGTTTGTCTATATCAATCTCGTCTTAAATATGCTTCAAAACACTAATGTAAATACTACGACGGATCCTCCGCCGATTATCTCATCCCTGTAAAACACTCGGCAAGCATTTCCTTACACAGTACTGCTAGTTGGTATATGTACACGCTCCTGGAAGACAATCGAATTTATGCTAGTTTCTGCGTCGGATTCGGCCACGAGGTTGGCGTGATATTCTCGAACACTAAGGACGAGGCGTGGTCCCAGCACAAACAACTGCACGCCGAAGACGAATTCACGAATACCACCGAAGATTTGAGTTCCAATAAAAGATGGATTCTACAGAGATGGTGAGCAGTGGTTACAAGCAGATGTCAACGACAGGTCGGCATACCTGCAACTCTGGAGAGAGAATAACAAATTGGATGCACGAGACACAGACAAAGCTGGTATGTATGGAACTTCAGCAGAGAAGATAACCGTATTCGCATTACAATCTCACCTTGCAAAATAAAGCACGTGAGATTCCATCAGCACCCTGAAACAGTCCCCGATAATCGATCTCGATAAACCGAGTCGTCGCAGGTCATGGAAATGTTTCACAGCAACCCGGACTGAAAGACACAATGCGAGGACCTCCCAAATGGTGTAAAGCATCCAAAGCATTGAAATCAGAAGCTGGGCATTCTCCTCATATTCGTAATCGCACGTATATGTGCCAGAGAGTATCAGTACCTCTGGTGCTCGTCCAATGAGCTGTATTCTTCAAGTCAACAAATAAAGCTTACCCATTACAATATATTTGAATGCTATTGCCATAAGTACTCCGCAGCCGATGTTGATAGCTAGGAGGATAGTAACAAGGAAGATAAGCATTATTCTAGATCCCTGATACATTGCATGCAAGCGAGCAATCATGATGACTTGTCTCGGTCGAATCAATATCACGGAATTATTGCAGCTGGGTAACTCACCGCCCAACATAGCAGGTACGATCACACTTGCTACATTTATTGTGTAGTACGTAAAATTACCTAAAACACTCGAGAATTAGCGACGGTACTAGCATCAAACACTCGAACTCACACCTATCGAGTCATTATGTTGAGCCAAGTTGAATGGTCGGAATCTCACTCACCCCTGCAAATGAGTGTATTCGTTATTCATTGGATGAGAATGAGATCGGTTGGGAAATACTCACTGCTTCTGTCTTCGGGACCAATGGCATATATGCTGTGCGCCACCGGTCAGAAGAATCGAGCATGATGCATATGAGACATACCCAGAATGTTGACACTGATTACGAGATGGGCTATTAGCATAGTACCAACTTGTTGGCTTTAGAAACATACACATAATATGGTATTCCGACATAACGTATCTAGAATATTTTGGAGTCAGCATGACTTGCCAACTACGCTATAGCATAACACGAGGTACGAACAACTAGGTATAGCACAGTTATTAGAGACCAGCGTTGCCTCTGTCGCAAGTTTATTGTATTTCCTTGTGTTTCTTCTGATATGGGACTTTGTCACTCACCCAGATTAGCTCAATCTATGACACCAGTCTTAGCGAGTTGGCTGCTGCTGCGATAACATCGACGTACCTCTTGTCCGAGTGTTAAGACTGGAAATATTATGAGAATATCAAGGTTGTAGAAAGCTGTGCTGCTCACCCCAATCGTATACCACCACGACGCCTATTGCGACTGTGAAACCGCAAGTCGACGTTAGATCGAGACATTATCAACTGATATGACAAACCTGAGAAATAGCTTGAATGAATATTTGAATTGATTATCGGCCACGAGCTGGGATCATTTGAGACCAGAGTCATATTCGAGGGAAGGGTTTGAGTGAGTAAGAGATGCTGGGGGGTTATAACGACGTAGTGTTTGTGCTAGTATACACTGCTGTTCAAACGTTCACCGCTTGTATCGCCAGAATTGGCATACCCGTCTCCGAGTCTGATTCAATGGGTGGCGGGCCCTTGAGTCACGATTGTGATGCGACATCAATCAAAAATGGAAGTCCTAGGTATCAATTGAATGAAAGTAGATTTTGGTTTCCAACCAATACCAATCTACCGGTCAGAGAATTCGAACATTCTGCTGGTGGATGTGAACATTAACGAGTATTGTTTGGTGCAAATGTTTGTCACCACTGAAGCTTGAAGCTTTGAAGTACTGAACCCAGAGTCCCAGACTAGTCGAACAAAGATAAATTTGAAATTTATAGCCAGTCGCGTGATGCCGTTTTGGCTGTGACTCGTCATCGTTTCTTCGAATATCCCATGTTGTTGGGAACTCTCCTGCACAATGCACATTATTCAACGGAGTACCAGCCTCAAGCACATGGCTAGAGTGAACAAAGAAAGTCATTCCAGTAGTCTTCATTCCATCAGGTATGTCCCGCCTAACCTTGTGAAGTTGCAAACTAGCACTCCTGATAGCTGTCGAAGATACTTATCTTCAGTGAAGACCTCATCATTTCCTCACGGGCATTCGAGTATCTTGTCCAGAAGGTCTAGTTTCTTTCCTGCAGGAAGCTTGATGGTAAGCTTCTTGGAAATGGTTCGTTTCTTCTTCGCCATCGATATACTCCAGGCTATACTGTCAGATTGAAGCTTAAATAAGTGTGATTAGACACGAAGTGTGATGCAAAAAGTGTCTAGTTTGCTGATGTGTGTAGCTTGATGCTTCAAAGAAGCACCTTGATGCTTCAAAACTTCGTGTGTCTGCCATGATGCTTAAAGGCTTCCCACGATGCATAAAATCTTAGACGCACCTCATTTGGCAGGCTAGATCCCTTTGTGCATTTGGTTCCTCCTTCGCTGGCCTTCCCCAGGGCTTCCCACGATGCATAAAACCCTAGACGCACCTCGTTTGGCAGGCTAGATCCCTTTGTGCGTTTGGCTGGCCTTCCCCAGGGCTTCCCACGATGCATAAAACCTTAGACGCACCTTGTTTGGCAGGCTAGATCCCTTTGTGCGTTTGTTTCCTCCTTGGCTGCCGTTTCCCTCCCCTTCCTGGCATCTCCCCTCGGTGCCTCTTAGGTTCTTGTCTTCATTTCCCAGCTTCTCGTCTGTTTTTGTGCTTGTGGGTTGCCATATCGGCTCTGTTCTCGACCCAGCTGTTAGTTGTTATGTTCCTTGATGTACATTTTGATATTATACATCATATAAGCATGTTTCTCCTTGATGCGAAGAAGTTAGGGCCATTTCTCCCGCAAGTTCTTGATTTGATGTGATCGAGATCGAGATTTGAGCAAGAAATTTCACTAAGTCCAGCAACTTGTATGTGCACCTATTTTTTCAACAAGTCCAGTACCTTTTATGCGCACCTATTTTTGCTAATGATATAAACAAGTGCACTGAGACGAAAGCTGTATATACTAGTGACAAGAAATTAACATGTATTGAGTAGTGAAGACGGTTTTAAATACATGCTTGCAGGATTAACAGTATTAGATTATGTACGGAGTCTCGTACTATGTAGGCGCAACACAAAAAACACCAAGAAACAACATTCAGTGACCAACTGATTCAAAGCGACGCCATGACTCAGGTAGATTTGCGTTTCCTTGTGATTAAATGAGCATAATACAACGAATCTAATATTGACACCTACTTCTTTTGAGGGACGCTCTCGTTTTCGCCCATGTGAGGTCTCTTCATGGTTGCACCTATCATATTTGCCTGGGCCATACGAGTTGACTCTTGACGGACCCGCGTTGTCTTGCGTAGAGGCGCCGTTATGGTATCATCCGAGGTAGAAAGCTCAGTAGAAGGCTGAACTGCCACTCGACGCGGATGCTTCTCTTTGCTCACTCTACTATTCTTAGCACGATTCTCACCAGCCGAAGTAGCGCACACGCACTCGTCTACCTCATCCACTCCAGCTTGTACTTGTTCCAGGGCAGCGGACGCCAAAGTAGCACACACGCGCTCGTCCACTCCAGCTTGTACTTGCCTGGGTTGTTCCAGGGCAGCGGACGTCGTAGGATTCAAGGCAGAATTGTCGGCCTGGGGAGCGTGAGCAGTCACATTGTGAAGGGCTGGTTGTTGCAGAGAAGTATCCGTGTAAGAAGGATTTAGCGCTGTGGTACTAGGGAAGTTGATGGGGTTCGAAACAATGTGAGGTTGGACGACGTGAGGTTGGTTTGAAACAATGTGAGGTTGGCCTCCATGTGCACCGTCCAAGGAAGGGGGAGAATAGAAGTTGAAGTTATAGGGAAGTACGTCGGATTGATTCAAGGGGGCCATATGAAGCGGTGGCATCGAGTTCCAGTACCCCTCATTCCATGATGTGATAGGTGAGAGAGATGGCGAAGGAAGCGCTAATGTGGAATTGGATGGGAATGATCCCCCTGGCAGTGTCGGCGTTTGAAGGACAGGCGATAGCGTCAACTGGGGGAGAGTCCCAGAATTCTCACCAGAGAAAGAATACATGCCATTGTTGAATGACGGAAACTCGGGTCCTTGTGAGTTGAGTTGAGGTTGAGGGATGATAGGAGGACCTGTGACTGCCACTCCACTGGATCCACCAGCGGATCCTGGACCTGCGACAACGTGCGATGCGAATGATTGTGCCGAGTCCGATGTGAACGGCACGTGCGATTGTGCGCTCTCTGACATTGTTGGCACTGCATCTTCCAATGAGGTGTTCTCATCTTGCACCACTGGAGGGACGTAGTCTAGAGCACGCCTTTTCCTGTCATCCTCGCCTGTAGTCCCATTAGCGAATGAATTTAAATAAAAAAGAAACACATACTGAATACTGTCGCAAGATAACCCAGATAAGGGTTCAGATGTTTCTCTGTAAAATTCGGTGTTGCCTGCTTCCATGTAAGACCGGATTCGTTGACACCTGTATGATAGCTGGGGAGCTAATATTAGAGGGCAACGAGGGTCAAAAAGCACAAATTCTCATACCTCGATACATTGAGCATACCACCAAGGCGAGGGTCTGGGCCTCCGCCAATGACCGTCCACTCCCAGCCAGTAAGTTGCCTCACCGCATCCAAAAATTGAGAGATTGGACCGATACACTCTTCTAACGCCCTAACAATCATAGATGTGAGTGAGAGATGAAAACTTCAAGGATTTACTTACTTCGCGTACTGTGCATTGGTAGGTTGTTCAGTCGCTCGTGCCCCTGGCAACATCGCCGAGATCTTGGCATTCCGCTCCTCGGCAGCCTTCGTCTTACATAAGGACTTGATTTCAGACGAAGCAGCCTCATATGCAGCCTTGGTCGTCTCCCGCACTGCCAGTAGTTTTTCGTTTTTTGTTACCAGCAGCCCAGACTCAATCTTCTCCTGGATCTTTGCCCGTACGTCGGTGTCATAGTTCATTTTGGAGAATATTTCGACTTCTGTATGAACTCGCGTTCCTTTCGCTTTATTGCCAAGCATCTTGTTGATTGATTTTGTCATCAAATTGAGGGTCGATCGACCGCTTTTGTGGGATCTATAATTGAACCAGTTTTTAATTTGCTATTGACACCGTGAGCATGTTGCGTCATGACATGACAAGATGTAGAAACCTGTCGGCGCCTAGCCACCGCCTCTCCCAGCAACTCTTTCTCTACCTCAGTCAGGTGCGGATGTTTAGACTTGTCTGGGTATTGCACGTCGATTTCAGGCCATTGTTTCAAGAACTCAAGGCTAACAGTATCCCAAAAGGATGTCAAAGTTCCTTGAAGCTGTTGCTTCAAGAACTCGCTGAATTGCGACTCCAAGTAGGCCTTTTGTTCTCTGTTTGTCCATTGAGCTCCGACCATCTTAAACTAACCCCACAATTAGTGACAGCATCTCCTCAGGGTATTTCATCACTGCTTACCCCTTTTCGATCTCGGCGGTTCGGCAAATTCGGTGTGAGGCTTTAAGGTGCTGTCATCGGTGAGTCTCTTGTCAGGTATTTCGTCACCGCTTACCTTTTTTGCAAATCGGGTGTGAGGCTTTAAGGTGCTGTAATCGATATTAGCATATCTCCAGATCTCGGCCATCGTCACTGACCTGTTTTTCAGTTTGCTTTGCTGGAGTTCTGTATGCTGCCCGTCGGATTTTTTCCAGTAAACAAACTACAGTCCAGGATGAAAATAAGGTTCAGCCTCCTCGAGCATCCAATCATATCCTTGCCTTCCTACGGCACATTAGATCGGAGTTAAATTTCGATCAATAAAATTATTCTCACTCTCATTTCGCCTGGTTCATTTTGAAATGTGCAATTCCAAGAATAACAACAACACTTGCCATCCGTTGACTGCGGAACCCCCAAAATTCACTATAAACGAACTAGCAGCAGCTTTACAGCTCATTAGAGACCAGGAAGGTGAGCGGATTTATCGATTTCTCTGTCACAATAGCACCATCTTACCTAACACACAGAAATTTTCAAAGTTCTTGAAGGGACTTCAACTGGGGATCTTCCTTCGCTTGACTTGATGCTTGACGACTCAGAGCGCCCTTCTTGTGTCACCTGCGGTGCCAAGACCCCCGCGGAAGAAGACACAAAACCGGCAAAACCCATTATCAGCGCTGGTATGATATTTGTTACAACTGTTGCTCAAATCAAATTTAATGTAGTTTCAGATGTTCTCATAGCGCTTCTGGTAAATGATGGGATGTCGCCTAGCACTGCCATAGTATTAGAGTGATTTCTTGTTTCTTGTATCCGCATCATCGTTCTTGTACCATGTAGCCGCATCATCATTCTTGTATCTTGTAGCCGCATCATTTTCTTGCAATAAATACCATCATTACCGCTGTAATGCACTCAGCCGATGGTGACATCAAGCAACCGCAATGACCACAAGTGCATGTGTAATTGGATTGAACAGATACTAAGAGGAGCTGGCTAACTGTGCTATTCAAAATTTGTTGAGTAAATGTTCGGTTTCATGGGTCTCGAGGTGCTCGTGTGCTGACGATGGATACTATATGTATGATAAGAGGAACTGCCATAGGCTACGTGTGTTATTCAAATTTGTTGTTGAGTAAATGTTCGGTTTCATGTGTCCCGAAGTGCTCGTGCGCTGATGCTTTTAGCCTTAAGCTTGAGTTAGTAGTACTATGGTTCAAGGAAGTCTCACGCCTGGCCATACACCTTCATCGACCACAAGTACTGTTACTACACTCTTCTTTGGATATCCTTGCTTTGCTTGACTTGATGCCACCCAAGTATAAGAACGAGCAACAACGTTGCGAGGCTCGACTGACATCCAAGCGCAGATGATATGAAAGGTAAGCCTCTGAGTTCAGATGTCAGAGCGTGTAGATTACAATTGATTGTACTTCATGTAGGCACAAGCTCGATGAGCGCTTAAAGTCTAGGACTCGTTGGCGCAAGCATCTTGGAGCCACTGTGGTATGTCTCATACTATCAATCATACACTTTACACTAATTAGATAAACTACGAGACCAGGCTACACAAAGTTTTCTAGCGCGACTAGACTCGATATGGCTCAACCTTGGCTATCACGCAGGCCTTTCTCAATACACGGTTCTCAAGTCACAGAGCCTCATGCTTGTCCGTGAGGTGACTGATGAAGGTTGGCAGGTTGTAAGACCGAATTATGAACACATAGTAGCGGACGCGCAAGAACTTCTTTCAGAAGCCAGGGAGGTACTTTCAGGTGCATTGCATGCAGAGGGTGCATGCACAGACCATCTTATCTCAGGGTCCGCAGCCGCTGTTGATGCAGTAGAGCTGCACTGTGATGCATGGGATGAAGCACTCTCACTAATGGATGATAGCGCAGATACATACTTTGATGCTCTCATGTCTGATCAGTTGGTATGGCAGAGGACATCAAAATCACATTGACGGACATTAGCGTCTCTGTAACTACTCTTAGGTTTATCATAATGTTGAGTTTTTGGGCACCGCATAGCATCTGCCACATCCTGCGCTATTACGCACTGCGCTATTACACAGCACCCGTAAACGTTGCCTCCACACCCAACCATCATGGTCAGCAAAAAACGACGTGCATTGGACAAGCTTAAGCAAGATTGGTATATACTGAATAGACAGCACCAGCAAGCCAAAAGGCGTGTAGCTGAGGAGCACACACTTTACCACAAACATTCCTGCTTCACTCGTACATCTTCCGGCAACATAACCTCTGAAACGGAATTCTTTGTAGCTGAACATCTGCCATCTTCAGTCGCCTCACACCCTGCCTCACACCCACCATCGGGCGCTAATACAACTATGGAAGATTTCAGCTTCGATTCGTATGGTCACACCGACATCGACTCACTTGTAGACTATGACACGGTGGATCCTGCATATGAGAATTTTTTGAAGGAGTCTACTGTTGGGCCAAAGAAACGTCTCAGGCCAACCGGTGTATGATATATTTTAATCGTATGATATCTTAAGTTAACTTAAACTGAACAGGACCGCACAATGGCTCTTTGGCTTGACGAACGCGAGAAATATCTTCTGGAGCTTATCAGACTCGAAGGTCGTGGGGACTACGCTTCTAGGGAAACTTGCCAAGGGCACAGTGAATGCACGTCTGAGCCTGCGTATCGCTGCCGGGACTGTTTTGGGACAGAGCTCTACTGCCAAGCGTGTATCATAAACAGGCACCGTGAAAACCCTTTGCACAAGATTGAGGTACGTACCCTAGTTTATATGTTTGTAGTTGTTGCATGTTGATCACCCCTTCAGTTCTGGAACGGTTGCTTCTTCGAGGACACCACACTAAAGTGTCTCGGACTCCGGATCCAGCTTGGCCACCCCATTGGGGAACGATGCTTCAATCATTCACGGGCCTATGACGATGATTTTGTCATTCTTGACACTAACGGCATCCATGAACTTGCCTTGGATTTTTGTTCATGTGAGAGTGCGCTAAGTCACGTCAAACAACTCCTGCGAGCTCGCTGGTATCCTGCGACCAGCGCCGATCCAAAATCAGCAGCAACATTCCGTCTTCTCGAGCATTTCCACATGCTTACTTTTGAGTCTAAAGCATCTGCCTTCGAATACTGGCAAACCCTTGCGCGTCTTACTGATAATACAGGCATCAAGCCATGCAAGGTAATTCTAGCGTGTCTCAATCCAAGCGTGTTTTGCTGACTACCGATTCCTTAGGATCGTTACGACAGTCTCTTGCGCATGATCAAGCAGTGGCGTAACCTCAAGCTCTTGAAGCGGTTCGGCCGAGGTCACGATCCGTCTGGCATCGATGCGACCAAACAGGGGTCATGTGCCGTTGTTTGCCCTGCATGCCCCCACCCAGGCAAGAACCTACCAGAAGACTGGAAAGCAGCGCTTCCGGACAAACAGTATGTATTCACATCCTTACTTGATTAACTGAGACTTATGCCTGCAGGTGGCTGTATGCACAATTTCTGGCCATTGACGCGAATTTCCGCCTGGCACGCAAGAACGTTTCTTCGGACAGGATCGACCCTGGTTTGAGTAGGGGATGGGCTTATTTTGTCGAGGAGACTGGGTTCAAAGAATTTCTAACTGATGCCGGAACGGTCGCACAAGAGGTATGTTAGCGTTATTGTTCCAATACAATCACTCAAACATCCGGTTTAGAAAAGCACGTGTGCTAGTCACAGTGCTGTGAATCTCGCTGAAACGAAGACTGCACGAGGGTTGGCTGCAACTGGAGCCGGGACCGTGGATTGCTCGCGTCACAACTTTAAGCGGCCATCTGGAGTAGGTGACCTTCAGAGGGGCGAAAAGTATGTATATGTATTCGATGATGTGAAATGATTCCCGCTGATCCTTTGAAACAGGTATATCAATATGGATTACCTATTTTTCTCGACCGCGCAACATTCTGAAGACATCGTTGTATTAAACATCTCCTACGACATCGCTTGTCAGTGGAGCAAAAACTTATGGGGCCGGATGTCGAGATACCCATCACGCATGCACTTTGCGCGTGACGGTAAAGTCATGACCTTTCTTGTTCCAAAGTTCCACTTGCCCGCCCACATCACTGCATGTCAAATAACATTTTCACACAATTTCATCAAGGGAATGGGGCGCACGGATGGTGAGGCCCCAGAACGGGGTTGGGCCAATATCAACCCTGTGGCCACGAGTACACGAGAGATGGGACCTGGGGCTCGTCGAGATACACTGGACGATCACTTCGGCGACTTCAATTGGAAGAAAGTTACGAACTTCGGTACGTGTTGTTTGCTTCAGCACACCCAATGTAATTAACCAAGAAAATCCTTAGGTGTCAGTTTACTGAGCAAAATGAAGACTGCGATCCCTGAACGAGACCGACACCAACAAGATTTTGACGACTTTCACCTTACGATCATAGGGGAACGACCGGGCGAGGTAACACAGTGGAACGAAGCTATCGAAAAATGGGAGGCCGACACTTCCAACAAAAACCCCTTCGAGACAACGACCATCAGTAAGTATCATGCACGCTAGGCTATTACATGCACTGATTGTATATAGCCTTGACGCAGGCTGCCGTGCGCCTTAGACTCTCTCAAAAGGAAGCCGAAGACCTCGAAAGAGGTTTCAACAATTCATTGCACACCGAGATATCACCTAGCGTACTCGTTTCATCAGGAATCGAGCTCGAGGAACAACAGTAAGGGTTTCAAAGTATTTTAATTAGGAGTTTCTAATAAGATGATCTACAGATTTCGCCTGCAGCAAGATTACAACACTCTGAGTGGCCATCTGACAGACTTGCAGCTGACGAAGCTGCAAGAGCGTTCGAATGCACTGCTGCGCAAGATCGAGCAGTGGTGCAAGGTCCAACTGCTATACATGCCTGCTGTCGGCCGACTGCGTGCATTGGCGGATGCACAATCAACTCGCGAGGAGAAGGCCTACGATGTCAAACTTTGGCTACCATCGAAGCTGAAGGAGGCAGCTGAGATGTCGTGTGACGAGCAGCTTTGTGAATTTGAATGGGAGCTGCGGTGTGCACAGGCACACGAGGCTCTCGATGACGTTCGCCGGCAACTTCGTCTTCGCGCACACCTCTATAAATTCAAAGACGCCTACATACGCGGGCAACGGGCCAATACCAGAGCATCCGCTGTGCTCGGAAAAGTGGAGCAGACCATTAGGACAGCTGCTGCTCGGTATCGCAGGGCTTGGGCGGCAGTTAAGACACTGTCAGGAGTCCTGGACAAACCTAATTGGGAGGTAGAATTGCCTGAGTTGCTGGCGGCTGATGTTCGCGGGATGTCAGAGGGAGATATTGGCCAGTCCGAAGGTAACCGCACACTTTCGTGGATCTGGAAGGCTCGTGGGGTGGCTGCAATGGGAGAAGATGGTGAGGCTGTTTTATCAGAAGGTACGCATTGGCATTATTGATTGTACGGAGGAGCTGTCCTGACGCACCAGGCAGCATTGCGTATTGAATGGTGCAAATCGAGAGCGCGCGCCAATCGTTGGGCCGAAGAAGTCGAGTTGCTGCAAGAGGAGATGTGGCGTGTAGCCAGCTTTCTTTCGTGGCACGCAGGATGGTGGGAGGAGCAAGCAAATCGCAGGACTGTCCTACCTGCACCTGAACAGGAAGGGATCCGGGGATATGCGAAATGCCAAGCCGCTCTTTGAAGGGCTATGCGGGACCGATTCGAGAAGATGTGGAGTGTCGTTCCGGCTCTTCTCCAGCCCATGTTGCCTGCAATATCTCTGCCGGTGTCGTAGTGCAGCTTTTGTTTTTCTGTTCATAGCGCGTGTTGACTGAATACGGAAATAAACCTTTGTTCCTATTGATCGGGGTAGTGCCTTCCTGAGGGAGAAGCATCAACGATGGGCGGGACTTGATGCTTCATCAATGAGGGACCATCAACGAGGAACCATCAACAAGGGACCGTCAACAAGGGACCATCAGATGTCTCTACAGTGAGGGAGAAGCATCAACGAGGGGCGGGAGCCTTGTCTCTAGGTTTATGCTTCATCGACGAGGTGCGGGAACCTTGTCTCTAGGTTGATGCTTCAAGGTAGGAGGGATTAGTAGGGTGGGCAGTGTCTCTAACTTGATGCTTCAAGGGGCGGGAGCCTTGTTTCTAGGCTTATGCTTCATCGACGAGGCGCGGGAACTTTGTCTCTAGGTTGATGCTTCAAGGTAGGAGGGATTAGTAGGGTGGGCAGTGTCTCTAACTTGATGCTTCAAGGGGCGGGAGCCTTGTCTCTAGGCTTATGCTTCATCGACGAGGCGCGGGAGGCTTATGCTTCATCGACGAGGCGTGGGAACTTTGTCTCTAGGTTGATGCTTCAAGGTAGGAGGGATTAGTAGGGTGGGCAGTGTCTCTAACTTGATGCTTCATGCTCGAAGGTTTAGAGTCGTTTTTGCATCAAGGTTGGTGTCTAATCTGATATATTTAAGCTTGAATACTACAGGTACAGGTGTATACTCTTACGAGGATGTGGAATAATCGTAGGTGAAAACACTTAGGTCCAGTTTGGACAACGACTCCGGGTTCAAAATTTCTGGCTCAAACCGCACGTGATGACCTGACTGCGTTAATAAGCATCTATTATCTAATAAAACAAAAGATACTCTAGTATCACCACAATGTCTGATAAATCAAGCGGTGGCTCTTCGCATTCCTTACGTTCCCGGGGTACTATAGATGTGACATCGGCTGCTGCATCTTGCGGAACGACCAGGAAGGCTCCTGCGGTGTGGACGAAGGCAGAAGAAACCACCTTTCTTGAGTTCCTTCTGCAGGCCCTTCCTGCATCAGGCGATGGGGGCTTCAAGGCGCCCACCTTCAATCAAGCATATGCGCACCTCAAGATAAAACACCCGCATCAAAGGGGCGCAGAAAAGGTTGGCACAGTTTGCAAAAATAAGTGGACATCGGTATGTTTCCAGTGAACTTTCAGCCGCCAGCAAATCAATGACATATATTTTTATAGTTAAAGAAAGCATACCAAAGTGTTGTTGAAATTAAGTGTACTTCTGGTTTTACTTGGAGTGATGATCATGGAGCGGGTATCACGGACAAAAAGGACGACGTATGGGCATGCTTTATAAAGGTACGTCATCACAAATAGACTGCATGCATACCCCTCTACTGATATTGTTTTCAGTCGCATCCTCACGCGAGGCCCTTCATGATGAAGGGCTTCGACCACTTCGATATCATGCAGCAGTTGATGCCAAGCAAGTCAAAAGGCTCTCACGTCTTCCGACCTACCACCGCCACCAATGCCACCACACCATCCTCCATCCCCACAGCCACAGACAACACACTTCCAGGGCCGCCACCATCCTCAGTGGGCCCGCCACCATCCTCAGTGGACCCGCCACCATCCTCAGTGTACCCGCTGTCATCCTCAGTGTACCCGCCACCATCCTCAGTGGACCCTCCATCTACCTTTCTCGCTCCTTCCACGGAAGGGTCTACCTCTGCCGGTGGCTCGGCATGGACAAGTATAAGCCGGGGAAAGCGAAAACACAGCGCGCTTTTGCCTGCGTCAGCTGCAGGCTCTCAGAAACGAGGCCGGCCACCATCTGCCACGCTATTGGCACAGCAGGAGGGCACCGAAACGATGAAAAGCCTCGTAGAAGTAGTACGTGAGATGCAGAAGACTCTTGTATTAGCGCCGGCGCTGCCGCCAGTGCAGCCACAGCCTCAGCCTTCCACGCATGTTGGAAGCGCCATTTCCCTCCTCAATAAATATACAGACCTCACAAGCAAAGAGCGCTTGGGCATTGCCAACTTTCTAGCTGAACACGAGAACCAGGCGATCATTTTCTACTCGTTGGATGAGGTGACGAGGCTTGAGTGGTTGGAAGAGAAGCGAGTCCTTTGCGGTGGTGCACCACGGCGATCAATTGACTCACAAGAATATATGATTGTATCGTAGCGGTGTACAGATCATTTCGTAGTACAAAATTCATGTATTACCTACAACTATGGCAATGGGAGTCCCCTTCGTGCATGTTCTGCGAGATAGTCAGTCCACATTGCTTGCGCAATTCCGTCCCTACGAGCATCTGCGCGTCTGCGCTCAGCAGCATCCGCCGGTCCCTCTGAATGTGCGCCAGATCCAACACCATCATCCTCTGCTAGATCGTGCCTGTACTCGAGGGCAAGATCAAATATATCACCGTTGTTTCTTCGCATGAAGTTGTGAATGGCGCAAAGCGCCGCTGGGATCCAGGACTGGATGTCCATGGAGTATTCAGGCGCGCATATTAAGATGCGCCATTGTCGTTTCATGACGCCGAATATCCGCTCGATGATGTTGCGAAGTGCAGCGTGTCGCAAGTTGAACAACTCTTTCGGGTCTTTAGGCCTAGAAAAAAATTAATAGACAGACTGACAAAAGAAAAAAGGAACTCACGCGAGATTAGCTTGACGCCATTCCTTCAGGTGGTAGCGGACACCTCGATAAGGCATGAGAAGTGCGTCGCATGTACCAAAGCCGGCATCGGCTAGAAGATACTTGTCTTCGGGCACACGCAAATCATGAGAGCATGCGTCATTCCAAAGGGAAGCATCGGCAACTGAGCCGTCCCACCCTGTGAGTGAGTAAATGAAAAAGAAGTCGAGGTCGCAGATAAACAAGCAGTTCTGCGATAAAAAGCCTTTCCTGTTGCGCAGGACAACATGGTCTTCAAGCGGCGCAAAAACGCGGATGTGGGTGCCGTCAACAGCACCGATACAGTGGTCGAAGAATCGGAATCGAGGGTCAGCGTGAATTGCTGCAGAAAGTGGGGTGTTTTGGTCTGGGAAGCGGACGTTCGAGGTGTAGAAGGGAGCCGATGAAAAGAACATGAGTAGGCGTTTAAAATATCTGCAGAAATCAGCACAACTTGAACAATAGTTATATCAAAAGTTAGGCACTTACCTTGTAATCGTATCGGGAGAGCGCTGGAACCTTTCTCCGACGTGGTGAGACGAAAGTCCAGTAACACACGTGTAGAGAAAAATGCCGAGTTGCTCTGACACGCTTACCCCATTCCGGGACTGGACAAAGCTGTGTCGGTTAAGAACCGCTAACAGCTCATCGAAAATTTGAAGGTCGACGCCAAAATTGTGTCTGATCCTGTCTGGATGACCACTGATCAGTTCATATACCCATGCTTGCCCGGTAAGTATGGATGTGTGGTAAGGAATTCTTTCAGTGCGGGATAAGAATAAAAGATGGTATAGATGTGTGACCTGGGCGACCACAATGGTGATGATAATGACCACGATTTTGTGTCGTCGATCGTGTTGCATTTGCGCTTCAATATCCATGGCAGTGATGGATATGACACGCATATATATGCTGATTATCTATCTCACCTCAGGCATTAGTTCTCGGTATCAATAAAGGTCTCTTAGATGGTATTATTATGTAGGCGTTATATAGTCTCGCAGACCCAACCTCGTGGATGTTCTATTTATAGCACACACATAATATGCCTTGCGACCTCTTGCGACCCTCCCCAGCACCTCCCTTGGACCTCCGCACCTCCCCATTTACCTCGTATATACCTCTACAATGTTTGCCAATATCCCGTCCCATCCCGTCGAGCCTCCGGATAGGCTCCATGCATATGGTGCACCCATCAGATCTGGCAGACCTCTACTATGCTCTGCAGCTGCTTGTCGTTTTTGTTTCCCAAGTTCTTTTCATTGCCTCTTGTTCTACACCACTACGTCCATCACCATGCCGCCTGCCCGCCACACACGTGGCACTCAACCGACATCTATGGGGCTAGGACACCACTTCGTAAGCCCAAAGAAAGCTCGAGACCCTAAAAAAACACAAACTCTTGTTCACATTCCCGGCATCAACTCCAAGCATCAGCGCCTCCTCGACCAAATGGCTGCGTTGATGCAGCCCCAAGTTTCGACCACTGAAACCCCCACCTCTACTGAGTCTCAAGCCCCGATGGATATTGAGCACACCGCTGGTCACGTTGACGATACGCTAAATTACGACTACGATGATAACGATTACATCGCCGAGGAGGTAGCCCAGCCTGCTCAAGTAGCGTCTTGCCCTACAAATGTGCCTAAGGTAGACCTTGGGCGTCGCCGTCTCTTGCCCAACAAGATGGCTAACAATCTATATAATGCTTGGAAAGTGCTTATCCCGACCCTGGTAGATCCTCATCTCAAATATTCTACAAGGACACATGTTACAATAACATGTAACCGAGAACCCCTCCTACGGAGGTCATCATGACCTTAGCCCCTATCCCACCATATGCACCGTCTTGGAAGACTTACCGACTCAACGGAGACTCGTAGAGACACCTAGAACGGCCTGGATGCCGTTAGATGACCTAGACCAGCCTAGGCCACATCTGATCGGACCTAGATGGTCCTCGACCCGGATCATGAGGAAGCTCTGCCTCATGGTCAGAAGAGAAGCCGCATGCCTTAGCATGCGCAGTTAGACTCCAAGGCATGCTTCGCCTTGAGGACAGATAAGAGAGGCATGGTAAGCCTCATGTATAGATAATCGACCGCATGGCATCAGATAAGATGCCCTTGTATAGACACACTCATACCTACCTACCGAACGTAGTATTGGTCTGTGCACACGGACGACAGTATATAGAGCAGACAGAATCATGTATATTCCCTACTTGATTCTACTAGGTTTTATCCAGAACTTCCTCTGAAAGACAGCCCCAGTCCTTCAGTCTAAGCCGCACCTTAAGGAAAGCCGACGCTACCTTAAGTGGAACCCACGAACCTCTCATTCGAGAGAAGATCCCCGTCTCTCCAATAGCGAGCCCGCTATCAGATTAGGCAATCCGCCTAGGGAGAGCCCGAACTATCCTAGTCCGTAACACACACGGGTGTGCTCTTCCAGAAGTCCATCCGGTCATATCCGCTTGCGCAAGCCATACTAGTTGTACACATCGACAATTTTCCATAGTTTGTCTCTTTTTTGACCGTAAGTAGTCCGTTCCTCATCTGCCGCCTTAATTGACAATTCCAGGTTTCCTTTCTGTTGATGTATTGGCCTGCCGATGTTCAACACTTTCGCAAGTCCTCCTTTACCATGGCCTCTTTCCTACCGCTCCCTCCCAACCACGCATGGCTGTTTCTACAGACCTACTCGCATTCTATCGTGCTTTGTTCGAGCGTTCATGCGATGCTATCCATGCGCTTGCGCATGCCCTAAAGACCCATTATGCCCGCAGAGGCTTTCTCATGACCAATGCAGATGTGAGTTTTGACGTTTCAGGTTTTCAGACAATAACTCATTAAAACACAGGGACAACTTATTCAAGAACCATTTCGTCGTGGACTTGGCCAAGCCGTCCAGTGGTTCGACATCCTCCAGATTGAGGTCGAACGGCAGACTGAAGCGACACTTCAAATTTGTCGCGACCAAGTGTATGAGGCCCGTAAACTTCAATCTCAAGAGAACCCTGGCGTAACTACCCCCATACGATCCAGTACAACATTAATCCAAGGCCGGTGCGCCTCCATTCTCATGCAGCGTTGCCCAGCCTGCTTTGGAGGCGTCCTTTTTGGTAGACCTCTTAATGAAGGTGGCGACATACATGTTGCAACGGATGGCAATTTCCATCATCGACATTGACGATCTGCGGGCGACTGCCCACGCTTTTACGACCCCATATATTTTCTTCCCAAGGCTCAAGTGGACAACGTTGGGCGACACATCCTCTCGCAGCGTAAACGTGCACCAAGGATTTGCACTTCTTTAGTAGTACCAGATGAGGCAATTGACCAATGCGAGCACTCGTACGAGGCCGCAGATGGTAAGAAGCAGAAGGCTGCGATGGATTCCTTCGATGATACGGGCGTCATGGCTCTGATATGCCGTCACGATATCCCGCTCTTCTTCGCTAACATTGATTCACCTGGCGAGCAACAGAAATACGCCGTAGCACTCATTGAGCATCTGTTTACTCTATTGCCGCAGGAAGCCACTGTCATTATCCTGTATGATGTTGGGTGTGTCCTCTCACGGTCATTATCTCAAGTAAGTGCTTCTTTAATAGATACATTTTAACCTTATATCTATCTATATAGTATGATATTCTCCCCAAATCAGTGACTTCACGTCTTCGATTTGCAACCACGGCTATGCATGCATATGGCCACGAGTGGGCGTGTCAGCTCGAGTATAACCCTCGCATGTGCAACAGTCTTGGCCTCTCAGACGGGGAGGGAACTGAAAGACTATGGTCAAGGTTCGTCAAATTAATTGGCATTCAAAGGTCATCATCAGTGAGTCGGTACTAGTACTCTGATGATTATTTGTTGACTATAGTTCACGGATAGCGCCAGAAGCGTCTGTGGTTGATAGACCGGCAAGCAGGCGCCATTGGTCTTGAGATGCGAACAGATCTTGGCGATTGGATTAAACGGCGGCTCAAGCGTGGAGTTAATGGTCAGGGTGCAGCGGCACAAGAAGTTTTAGATAATTGCGGTATCGAAGCTCAAGACCTTCAGGAACAGTGGGTGGATCAGAAGAAGTCCCAACTGTCCATTCGTGCTCGTAAGTCCACGGGTGCCACTTCCATACTAAGATCAACATATCCCCATTGACAGATGCTCCTGCATGACTGAAGAAGGAGCTTGACGTTGTCCTTACTTTGCAGGCTGATTTAGACGCATCGGACAGGGCATTGCAACTCACACGGACCGTTGTAGAGAAGGGCTCGGCTACTGAAGAAACCTTAGACGCTCTGGAGAGCCTCGAGCGCAGCCATGATCGTTTGATGAGCAAAGTTGAAACATTATATTCCTCGCTCAATGTTCACGACAGATTTCCAGAACTACAGGGCGTTGATTTGGATTTTGTTCGAACCCTTCTTATGGCGCGCGATCTCAAAATAAATATCCGGAAGAGAGCAATAGGAAGCTTTTTTGAATGGGACAAACTTGACCGTGCGGTTGGTGGTGCAAATCAGGCACTTGGTAATGTATAATCCTTCTGTTTTTGTGCCTCAGAATATTCACTTGTTCTACAAGGTACGAAGCTACATCAGCAGACACGTAAGGCTATCGCTAAGCGCCAGCCGGCCTTGATGACAGCGATTCGCAAGTTTAACTCCTATTGTGAGCATCTGGAGAGCATCTTTGACCCGTCCTGGGGCGTCCCGCTTCCTACTCCTCTCCCTACTAAGCTCGCCGATCTTCGCAAAGATCAGACGCTGATGGAGGATGTTTGGATCACTCCATCCGTTGGAGATGTCCCTCGTTGGATCGAAGACACTGACGTAAGAGATGGCATTCAAGCGTTGCTTAAACGGGAACGGTGCCATGAAGAGCAGCGCCGCATTGGGCATGAAGCAGATAACCTTTGTCGATGGTTTGGAGCTGAGCTCACTGCGCTAGAACTCGCCCTCCGCTCTCCTACAAGTAAGCAATTTCATTTACATCGATGATCATTACTTATTTCACAAGATCATACATACGTGTTCCCACTCCAACAACGACGGGATCACCTTCTCCAGTTACAAAGTAAATGGGTTACCCCACTAGCATCTGCTACTCGTTTCAACAGCAGTGCTCACATGGCGGTCAATCTTGCTATTACGCTTTCCGAGAGCACGGGACCATCGCAAGCTGTCATGTACAGGCTTGTACCAACCTCATTGGCGCTCGCAGACTCCCCCGAGGATGATGCTGATGAACATATTGCCCCTGCACTCGAAGAGATTGCTGAAGAAGCTGTCCTCTTGGACATTTTACCTGACAATACCGCTAGTGATGATGAAGACGACGAACCCGTGGGATTACCTGAATTTACGATTAGCTGGCAGCTTCCAGAGGTATGTCCTCGTCTCTCCATAGGTAACTGTACTCATCCGGTATCATAGAATCTTTGCACAGATTCTTTCAAAGTTCCCCGTCCAGAGGATCACATCATCGTGTCAGCATCAAACACTCCCCTCACTCGGGTACAACCAGCCCAAGATGGCTTTCCACCCCAGGTATTCGATGCAAGGGATCTGTCCTTACTGGCACATCCCACTTCCCGCCTTAATGACACGTGTATCAACGGTTGTGCGGCACTATTATACTCTGAGATGCTGACGAGCTCGCGTGTGAGACCTTGTGCTATTCTGTCTACCCACGATCTCCCTCGTATTCGATACAATGCGTCGGACGACATACTGTGGCGGAATACATCGTGGACGTTGTTTTGGGAGAGAGATCTCTGGCTTTTACCTATTCATCGCCCCTCTCCAGTCGGACACTGGGTGTTTTGTGCCATATATATTCCATCCAAAGAACTCCATCTCTTCGATAGCCTGGCTGAACGACACCCATGGAAGACAGATGTTAAAGTAAGTGATAATTTGATTCACGCATTATTGAACTAACAATGTGAACAGGACATTATGAATCTTATCGCAAGATTATCATCCATAGCTCACCAACGGCGTGGCTCAGCTAGTATTGATCTTAAAGGGTGGGTAGCCCGTCCACTAATACTCAATCCTCTGCAGACGAACGGCTACGACTGTGGTCTCTGGGTCTTAGCGGCACTTGCAGCAGTCCTTCAGGGATCCCATAGACCAGGCATGTGCGAGGAGGACATGATAGCTTTCCGACATTATATATGCACACTTGTAATTAGAGTACCTACCGTGTGATATACAATCCATCCACTTCTTCAACTCTCCTGAAAATGTGCGCAGAACTACGCTGATTTGAGTATGGTACCCGATTAGGAATGATAAAGTTAGCGACTCAGACCAACGAACACAGATACTCATGTAGTTTTAGGATAAGAGAGTTAGAACGAGAAAACCCTCCAGGGAGCAAGCTACTCAACTGACTGATTGATAGTTTGATCCGAGTCATGTAGTTGAGGAGAGTTGAAGCAATGCGCGCAGAACTACAAGTACATTGATTCAAGTATGCTAGCTACGCGATAATCAATGAAGGATGGAGTTAGCGACTCAGACAAACACAATACATTCATGTAGTTTCAGGACGAGGAAACTCTTCAGGGAGCAAGACACTCAACTGACCGATTGATGCTATGTTTCCTGAGCATCGTGTAGTTGAGGATAGGCCGAGCTAGATTCAAAATCAGGTTAAAGTCACGTACAAACGACTCGAAGAACTCACAACTCGATGAAGCATTAATGCCAGTTATAACGGTGTTGTACGAATTAAGGTGTCTGTGTCAAATAAAGCACATAAGATTTATATCTCATCTGAACCAGGCTGATAACGGCTTCACTTTGGGCCTTATCATAGCCATACATTGGGCTATATCATGCTGCAGAGATATGTTTTCAGTTTAGTAGGAGTTTTATACACGATATGATTGCACATATTACAGTGACCTATCTCCGTATAATACGAGGGAACGGACATGCATAATATCCCGTATGATACGGGCCAGCGGACCATGGGCCCATGATAAAAATATCCTCGACTATGACGGATGGGCCGGGAGGCAAATTATTCCCGATGGAGACGGGTGGGCCCATGCAGGGAATATATAGAGTAGATGAGTGGGCCGATGTACATGAATATTAGGTAGACGGGTGGGCCGAGGTAGTTGGATATTATGCAGATGGGTGTATTAAGGTAGATGTGTATGAGATAGATGGGTAGGTACTTGTTATCACATTCACGGGTGGGCCCAGACACATATTAAATTAGACGGGTGGGCCGAGGGTATTATAAAATATTGTATTAGACGGGTGGGCCCAGACGCATATTAATTAGACGGGTGGGCCGAGGGTGTTGTATGGGATGTTGTATTAGACGGGTGGGCCGAGGGTGGTATAAAATATAGATGGGTGGGCCCATGTGTATCATAATTGTAGACATGATGGAGCTGAGGTAGTTGTACATCAACCAAATCAGAGGAGGTAATAAATCAAAGTTACCAAGTTCCCGGAGCAGCAGGTGATCTCCTGACATGGCCTTTGATGGTGCACAGGTTGTCTTGCAGAATGTGGAATCCGGGGTGCGAAGCTTGTGTTGCCCTACGAGAAGCCAAGTTCCGACCACCAGAATTTGAGTCAACTGTACCGAGCTCCGAGTTCCGAGTTCCGGGCCCCGGAACTCAACACATAATTTAGTTAATACTTTCCGTGTTAAATGGCCAACCGAAGTTGAGATGTTTCTGAAGAGAGCAGCAGGTGCTCTCTTGACATGGCCTTTGATGGTGCGTAGGTTGTCTTGCAGAATGTGGAATCCGGGGTGCGAAGCTTGTGTTGCCCTACGAGAAGCCAAGTTCCGACCACAAAAATGTGAGTCAACCGTACTCAGAGGAGGTAATAAATCAAAGTTACCGAGTTCCCGGAGCAGCAGGTGATCTCCTGACATGGCCTTTGATGGTGCACAGGTTGTCTTGCAGAATTTGGAATCCGGGGTGCGAGGCTTGTGTTTCCCTACAAGAAGCCAAGTTCCGACCACCCAAATTTGGGTCAACCGTACCGACTTCCGAGTTCCGGGACCCGGGAGTCGACAAATGAATATCTGATGACCAGCACACTTCCAATCAGGTAGTATTTCATTGAGCAATGGATAATAATACATCTTTGACAGCCAAAATTATCTCAGGCTCCCTTATCTGATCCTCTCTATCTCCACCCCCTTTAACACCAAAGTCCGGACATTCAGCATTCAGTGTCTGATTTCCCAAGATTAACATCCAGCATGAACGGTTCTTCCCCTTCCACTCCTGATAGTATAAACATCTGGCGCACTTGGGCCCTGACTGTGACTTATGAAGCAGGGGAATATACCGAACAGAAATTCAAGGCAGAGAAGACTGGAGGAGGCCCAGTCATACCTTCCCCCAACCTAGACACTGATCTGGTGATGGCGTGCGATCGCTTGGCTGATGTACTCATAAAGGCATATAAAAATCCCAGTGGGTCTTCCTGCAGATTCGGAAAATTCGTTTTATCATTCAAATTCCTGCATGACAGTTCAGATGCAGGTGGATATTGCAAGATATAGCAAATTGATCTCCCCGAAGGACACCGGGCATAATGAACAGAGAGAGGCTAGGTTGCTTGAGAGGTGTCCTCCTGGCCATGAAGGCAAAAGGTTGGTCGACGAACCTGCCACAATTCTCGATGCATCCGGTGCCATCATCGCATGGTACCTCCCAGACGCCCTGACCGACACCACCCAGGTGTGTAATATACATTGTTACTCAATGGATATTGAATATCAAATGGAACCTACAGAAGGAAATCAGGGAAGCCACCAATTTGCTCGCTCCAAGCCTCGAAAAAAGTGTAAGGGCTGATGGCAATTGGCGAACTAATCAAAAGTGGTTCAACCGGGGCTCGGAAGATGTTGGGGCAACTCCCGGATGCATCAATTTATCTCCGGCATGGTTTCAACAGGGACACGAGGTAGGATCTGATGAGATGGTGATTCCGGCAGTCATACTCACCAATCCCAAAGAATGTGTCCGATCCGGAGGTATCTGCATCATTGAAGGGACCTTCCTGCGAGAATATCCTCAAAGCCATTTCAAGGCCAGCAGCCATCGCGTCCGCGGCACTCAGAGTCATGCATCCTGAGCAGTACTGGGCAGGGTTGCGAACCTTGTCAAACCTAGGACATATAGCAGTAAGCAAGGATCTGCCACAGATGCCGGAGGCCCTGCAGTACTGGGCATCGGTGTTTAACACCCTCTCCATCATTTCCAATCGGGAAACCCCAAATCATCGAGACCATTTGTCCATTGCTGAATGCTTCGACATTCTCACCACCGTGGGGAACTATTCTAATGCTCGGATGACAATGCCAAGCCTTCAGCTGGAGTTCAAGTACAATTCCGGCTGTATGATTGCGTTTTCCGGAAGGATTGTGAGACATGGAGTTTATGATGTGGAAGGGGATCGGATTGCTTGGGCATGGTATATGAGGGATTCTGTTCACATTTACGCTGGTGTTCCATCATGTGGATGGGCTAGTGTGGATGGTCCATACAGTGTGTGAAAGATCAAACAAAGAGCATGCATTGTGACCTATATACATTCCAACAAATGAATACCATGTACCAATAGTTATCTGGACCTCAATACTCAATTGTGAGCATTTGCGAAGTGATATATGGGACTGAATAATTTGGATGCGAGCCTCGGTATTCGATAATCGGAACTCGGGACTTGACATATGGGAGTCCCGAGTGCCGGGGTACTGAGTCCCGACACCCGGACCTCAGCACTTGATATTTGAGACTGGGGGAAGATGTATCAATATGCTCAAATTAACATTTGTTATTGCCGTACACATTTGACAAAACCCTGAACCCCGACATTGTGAACTCGGGACTCGACACTGTTCTGAATACCGAGTCCCGGAAGCCCAGGTCCCGAGTCCCGAATTTCGGAGTTCGGGGTTCGGCGACCCGGAGCTCGGCAACTGTGTTGGGTGTCAGGGTATGCGGAGCATTGGAGATAGCATGTGTCAGTATTTTGCATTTCATGGTTCATGTTTGGCTGACACATGCTATCTCCAATGTTCCGGATACCCTGACACCCAACACAGTTGCCGAGCTCCGGGTTGCCGAACCCCGAACTCCGAAATTCGGGACTCGGGACCTGGGTTTCGGGACTCGGGACTCGGAGCTCGTGACCTGGGACTCGACAGTGTTCTAAATACCGAGTCCCTGACGCCCGATTCTATAATCACGAAAGATTCCATAATCACGAAAGATGAACCATGAAACGCAGAATACTGACACATGCTATCTCCAATGCTCCGGATACCCTGACACCCAACACAGTTGCCGAGCTCCGGGTCACCGAGTCCCGAAGCCTGAGTCCCGAGTCCCGAATTTCGGAGTTCGGGGTTCGGTGACCCGGAGCTCGGCAACTGTGTTGGGTGTCAGGGTATCCGGAGCATTGGAGATAGCATGTGTCAGTATTCTGTGTTTCATGGTTCATCTTTCGTGATTATGGAATCTTTCGTGATTATAGAATCGGGCGTCAGGGACTCGGTATTTAGAACACTGTCGAGTCCCAGGTCACGAGCTCCGAGTCCCGAGTCCCGAAACCCAGGTCCCGAGTCCCGAATTTCGGAGTTCGGGGTTCGGCAACCCGGAGCTCGGCAACTGTGTTGGGTGTCAGGGTATCCGGAACATTGGAGATCGCATGTGTCAGCCAAACATGAACCATGAAATGCAAAATACTGACACATGCTATCTCCAATGCTCCGCATACCCTGACACCCAACACAGTTGCCGAGCTCCGGGTCGCCGAACCCCGAACTCCGAAATTCGGGACTCGGGACTCAGGCTTCGGGACTCGGTGACCCGGAGCTCGGCAACTGTGTTGGGTGTCAGGGTATCCGGAGCATTGGAGATAGCATGTGTCAGTATTCTGCGTTTCATGGTTCATCTTTCGTGATTATGGAATCTTTCGTGATTATAGAATCGGGCGTCAGGGACTCGGTATTCAGAACACTGTCGAGTCCCAGGTCACGAGCTCCGAGTCCCGAGTCCCGAAACCCAGGTCCCGAGTCCCGAAACCCGAGTCCCGAGTCCCGAATTTCGGAGTTCGGGGTTCGGTGACCCGGAGCTCGGCAACTGTGTTGGGTGTCAGGGTATCCGGAGCATTGGAGATCGCATGTGTCAGCCAAACATGAACCATGAAACGCAAAATACTGACACATGCTATCTCCAATGCTCCGGATACCCTGACACCCAACACAGTTGCCGAGCTCCGGGTCGCCGAACCCCGAACTCCGAAATTCGGGACTCGGGACCTGGGCTTCCGGGACTCGGGTGCAAGATTTTTGAATGCATAGAATATTTTACATCTTGTATACAATGAACACTGAATGGGACTACACTCCTTTGCCTTTCCTCAATTTCTCTAACATGTCAGTGTACATCTTCACCTCTGCCATCTTGGCTTTGATGCCCTCATCTTGCTCCTCCATCAATGCTTCCATGCGTTCTTTAATCCACCTCAGTCCCATAAGTGGTGGAGTCGAAGTGTTTCTCAACTTCTCTGGAAGAACCAAAGCATCATCCTCAACATTAAGCTAGAACAGATAAGTCATCAATCAAGGCAATTCAGCTAACATCTTACCGCCCAATACTGGTAGTGAGAGACGCAGGAAGCCATTATTTCATCCCACTGCCATGGTTGATCCGGGATTGTGGTGTTTCCCATCCACCATGGACATGTATATGCAAACACAATCCGGGACGGATGTCCTGCAATTGCCTCATCATCAAATGAAAGGAGGTGGAATGAAAAGACGTCGTCCGGAACCGTGTTCCAGGTTAGCATGGGATACAACTTAAGGATATAAGCGACAGGGACCGGAAGAACCGACACGATATTCTGTGAAGCTGAGTACTGCAGGAGTGGTGTGACAAAAGTCTGCTCAAATTTTTAGCATTGACCAACAAAGTCATCAGGGCAGTGGTAACATACATTCATCTCCCATTGCAGCCCGGCTTTAAAATACTTTATCCGGTCAGAAGATAGACCATTGTTGGCAGCTTCCGTCTGATATTGAGAGATGCATGCACGGACCCGCGATCCAGCCATTGCCAATGTGCAGGAAATAGTTCCAAGGCTCAGCTTCAGGGGTCGGTAATGGCTTCCGGCATTCAGAGTGCCAGAAGTGGATGCAGGAGTTGCAGGCATGGCTAATACAGGACTATGGCGCTGGCAATGCAAGTGAAAGATGGTGAAGATGTGAAGATAAGAATCACTGATGGATGGATACGAAATTCAAACTCCGACATGGGCTGACCCGGACAATTCCCGGGCCTCAATTATGTATGTGGAAA